GGAAAATACTATAAAATGGTCTGCAGCAAAAAAGTTAACTAGCACGGGCACATCCACACACTTACACAACATAATTTCAAAGATTTGCCGTTTCTACTAAATCTAATGCACATATTCTTTGAAATAAGTCACTACTTATTTCTAGTGCTTTCAATGCTGTTGAAAGCATTCCTACTGTTTTTGCACCTGAAAAGTCATCTCCACCATGGAAGACCAAGCTGCTGTGTGTGCTGAAGAGAGGCGTAAAGAGAATCTCCCGCCAAGACTTCAGACACGAGTTGAGACTTGGAGAAATACCCGGATATCCAATGGAGCACCTGCCCATGATCATCTCAGAGGTTGGATAGATGTGTGCGCGTTGATGGTGCTGATGATGTAAAAACTTGGGTTTTATAGGTTAGAATGTGAGCACATTTTACTTTACTAGATGGAAACTCTGCAGAGGCTGGAAGAGAGGCGCAACATAATGTCTGTCAAACTGCTTCTACAGCACAAAACTGGATAAATAATGCATGCCAAACAAGATCTGTGTCTATTATTCCCTTTGGAACAGCTCATGTCTTCATGCAGGTTCTAGTGTGTGTGTTGTCCAATGGGCTGAACCATGAGGACTGGCCTCAGGTGGTTTCTGATGACATCCTTCGACACCTGGAGAGGCTGAGGAGCAGAGTGGTGACTCTGAGAGGTCAAGCTGAAGGAAGGACTCTGCTGCCGCTGCCTCTGAGTGTAGAGCGGGCACGGCACCAGGACATAGCATTCAGGTCAGTGTGTGTGTGTGTGTGTGTGTGTGTGTGTGTGTGTGTGTGTGTGTGTGTGTGTGTGTGTGTGTGTGTGTGTGTGTGTGTGTGTAAAGCGTTAATGGGTGCATTCTAACTTTTTAAGTTCATCACATCATTTTCTATTTCTCCTACACAACATTTTAACTTCAGCTGACTAGAATTCATTTTTTTCTTAAATCATTATAAACGATAGAAACATCATTTTATAACAGGCACTTTTGCACTGCAGCCAAAATTTTTAGCTAATTGAACAATTTTAAGCATTAATAAAACTTTTATTAAATACATGCAGAAATAAATACAAATTGTTCCTAATTACCTGCAACAGAAGACACAGCTAGAAGCAATGGGTCTAAATCTTGTAGACTTAAAAAATGCAGAAAAGCCACGGTTGCTTTTATAAAATCCAAATAATTATATATTTCTAAATAGATATACTATTTTGTTGTTGTATGTCAATACTATAATTTTACTTTTAACTGTATAAATCCATAACTTTCTAATTTTATTTTTCTGAATGAGAATAGACATTCAGAACTAACCGTCTTGTGTGAGAATAGCTTTGTTTCCATTGCCGGAACTTCTGGGTAAATTCTGTGAGGGGGACATTGACTGGGAGATACAACGTCCCAGTCCCCTCAGCTGTTGTGTCTCCGTTCAAATTCAGCTCTTTCAGGACTTCTCAGCATATCAAGACTGGTTCGGCAGTGAGTGATGTCACTGATCAGCACCAAAAAGTGACCAAAGTAACTTTAATTGTATTAAAATTGAATTTTCAATTCAATTCAATTCAATTCAAGTTTATTTATATAGCGCCAAATCACGACAAGAGTCGTCTCAAGGCACTTCACATAATAAACATTCCAATTCAGGTCAGTTCATTAAGACAATCAGAAATAATGTTTCCTATATAAGGAACCCAGCAAATTGCATCAAGTCACTGACTAGTGTCAGTGACTATACAGCAATCATTTATTCTGTTGAAGCACATCATGATTTAATCCATTCAGAGGACGGGAGCTGCTGTGTGATGTAAAATGGAGCGTTCAGTGACCAAAAGAAGTGTATTTTTTTACGGCGCTCTGTGAGACAACTAAGCCCCGTTAATTAAGTCGCTGAGGGGAAATTCTGCCGTGTTTTCCAGTGTCAGGAGTTTAATTTTAGGCGCCATCAGTGCTTACTTTCATTTGCTTTCACGTTGCTTCACCAGCAACTCTTCTCATTTCACTAATGCCGATTGTTTTGGACAACATCTGCTGATTTCCTACTGAGTTACAACTAATCAGAGTGAGTTAAACAAAAGTTTCGCTCAGCTACTCCACCGGGCCGTTCCGAGTTGATCAGGTACTCCAAAAGTTCCTGAAAATGGACCGGAAAACAGCCTTTTGGCTGGTCCAGTCAAGTGGAGACGTGCATGTTGGGAAGTTCCAATAAATTTACCCTGAAGTTTCGATAATGGAAACAGGGCTAATGTGTGTATAAAGGCAAATTTGCAGATTCATCTAATTAAGATATTCTTGCCCCAAAGGGAAAAATTACATGTCGATAAAGAAATAATTTTGGAAAGGAGACAATAAAGACATTTATTCCTTTGCTGTTGATCTAAGGTGGAAAAAAATCTACTCATTTTGTAAATGTCAAGGCAAATACAAAATTTGAATAGCTTAAACAAAAATCAATTAACTAACACATATGCTGGTAAAGGTTCTCATTCATCCACGCCATGATAATCCAAAGAGTTCAAGGCAACTGGACTTCTTTGGTTTTTTGAAGATGTTTTGCTTCTCATCCGAGGAGCTTTGTTAATTCTAACTGGAAAATGGGAGAGTTGAGTTCATTCCAAAACTGTTTCAGTCTAGGTCGCACCCTCCGGCCTCTAATCAAAACAACCATTCTAACACAATAGAGCCTAACAACATCAATGACTCATTCAGGGATAATGAGGAGGGTATTCATAAATAGTTTCAGCTCATTAACCAATAGCAGACAGCTACAATTTATAAACTTGACTCTTTCACATTCCAGTCTGAATAGACAAAGCTCCTCGAATGAGATGCGAAACATTTTCAAGAAACCAAAGAAGTTCAGTTGCCTTCATTTGAACCCTTTGAATTAATACATAGTTAACTAGTAGTTAATAGTTTTACTGATTTTTGGAATTTGTTAGTCTGATTAAATACGACATCACTCAGGTGTTCGGCCAACAGTGTTTTGTACGTCTCCACTCAGCTTTTATTTTCAGAGAGAGTTATTTCTCTGGCAGAAATCAACTATAAAGTAACATTTAGGTGACAGCCATTGAGTGAGTCAAGCTAATTAGATTTACGTCTTTAACTACGATGACATTCAACTTACTGAGAGAGCTTTCTTCCCATTTAGAGTTTGCCCAGGGTTCTTTCACATGCCAGAGCTCACATTTCTATTTTTGTCCTGACTGATTGCCTCCCTGTCTGTCCCATACAGCCCTGCTGGATGGCCACTGGACCATGGCTTGTTATACTCTATAGAAACTTTGATAGTTCAGTGGTCTGGACAGATCTGGAATGTGCTGAAGAAAGACTCGGGCATGCTGCTGCTCCAGGGAGACCACCCAGGCCCCAATGTAGAGCTCCAGTTTTGGATCACTCAGAAGGAAAACCTGCTGGGCATCCAGGAACAAGTAAGAAAGCAACTCTGTGGAAGTTGGCAGGGTGCGGCTGACGTTATTAATGTAGAGATGTGTGTTTTCCTCTGGTGCATCTGATTTAAAGTGTGTGGGTCTCCAGTTCAGTGCAGATTCTTAACGAGGTAAAAGCAAACAAGCATCGATTAACTCATATACTGCCATTAAAGACAAAAGTTGTCATTTTAAATCCAACTGTTCACTGCCAATGACGACAGAAGTCGTCATTTAAATTTTTTTACTTTGTGGGCGTCGGAACGAGCCCCCGCACCATTAGAACAAACATCCCAGCTCTAAAGCTGATCTTCATCCGTGTATGTCACATGTCACGTGATCAGAAAGCAGAAAATCCACGTTTTTTGAGATCGTTTTGGGCCACTGCTGTAAAAAAAGTGAGGCGCGAACCGAAAAAGCTTCTGCCGCTCACAATTAGACATCAGAATATAAAAGAATGGATAATGCTAGAAAAATGCGGATTCTTCCTGATGTAAGAGGTGAGTCTACCCTTTTTTTTAATAGTTTTGGCATTGACATCATCATAGAGCGCAATGTTCTGTGACTCATCAAAAAACAGTGAAAACGCTGAAAAACACTGGCAGTGAAGGGCTTTTCTGATCAGGAAATAGCTGTCAATGAACAAGTTAATAATAGCAATAGTCCTTTTCTGTTGTGTGTAGTTCAAGAGTAAGTCACCCCTTTACTAGCCTAACTCCACCCACATTTCCCGTTTGAAAAAATGTGCCACAAGGAGGCGTCGCTTGGCAGATCAGGAAGGCAGACTGCGGCAGTGAGTGACAGAATGCTGCTAACGTCAAATGTGCTGTACTTATCTATAAGCAATCAGCCTAACATTAAATAATTATGGCAAATTATTGGTAGAAGTTCTAACGCTCCACCTTTAGGGACAGAAGTTGGTTGATGACAGTCTGCAGGGGGTTAATGTTAACTGATTGTCACCATGAGAATTTCAATGCTTTGTGTATAAGGTTTAATTATTTTACAACATATTTATTCTGATTATGTCTGCAGAAAGTCAATAGAGTCAAATGAGTAAGTATCTTGAATAAATGTGGCGCTTTATAAACCTCTCTTGTATTTTGGCATCATATTATAGTTGAATTTATCTGTACATCACATGTTGCAGTAGAGTGCTATGTGTCAATCATATCTAAGATTCTAATGACCTAAAAGACATTTTTTCAAATGATAAATTTTCTAATCATTCGTCTTCATCTGCTCCTCTTCTTAATAGTAGCCTGTCTAGGAAAATTTTGTTAGGCTGCCCAGCCTTTTTGCAATGCCCCCCCCCCCCCCCCCCACACACACACACACACACACACACACACCCCGCACCCGGACACGCCCCTGCAAAATCCTGACTATCTGTTTATTTTCTTCCGGTATTTAGTGATTTACCAATTGTTTTCTTTTAAGGGTGTAAAAGGTTTTGATACATTTGAATAAATGGATTTGAGATTCCTAATATGTAATGAGGAGTTTAAATAATTAATATTGTTAATCTGTTAGATTTTGTTCAAAAATGCAAATGTTCTCTTTTTTCAGAAAATAAGCTAATTTGATGGCATAAATAATTAGAATCTGATATCTGCCATCGGGTTAACAGAGTTTATTTGTTGATATTCAGATTTTCTAAATTGGTTTAGATTATTAGTTATACGCTTATGTAGTAAAAAGCATCAGAATTTCTCTGACTATTATGTTCTCAGATCCAGAGCTCCAAAGTGAAGCAGATCATGGAGATCCTGAGAAGAGTGAAGAGCAGTTACTACTCTGCCTTTAAGGATGTCTGTGTCAAAGTCGATGAGGGTAGATCATCGTTTCATAACTCTGTCATCTTGTGCCATATTTCAGTTTTTTTTATTCCTAACAGAAAAAAATGCCATTTTTGAAATATTACATTTATGTTTAAAGTTTGACAAAAAATAAAGATCTGTCCTGATTTGTCATTAATTTCATTCAGTCAGATGGCAGCAATCTGATGCATGTGTTTGCTAAAAATAAAACCAATCAAAGACCAGAGCTCAGTTATCTCTTTTACTGGATGGATGTCGTCTACCTACAGCTGTGCTGGAAGCAGAGGACATAGATCTGTATCTGCGCCCTCTGAGGAGACAGATCACCAACCTAGAAGAGAGAAGCTTTCCTCAAATGGAAACTCTCCTCTCTCCTCTTTTTCACACTCTTTGTCTCATCTGGAGTCACTCCAAATATTACTGCGCTCCGCAGCGCATGGTGGTCCTCCTGCAAGAGTTCAGCAACCTGATCATCGAAAAGGTACCTAGATAAAATATGTGAGCAGATGTGAAAGAAAAGCGACAAACCTAATGTCTGAGTGTCTGTGTACAGGCCTTTGGGTATCTCATCCCTGAAGAACTGTTTAAGATGGAGCTCGAGGAGGGGATGGAGAGAGTACAAATCAGCATCTCCATTCTACAAACCTTCAAGGGACAGTTCCGCACTTACCGTCAGCAGATACCAAGCTACTACAGAAACAGTCAGGATGTAAAGTTGTGGGACTTTCCAGAAACCCTGATCTTTAAGCGTTCAGACCGCATCTTGGAACGGCTTCTTATGATCAAGGTGAGTAGGTTTGCAAGTAGAGAGCTCCATCTTTAAATCTTTGCATCATTTGCATTGCATTAGTTGTGTTGTTCTCCAAATGGATTCACAGGAACTTTTTGCAACAGCGTTGGACTTTCTGAAACTGGAGAAGGTTGAACTGGGTGGATCCAGAGGAAAAATCCTCAACCAGATGGTTTTCAGCATGAACGATGAGTTTCTCGACCGCTGGAGGACCCTGAGAGAGAGCAAATACGACCCTTTAGACTACTCTGATGATGTGAGATCCTGTGAGACACTTGCTGCTGTCTTTGATGTCACACTGCTGTATATTTAATCAGCCTTCAAAGGGCCGTTACTCACAGTGATTCATTTGTGGCATTGATGGACACAGCCCCAAAAAAAATTTTTTTAAACAACAATTAGACGTTATTTTTCTGCCCAGCAGTGCAGTAATTGAAAGGTTGTAACACAAAGTAGTTGCTAAGCAACACACAAGAGCCAGTGACTGGAGTCATTATTAGTCGGTGCATCAATATTTAATTTACTAGATGTAAATTTTATTTTACAACAGCTTCCAGTGTGACTCAGAACAGAAACTCAATCTGAAATTGATTTGTGTCATAATATATTTTCCCTCAAGTGTGTGTTGTTCCAGCCAAAACTGATTAACTGAGCCAGGGAGAAGTTAAAAGGCTGCACTGAAAACTTAATGGAAGGGAAATTGCACGAAAATGCAGACAAAATCAAAGCTTTTCAATCACTCAAGCACGTAGAAAAATATCTACTATATCTCCTCCCTTGCCATTTGTTTCCAGGATTTTGTGCATCACTACAAGCTCTTCGTGGAGCAGAACACAGATTTTGACCAAAGGCTTGGAACCGTTCTCAATTTGGCCTTTCATCACACCCAAAACCTGAATTCAGCTTTTAAGGTACATGTCTGTTCCTCACTGACCATTACACTTAACCTGGAAGATGTAATCTCTGTTAGGGAAAATTAGGAATAATGTATTAAGCTAAACTATGCACCATTTCTTTCCAGTTGTTAAAGATTTTTGGCACTCTTCTTGAGAGACCCACAATCCAACAGCTGTTTTTGCCTAATTACAACGTGTTGCTGAACATGTTCAACCAGGAAATAGACCGCTGTCAGGTCATGCTGGATCAACACAGAGCCGGGGTGAGAGAGGCCGGAAGAAAACTGGATCTTGTGTTAATGCGCACTTCAAAAACAGATTTCTGAGAAAGTTTTATAAAGTTTCATTTTTAGACATTCTGTCTTTATTTTTATTTTTTATTTTTTTTGTCTAAATAGAAAAAAAATCTCTAGAAAAAGTGTATAACCTAAAATAAGTATTCTTAAATAGGATCCAAATTTTCTTGTATTGAGTAAAACAAAATCTGCCAGTGGGGTAGCAAAAGTTGCTTTTGCTAGATATTTTTTAGCAACTAAATCAAAATTTAGACTGTTTTACGAATTTGAAGAATTCTAGCCAATAAACTATTGGCAGATATTTTTACTCATAACAAAACTATTTGGATCATATTTAAAAATGTGGCTCACTGAAAAAAACATTTTAGTAAATTCAAGATTCAAAATCATTTTATTGTTATTGCACAGGTGTACAACAAAATTTACATTTTAATGGTTGTTTCTGAGCTTTTCATGCAGACTTAACATGAAAAAGGTCTCCTACACCTATCTCCAGCATTAGTTTATGATAGAAACTAGACGGTGAAAGTCTAGGATTTGTAAAGCCTGACAGATCTACGTCACACTGTCACTTAACATTCATGGACTCACCCATCTTTACTCACGTTAGGAAACACCGTTGTTGGTTTACCGTCCAGGAAACAGCAGAGAATGTCCTTGTAAAAGCTAACCATTATCATTAGCAACTCCACCACACTGAAATACTCCTCCAGGCTTGTTATTTTGGAGACAACCACATTGCAGAGCAAACTGAGTCAGTGGTAGAGTCACGCTGCTGTTAGCCAATTTGAGACGAGATGTGCAAATATCAGGAAATAGGACTCTAAATCCTGCTGTCTGCTGCCACTCTGTGTGGCAGCAGACTTGTCTGTGCTGATCCAAGCAATTCTGAACGTTTTTGCACTGAGTACGGCTTGCAAGGAATTCATTCAGTGGCCGCTGCAAATGTATTTACCTTTACTGTTTTTACTTTTATTTACTTTACTGCTTTAAGAATATTTACCTTATTTTAAGTAATGCTATTTTACAGAGAATGCTTTTAGACCAAAAAATAAAATAAAATATCTATAATGAGACTTCTTATACCTTCTGAGAAATCAGGTTTTACAGTGTACTTTCTTTAGATGTGCTTAGGTCATGCAGGGGGAAACACAAATAGCACATTGGGATACCTTTATCAGCTAAAATGATAAATCTGTGCATTTCAGCTGCAAACTGGTGATGCATTCCTGGTAAAAAATATGTCTCCAGTGGCTGGGAACCTCAAATGGTCACAGGAGCTTCGCAGTCGCATTCTCACCAACAGGAGCAACTTCTGCCAGCTGGCTTATGCGTATGAATCAACTCTACACAAACAGAAATATAACAACAAAAATATACACATTTATACCATCACAAGACTTTTCAAACCCTCAAAGGGATAGTTTAAATCGGTTTAAGTTGTGATTCATGGAAAGGTTATATTAACGTTTTAGAGTGTGGCTCACGCAGATTCGTCCCATCCAGACAGACGGGCTGAGTGCTGGTCTGAATGCCACAAAGACAAAAGTTGATATCTTCTCCAAAACTATTTTATAAACCTTTAAAGTGCTTTCAAATTTGTTGAATAGTGTTATTCTAGCAGAAATATTATAATAATCATGCAGGGAGTTTTGCAGGCTGCACCAAAAGTGCCTAAACAAGCTGAGCTGCTATTTTACAAGCAATTAATCCCATAGGTCATGCATGACAAATGAATTATCTAATTTATTCAAGACTAGTTGTGTAAATAGTTGTTGGGATGACAGTAGCCTACTTTACAACTTGTTCAAATATCTGAAGTATCTCTTTACACTGATTTCCTTAAGAATAGCTCAAGCTACTAAATACCAGATTGTGTTTTTCTGATGCAAAATTTGAATGACACGTTCTGTCATTTTGATCTCCCAGGCATCTGGGTTGTGGCAAGGCAGACGGTGTACTCAGGAAGTGTGAAAGCATTCTGGAGATTCTGGAGAAAAACGATGAAGAGATCTTCACTGAGTGGAGAGAAGGGCTGGAGGAAATCTGCCAAATGCATCTCAAAGAGCCACTGCTGATGTTGGACACTGGCACGGGTCTCTACCAGGTTAACTTCAGTCCTGCTGTAAGCACAGAGCTCCATAATTCTACAGCAGACACATTAGTCGGAGTTTGAATATCTGTTTTTTGTTGATTGCAAATCTGCTCTGAGCCACCCACAGCCTCAGATTGTTCCTAACCTTCATAACATGCTTTTATCTGGGAACACATCTCACAATGACTCGTTCTTTTCTTATTAATATTTCAAAGCAAGTGACTTCAGTGAGTTTCTCCTTTATTATTTAGCTGCTGCCTCACATATGTTCACAGAGAAACGTTGTACTTGTTATTTTTTAAATATGATCGGTCACTTTGAGTTTAACATGCAAGCTAAATTTGAAAATGGTTTTCTACCCCTATTTCCTGCATAAGCCATTGATGGAAATTAAACGGGGAAACTCTTGGATTAAAAAAACCAGTCAACTGTACATCACATTGCCAAAACAGCATTCATGGACTCATCCATTTTGGCTCATGACAGGCTGTTGTTGACTTGACGACCAGGAGAGAGCCGAGTTCGTCTCGGCTAATAGGAGCTAAAAACTTATCAAACGTGTTTCATTTTCTTGCGACTGGCCGATTGCTGATTGGAAGCCGGTCGTGCGATGTTTATTGCTTCTTTTAACCCCCTGTATACTACTCCCTGGAAAATATTCTCACACGAGAGAAAGATCAGCTTTAAATAGGCCAGAAATTGCACTGTGTATGCCTGGTTGCAGCCAAGCAAAATGTCCAAATAGCAGGAATTAAGACTCCATATCCTGCCGTGTTCTGCTCACTTCTAATCTGGCTCCCTTCTTATTTTTGAATGGGAGCACCAGAGGTTTTTTATCACTGAGATTGAGGCATTTATTTGTACTAGAGACCACATTTACTGTGCTCCTGTGGCTCATGTCATTAGTTTTGGCTACTTTAGCAGCTGTAACTGCTGTGAGCTAATGCCCAGTCTGTGTCACATATGCACACATCCGTTCATTTTGTGTTTTTTTTTTCCTAAACACAAGTCCCACATGTGTTTAAGTCTATTTCTCTTTTCTAAAACCAGTTGTGAGCTATTCACATCTCTGAATTCAAACCAGTAAAGTGATTAATTACTCTAATTAAACTACAGTCAACTAACAATATTGCAAGTTATTTTTTTTTTCATTATTATTATTGATTTCCTCAGCTGACATCTGTGCTGAAGGAGGTAAAATACCTGGGCATGATGAAGAACCAAAACATTCCCAAAGCAGCTCTCCAGCTCTATTCCAATCAGGACCGACTTTACATGGTGGGTAAACAGGCTCACTTATGACAAATTAAGTGATTCATGTTCATGCTGAACTCTGTCATGCAGTACACACAGTCATTGACCTTGGTGACCCAGTGGTACAACAAGCTCAACAGCACCATCCTGGCTGTAGAGCTAGGCTTAGTGAAAGGCGAGATGGACGGAGTGAGAGAACAGCTCAGTCCGGCCCTCCAGAAGCTGATCTGGGCTCAGGATGACCTTTGGGACTACATTCAGGGTACACAAGAACTGGTCAAGGTACTGGTGATCATTCAGACACTGTGTTAAGATGTGTTTTTGCAGAGAAAAATAATCTTTGTTAAAATATTCAGTTTCTTAAGTGGTGATTGCAGAGGGATTAGGATTACAACAAGGAAGTATGAGAGTTAAAACAAAGTCAGAAATCAAGTAAAATCAAAAACAACAATATAAAACTACAAGAAATCAATCAAGGATTAAAGCTGTCATGACTGATCTACAGAAAAAGCTAGGTTTTGAACACAAACATCCCTCCCCTCAGGTATTTTCCCTGAGAAGCTTCTGCTGGAACCAGAAACCCGCAATGCTGGAGCAAACGAGATAACGCTGAACACCCGTCTGTTTTCTAGATCCAAGCATCTTTTGTTGACCTTGACTTCAAATGGTGTTTTTCTTTATGGGACTCTGGTAGTTTGTCCTAAAGTTGAAATGATAGCAGCTGGCTGTTTCTCTCTCTCTGACATTATTGAGTGGAGAACCTCTCACACCAGTGGAGGACCCGGGGAAGTTCAACGAGACAACAAACATATGGTCCAATAGTTTCTTGCGGTTCGAAACGTGTCATTGGCAGAAGTCTTCAAATGCGAGAGAAACACTTTATTAATTTTTTAAATTTTTAATCTCCACAATATATTGATAGCTATACTGTGTTTGAATGTTGTTGAGAGGCATGAGAAAAGTGTTTTAAGCTCAGTTGTTTTCTAATTTTGCCATTGTGGCTTTAACAACTGAAGAATTGTTGAATAAGTCAATAGTAACTGCCTTTGGAAGACATCTATTGTGTCATTTGACGTTGTGATAAGTACTTTTATATCTTGTTTCTTTTGCCAGAGTCTCTCCACTCGAGTGAAGAGGAGTAAAGCTAACATTGAAGCCATTCAGGCCCTCCTGGGTAAATTCAGTAACCAGGCTTTCATCACCAGAAAAGGTCTCGACCATCCTCTCCTCAGCTTCTCTGACATCAATGAGAACATTTCTAGACAGCGAGCCCTCATTAGCAGCATGGGAGAGCAGATGCACAAACTACTGCAGGTTTGTTCACATTCTGTAAGAAAACCATAAATATGTGAACCGTTTGTGATTTTGTCCTTTTATCTCTCGCTCGTGTCCAGGAGAACCAGTCCCTGCTTGGTGTGACAGATCAGGACAGCAGTGAGTGGCAGGCATACACGAATTACGTGGACCAGATGATTGTAGCCGGCTTCTCCAGCGCAGTCCGTTGCTCCCTGCTGTACATCATGGACAACACAGACTCCGCACAAAGCATCACACCACTTTTTGAAATCAAGCTGGTGCTCGGCTCTAATGAGATGACCTTCAATCCATCACTGGACCTAAGTCACAGTGGCAACTTCTACGATTTTGTGGATGAAATGGTGGATAACATCACATGCATGGCTTCCTTCATCCCCAGAGTGGCCCCCCACACACAGCTGAATGACTATCAGGTGGTACACAGACTAGATTACATCTCTGAAAAGTGCATGCACACACTAATAAACTGAAATCCCTGACATGCGCAATCTCGATTCCTTATCTTGTAGGCTGACATTAATGAAATGGAGGATTTGTCAGAGATGTGTAATATAATTCGATCACGCACCCGTGCAGCAATCGCTAAGGTATGTGTCCTTATTTTCCCATCACCCATCAAGTTTTTTTTATTCTACAAAGTAAACATTGTGTTTATTTTCAGGTCAGGGAGTACCAAGCCTCGTTTTCCAGCTTCCGCTACCTTTGGACGGATGATAGGTCAGATGAGTCCACGAACATCCCCTAAGTGCCAAAAAAACAGTTTCAAGTGTTTTGTCTTCCTTCACAGGTCTGAATTCATGAGGCAGTTCCTGCTTTATGGTCACGTTTTAAGCACAGAGGAAGCTGAGCTGTATGCTGACTATGAACTCAAAAAGAACCCACCGACTCTGGACAACTTTAAAGTCCAGGTGTGTTTTGTCATTCATTCCTGCTTTATCCATCCATCCAATCATTTTCTTCCGCTGATCCGGAGTCGGGTCACTGAGGAAGCAGCCCAAGGCGTTCCCTGGCCAGCCACGAAACATAGTCTCTCCAGCGTGTCCTGGGACTTCCTTTAAGTCTTCTCCCAGTTAGACGTTGTTATATCTCTCTGTCTGGAAAGGGGTGAGCTTCTACTGTCCCCCTCTCTTCCTAAGAAGAGTGGGAGGCAATCCCAGAGGTACCGACTGATCAAAGGGGATAAAATGTACCAAAGCAGCACCCAACAGAATTACACAGCCTAGGGCTTCTAATGCCGCTGTTTACAAAATGAAAGTCTTCCCGTTTCGGGGTACTAAAAAGGGAAAACTGAAAACAATCTGTCTCCGAACTGAGTACAGATGAGAAGTAGCTCATTTTGAACTTAAGTTGCACTCACGTCTCTCAAACGTCTTCTAGGACACATAGAATGACGCAAACGAAATAAATGAGACGTATAATCTCTTTTATTTACTAAAACACTTATTGAGGTAGCTACACAGTAAATGTGCACAACAAAGCAGCTACGGAGACAAGCTCAAGGTTAAATAGTCGCTCCCCGACGGAGTGTCCATGAACTGCTTAAATCACGGTTGAAGAGGTGAGAAGAGCAATTAGTTCATTTGCTGCAGGTGTGGTTCCTGATCCGCGTCCCGGAGACTCCTCCCCTCGGTGGAGCCGCTGTCACGTCCTTGTTGTGGAGATCTCCCGCCGTTGTCCCAGCAACCCTGGAACTCCTTGCAGCAGGAGCTCATGCCAGTCCCCACACTTTCCTTCTCTGCTCCTCCATGGACCCGACGTTGTGTGAAGTCCCTGGTAACACAAAAAAACAATTACTCCATTCACAGACGCAGCGCATAACAGACATGTCCAGGAAACCTCACCAGGGAGATGGCATCCTAATCACATGCCTGAGTCACTTCAACTGGCTCCTCTCGATGTGGGGGAGCAGCAGATCTACTCCCCCTCCCGGATGGCCGAGCTTCTCACCCTACCCAGACAGCCTGCGGAAAAACTCAATTTGTCCATGATCTCATTTTTTTTGGTCACTACCCAAAGCTCGTGACCATAGGTCAGGGTGGGAACGTAGATCAGCTGGTAAATTGAGAGCTTCACCTTCCGGCTCAGCTCTCTCCACCACGACAGATCGGTACAACGCCCACATCACTGCAGACGCAGCACCAATCCGCCAATCGATCGTGCGCTCCAGCTTTCCCGCACTCTGTAACAAGACCCTGAGATACTTAAACTCCTTCACTCAGGATAGGACCTCATCCCTGACCCGGAGAAGGCATTCTACCCTTTTTCGACTCAAGACCACGGTCTCCGATTTAGAAGAGCTGATTCTCATCCCAGCTGCTTCACACCCGGCTGTGAACTGCTCCAGCTAAAGCTGGAGGCCACTGTCTGATGACGCCAACAGGACCACATCATCTGCAAAAAGTAGAGACTCAGTCCTTTGGCCACTAAAATGGATCCCCTCAACACCTTGGCTGCGTCTACAAATGCTGCCAATAAAAGTTATGAACAGAATCGTTGACAAAGGACATCCTTGGTAGAGTCCAACTCACATGGGAAACGAGTCCAACTTACTGCTGGCAATCTGAACCAAGCTCTGACACCAGTCATATAGGGCCATAATTGCCCATATCAGAGGGCCTGGTACCTCATACTCCCGAAGTAACCCCCACAGGTCCCCCCAAGGAATGTGGTAGAACGCCTTGTCCAAATCCACAAAATCCACATATAGACTGGTTGGGCGAATTTCCACGCTCTCTCCAGGACCCCCTAAGGGTATAGAGCTGGTCCAGTGTTCCACGGCCAGGACAAAAACCGCATTGTTCCTCCTGAATCTGAGGTTTGACAATCTGTCAGAACTTCCTCTCCAGAACCCCCAAATGGACTCCACCAAGGAGGCTCAGGAGTGTGATCCCCTTGTAGTTATTTTATTCTCTACAGGAACACACCCTGCGGTTCCCATTTTTAAATAGGGTGACCACCACCCTCTGCAAGCTTTGCCACTAAGTAGCCTTTTGACCACCTCAGTGACTTCAGCCCCAGAGATTCGAGTTCAACCCAAAATCCCCAGATTCTGCTTCCTCACTGGAAGATGTACCAGTAGTATTAAGGAGGACATTCCTGCTTTAGCCTTCATTAATTGATCTAGCTTTCAGAGATCTGGTTAGTAAAATAACAGGGACTGTTTCATTCCTTCATCTAGATCAATCTCTTTGAGTCCCTGCATGTACGAGTGAGCAAGATGGACGACATGAAGGTGTTTTGTGGTTGGCTGCAGCTGGACAACAGACCCTTCAAGCACTCACTGATGAATGTCATCAAGAGGTGGAGCTGGATGTTCAAGGAGCACCTTCTCAATCATGTGAACCAGAGGTTAAACACAGAGGAAAAACACATAACTCAATAAGCATGTCATGAAATCTAACTCCATGTTCATTCTTCTGTTGCTGCAGCGTGAGAGATCTGTCCAGTTTTGTCGAAGACACGGCCAAAGGTCTTTCTACGAAGGTGTCAAAAGGGGATTACGCAGGGCTGGTGGGCATAATGGGACACCTTATGGCCATACGAGATCGACAGATCAGTAACGAGCAGCACTTCAGACCCCTCAAGTCCACTTCTGAGCTTCTCAAATCCTATGGACAGCAGCTTCCAGAGAGTGTCTACACACAGCTCGAAGCACGTAACCCAACACACACAATTTTGTCACGCACAGAAGCTGATTCATTAATGCATTAGGAAATTTCACAGTTAAATTCAGCTTTAATGGCCAACTTTACTGAGAAATCGTTTCTTTACTTATAATTTTTAAATACGATTGGTGACTCTGAGTTCCATACGCAGACTGAGCGTTATAAATTAATCTACTTCCCGTATTTCCTGGATCAGCCGCCCATGGACGATGCATGAGCAAAATCTCGGATTAGGAAAGCCAGTCAGGTCTATGTCACGTTGAAAATTAGCCTTCATGGACTCACCCATCTTGGCTCACGATAGGAAGGCTGTTGTTGATTTTGCATCCATGGGCACTGAATCAGTAGAGCAGATCATGTCATGGCTAGTAGAAGCTAACTGTTAGCATTAGCGACTCCATAACACGACAGAGCTCCTTCAGGCTTATGTTAGCAGTGGAGATAAAGTATTAATGTTGCAAAGCACACAGAATGAGTGGCAAGGTTGCTTTGCTGTTAGCCAATCAGAAATAAGATGTCTGAATATCAGGACATAGTACTAAACCTGCCGTCTGAAGCTCCCAACTCCAGTTTGATAAAACAGGAGTGTCACAGCTTTTTGTCCCACAGATATCAACTGACAAGGCATTCATTTGCTTACTACTCTGCAAATTTGTTGAAAACTTTTTTTTAATCCAACCTAAATGCCTACAATTAAATGGCTATCATGCATGCTTCTTCATACTACTACAAAATTATTTTATAGAAAAAGTAAAAAAAAAATTCCAGCCCTTATGCTTTTGGTGACAAATAAAAACTTTTGAAAATGCTGATTTAAAATAGCTTTAGCTTAAAAGCTTAGTGTTTTTTACATATATTTAATTTCCTTATTTAATTTAAATGATCTTGTTCATTTATTTTATGATCTTTCTTTGTTTTATGATCTTTTTTTTCATGATCCTTTTGTTTGTTTTTGGTCTTTTATTTTTCATGTGATTTTCTTTGTAAAGCTTTTTTTTCCGTGAGAGGTGTGCTACATAAATAAACTTTACTTACTTGCTACATATTTCAAAATATAAATTATTCATCAATTCATTACATTTTTCGATTTTTTGTAACAAAACAAGGAGCTGCCTGAAAAGTGGAAAAGTCTCAGAAAAATTGCCTTCACGGTCAAACACGAAGTGGCACCGCTGCAGTCCAATGAAGTTGCCGTCATACGTAGGAAGTGTGTGCGGTTTGAGGTGAGGCTGAGTGTGAGCAAGGTAGGGTGTCAGTCCTGTTGCCCCTAACAAAGAGCCTGACATCTGATATATTAAACCTTCACATTATCTTTCCTGCATTATAGAAGATACCTCACGTCCTACTGCCTGAACCTTTATACATAGAACAAAGGGCGCAGGAATCCGTGATGCCTGAATTAACAGTTTTTCACATTTCAGGTGAAGCAGTACGAGTTCAGAGAAAAATTTCGAACTGAATCCATTTTTAAGATCGATTTGAAGGAGCCATATCAGCTGATTGATAAGGTGAGCTAAGGAAGGAAATTCCTTCACAAACTAAAACCAAAACAGTGATTGCTGCTAAATTAGTCCCGATTAAAGAAAATCTATCAAGCAAACAGACCAAGTTGTTTTTCTCAGTGTAATCGGTCAGTAGCTGGGATGGAGATGGAAATGAAGAAGCTGCAGGACACGGCTGATCTGTTCGAGGTCAGCTTCCCAGAGTATAAACAGCTGCGCCAGTGTCGCTCGGACATAATCCTTGTCAAAGCAGTCTGGGACATGATCGTCTTTGTCAGGGTATCGTAGTTTTGTTTCATGAGAGGTCATTTGATGTTCCACTTCCTTTCTAAATTCTGGGATTTACAATCAACCAATTTGCCACTCTTAGACATGTATAGAGGACTGGACCAAGACTCCATGGAAGGAGATCAATGTGGAGCAGATGGATATGGAGCTGCGGCGGTTTGCTAAAGTATGAGACTCCTCTGTGGACAAACTGTTATCCTGTTTGAAAATGATATTAAAATAAATTTGTCCCTAACTTGGAAATGAAGCATTTCCATTCTGTGCTGCAGGAAATGAAGATGCTAGATAAGGAAGTGCGAGCATGGGATGTCTACGCAGGGCTGGAGTCAACTGTGAAAAACATGCTGACCTCTCTGAGAGCTGTCAACGAGCTGCAGAACTCTGCCATCAGGGAGAGACACTGGCAGCAACTCATGAACACCACTGGGGTATGAAAGAGTGTGCTTCGGCTCCCCAAAGTTCATCACTGCATGAACGCATCACAATTATTAGAGAAAAACAGTTTTGCTGATTAAAAAACTCACAATCACAGAATGCAATACTCTTGATCCTTAGGTCAGATTTGTGATGGGAGAGGGCACCACCTTGGGGGACCTACTGGAATTACAGCTTCATCGAGTGGAGGATGAAGTTAAGAACATAGTGGACAAGGCTGTGAAAGAAATGGGTATTGAGAAGGTAGGATGCAGTAGAAGTTTGTATCTGACGTGTATAAACGCAGTTCTCTTTGAGCTGAAGTTTGAAAAGTATTTTCTCATTTGAGCAAAAGGCAAAACATTTGGGAGAAGATTGTCAAAAACTCTACTTTATTATTTGTGTCAGTCTTCCTTTTTCTTTTGAAGAAGACACACAATTGACAAGATGAGTAACTGTCAATGTTGTGTATTTTATTTATTTTTTTGTCATTTTACTTATTTTTGCATTTTCCTTTCAGATTTTGGCAGAAATAAGTCAGACTTGGAGCGTTATGTCGCTCTCATATGAGACTCACACCAACACAGGAATCCCTCTGCTAAAAGCTGATGAGAACCTAATCGAAACACTGGAGGACAATCAGGTCTGTTTTTCACAGTGCAAAAGAATAACTACTTCCTAAATGCTTTCAGGTCAGGAGGGTGAAGGTTTCACATCTTCCGTTTGCAGGTGCAGCTGCAGAACATCCTGATGAGTAAATACGTGGAGTATTTCTTAGCAGAAGTGAGCGGATGGCAGAAGAAGCTGATGGTAGCAGATCTGGTCATCTCCTCCTGGATGTGCGTCCAGAGAACATGGGCTCACCTCAACAGCATCTTCACAAACAGCGACGATATCCGCATCCAGCTGGCTCATGATGCCGAACGCTTTCAGGGAATACACACTGACTTCCAGGTAACGGTGCAAACCAACATACTATACTTTTATCATCTTGGTAAATGGTAAATGGCCTGTATTTGATATAGCGCCTTCTAGAGTTCTTGAAACCCCCCAAGGCGCTCTACAACACAATCAGTCATTCACCCATTCACACACACATTCACACACTGGTGGGGATGAGCTACGATGTAGCCACAGCTGCCCTGGGGCGCACTGACAGAGGTGAGGCTGCCGAGCACTGGCGCCACCGATCCCTCCGACCACCACCAGCAGGCAACGTGGGTTAAGTGTCTTGCCCAAGGACACAACGACAGTAACAGACTGAGCGGGGCTCGAACCTGCAACCTTCTGATTACAGGGCGAGCGCTTAGCTCCTTTGCCACCGTCGCCCCGCATCTTCATCAAATAGCAAGACCCAGAGGTCTCATGTTCAGACAGGACCTCATTCATGCTCATTCATGCTTTCATCTCCAGCAGACGGGACTATTGCAATAGTCGTTTGTCTGGTCTTCCCAAAAGAGCTGTGAAGCAACTGCAGCTCATTGCTGCTGCTAGAGTCTTAACAAGAACAAAGAGAACTGAGCACATCACTCCTGTTCTTAAGTCTCTGCACTGGTTACCAGTAAATTACAAAAGTGCTACTACTAGTTTATAAATCACTCAATGGCATAGGGCCAAAAATACATGTTCCACATCCTTTCAGTATCCACGCCCAGCAGGGCTCTGAGGTCCTTAGGAAGCAGTCAGCTGGTAGAGCCAAGCAGCGTGAAGCTGCTTTTAGGTATCATGCTACACAGATGGAACCAGCTTCCTCAAATGTGCCCCAACTCTGGTGCCTTTTAAATCAAAATTGAAAACTTTCATGTTTCTTATGCTTTACCCTCTGCACTGTAACTGTAGCCTTGCCTGCCAGACTCACCTTCTGTCTATTCTAGACAGAGGACGAGTTTGGATACTCAGAAGCAGAGGGCACCAACGGGGCGGGACTAGTCAGCTCAAAAACAACCAATCAGAAAAAAGGCGGAAATAATGACTGTACCATGCAACGCTTTAGTTTTTGTAGTCAAAGATGGCGTTGGACGACTTTGCAAACATCTTTCTTTAAAAGAAAGGCTTTAGCGTTTTTCTTGTTGTGATTTTAAAGATATGTCCAAGTCGTTTAGAAAAGAACAACGCGCCACAGCGAACTCCACTTCAGATGCCGTGTTCGTTGTTTATGAGAAACTGAGCATCGCGATGTGTGACGTATGCTGCTCAGCAGTCATTGGCTCACTTAGAATTCTCAATGGGTGGGGTTATTTGAATAGGAGCGTTACCAGGTCCTTTGCTTCCTACACAGAAGCATTGGCATGGCTGGCCAGGCTACTGGAACTACTCAGTCTTTAAATTTGCCTTTTTATCTTGTTCTTACAAATAATGTTAATTGTGTATTTAAATTGGATCTAATTATTTTTGTGTATTTAGAATCTTTAAATTTGCTGTTTTATGTTGTCACGTTGATTTTAATGTTCATGCTGATCTTGCTCAGGGAAAGCACATTGAATTGTATGAAATAAACATTTATACAAATGATCTGTCTATACTTCCATTTCATTGCATCAGATGGATAGAAGGATCTTCTTTTTAAAAATGTTTTCTAGACATTGATGACTGAAGTGGTGCAGAACAGTAACGTCGTCAATGTGACCAACAAGCCGGGCTTCTTGGAGAACCTGGAAACGTTACAGCAGAGGTTGTCTGTGTGTGAGAAGGCCCTAGCTGAGTATCTGGAGACTAAGAGACTCACATTCCCCAGATTTTATTTTGTCTCGGCCTCAGATCTGCTGGAAATCATCTCCAAGGGAACGCAGCCCAGACAGGTGACATTGAACAAAAAGGATTTTTATTTTCCCCAGCAGCCTCGCATGCTGCCATTAGAGCTACATATCATTTTAATTCCTATCTCTAGGAATGAAAAACAACGTCTCTGTTTGAAATTCATTATTATCTGGATTTTCGTTGTTTTTAGGTGACCAGACATTTGCTGAAGCTGTTTGACAACATAGCAGATCTCCGCTTTAAGGATTCAGATGTAGCCAACGATGGGGGTGAAGAAGGAGTGGCGGTGGCCGTGGGCATGTACAGTCGAGAAGGAGAATATGTTTCCTTCTCAGAGCCATGCACCTGTGAAGGACAGGTAATAAGATCGGAGGCAGAAAAAATATGAATTTCCCTTTAGATTTACACATTAAAATCACTGTATTATGACTATTGAACTAAAATGAATGAGTACAGGGCTCTTGTAATCTTTCTAACTCTGTTTTGATTTGTCGAGGTATTTTTGTGGTTTTCTCCAGGCAGAGTGCTGGTTAGGTGCTTTAGAGAGCACCATGCGCTGCACAGTCCAAAAGGAGATACAGGAAGCTGTAGCTGCTTATGAGGATAAACCACGAGACCAGTGGCTCTTTGACTACCCTGCACAGGTCTGATGAGGAATCAACTTTAAAATCAGCAAAACACACTCTTTATCATTTGTGGGTTTCATCTTCCTCCGTAAAAGGTGTCGTTAACCGGTAGTCAGGTGTGGTGGGCCACAGATGTGGGGATTGCGTTTGCAAGGGTGGAGGAAGGGTTTGAGACCGCTCTCAAAGACTACAACAGGAAGCAGGTAGGACTGTAACTTCATATGTTTTTACATTAGGGATCATTTGGTAAGTGATGCTCTGGTTTCCTAGATTACACAGCTCAACTCACTGATCCATATGCTGCTTGGTGATTTAACTCCTGGAGACAGACAGAAGATCATGACCATCTGCACCATTGATGTCCACGCCCGGGACGTCGTTGCCAATCTCATTTCTCAAAAGGTAGTTTCTAACTTTTGTTAGTAATAGTTGTTTGAACCTCATGCTAATGTTACTTTTAACAGGTGGCGACTGGACAGGCGTTTGCGTGGCTGTCCCAGCTGCGCCACTGCTGGGATGAAGAAATGCAACACTGTTATGTTAATATCTGTGATGCTCAGTTTCAGTTCAGCTATGAGTACCTGGGCAACACCAACAGACTGGTCATCACCCCGCTCACTGACAGGTTAACACACACACGCAAACACACACACACACACATGTACACGCACGCACATAGACACATGCATACACACTCACGCACACACACATATGCATGCAGGCACACACAAGCACACACACACACACACACACACACACACGCACACTGTCACGGCCTTTATACTTGCAAAAAATACCATTTCCAACTAAAGGCCGTTGGTGAAAACAGGTGATTTCCTTTAAGCACACACTTTAGACTTGATTTCTTGCAAATTTTATAAATGGTTTATTCTTCCAAAAAATAGTTCAAAATTAATTCAAAATGTTCTACTTTTGATCAAATGAAAATTAACCTTAAATTAAATTATCAGTTCTAAAAAATGGTCAAAATATCATTTAACAAAATCCTCCCATTTTCCCTGACACTTGGCCAACAAACATTCCTTCATACGCCTCCCCATGTGCTACTAATAAGCTTAATGACTAAGGCGTGTCCAAAAATTCACAACTACATCAATTTGCCAAAAAACAAAAAGTTAACAAATTTAAATTGCAAACTTAACTTCTTATAAAGGGAATGAAAGTTATAACTAACAAATTTATGTTACTTTACTGAAATGGCCACCACACACACAGACACATGCATACACACTCACGCACACACACATATGCATGCAGGCACACACAAGCCCACACGCACGCACATGCACACACACACACATGCATAGAGACACAGACATGCACATGCACACAAGGTTCCATCCTAGGTCCATTACTGTTTTGCCCATACATCAATGACTTACCCAACAGCTGTAAAGGTGTCCATTGCCAAACGTATGCTGATGATGCCGTCATCTATGTAACCACAAAGACTCTGCAACAGGCTGCAAATTTACTGATTGAACAGATGGTGGGATTTTCTCACTGGTTCAAGAATAACCTTTTGACCCTGAACAACAGCAAAACTGTCTCCATGTGTTTTATGATCAAACACAAGATTTCTGACAACTTCACTGTCTTCACTGACCAGAAAGAAATCCAACAAGTGGATGAGTTTCAATAATTTTATAAACTTATCTGTTATAAAATTGACATTCACGTGTCTAAATGGCCTTGTCCCAGAGCCGGTGAGCAGACTGACGCTAGCAGCACAGGGGCTACAACCAGGAGTAGCCAGCGGAAGACAAAACATCATTTGGTCAGTCCTCGTTCTCATTTAGAGGACGTCAGATTTGGAACTATCTATATTTTGCAACTAAGCAGATAAAAAATGGCTGAAACAAAAACAAACTTGTGAACACTGATGTTTCTTATCAGCTAAACTGAGTTATTTATCAATTTATCGACTGTGTGGGGGTGGGGGTGGGGGGGATAAATGTGTTATAAACTAGGTTGAGGTTTGCAAATTAGCCTCTGGCTAGAAAACCTTTGTTGCAAAACAGTGGTTGCACTGTCCTTACATGTCACACTGCTTTTTGTGCTGTCCTTGTAAAATAAAGCCATACTAACACCCCCCCCCCCCCACACACACACACACACACACACACACACACACACACATAATCAATGTCGATAAAAAAAGTACTTTTACTTTAGAAACAATTTACAAAATATAGAGGATTAAAAGTAAAAAGTAGGTCTAAAAATTACCGAGGGACAGATACAGAAAATTTTTACTCAAGTACAGTAACTAAGTATTTTGTGACATTCCATCACTGCTCTCACACACTAATACACAAACACACTTTTGTCCCGGGACATCACTTAAAGAGTGGACCTTTGGGATTGATCTCTTACCGGTCATTTGTTTATTTTACCCTGATCCCACCACTAACAGGTGTTACATAACTCTGACCCAGTCCCTCCATCTCACTATGAGTGGGGCTCCATCAGGCCCAGCTGGAACTGGAAAAACAGAGACAACTAAAGACCTTGGACGCTCCCTTGGCATCATGGTGTATGTGTTCAACTGTTCGGAACAAATGGACTACAAGGTGGCACAAACGGCAGACACGTTCCTCCCGATGCTCATTTATTCCACCTGTTTTCACTGTTTCCGTGCGTCTTCAGTCTATAGGTAACATCTACAAGGGCCTGGCTCAGACAGGAGTGTGGGGATGCTTCGATGAATTCAACAGGATCTCCGTGGACGTTCTGTCTGTGGTTGCTGTCCAGGTCAAGACCATCCAAGACGCTGTACGCAACAAGAAGCAAAGGTATGCGTGTACCTGTCTGGTCTCGTTGCTCATGTGGTCTGAGCTGTCTCCCTGCAACATTAAACACTCTCTACATGCAGGTTTCACTTTCTGGGAGAAGAAATTGATTTGAAACCAACAGTGGGAATTTTCATCACTCTGAACCCTGGATATGCTGGCAGGGCTGAGCTCCCAGAGAATCTCAAGGCTCTTTTCAGGTCAGAAATATCAAGGGGGTAATGTGTGTTAGGACAACTCTATTCTATTTGGCAGGCTCAAACTTAATGTAACACATACCTGTTTTAATCAAAAGTTGTACTTAATGAATAAGCAGAGTTCCTGGACACAAGTGAAATTATAAGTAGGAAGGGAGTCTGGGTCATCACTGTCCTGAACCAATAAATATCAACCCCTCTGAGAGATATTCAGATTAGCCTAACAGAAACCACAGATTTCCTGTACGGTCATGGACGTAATTTTCACTTTAGAAGTGGGGGGGACACGTGTGTGTGTGTGTGTATGTGGGGGGGGGGGGGGTGTGGGGGGGGGGGTCTTTACAGTATGTTCTAATGGGAAACAGGCTTCAACACAAATGGTTGTTTTCTGCTTGGTCCTAGAGCTCAACCAGTGCCAATTTAATATAAAGTATTGGTAAAAAGTGCAGGGGTGAAAACTTGACTTTGGAGAAAGTGGGGGGGACATGTCCCCCCTGTCCCCCCCCCCCCCCAAAATTACGTCCATGTGTACGGTGAACTGTCTGTAATGTGTGACTGAGTACAAAATAAAGTATCCTGAAGCTCAAGTGATTTCCCTCCAAAGTCTTTTTCCGGAAAGGGGAGCTCCGTCTGTTGTTGAGGTGACGGGCACGTCCTAAAAGGGGAAATAAGGAGACTTTTAGAGCTGGAGTTGAAAAAATGCCCACAATTTCTCATTTGTAGTTTTTTATTTTAACATCTAGACCCTGTGCAATGGTGATCCCAGACTTTGAGCTGATCTGTGAGATTATGCTCGTGGCTGAAGGGTTCATTGATGCACGTCTACTGGCACGCAAGTTTATCAGCCTCTACACTCTGTGTAAGGAGCTGCTGTCCAAACAGGTTTGTACCTCAAACATTAAAAACACATAAAACGTGTGTGTGTGTGTGTGTGTGTGTGTGTGTGTGTGTGTGTGTGTGTGTGTGTGTGTGTGTGTGTGTGTGTGTGTGTGTGTGTGTGTGTGTGTGTGTGTGTGTGTGTGTGTGTGTGTGTGTGAAGTTTAAGGACAACCGTACGCTGGAAAGACCTAGCAGGACTGATGTTTGATGCAGAACATCCGAGTTCTAACGTTGACTGTTTTTGTGCTCTTGAATCTCTCTTTATTGGTTTGTATTTCAGCACAATTACAGCAAGATCTTTTGAATAATGTGTTCTACATTATTTAGTATAGGGATGTGAGAAAATATTGATCTGGTAATCTTTTCCAGCTTTAGTATAGCAATATTCAAAAGCTGTGTATCTAATTTTTGGAACAATTTACATACAAACGTGTGTGTATTTGTTTTTCTTCTTTTGGTGCAATTCAAACACCGACCACTAGTTGACAGCAGTGTGCAATGGGTTTTGTTTCCGCCATTGAAATGTAAATACCTGTATTATGGTTCCGATACCTCATGTTAAACATGTTAAATTGATCAGTGTGGACTGTTTTTTGAATTTTCCTACAATAAATTCAGTCTAAAAAATCGCTAATATCATCTGACTGAGCGTATCGCAATATATTGTGATACATGGTATAATCTCCCCGTATCGTGTTACATTTCATATCTCCAGAATTTCACCAACACACACCCCTGTTATTTAGTGTCTCAAATGGGTCATTTTCCATGATCTTCAAGGATCATTATGACTGGGGTTTGCGAGCTATAAAGTCGGTCCTGGTTGTAGCTGGATCACTGAAGCGAGAGGAACGCAACAGGCCTGAGGAGCAGGTGAGCACAAATATCTACAATGACAGCAACTTTAGTTCACATAGATTCTCAGTTGCAATTACATGTAAAATTATTATTTTTGCTTCCTAAAACTCAATTAAAGTTTGTTTTTCTTTTTTTTTAATGAAGTGTCTTTAATGATTTATTCTCTTTTCCTCTTGATTTGAATATATTTGAACCAATTTTATACTTTTATTTATGTCTATTTTAGCTTAATTTACCTGTTTGTTTCATGCAATTGGGTGTTGGAATGTTTAATTGTGCTGTAGAAAGTAAGTGAAGTAATTAAATTGGATTTTGCTTTGTGTTATAATGAATGTTTCACCATAAAGGTCCTGATGCGAGCTCTGAGGGACTTCAACTTGCCCAAAATAGTGACCAGCGATGTGCCCATTTTCCTGGGACTGATCAGCGACTTGTTCCCTCAGTTGGATGTTCCTAGGAAGAGAGACGCCACTCTAGAAAACGCAGTTCGCCAGTCAGTCAGTGAGCTGCGCCTGCAACCTGAGGAGAGCTTTATACTGAAGGTGCCCCATTCACTTGATGGAAAACAGTAGAGAATCTGAATTATGACCTCATTGTAGTTACTGTTTTTAACAAAACTACAAGAAGACTAAAGGTCCCTACATTAATTTTTCTTTCTTGGGTGTTGACAGGTGACTCAGCTGGAGGAGCTGCTGGCTGTCAGACACTCTGTGTTTGTCGTAGGTGGACCGGGTACAGGAAAGAGTCAGGTTACCTTCATTATACTAAAAACATCAGTAGCACTGAGCCCAAAGTTTTATTCTCACTGAAATTCCTTGTTTGAATGAACGTGGCAATACAGCTGATTCCAGTTTCACTTATTCTGTGTCTTTTAGGCTGAGATTTACTGAGAAACCTATAATTCATGTTCTTTTTTAAATATGATCAGTAACGCTGAGTTTCATATGCATGTTTTAATGTGACAACTCATCAATCAACGTTGCATAAATGAGCAGGTCATGTCTATGTTGCTTTCCTTGGTCTTTAACACCTCTGTAGGATGTGCAGACTAGGGCTTTGTGCAGTGGGAATAGTCTCTAATAATAATCTCCATTTCCTGAATTAGCCGCAGACAAATGCTACGCTGTAAATTGGCACTCATGGACTCACCTATCTTGGCTTGCGATGGTGGAAGACTGTGTTTATTTAGCATCCAGGAGACAGTAGGGACGTTTTTTCAGTAATCAAGGACACGTTCATGTATACTGGACAAGTATGTTCTTGGCAAGGACGCCAGAGAGTCCATTCATACGGAAGGACGAGGACAGCATGTGGAACCGAACCGTACTCCGTTGCATCATGGCAACAAGCGCTGCTTGTTTCTAGCTGCGGTTAAACAACCTGACATAAAAATAAAAGTCTAGTTTGTTCCTTAACCCTCCCACTGTCCTAATGGGTGTGACCCCACGAGGAAAGTTGACCATTGAGCAGGATTGATGGTTTATCCCTTGAGGTCCACATGGCAGGGGTGAGGTGGTGCGGTGGTGCTCACTCCTAAAGAACAAAATAATAATGAAAACACAGTATTTGTATTATATTTGGCCCACTTTTGATTAAAATGACAGCATTTTCCACTGTTAATGAATTAAATTCATAACAACAGAGCTAATCTGCCTTTATTTTGATAGTGGGTTCGCATTTTGAAGGAATCATGAAAAAATACAACCCAAATACATGCAGCAAATTTTACAGGTTACACACAATTATTTACAGTAACAGATAACCTAATATTTCTTTATTAGTATTTCTGATATAACAGTCTACAGTTATTAGATTTTTCCTTTGACGTTTGGAGTATAATGGTTGTGATGCAATGCATTGTGGGATACTGTCCCAAGTCCACAGATGGATGCATTGATGCATCCTTGAAACAATGGGCAGAGCAAGAACTCATCTGTGAACTTTGAGCAAACTTGCCATTGATGATGTTGCACAAGGAAGTGAGTGCCCAAGCAACGGTCCAGAGCACATATCAGCGAATGGAGGCTAAGAGTTAGCATTAGCAACTCCACAACATGGCTGAACTCCTTCAGGCTTGTGTTAATTTTGGAGATAAAACAACAACGTTCAACTGTTTACCCAAGAAGGAAAAGCTAACGGAAGCAGCAGAAGAGTCACGGTGCTGTTAGCCGATCAGATGCGAGATGTTTGCATATGATGAAGATTGAAGAGTAAGACTCCAAATCCTGCTATTTCCTGCCCACCACTCCTCTGACTAAATTCTATTTCATGTAACAGGAGCACCACAGCTTCTTTTCCACAGAAAACCACACACGGCATTAGCTCAGGAGGTAGAGCGGGTTGTCCAGTAATCAGAGGGTTGCAGGCTCCCAGCTCCCTCCACTGATGTCTGTTGTTGTGTCCTTGGGCAAGGCACTTTACCTAATGTGCTTAGGTTGTTTATGGTCAAAGGGGTTGATGGCGCAAAATGGCAGTCTTGCCTCGGCACAAAATGGCAGTCTTGCCTCGGCACAAAATGGCAGTCTTGCCTCTGTCAGACTGCCCCAGGGCAGTTGTGGCTGCATAGTAGTTCACCATCACCAGCAATGTGTGAATGCATGAATAATGGAAAGCACTTTGGGTGCCTTAAAAAGTGCTAAATAAATCTAATTCATTATTATTTATACTAAAGACCATAAAATATTTCTTAAAATAATGTGTGCATGCTCACTTTAATCCTGCTTTTCAGACTTATTTGTGTGCACTAGAATTGACGATGTTTGGGTGGGTGGGTTACAGATATTGAAGACGCTTCACAAGACTTATTCAAACATGAAGATGAAGCCGATATGGAACGATATTAACCCCAAAGCTGTTACCACAGATGAGCTGTTTGGATATCTGCATCCTTCTACCAGAGAGTGGAAAGATGGTGAGAGACTTATGATTTAGGAGCAATATACCAACAAAGAAATGAAATATTAAAGCCCCAGTGTGTGATATTTTTACCAGTTTACTATCGAATCCTGTGTTTCCAGTTCACAAACTTGTCCTTTTTCTCAATATTTCTCAACAACATCAATTCTAAATAGTCCTCTCAACTTGAAATTATTCATTTTTAAATACATAAACTGTGGTCGACGCTCCATGGTCATCCACCATCTTAAAATACAGTAGCTGTTTAGAGACATATGAGCTTCATGTTGCTCGTTTGGGCTATGACTGTAACCTGAAAGAACCAGCAGAGGGCAGCAGTGCGCCCTGGAAGCACGGAGTCTGCTAATTCAACTAAGAAATAGAAAAGAATAGCTACACTGTTGCTGTACTTGTTAGTTTGAATAAAAAAATTGAATCAAAAGATATTAAATTTGTCAGTTTGTCAGTGAGTCACATTTTTTTCATCGTGATTTCAAAGGATTTCACACATGGGGCCTTTAATGAGACTATCTGTTTAAAGTACTTTCTTACTGATTCAGAGTCAGATTGTTTTTTAAAGGTGCGGTTGACTACTAAACCTTTTTTTTTTATTTCTGATTATAATCGGTCACTCTAGCCGTTTTTACAAAACAATGCCGTCAATTTGCCGCAACGCTGTGGTGGCATCAGGCAGCTTTAGGTCGTTTGTAAGTGGTCAGACCATGGCGGTAATATGGCGCAATCATGTACTTTTTATAAAAGATTAGGCAATGGTGGCATAAAGGGGGGGGGGGGGGGGGGGGGGTATGGGAGTGGTCTCTGCGATGCCACGAACTTTCGTTTGTCTTGGACAAAACTGGCTTTTTATTGCGATTGAAGCCTCGATCACTACTTTGTTTTAACAAGCCGCTCTTAAAGGTGTCTGTCCCCATCAGTCTCTAGTTATCTGAGATCCAGCTCTAATGGAGAGAAGCCGAAATTCACACAACGCCATTCCGGCATGGCGCGTTCATAAGACACACCGTTGCGGTAATATTGCGCCGATTTGCTGGCATGGTGTGTTGTGTAAAAAGGGCTTCTGAGTTTTTCATGGAGGCTGAATATGAAAATTGTCTCCTACACCTATCTTCTGCATTAGCTTCTGATAGAAAATAGATGGTGAAAATCTAGGATTTGAAAATCCTTACGGATCATCGTCACCATTCCAGACTCACGTTAGGGAAGGCTGTTGTTGTCTTGATGTTTGGGAAACAACAGGGGGCGTCTCGGCTAGTAGAAGCTAACCGTTAGTATTAGCAACTTCTCCACACAGCAGAAGTTATCCAATCCGGGCCAAGATGTCCAAATATCAGGAAATAAGACTCCAAAACCTGCCATCTAAAGCTCAGTTGTTTTGTGTTATTTACGCACAACAAATTGAGCAGATATTTTTCCTGTGAGAACGACTTACAAGGCATTCATTTCTACTAGCGACCACTGCAAATGTTGATTATTTGAGTTAACCACTCCTTACTTGATACTTGATACAGGTTTAACTTGTTTAGTTAAACCTGTACAAAGTATTTTCCCCTCGGCGATGTTGATTGACCGGTATGTTCCGCTCTTTTCTTTATTTTAGGTCTGTTCTCCTCTCTGATGAGAGAACTGACCTCAGTGGGCCACGGTGGACCCAAATGGATCGTTCTCGATGGGGACATTGACCCAATGTGGATTGAATCTCTCAACACAGTTATGGATGATAACAAAGTGAGTGTTGTCAGATATTCCTAGTGTTGGATGCTTTAAGTTGGGGCTGAATTGGTAATTGGTTCATGAATTACAGTCACACTCACTGCATGTGTTAGAGTTTTCATCCCAACATCTGTTTGCCCTTTCCAGGTTCTGACTCTTGCCAGCAATGAAAGGATCAGTTTGTCCTCTTCCATGCGTTTACTCTTTGAGATCTCCCATTTGAGGGCAGCTACTCCAGCTACGGTCTCTAGGGCTGGGATCCTCTATGTCAACCCACAAGACCTCGGCTGGACCTTGTGAGAATAACAAAAACCGTGAGGAAAGATCGCATGTTTCTGTTGTTTAAGTTTGATGAAGCGTGTTTCGTTTTGGTTTCAGTTATGTGGCGAGTTGGATAGACACCCGACAGGCTCAATCAGAGCGGGCCAACCTCACCATTTTGTTTGATAAGTATGTGCCCTACTGCTTGGAACAGGTCCGCTGCAACTTGAAAACCATCACTCCCATCCCAGAGAACAGCATGGTGCAGGTGTGGTCTTAAACCTTAACTTGGACAAGTATTCTTTTCTGGATCAAATCTTTTATTGAGTTAAATGTAGAACATCTCTTTTGTTCTGTCAGACTTTGTGCTCCTTGCTGGACTGTTTGTTGACCGAGGACAACACTCCAGCTGATTCTCCACGGGAACTTTATGAGCTCTACTTTGTCTTTGCCTGTGTCTGGGCTTTTGGAGGGGCTCTCTTTCAGGACCATGTGTGTGCACAAGACACCAAATCCTCCACGAGACAGCATGAAAACATTGAAGTGTCACATTTTTATATGAATTAATCATGTTGTCTTTTGCATAACTTCTGTTTCAGCTGAATGACTACCGCGCCGAATTCAGCCGCTGGTGGTCCAAGGAGATGAGAGCCGTGAAGTTTCCTTCTCAGGGTACCGTCTTTGATTACTTTATCGACCCCGAGACTAAAAAGTTTACACCTTGGAGTGAGAAGATGGTGCCATTTGAGCTGGAACCAGATGTTCCACTGCAGGTGAGTGACAGTACAAGAAAGAAGAAGAAAGAAGAAAATATCATTTCTATAGCGCCTCTCAAGATAAAAATCACAAGGCGCTTCACAAAAGCAAAAACAAAAAATATAAAAAATTGTAAAAATATAAAAAAGCATTTAGAAAATGTTTAAAAATATATGTAAAATGAGCAAGAATAAGCAATTGCGATTTAAAAGAAAAAATGTTAAGAAAGAGAGAGAGTGAATAGGAAAGACGGAAATCAGTGGATCCTGAGGAAGGTGGAATAGGTGGGGAGAGCAGAATAAAGAGAGAGTGGTGAAGAAGGTCATACAAAAGCTAGCTTGATCAAGTGAGTCTTCAGCTGCTTTTTAAAGGAGACCACTGAGTCCACTGATCTCACGCTCAGGGGGAGAGAGTTCCAGAGTCTGGGGGGCACAGCAGCAAATTATCTGTCACCTTTGGTCTTTAGCCTGGTGCGCTGCACAACCAGTAGGCTTTGATCACTGGACCTCAAGGACCTGCTGGGGGTGTAGGGACTAAGAAGATCACCAATGTAAGATGGTGCGTGTCCATGTAAGGCCCTATAGACCAGAACCAGGATCTTGAAATGAACCCTTAAGTTGACTGGCAGCCAGTGAAGCTGGAGGAGAAGCGGGGTGATGTGGGTGGAAGGACTGAAACACGTAGCAACAGCTTTAGTTTGATGAAAAATGAATGTGCTCTCATAAGTTTGGACTTGGGTGTTTTCAACACGTCTTAAGGCTGTGGTTGGCACTAAATGCACTGTGATTTATTATCGTGTGATTGTTCAGCAAAACAATGTTGATTTTATATTTCCTAATCAGATTGACGCAGTGATAGCTTGTTCTTGTTGCATTGTTGTGTGTCCTTTTTGTTTGTTTGTTTGTTTGTTTTTCTCTTTCTGAAGGTCTAGAAGCAGACTCTTGTTCATCAATGATTGTTGATTTCTGTGGGACCCCCCCCCCCACACACATACACACACACACACACACACACACACCCCTTTTGTCTTTTCCTTTCTTTTTTCCCTCTGTCTCTTTTTCTGGTCGGAATTATAAAGCATCCAAAAAACAATAACAATAAAGTTTTAAGTATCAAGCGTGAAATTAAAGCAGAAGCTTTGATGCTCTACCTGAGAGTAAATTTGTAAGGCTTGTCACCAGCATTCAGACATTAGTTCTGTTTGCTTCACAGCCAGACAGGACACGGGAAGAAAAATAAATAAATAAAAAGCAACAACTTTAATTTGATGAAAAATGAACGTAGAAACATCAGCAAGACAACAAACTCCCCAAAGTCTTCACACAGCAACACAAAAACATCACAGAACTGTTTGTGTCATTTGGTCACATCTGGTCTAATTCTTTCTTTCTTACAGTTTAGATAAAACTTAGAATTTTCGATTTTCACTATTTCTTATGTCATTACTAAGACGCCAGATTTGTGTTTTAATGGTGTTGAACACCCGTTTAATCAATACATTTGCAGTGGTCTCTGTAAAATGAATGGTTGCAAGTCGTACTCCTTCTAACTTTGATTGCTCTGCGACATGAAGGTTTTATCTCTGCAAAAACAGCCTGGAGGAGCTTCTGCTGTGTGGTGGAGTTGTTAATGCTAACAGTTCTGCTAGCTGAGACGTTCAGTGCTGTTTCCTGGACGTTAAAAGAACAATAGCCTTTCCTGTTGCGAGCCTAGAAGTGTGAGTCCAAGGAACCACTTGACGTAGATCTATCAGACTTTTCAAATCCTAGCATGTAAACGTCTATTTTCTATCAGAAGCTAATGCAGGAGATAGGTGTGGGAGACTATTTTCATGTTCAGCCTGCACGAAAAACTTTGAGTGACCGATCATAATCAGAAATAATATTTCCAGTGTTCCACACATTCAAAAAGCATTTTTAGAGACAAATACAATGGAGGCTGAATTAATAGCTTTGAATCAGTTGGACCTGCTCCAAATGCCCACCCCTAACGGTAGCATCATCACAATATCAAAAAGAATATTGCATGCTTTCCTGATATTGTGCAGCCTCAGTTTGCATAAATGTATCTTAAAACTGAGCTCTCTCTCGTGTGATTTTTGTTTTAGACTGTGTTGGTCCACACCCCAGAAACCATCTGTTTGACCTACTTTATGGACTTGCTGATCCAGAAAGGAAAACCCATCATGTTAGTGGGCCATGCAGGAGTTGGCAAAACCATTCTGGTGTCAGATAAAGTCACAAAGCTGAAGGAGGACTTTGTGGTGGCTAAAGTTCCCTTTAACTATTACACCACATCAGCCATGCTGCAGCGTAAGAACCAAATGAATAATAATGGTGTGCATAAAATGAAACCAACAGTGCAAATGCCATGAAATTAATTTTTATTTGTTGTTGTAATTGTTTGATGTTTTCTAATTATTTCCATGCCTTACTTGAAGTATTTTCAAAAAACGTCGTGTCTTTATTTTATTCTCGAACCAATTGTGTGAAGATAAAAGCAAAAAAAACCTTCATATAAATGAAGTAAAATATAATTACCCTTGAATATGTGATTGTTTAACCTCAATTCACCCCGAAATCTACGTATTTTTTACGTTGTTTTTTTGTTTGTTTTTGTGTGTGAGAAAATGTCTCTAAGCAGTTTCCAGTTTAATTTTTTTTCAAAATTTCACAAATATACCACACTCTTCAGGTGTGCTGGAGAAACCTTTGGAGAAGAAAGCCGGTCGAAAATTTGCTCCTCCCACTGCTAAGAGGCTCATCTACTTCATTGATGACCTCAACATGCCAGAGGTGGACGTTTATGGGACCGTCCAGCCACACACACTCATCCGTCAGCACCTTGACTACAGCCACTGGTAAAACTGACGAGAGGCAATAACTCTGTGAAAAAATTGATTTACAGCCAGCATGACCCAGAGTTTGGTGGAACAGTAGACTGTAAATGTAATCCTTTAGGTATGACAGACAAAAGTTGGTGTTGAAGGAAATACATAACTGCCAGTACATCACCTGTATGAACCCTACAGCTGGAAGCTTCTCCATCAACCCCCGACTACAAGTACAAGCTGGCACACTACCAAAATAACACGACACATCCAATTTTCTTGACTGTAAATGGAATTTGGGGCTAAATAGGTCCTTAATGGTTTTCATTTTTCCCGTTTCTTTTTCCAGAGGCATTTTTCTGTCTTCGCAGTACATTTTCCTGGTGCAGAGGCATTAGCTACCATCTTCTCCAGCATCTTGTCTGCCCACTTCCTTCAGGGAGGATTCAGTTATGGAGTCTCGCGCTCAGTTGGAAATCTTATTCAGGTTCAGCCACACGCCTCTGGAAAACATTTGTCCACTTTGGAGCCATTTAAATTCATGACCCACACATTTGATTTTTTGGATGAAATTCTGTGTTTCTGCTCACCCAGGCGGCTATATGTCTGCACCAAAAGATCAGCCAGAACTTCCTCCCTACAGCAATTCGCTTCCACTATATCTTCAACCTGCGAGACCTCACCAACATATTCCAGGTAATAATTACAAAAAGTAACAATGCTAAATGTGCATAAATGTAATTATTGTTGAGTTTACTTTCTTTAAGCTGAATCATGGTGAATTATTTAATAGATAAAAGCCTAACTGTGGAGCCCAAATTGTTAAATAGAGCTCAGCTTTTGTTTGTGTTCATGCCGCAGACAAATTTTTAATATTTGGTTGTGTAGGGCATCCTGTTTGCCCTGCCAGAGAGCATCCGATACCCCATGGACCTGGTTCACCTGTGGCTACACGAGAGCTCCAGAGTCTACTCCGACAAACTGATGGAGGAGAAAGACGTGGAACTCTTCAATAAAATCTTGCTGGACACTGGAAAAAGATATTTTGAGGTATAGCAACACTAAATACATTTCAAGGCAGAAGGTAAAACTCTGCGTGTCATCCACTCAGGTTAGTGCTCTACAGCTGGAGGACATACAGAATGAGAAGAGCTCCTGAGCAGCGTTCCAGCTCTCCTGCTTCTCCCTTCTACTGGTTAAAAGTGGAATTACAACTGTCGTAAACAACCCTGCTGAAGGCTGCTATGGCTAGCTCTAACAATGAGCTAACACTACATGAGCTAACTAATACTGAATAATCCACAAAGCAAAAAGATTCACAGTGCAAGACTAAAAAAATATAGGTCACCCAACAAAGCCAGGTCACCATCAGTTTGTGATTTCCTAACCTCCTTCAACTCCCTCAAAGGAGTGTAGGCTGCACTGATGTTCACTCTGATTTCAGCTCTTTGCTTCGTCACCAAAGACATTACTCTCTTACTTTTACTTCCGGGATCGACCGTGATGCCAACAAAAAAGACAAATTCTTCTTTTTCTTCTTCTTGTGATGTTTATTACTAACCGTTAGCCGTTATATGAGCTACTGACACAGTAAACAACTGTTGGCATAAAACAGATAGAGAGCTCCCACCAGTGTTCCTACCGGAACCACAAAACTGTAAAGTGCAGTTTCTGGTCTCCAGAGCACTGTCCGATGTCAAGTAGCTTAAATTTCTGCCTCAAGAAGCACTGAAACCAGTTTGAAAGCAATAGTTCAAAATGTTTAAAACTCTTTAGTGCCTCTTTAAGTGATATCCATGCATGCTTGTTTATTGTTTTCTTGTTTTTGCCAAACTTTTTATTTTTAGGGCATAGACGACTCCATCTTTATCCATCAGCCTTTGGTGTACTGTCACTTTGCCCAGGGAGCAGGAGAACCGCGCTATCACCAGGTAATCAGAGACTGACTATAAAAATCATTTTTTTACACTGAATTTATTTTTCTCACACATTCAGAGACTCAGATCACATCAGATCTCTAGATTGATGTTTGTTTGTTTTTCTACCACAAAAGTAACTTCATTTCTATGAGTATCTTGATTTAGCTGCATTTTTGTTATGTAGGTAATAATGACATAAACACAGCTGGTCTTATTCAAAAAAAGGCCACTTAATTTCTTGATTTGGCCTTCCTACCAGGCTTCAGACTGGGAGAAGCTCCAGAAGACTCTGGCAGAGGCTCTGGAGCATTATAATGAGCTGCACGCCGTCATGGACCTGGTTCTGTTTGAAGAAGCCATCCAGCATATGTAAGAGACACATTCAGACACCTGTTTATCTGCTGCGGCCAGACGCAGGCTAACATGCACAAAGAAGGATTTAAAGAGACAAGCTCAAATGTAAACCAGAGACAATGAGCATGCCACTCTGGTGTTTGGGTTCAGCTGTCGAATCAGCCGCATCCTGGAGGCCCCTTACGGTAACGCCCTGCTGGTGGGGGTCGGGGGCAGCGGGAAGCAGAGCCTGTGTCGGCTGGCAGCTTTCCTGAGCTCACTGGAGGTTTTCCAGATAACGCTGCGTAAAGGATACAGCATCAGTGATTTGAAGGTGCAATTACACACCAGCATTTGAAAACAGCTTCACTAAATCTTCTTTTGATTTAATTTCATGTTTTGATCTGCTATAATGATCTGCAGAGTGATTTAGCAGCTTTGTATATAAAAGTGGGAGTGAAGAACATTGGGACAGTCTTCCTGCACACGGATGCTCAGATCCCAGATGAACGCTTCCTGGTGCTCATTAATGACATGCTGGCCTCAGGTCCGTCCCCCCAGCTCTACTTGCGTTAAATCTGAGAAATTTACAAGGAATTAGAAAATCACACAAAATTTTAACCTGATCAACATTATGAATCAGTTATACCATGGAATGACTTTCCGTTGTGTTTTAGGGGATATTCCTGACTTATTTAGCGATGAAGAAGTGGATATGATTGTAGCATCCATCCGTTTGGAGCTGAAAGGATTAGGACTCATAGACAGCAGAGACAACTGCTGGAGTTTCTTCATTGAGCGAATAAGAAGACAGCTCAAGGTCCAAAGCAGCATCTGAGTTTTGGAAGTTGAACCCATTTTGAAGCATAATTAATGACTATCCAATATTTATTTATATGTTTTCCCCATTTTTGGTCATTATTTGTCCACCAGGTGGTTTTATGTTTCTCACCAGTTGGGTTCACGTTGCGTACACGTGCACGGAAGTTTCCCGCTCTGGTTAACTGCACGGCTATAGACTGGTTTCACCCCTGGCCTCAGCTTGCTCTGCAGTCCGTCAGCTCCACTTTCATAGAGAAGATACCCGGGCTGGAGGTGAGAACAAATGCGAACAATTCTCATTGGTAACCATTAGTTCCCTCTGAAATAACCCTACATAGTCTCATCACCTTTGCTGGTAGTATTCCATTTGGTTTTCTTTCTCCATCTTGAATGCAGTAGTTATAACCTGTTTAACCTTAACGCCCCCCAAATGGGGGCATCTACAGTTTCATGTCCCAAACATCTACAACTGTCCACATTCTCCAAACACAACTAAAACCACAATGAAACAGCCCAGATGGGAAACAAGACCATTTTAAATTGTAATAAATTAAGACACAATGATATTTGAACAGTATTTTAGAAGAGCATCTGACATTCTCTGGTGTCTGCTGGAAAAAAAAACCCTTGAACAAATTTAGTTGAGGACTGGAATAAACAAAACAATTGACTACATTTCCTAAATGGAATTTTTACTCACAACCTCCATCCTGTCAGCACTCTCACACAGGGCAGCTCTTCTGAAATAAAGTTCAAGTATTATTTTGTCTTAATGTATCAAAAACCAAAAATAGCTTTGTTTACAATCTAAACTGTTTTGATTGTAGTTGTGCTCGGAGAATGCAAACAATCACTGACACTTGGGACATGAAACTCCAAAGGCCCCCAACTGGGAGTCGCCAGGGCCCAAAGAAAAAAGGTCTAGGGCCTAGTAACGCTAAACAGTTTATTTTTATTTTTTACTTTAAGCTAGAGCTTTAACATTGATCTCAGTGATTGTTGGGTTAGAAACATGACCAGTTTCATATTTGACATGACTCTGCAGCCCTTTGCTGGCCAGATACTACACTTAAAAGTTTTAAGGAGGGGTGCTCTTATACCTGCATTATGGCTGCTCTCTTACTTTTGCTTCCAGACTGTGCCATAATGCCAATAGAAAAGAAAACCTCTAATTTTCTTCTTGTGCTTTTTATTAATGATTAGCAAATTGAAAAATCTAACTGCAAAGACAATAGGTAACGACCTTAATGCATGTATAAGAGCGGCCCCTAGAACACCTGCTCCACAAACTGTTAACTCATTCGCTGCCAGCCGTTTCCTGATCGGTAAAGCCCTTCGCTGCCAGCATTTCTCACCGTTTTTACTGTTTTTTTAAGAGTCACAGAACGTTTCCCGCTAGGATGATGTCAACTCCAAAACAACCAAAACAAAGTGGGAGACTTACCGCTTACATCAGGAAGAATCCGCGCGTTTCGAGCTTTATCCATTCTTTCATAATTTGTTGTTGAATTGTGATCGGCAGAAGCTTTTCCGGTTCGCGCCTCGCTTTTTTTTTTTTTTTACAGCAGCGGCCCAAAACAATCTCCTAACACATGGATTTTCTGTTTCCTGATCACGTGATGTGTGACGTATGCGGACTAAGATCGGGTTTAGAGCTGAGATGTTTGTTCTCACAGTGCGGGGTCTCGTTCTGATGCCCACACAGTAAAAAAAAAATGTAAACCACGACTTTAGTCGTCATGGGCAGTGAACGGTTGGATTTAAAACGACGACTTTAGTCGTCATTGGCAGTGAATGAGTTAAGTGCGTTAAAAAATATAAGTAAAAATATTAAGTGTTACTTTAACTTGAAGCCAGATCAGAGCAGAATGTATTCCTTTATCAAACCTTCATCATATCTATTTTTTGCTCAGGCCAAAGTCAGAGCATCTATCAGTGACTTCATCTCCTACGCCCACACAAGTGTCAATGAGGTTAGAGCAACTAGAGCAACGTACACAAGGACCATTTCGTCTGTTTGCTGTGATGACATCCTTTGATGGGTTGGTCTGTTAAAGGTAAGCATCAAGTACCAGCAGAACGAGAAGCACTTCAACTATACCACCCCCAAGAGTTTCCTTGAGTTCATGAAGCTGTACGACAACCTGCTGCGGAAAAAACGCACCGAGCTTGCCCAGAAAATGGATCGGTTAGAGAACGGACTGCAGAAGCTGCAGAATACGGCATCACAAGTGAGATCATTTCTGCATCAGGAAGCAATACACGCCATCATTAGATATCTATCCTTTCTGTGTTTAGTGCCTTAATACTGTATAGAGATGCAAAAGGTACGGTCTGATTTCTGTATCTGTCAATTCTCTGCTGTTTGTTATTTATTGCTGCTTTTGTCAAGTAATTTCAGTGACAACTGTAGTTTTCTGTTTCTTTAACAGAAGGACATCAACACTTATATTTAATCTTTTTCTCAGGTGGAGGATCTCAAAGCCAAGTTAGCGGTTCAGGAGGTGGAGCTGCTGCAAAGGAACACAGACATCGAGGCTCTTCTTGCTAAAATAGGACAACAGTCAGACAAGCTCAGCCAAGAGAGGGCCGTGGCTGACGCTGAAGAGCAAAAGGTAACCGTGTGGGACTGGAGGAGCTGTGGAGTTGCTTTGACCAGCCAAGAAGAGAAGAATGGCTTTACAATGGAACAAGAGACCTAATTATATCAAAATTCAAGATTATTTTCAAAAGCTCACAGAGTGAATGAGTGCTTTCCTATTTTTGTGTCTGTTCAGGTGGCAGCGATTCAAGCGGAGGTAACAAAACAGCAACAGGAGACAGAAAACGACTTGGCCAAGGCTGAACCCGCCCTGCAGGCAGCCAACACAGCCCTCAACACACTCAACAGGGTAAAGTGCTCCAACACACACAAACACTTATAGATCAGATACACCAAACGCTGTATTAGATTTATTTGTCACATTTTATTTCATTTACTTTATTAGATGTCTCTGTTGTCATCAGAACACGCATGTCTCCAACCTAACCTCCAAAACACAAACTCTGGAGTGTGTGTGTGTGTGTGTTTTTTTTTTTTGTTTCAGCTGAATCTGACTGAGCTGAGGACGTTCCCCAACCCTCCAGCGATTGTTGCCAATGTCTCAGCCGCTGTCCTGGTGCTGCTGTCTCCCCAAGGCCGGATTCCCAAAGATCGCAGCTGGAAGGCCTCCAAGATGGTTATGAGCAAGGTTAAATTTTACTGCTTATCACAACATCTCATCAATTCAGAGAAAAAAAAGCTGTGGAAATGGCCTCTTTTGGCATTTTCAATTATCATTATTCCACACTCCCAAGCTAATGTCTCTTTATTGTTTTATTAAAGTGAGTTCTAGTTAAATTTAGATTTCCTTGCTTGCCCATGAGCCTCCTTTACTTCCCGTTGCTCCACCAGGTGGATGACTTCCTGCAGGCTCTGGTGAACTTTGACAAAGAGAACATCCCGGAGGCCACGGTGAAGTGTGTGAGGGACGATTACCTCAGCGACCCTGAGTTCAATCCAGAGTTTGTGCGACAAAAATCCTCCGCTGCTGCTGGCCTCTGCTCCTGGGTGATCAACATCATACGCTTCCATGAGGTACGCACTCCAGAGGTCTTAAATATTTGACTTCACTTGAGCTAAATGTCCCAGTGACGTTTGAAAGGGCGCACCGCCATGTTGTTGTTATTGACAGCTTTCTTCCTCCCTACATTTGTGCTGCCGTGGATAGATTTTTGTGAGTAAATCTTCTATTTTCTTTTAAAACTTCAATCAGGATGTTTGGTCAGCATGACGTTAAAGAAAATGAACCGACTTGTATGCTTGAGTGCATTCAGGTGTTCTGTGAGGTGGCGGCAAAGAGGATGAGTCTATCTCAGGCTAATGCTGATTTGGCTGAAGCTGCAGAGAAACTAGAAGTCATCAGGAAAAAAATGGCTGTGAGTTTGCTAAGATGTCCTATTTATCTCATTTTGAATGTTATGTGCACACAGCAGATTCATTTACTGACCCAAAACATGATCAGAAAGAAGAAAGCAGAAGATGATCTACAGAGATGGCATGCACTTGTTGATTCATCGTTTTTTTTATTTCTTGCCACGTGAACCACAGCTGATGTCATTTTTTTAAAGATTTGCTTCATGACGTATATTTTTGTTTTCATAATTAATGTCCTATGAGCTGTTTGACTGGAGCATCTTCTCTGCTCAGGAGTTGGATGGCAATCTGGAAACTCTAACCACAGAGTTTGAGAAAGCCACAGCAGAGAAACTAGGCTTCCAGGAAGAAGTCAACCACACCAACAAGACTATCGAACTTGCAAATCGGCTGGTTAAAGGATTGGAGGTGGGCATCCATGCATGTGGCATCAGGAGATCTTTTTTCTTTGCATTACGAATCTACTTTAAAAAATTAAAATCTGTTTCAGAGTGAGAATGTGCGCTGGGCCCACTCCGTGGCTCAGTACCATGATCAGGAAGCAACCCTCTGCGGAGACGTTCTCCTGACTGCTGCGTTCATCTCCTACGCCGGCTCCTTCTCTAAGAAGTACAGGAGAGAGCTGCTGGAGAACCTCTGGATGCCATTCCTGCGCAGCCAGAAGGTCACAAAATATTCTTCCTAAAATGTTCTTTATTTGTAGAGGTCAACTTTGGACTTTATATAATGTTTTATAATGATTCGTATTCTGAACAAAGACACTTCTGTGTTTGTGCATCAGACACCAATTCCAATGATGGGCGACTTGGATCCAGTGTCGATGCTGACTGACGGTGCGACGGTGGCTCAGTGGAACAACGAAGGCTTGCCAGGAGACAAGATGTCCACTCAGAACGCCTCCATCCTCATTAACTGTGAGCAGAGATGTTCTCCATGATGGGTCAGGAGCAGGTTTGCTTTGTGTGAGCGTCTCTAGCTGATGGATCTTAATGTTCCAGGTGAGTGCTGGCCTCTTCTCATTGACCCTCAGCTCCAGGGCATCAAGTGGATCAAGAGTCGCTATGGTAACGCTCTCAAGGTTGTCAGCCAAGGACAAAGAGGGTGGGTGCATCTACCTTTGCAGCGCATACATGTTTTTTGACATTCGCACATTGCAGAAGCTATCAATGGCATTGCTTCTTCCAGGGAACAACTTTAAAATAAAGCCTTTGCAGGCAGAGTTGAATCCACTTATTCTGCAGCTGCAAAAGCACGCACACACATAGTCCTCTTTTATAGTCATACTTGTGAATGTTCTATTCTGATCCAGGTACGTTGACGTAATTGAACAAGCTGTGGTAGCAGGGGACATTGTGCTGATTGAAAACCTCGAGGAGACGATTGACCCCATCATTGACCCTCTGCTGGGGCGACACACTATCAAGAAGGGCAGGTAACAAACTCCCAAACAAATCAGCAAGCGAAACTTTTCCACTCCTCATAATTCCTCTCCTCCGTCCTGCTGCAGCTGTATTAAAGTAGGGGACAAAGAGTGCTTCTTCCATCCAAGCTTCAGACTGATTCTTCACACTAAGCTGGCCAACCCTCACTACAAACCTGAGATTCAGGCTCAGACCACCCTAATCAACTTTACAGTGACCCGAGACGGCCTGGAGGACCAGCTTCTGGCCCAGGTGGTGAATCAGGAGAGACCAGACCTCGAGCATCTGAAGGTAGGTCAGAATGTGTGTGTGTGTGTGTGTGTGTGTGTGTGTGTGTGTGTGTGTGTGTGTGTGTGTGTGTGTGTGTGTGTGTGTGTGTGTGTGTGTGTGTGTGTGTGTGTGTGTGTGTGTGTGTGTGTGTGTGTGCGTGTGCGTGTGTGTGTGTGTGCGTGTGTGCGTGCGCTCTGTCTTCTCGATCCCCAGTGAGTCGTGGAGGATGGCTGCTTATACTGAGCCAGGATTCTCTGGAGGTTTCTTCCTGTTAAAAGGGAGTTTTCCTCTCCACTGTCGCTTTATGCTTGCTTAGTATGAGGATTGCATCAAGTCACTGACACTCGTCAGTGACTTGATGCAATTTGCTGGGTTCCTTATATAGGAAACATTATTTCTGATTGGCTTAATGAACTGACCTGAATTGGAATGTTTATTATGTGAAGTGCCTTGAGACGACTCTTGTCGTGATTCGGCGCTATATAAATAAAATTTAATTGAATTGAATGATTTCCTCATTTTTTGCAGCATTCTGCTCTTCCACTTTCACTCCAGCAAACATTACCATCGTTCCCGGAAGACACATTAATGCTGTTTTGCATGATTTGTCTGCAGAGCGAGCTGACAAAGCAGCAGAACATGTTTAAGATTGAGCTGAAGCTTCTGGAGGACGAGCTGCTAACTCGACTGTCCGCTGCCGAGAGCAACTTCCTCGGTGACACGGTGCTGGTCGAGAAGCTGGAGTCCACGAAGCACACTGCTGCCGAGATTGAGCTGAAGGTAAATGTGGAAAAAAGCATTCAGTTGTCATAACATTAACATCGGTCTGGCTGCGACCTGGATTCTTGTTCTTCTGTGTCCTTTCGCCCTCCTCTGTTAGGTTCTGGAGGCAAAAATTAATGAGGTGAAAATAAACGAGGCCAGGGAGCACTATCGCCCTGTCGCAGTCAGAGCTTCTCTGCTCTACTTCATCATGAATGATCTCAACAAAATCAACCCAATGTACCAATTCAGCCTCAAGGTAAAAACAGGACAAGAACAAGAGCAGACTCACCAACAAACTTCATTAAAGAGAGGCAGAAGTGCACATGGTGATAAAACGATGATCTGGAACGTGACTCTACTGCCTCTGATTTCAACATTTAGTCGTTTTTCTGTTTTCAGGCCTTTAATATTGTTTTCCACAAGGCAGTGGAGATGGCAGAGGTGTGTGAGGATGTAAAGAGCAGAGTAAACACACTAATAGATTGTGTGACATACTCCACCTTCAACTACATCAGCAGGGGGCTATTCGAGAGGGACAAGCTCACCTTTACAGCTCAGCTAACCTTCCAGGTGTGCACCGGTTTCCTGCCGTTTTCAGGCTACATTTTGTTTTCTGACTCTTTGATTTCTTCCAGCTGCTCCTGATGAGTAAGGAAATAGACGTGCGAGAACTGGACTTTCTGTTGCGTTTTAACATTGACCACAACTACGTCAGTCCCCTGGACTTTCTCTCCAACTCAGCATGGAGCGCCATCAAGGTTCGCACACAGATTTGCTTTTATGTACAAAGCGACACTTCAGTCACCCCCTCCCGTTATTGTCCAGGTGATGAGTTTCACCGATGAGTTTCGCGGTCTGGACCGGGACATTGAAGGCTCACCCAAACGCTGGAAGAAACTGGTTGAGTCGGAGTGCCCGGAGAAGGAGAAGTTTCCACAGGAGTGGAAGGGGAAAAGTTCCTTACAGAAGCTGATCATAATGAGAGCTCTGAGGCCAGACCGCATGACTTATGCTCTTAGGTGAACGTGTTGTGCATTTTTGTTGAAGAGTGAAAAATGGCATTTCTTCTTGTTGTGTAACACACCTGCGTTTCTTAATAAGCTGAATCCTTTCTTTGTTTATTCTAGAAACTTTGTGGAAGAGAAGCTCGGGGTGAAGTACACGGAGGGCCGCAAGTCTGAATTTGCAAAGTCCTTCAGGGAAAGTGGTCCTGCCTTTCCAGTGTTTTTCATCCTCTCTCCTGGAGTGGACCCACTAAAAGATGTGGAATCATTAGGTACTGTTCACAAAGAAGTGTCACACGATCAAAGGAGTCCTGTAAATGAAAGCAAATAGAACAACGGTTGAGTTTTAGTACACAGCTTTGAAAAGCAGTGCTGTGTATTTCCAGGAAGGAAGCTGGGCTTCACCATAGACCTTGGAAAGCTCCACAATGTCTCCTTGGGTCAGGGGCAGGAAAGTGTAGCTGAAGTCGCCATGGAAAAGGCTTCCAAGGAGGGTCACTGGGTCATATTACAGGTCTGGTTGCAAGAAAAATGCGTAAAAATGAATCATTTTTCATTTGTTGAATTTGCTTCTTGAACATGCTATTTGACTGCAGAACATCCACCTGGTTGCTCGCTGGCTGGGTGCACTTGAGAAGCTCCTGGAGCGTTGCTGTGAGAACACCCATCCAGACTACAGAGTGTTTATGAGTGCTGAACCAGCAGCTTCTCCCAAGGAACACATTATACCACAGGTGGAAATGCTGCTCATGTGCAATAGCATAATTATTGTTTCCTCTCAGGTGTCTTCTTTAGCTCTCAGTCTAATAGGAGTGATTTTTTCCCCGTATTTTCCAGGGAATTCTGGAAAATGCCATTAAGATCACCAATGAGCCTCCCACGGGGATGCATGCTAATCTACATGCTGCTCTTGATAACTTTGACCAGGTGAGTCTTTCTCCTTCTCCAGTTCTAATCATTGTCCTAGATTTACTGATTTGCTGCTCGGCAGGACATTCTGGACCAGTGCAGCCGTGAGCAGGAGTTCAAAACCATCCTCTTCTCTCTGTGCTACTTTCACGCCTGCGTGGCCGAGAGGAGGAAGTTTGGGCCGCAGGGCTGGAACAGGAAGTACCCGTTCAACACCGGAGACCTCACCATATCGGTTAACGTCCTCTACAACTACCTGGAGGCCAACACACAGGTGTGGTGTCATTAAGGATGCATGGCGATGTTTTTCTGTTTACGGTGAAGTATTTATGTGGTGATGAAGGTTCCATGGGAGGATCTGAGGTATCTGTTTGGGGAGATCATGTATGGAGGACATATCACTGATGACTGGGACAGACGGCTCTGCAGAACTTACCTGGAAGAATACATGCAGCCGAACCAGGTTTGTGTATTTATGTGTGGAAGAAAATCAATGGAATAATGTTTTAAAAGCTTTGTTTTTGTATTTTAGTTTGACCGGAAATTTGCTTTGGGAACTGGGTTTCTTGTTCCCTCTAATTTGGATTACAAGGTAAGTTGATATGAAAAACATATGAATTGGTTGAAAAACAGCTCCATCTTCAAATTCCTTATGCTGTACAGTTTTCTGGTGAATAGTCTAAAAATAGCACACCTCCTAACCATGATGAGTTTTCACTCAGGGCTACCACGACTTCATAGATGAAATGCTGCCCCACGAAAGCCCAGTGCATTATGGGTTGCACCCAAATGCTGAAATCGAGTTCCTTACAGTCACATCTGATAGTCTTTTTCACACCCTGCTGGAGCTGCAGTCTCCTGATGCTGTTATGGGGGATGGAGCATCACAGACACTAGAGGAGAAGGTATGGCAGACCTTACGCAAGAAGAATATACTTTATAATATATTTATTATCTATTGAATTTCATGTTTGAATTTAATTCTAACCATACACTGTAAAACTTAATATTATAGAATTGTCATACATTGACAATATACTGGAAAATATACCGATATATATATATATATATATATATATATATATATATATATATATATATATATATATATATGTATATATGAAAAAATGTATATGTGAATTGGCATTTTCTATTTATTCAAACTAAATTGCAATGTATTTTTTGCAGACATGGTTTTATAAACTGCATTAGAAATATTTTAAAATACAGTGAAATATATTTATCTACTAATACTTCATTTATACTATATATTATTATATAAGTATTTTTAGATTAATATAATTTATTATATATTTTTGATTTATAAAAGCAGCAATTTGTCACACCCTGTCCTGTCTCCCCATTTTGTTCAGTCCTGTGTCCATGTTAATTGCTCCCACCTGCCTCTCGTCTCCCAATCACCCAAGGTCCCAGCTCCTCCTGTATTTAAACCCTGTTAGTCCATTTTGTCTGGTTGGTTCATTGTTTCATTGTCCTGCATGTCCTCCATTAAATCAGTGTTTTAAATGTTCCTGTCTGCCTCCCTGCCTGTTTCTTCCCCTGCACTTGGATCCTCACCTCCGTCTCACTCACCGGCACGTTGTGACACAAGTACTTATGTTATTTCATATAAATGGCCTTGGTATTTGCCAATAGATCTCAGCATATAGCCACAAATCTAGTCTTTATTCTATGGAATCTTTCTCAATATATTTATTTTTTCCTGAGCAAATTTAACAAAAACATCAGCCAGTGGTTTAAATAATACTAGTGCATTTATGTTAATCCAGCCTCTCAACTTTTGCAGGCATACATCATTAAATCTAAAAATCATTGATTTTATTTTTTTCAGTGTGTTCTGGTGAATTTAACACTATGCACACTTGTAGGTGAAAACCATTTTAGACGAGATCTTGGAAAAGCTGCCAGAGGAGTACAACATGTCTGACATCACCTCCAAAACAGCCGAACGGTCACCGTACATCCTAGTCTGCTTCCAGGAATGTGAGCGCATGAACATGCTCATTTCTGAGATCCGCCGATCACTGAGGGAGCTCGATCTGGGTCTCAAGGTCAGATCAAACGTGTTGAGCACTCTTTGCAATCAGAGTCTGATGTACAGTATTAGCATTTCACTGATAAGACTTGTGTACTCATAGTGAAGTAACAGACTGGTGTTTTGTATAGGGTGAGCTGGCCATGTCCTCTGAGATGGAGAAGCTGCAGGCTGCCTTGTTCTTTGACAACGTCCCCGATACTTGGACCAGACTGGCTTACCCTTCTACCTACAGCCTGGCTATCTGGTGCGGGTTTAAGTTTAGTCCATCTAAAACAAATATTTGTAATTTTTATCTATAACGACTTATTTTTACTTGGCTTGATTCAAGCTACTTTAAATTTTCTAGGCTAACCTTTAGCTGCACTAGTTGCAGTTCTTCTCTTATCCAGTTGGTCATAAAGCATGCAACAATCTGCTAAGATAGTGGTGTTTGTTTCATGATACCTGACCTCAGGTACAATGATGTGATGCAGCGCTGCAAAGAGCTGGACAGCTGGACTCAAGACCTGTCTCTGCCCTGCGTCGTCTGGCTGTCTGGACTGTTCAACCCACAGTCCTTCCTCACTGGTAACACAGACATTTCACCTAGAGTCTAAAATGACTCCCCTTCAACCATCCTCTTATTTTTATCCTTTCTGTGCCCGTAAATGATTACTCTTTCCTTCATGTTCCGGCCTTCCAGCTGTGATGCAGTCTCTGGCACGTAAAAACGAATGGCCTCTGGATAAAGTGAATCTCACAGTGGATGTCACCAAAAAGTTCAAGGAAGAGTTCAACCAACCTGCCAGGGAGGGTGCTTATGTGTATGGACTGTACATGGAAGGTAGAGGATGTCCTTCCTGTTGTTTCTGTTGCAGTTTCGATGGTCTAGGTTGGATTTTTTTAACTTTTCTTTTTTTTTTCTTTGAAAGGTGACATACAATGACGTTTTTTCTTAATTAGTACCAGTTCTATAGTTGATGCAAATGTTGTTCTTTGCACAAAATCTCTCACATAAACTGAACTCAGCTATTTTATTCCTGACATTTTCAGTACCTTCCAGAATGAGCCCTCAAAGAGCAGCAAGCTGGAATTGGCCACACCCAGGCTGCTATTGACCCTTTGCACATGATGTCATGCTGCTCCCGGGACCGCCCCCTTAGACATAACAGACAGCAGAAAAGCTGTTTACGCGCATTGAAACCCTTGTGAAGCTAGAAAAAACAGACCAGTTTTTAGACTTATATCACTTTGATTTAGTTGATTTCACAGTGAAATGGTAACAGTTTGCTGGGTGTAAACTCAACTTGTCTGTTTTGAAATAACTTTAATGGAGACAAAAAAATATGAATGAACAGCAGCAGTCAATCACACGGACTAGCATTCCTCAAAGTGTGTTCAGATTAGCAGCTAACACGCATCACTGGGTAAGGTTAACATTCATATATTTCATGAAAAAGACAGGGATTGACTGTGATGGACCTGAAATGATAATTGTGATGTGTTTATATCATGTATTTAGTTTTAATCATCCTATATTTCACAATGGCGGAAGTCCATTATCGTCCACTATAGTAAAGTGCAAAATAATAATAATATTGTTCCAATGTGTTACTTAAAATTACATTGTTTGTTTAGTATGATGAGTTTTGCCATTATGAGATATCTTGTCATGCTCTAGGGCAGTGGTTCCCAAACTTATTTAGCCGCGCACCCCATTCTATGTCCCGACCAGGTCGATGCACCCCCCAGCCCCCACATCAGGCCATGGCTATATCGTGCACGTGAAAATTGTGTAATGTCCAGCAATGGTCAGTTTGTAGGTACAGTTTGACCATTCAACATCTGGTCAAAAAGGAGACACGAGACTGCATGTGTTCCCTTTATATCGGCCTGCCTTCATCCCACCAGCTGGAGCTCAGAGTCTCTGCAGCTCTGAACACAGATAACGAAATGTCAACAATAATGTTCTCTCCTCAATGTTCATCCTTATCACCCTACAGGATTCTTCATGCTTTACACTCACAGCTTGGATTAGTTGCAAAATCAAAGAATGATTTCCTAAATTAAATATGAACTTCTACAACTTATAAGCTAGATAATCATTAAATAAGAATTTGTTTATTGCTACTTATAATAATTATACTATAATGAAATGTTTCCTTAATCTGTGCTCAATGGAAGTTTGAAATGAATGTTATGTTATGATTACAGTGATTGAAAAATGTTTCAGCATGTTTATATGACAAGGTCATAACCATTCGCACTCACACAAGGACAAAGTAAAGTTAAGTTAAACTCATGACACATAGATAGTCCTTTACCCCGGATCAGAGCATCTGGTATCGAAGAAGGCGTGTTTCTGACACTCTTGGTGTGATTCCTCAAACTTGTCAACCTCTGGTTGGCTACACAAATCATAACATGAGAACATTAAAACTGGATCACTCTGGGTGATTCATCAGTTCATCTGAAGCAAAACCCTCTTTAACCATCAAAGCTTTTAACATGTCGTCAAAACCTTTTTGCACCTGCGAAGCTGATACAGCAACAGCTCCTGCAGAACAAGCTGATATTGTTTAGACTCCTTCAGAGTCCCAGACGTGTGGTTCCATCCATCTGTCGTGACCCGAGACATCTCTGGACTGAAGAGTCGGTGCCACGGTATTCTACAGCCCTCCGGTGCCAGAGGTCATCCGACCTCTCTGACCTTTGGATCCACCAAGAGGGTCTCCGAAAACGAGTGAAATAGACACACAGATAGCGTCTGATATGCTTTTGATAATAAACAACTTCATAGCTTAACGCAAACCAAATTGTTTTACATCCAGAACTCAGCTCTCCTAGATACAGAAGTTCTGATAACACCGCGTTCACACATAGGTTCTTACATCGAATTTAGTTCCATCCATCACAGCAAATGTTAGTTAACTTGTCATGTTTAATTGTTGGTAAATTATAAACCCGACTCTTTTCCGAATCAAAACGAAGTGTGTACAATCCCTAATAAATAAATAATCCTAGAATCTTCTGATAAACGCACAAAGACCAAGCAGGGTTGATATTCTATAATTAGAGTACCACAGCTTATTGGTCATAAGTAGAGATAATATATATTGAGCTCTTAAAGCACTCAATTTACCAAACCCTACAATTGTTTCTATTCTACTTTCCCCATTTGTGATGTCACAAACAGGGAAAGTAGAATAGAGCTGAGACTTTTTGTAACAGCTTGTTTTAGGCAGAAATGTGTTAACACTGACCCTGGTTTCCACACTGAAAGCACCAGCGGCGTGGAACGCCAGTGGAACATCACTGCTTCAAATAGAATCCATTATAGTCAATGCAGTGGTCCTCAATAGGCGGCCCGCGGGCCCCTTCTTTGTGGCCCCCGAACCCTGCTGACACTCAGCATTAAGGGGTTCAGTTGAGGGGTTAAACCACCAAATAGTTCCCGAGCGCAGCTGTGTCTGCAGCAAAGGTGGAGAACAGATTTCACAACACACCAGTGTGTGTGACAACTAATGGGACTTCAATCTTTAGCAAAAGGATGCAAAAGCTGAGTTTTATGTAATGTGTCCCTTTTATTGTTTGGCTCCTCAGGTGCAAGGTGGGACATTCAGACAGGAGTGATCACTGAAGCTCGTCTGAAAGAGCTGACCCCATCCATGCCTGTCATCTCAGTCCGTGCCGTCCCCAATGACCGACAGGAGACCAGGAATATCTACGAATGTCCACTATACAAAACCAAGATCAGAGGACCCACATACGTTTGGACTTTTAGTCTCAAAACCAAAGAGAGGCCGGCAAAATGGGTGCTGGCTGGAGTGGCTTTGCTGCTCAGTGTGTGACGGGAAATTCTGGGTTTTAAACTCCAAAATAGGTTTGCTTTCAGTGGAATCTGAAGTTTTTTATTTAAAAATAATACAATATACAGAAAAAATGCCAAGAATTCACACACTAGGTCACAGTTAGAACTGGTAGAGTCAAAGCATCAAATCAACAAACTTAAAAAAAAGTATAAGCAGGAGGAAAAACAACAGTGCTGTCTCATTAGAGTGGCATCCAAGTGCATTATTTTGTCACACTTGTACCTTTTACAGTATGTTATGCAGCAGATTATCAAGCAAATTAAATTACACAGGTGAATCAGTCAGGCAACATGGCGACGAACCCTCTTAAAGCCCCTTTCAGACCTGCATCTGTCAGCATGTCGGCTTTACTTTAGAACAGCCAGGAGCCTTTTCACAGACGACCTTCTGTTTCAACATGGTACTAATATCATCTTGTAATTTGGTGTGTGATCGTGTGTTTCTGCTTTAAGGGTTGTTGTTTGTCATTCTCAGGTTTAAAAGGTTGTCTAAACACCAGAGCTGCAGCCTCTCTGAGGCCTACACAAATATAAATAATCATTTTTGCCATCTCATGGCTGAAAGGGGCTTGATTTGTTCTTTTGCTCCTTTTGAATGGGTGTAATATTTACCATTTAATAAAAAAGAAAGAAAGAAGGCTTGTAATGCACATTTTGTAGCTCAGATGCTGCATGTGCTGACAGACAAGTCAGAACCTCTCACTTTGGCCACCGTTTGTTTTCTTGTGTTTTTGTTGCTGCGTGTGTCTGATCGTGTCTTTTCTAGTCACTGTCGGACCAGTCCAGCTCCATCATGTCCATGGCCGCTGTAGCCATGTTGAGCTTGGTTCCGTGTCTCACACTGCAGCTCTTCACAGAGTTCTGATTGGAGGACGCTCGCATGCTCACCTGCATCCCAGAGCGACCGACGATGCCCACCTCACCCCTCATCTTCTGACTGACAGACTCGCCGAGGTTGCCTCTGACTCCCTGGACTACGAGTCCCACGTCACTCCTGCGACTCCTGACTCCCAGCTCACTCCTGACACCACGACCCATCATCTTCATCACTCCCAGTTCACCCATGTTCATGTCCATGTCTCCAAGTTTCTCCACCTCCCCCATGTCATCGATATCTAAAGACAGCATGTCTCCCAGTCCTCCAAAACTTCCATGGATGCTCTTGAACATAGTCGGCAGCCTCCCTCCTTCAAGTCCTCCCTCCACCCCTTTCTCCTCAATCCTGTCTCCAGGTTTTTCTATCTCCCATCCTCCCTCTTTCTCGCTGTCATCTTCTGCCTCCCCAAATCCTCCCGAGTACCCTCGGACTATGGTGGTCACTCTGCTTCTCTGCATGCCTCCCCTCTCCCTGTCCCCCTCCCCCCAGGTCCTCTCCTCCCTCTCCACTACACCTCCCGGGAAGCTCCTGAGTGTTACTTGCACCCGTCCGCCCTCTAGACTCCCACTATCATTTTGTTCCTTCTTACCCCAACCTTTCTCCTCAATAGTTCTCTCCTCTTCCCCGTCTTCCTCTTCAAACTTTCCATGCATCTCCCGGAGCATGGCATGCAGTCTCCCGCTTTCGAGCGAGCCAATCCCCCTTTCCATGGTGGCACTGCTCCCTCTCTCTGTGTCTCCATTACTGAGCGTGCGGAAGAGAGTACTGACACCTGCGCTGCTGAGGCCAGCGCTGCTGAGGCCAGCGCTGCTGGAGTCCTGGGAGTGTGAGCGGAAGAATGAACCGGAGGAGCCAATTGACATCGGTGTGAAGAACTGACAAAGAAAAAGGGAAGTAATGATGTAGATTTTTCCTGTAGTCTGATCAGAACCACATTGAATTCATTTCCTTGCTACTTACAGGTGAAATGTTCGAGCGTTCCATGAGCAGAGAGGTTGGACTGGGAGACATGTTGGACTGCTCCATCAGCCTCTCCTCCCACAGTTTCAACCTCCTCTCCCTCTCCTCCAGCTCCTTCTCTTTGGAGTAAAGCTCCCTCTCTAGTTTCCGTAGACGCTCCAGAGTCGACTCTATCTCACACCTGTCAGACGCGCCCGTAACAACGACATCTGAATTTGGTTTCACTTCATCAGACTTCGTTTAGACTCAGAACATGGAAACCTTATTTCACAGCTGCAAGAACATTCTTATGTAAACTAGAGTATATTCTGCCTCTTTGGGATAATTTTAACAAAACATTCAATAATCTGAAATAAAAATCACTAAATGGGTTCATGTACTCTTGTAAACAAGGTTCAGGAGCTGAGAGTCAGCCTGGTTGGTCTCTTGCACATCTGGAAGTTCACTACTAATAGTGAATAATGTCTAGCCCGTCATACATGCGCAGAAATACAATTCCCCTATTTTCAGTACACATACTTTCCACATTTCCATAAAAGCTTAGCATTCCCTTGAAGGAACCCACCACCTTTCATGCCTGAGTTAAACATTAAAATCATACAGTGAGAACTCAGGCTCAGGCGATCTCGAGCAATATCCCAAGATCTAAAGCAATATTTTGGCACAGTTTGTGTTATGAACGACTCTCTGAGACTCTCAATTGAAATTTTTGCTCAATATCTGTTAAACAGACTCAGTTACACTAGATTTTATGATTGCTGAGGTTGATTAGCTGTGGCAGGCATCTTTAAGGGGATTTAATCCAAATGTTAATCAGCTGTAGATGTTCTTCAAAGACTTCTGACAATTTGATTAAAATACATCAAGAGGTTCATGATATAAATATTATTTTTGCCCACATTTCATTATTCAGCAGCAGGAAATAAATATTTCATAGATTCAAAGTTATTATTTACAACTTATAGGCAAATAAATCGTAGTAGCATTGCTCGGGCATCAAGATTAGAGTTCCAACATTTCAGCTGCAGTACTGTCTGCTACCACAAACGGTCACTGTGGGAGTTGGTGAGTGTCTCTGAACATGCATTTACAAACAATCACCTCTCACAGCTGCTAGATACAGGCAGACAGCCATTCCTCCTACGTTCCTGCAGCACAATACCCATTCACCTCACCCCTTCACCTCCCCCACGTCCAAACCTCTCTACTCATAACCCAAACTTCACTCACAGTTGATTGCCTTCACTGTGCTCTTGTTAAATATGCACAGAATCTAACACCTTCTCTCCTCTAGTCCCCCCCCCCCCTTCTATGCCTCCCACTCTCATTGGTCCACCCTTGCTTCCCTTCCATCCTCGTTGTTTCGCTGTCACGCAGCGTCTCAGATTTCACACTCACACAGTACATTTCTTTTCCTCCCAGTTCTTCTCCACCTCAGTTCACATTTGATTTCTCCTCTATGACCCCCCACCCCCCCACACCCTGCCCCTGTGGAGGAGTAGAGGAATCTCTTCCATGGACACTTTCCAGAGGGCTTAATATAGCCTGACGCTGAGTGCAGGGTCACACACTCAACTCCTCTCCTGAGTTTCAGAGTCACACAGAACTGAGTGCTTTGGTTAGAATATCTGTTCCTGTCATTTATGACTGCGTGTGTTTTTGTTTTCGTACCTCCACTGGTCCTTGTTATGCAGGAAGGAGTTGCATTGGTCTGGAAGCCTGCTGTCATTTGCCATGGCCTCCAAGGTTAACAGAACCTGCTTAAATTGCGGTCGTTCCTGTGGACGCAGAGTATGAAACTGAATGTAAACATGAATTGTTCTGTGGGAACTTTTTTCACATCTCCAGTCCATTTGGTCTCACCTTCGGATCTGCTTGCCAACATTTCCGCATCAACTCTGCAAAGCTTGCAGGACAACTAGTGGGGATGGTTAGCCTCTAGAGACACACAAAAACACAAACCTTTGTTCATTTTTGCAAAATTCTACTTTAACAGTTTTTTTAAACAGCATTTGTGTTTAAATAAGTGACGGTGTCAGTCAAAAGCATTAAAGTCTAACCCCATTCCTTCAATCCTGTGAAGCTGCACTTCATCTAAATATGGCTGATAACAACATCCAGCATCATGGTGACAATCCAAGCATGCAGGTATGTTTGCTAGGGTTGTCGTCTCATTTTATCAGATTACATTGGTGTTATCTGCTGAGTGGACAAATAACAAGTAAACGATGAGTTGTTTGTAATCGGCATCATTGGGACACTGAAAGAAGGATCTGATAAGATTTAATTTACAGAGGGGAACCAATCCAAATAACTAACTGCCAAAATAAAACAACATTGCTTCAGATGTTATCATCAAAAGCTGCCCTTGTACTTCCAAAGAAACCAATTTAGATTTACTATTTCCCGTTTGTAAATAGCCTCTCTCTTTCCCTTGGCTACACTTTAGTTCTTACTTATTCTTGCTCCACTGCTCTGCCAGAACATTATCAAATTACTTCCTCTGAAGTTTTCCATCTGTTGCAGTGCTGTTGGCAGCCTTTACCCAATAACATCATGATAACTAGGGATGAAAAATGGCCTGTATTTGATTGATATAGTGCCTTCTAGAGTCCTAGAACCCCCCAAGGTGCTTTAACACAAAACCCGTCATTTGCCCTTGCACACACATTCACACCCTGGTGGTGATGAGCTACATTATAACCACAGCTGCTATGAGCTGATGGAGGAAAGGCTGCTGAGCACTGGCACCGCTGGTTTCTCCGACCACCACCAGCAGGCAGGAAAGTTAAGTGTCTTGTTCAAGAACACGACGACCGCTACAGACTGAGCGAGACTCGAACCTGCAACCTTCTAACTATGGGGCAGGTACTTAACTCTTCTTCAACTGTCGCCCACAAAGAAAAAAGTAAGAAAAAACCAATACAGTAAAAAAATAGCGATATTTTGCATTATGATACCGAATCGACATTTTTACAGGAGTGCATCAAAGTTTTATTGAGAATGTACGTGCCTATATTTACTGTATTTCTTTAGTGTGGTGAAATTCTAACACTAACTGCTAGGAGAAAGGCTTCGAGCGTGTAGTAGACAGGCGCCCAAATAATTGCCAAGTTGGGACAGTGACTGTTGTGTGTGGGGATGCGTCTACAACATTCAGAGCATGAATAAATATCATTAATCATCTTAAAATGAACTTCTTTTGTATTAAAATACATATTTTCAGAAAAGGCATTTGAGCTATTGTTCCACCTTCCTCTCAAAACTCCCTCGCAGCACTGGATCGTATGCGGACTTGGGCGAAGTGTGGATCAAGGGTGCAAAAGGGGAATGGTCAACTTCTGCACTTGAGGATCGGGACACCCGTACGTACTCGCTCTCCTGGACTGGAACGTGCAATTGAAAGGGCCGAAGGATGGAAGTGTGAGTGTTGGGATTGGGCCTTGGAAGCATCTGGCCTGAGTTTTTCAATTAAATGCAGTTTTAAAAATCGTAAATATCATCAGGCTTTTAAATGGTAATGGGAAATGGTCTGTATTTGTATAGCGCCTTCTTAAGATTCTACAACCCTCCAAGGCACTTCACAGCACTTTCACACGCTGGTGGGGATGAGCTACAACGTAGCCACAGTTGCACTGGGGCGCACTGGAGAGGTTGCCAAACACTGGTGCCACCGGGCCCTCTGACCACCACCAGCGGGCAAGGCGGATTAAGTGTCTTGCCCAAGAACACAACAGCAGCATTCATTGGTTGGAGCCGGGATCGAACCTGCAACCTTCCGATTACTGAACATCCCGCTCTTCTGTCATGTCCTGTTTTAGTATCGTAATATATCGTATCGCCAATACACACCCCATTGATTACCAATATTGTTCTTATTTTACATTGGGGGGGGGGGGGGGGGGGGGGATTACCTTACAAAAAGTGCAATCTGGGCTTAATATTTAATGACGTCCTGGCATTAAAGTACGATTACCGTATGTTTGTGAGAGTACCAAATAATTGTACAAGATACCAGTGACTCTTGATCTCATGCTATGGTTCAAGATTTCAAGAAGTTCTACGTTATCACTAAATCCTTAGACTACTCTACCCTGACAGGGTTTTTACTCTAAATCTTGCATTACATCTTTTGTCTAAAGTAATATTACTTCCTCTCATATGACGGAACCCTGGTCCTCGTATCACCGTGCGTGTGTGGACATCAAAGCCATAATCTGTGTGAACTTTTTTATGTCTGTACATTTGCCTAAAGTGTGTTGATTCTCTGGCCTGAAGGTCTGAATGAGCCCCATCAGCTTCATACTACAGAGCAGCAAATGGAAACATTTCCTTCACTGGGGATTAATCCTAAAATATCAACAACTGAGTGGAGAGAGGGCAAGTTGAAGGGTCGGGAAGAGAGGTGTAGCTGTGGAGGGGGGAATCAGCGAGACTGGGAAAGAGGAAGAGTGAGACAGAGTGAGTTATTTAGGGAGAGTATTTGGAGATTAGCCAATGCAGGAATCATGTTCTCCTGGCTGTTTGTCAGCCTCCTTTGAGTGTGTGCATTTGTGTTTCTAGCGATAAGTAACTGAAACACACACCTTGATTAACCATCATTCCCCACCACTTGTAAACCTCCAGAATCAAACCTTCCATCTCTGTAGGGGGGTAAGGTTTTAGCCTGAGGAGTCTGGCCCTGCTCCATTGCTGTGTATCCAGGCCTTACATGAGCACAGAACTGACATCAGAACTAAAAATACTCCTCCAAACCAACTCACAGTGGAAACCATGAGAGCATCTCATTGTGCCTGCAGCCATCTCGAACTCTTATGGGTCAACACGCTCTCAGTGGGTTCCGAGAGGTGTGTGTGTGTGTGTGCGTGCGTGCGTGCGTGCGTGCGTGCATGCGTGCGTGCGCGCGTGCGTGTGTGTGTGTGTGTGTGCACACAGATTACCTCCTGTTTTTCTACCACCAGCCAGGCTACCTGCAGCCCCTCAAACCCTTTGAAAGGAACCTCCCGAGTCAGCATCTCCCATAACACCTGGAAATACATGATTTCAAATCTACCAGCTCCTATTCTTTCAGTGAATAATGTTTCCCAGGACGTTTCCAACTCACCACACCGTATGAGTAGGTGTCACAGGTCTCAGACACAGGTAGACTCTGGATGACTTCAGGAGCCATCCACGGAAAAGTGCCCACCACGGTCATGTGAGTGGTGTGAGACAGAAACTTTGAAGCTCCAAAGTCACAAATCTGAAATCAAAATAAATCAAATATATATTTAAACACAATATGTGTTGAGGAGTGTGTTTTTTATGAATGTGAGTCACGTTGCTACTCACCTTCAGCACTTTATCTGCTGTCATCACCACTGTAAACAGAAAAATACAGGAACCAGTCAGTGCTTTAAAAGTAGACATGACTAATGCAAGGAAGCAAGTCAGACAAACAGGTCACAATCAAGTCTGGATTTACCATTTCGTGACTTCAGGTCTCTGTGTATCACTTTGACTGGAGCTTCTGCATGGAGGTAATGTATCCCTGGAAGGAAATAGGAGTCTTTTAGGAGATGTATTTCAGTAGTCCTCATGCATCATTTTGTCCTACCTGTTATTGATAGCTATTTGAACTAATTCAGTTTGGAGTTTTGGAAAACGCCTATTTGGCTTCAATTCAGCTCTTCAAAAACCTTCTGGTGATGGCACGGAGGTCAATGATTAGGACTCGATGAATACGCTTATCACAATAGGACCTAACCTGCTAACCCTAACCAACTACAAAGTGCTTCTGCTGTCTTCAAACAACTATAATCTCGAAAATAAAAAAAAAGGAAAAAAAGGTCACAGAGGTTCATAAAAATCTACACTGAGCTATTCACTCTACCTCTAATGGTGAGCCCAGACACCCTGCAGAGATAATTCATTTCAGCCGCTTGTATCCACGATCTCGTTCTTTCAGTCACCACCCAAAGCTCATGACCATAGGTGAGGGATGGAATGTAGATCGACCGATAAATCGAGAGATTCTTCTTACAGCACAGCTCTCTCTTAATCACGACACAAATGCCTTCCCTGTATCCAAAAAACACATGTAGGTTGGTAGGGCGAGCTCCCACACACCCCCCTAAGGGTATAGAGCTGGTCCAGTGTTCCAGGGCCAGGACGAAAACCACATTGCTCCTCCTGAATCAGAGGTTTGACAATCTGACGGACCCTCCTCCTCGACCTTACCAGGAAGGCTCAGGAGTGTGATCCCCTCTCAACTCAATTCAACTTAATTTATAAATTGTGCCTTACAGGCAAAAATATGCCACCAAGGCGCTACACTGATCAAATAAAAACATAAAACATTAAGTCCAGAAAATAAAACATTGTATCACACGATACAGATAAAAATACAATGAGTAAAATCGCTATAAGTAAAACAATAAAACTAGTTAGAAAGGTTAAAAGACAGGTCATAAAAATATGTTTTTAGCCTTGCCTTAAAAACCGCAACAGAGGTGGAGGCCCTTATGCTCAGAGGAAGCTTATTCCAAAGCTTAGGACCTGCCACAGCAAAGGCCCTATCACCACGTGTCTTTAGACGTGTTCTTGGGACCGAGAGAAGCATGAGGTTCTCTGAACGGAGTTACGGTGAAGGGGTGTATGGTTGAAGTAGTGACAACAAGTAAGGAGGGGCCAAACCATTTAACGTTTTAAAAACTAGTAAAAGTATTTTAAAATGAATCCTAACATCAACGGGCAGCCAGTGAAGCGCATCCAGGACAGGAGTAATGTGGTCAAACTTGTGCCTGCCCTCTAAAAATCTGGCAGCAGCATTCTGGACCATTTGCAACCTGGCCATTGAGCCCTTGCTCACACCGAATAGAACAAAGTTGCAGTAGTCCAATCGCAACGTAATAAAAGCATGGACTACCGTCTCAAGATCATGACGTGACAAAAAAGGTTTGATCTTTGCCAGCCGACGAAGGTGGAAAAAGGAGGAGGAGATCACTCCATTGATGTGGGTATCAAAACTAAGGATGCTATCCAGTTTAACACCAAGATTAGTCACCGATGTAGTCAGCTGGCCATTAAATGACCCACAGTCAGTTAGGGAAGAGTCACAATGTCTGCTTGGAGCAAACAATATAGCCTCTGTTTTCTGATCATTTAGGCTCAGAAAATTTTCAGTCATCCAGGTCTTGATCTCCCTCAAACAGTTCGTAAGAATAGAAATAGAGAGACCACTTGACGTGTTCAGAGGCAGGTACAGCTGACAATCGTCAGCATAAAGGTGGAATTGAACTCCAAGCTCACGACAGATGTCACCTAAGGGCAGAATGAAAATAGAAAACAACAAAGGTCCCAATATCGAGCCCTGTGGTACCCCCCAAGGTAGATCAGAGTACTCTGAGGAATAACTTCCCATCCTAACACACATTTTTCTATTTGTCAGGTATGATCTAAACCAGGGGTGTCAAACTCATTTTAGCTCAGGGGCCACATTGAGGGAAATCTAGTCCCAAGTGGGCCAGACCGGTAAATAAAATAAAAAACTTCAGATTGTTTTCTTTGTTTTAATACAGTCAATATAAAACAAGGCTGGAGCCTGAGGACAGTGTATCCAAAATAGTACAAGTACAACACCTGATGTGTACTTGAAAATTTGAAAAAAATAAAATAAAAAAATCAACAAATAAAAAAAACATTCCTTTGTGATTCAAAGAGCTTACAGATCACATGGCTAGATCAGTTTCATGCAGCACTTAAAGTATATTTGACTCATTTTACTTAACATCGTTTAGCTTTCACCAGCACATCAGTATCAGAAGGCACATCCTGAGTGGCGGCCAACTTCAGGATGGGATTCAAGTTCTTGTGTGAGCCTTGAGCACTGTCAGGTTCGTTGGCAGATCTGAAGCGTGACTGAGAGTTCTGTTGCCCAGACGCGGAGAGACGGAGATAGCCGGCGTGGTTATCTCCTGTAGGTGTAGTTTGAGTGTTTTGAGGGCTGGTAAGCCTGGAGACTCGATACAAAGTCTGGTGAGAAACGATGACTGAGCAATGAATGAAACGCCGGCACTTCCTTAAGTAGTGCCGGCGTGATGACGTCAGTCGCCACGTTGGTGGCAGGAATGAATGGAATGCAGTCAGCTGGAGGAGTTCGTGACAGGACCCCCCCCTCGAGGGACGGCTCCCGAAGTCCCAGGACGGCGGGCCCAGAAGTCAGTCAGCAGGGTAGGGTCGACAAACGAGCTCGTGGGCTCCCAAGAGCGTTCCTCAGGCCCGTACCCCTCCCAATCCACGAGGTACTGCCAACCTCGTCCCCGGCGGCGAGCGTCCAGAATCCTGCGGACCGTGTAGGTGCGATCCGCCTCAACACCGCGGGGCGGAGGCACCCGGACCGGTGGAGGGTACGGGCTTGCCCTTGATGTCCCGCGAGCCGTGAACAGTGCCCCCACGTGAGCGCCTCTTGCCGGCAGGAGGCGGGAACGTAGAGGCGGTTCGGTGGGGTCTCCGGCGGCGCTGGATCGCCAGGAAGTGCCGCCTGTATGGACTGCTCCAACGGCCATTGGAGGGAGGCCAGGAAGCGTTGAGCCGGTAGAATGGTCCGAGGCTCCGGGGGGCCGGCATCTGGTGCGAAACGCCGAGAGAGAGCGTCCGCCTTGAGGTTCTTGGAGCCGGGCCGGTAGGCGATATGGAAGTGGTACGGCTCGAAAAAGAGGGCCCACCGAGCCTGACGAGGGTTGAGCTGGCGGGCAGTCTGTAGATGAATGAGATTCTGGTGGTCGGTCCAGATCAGAAAGGGATCGGTGGTCCCCAGGAGCCACTGCCTCCATTCCTCCAGCGCCCACTTTATTGCCAGCAGCTCTCTGTCGCCGACCCCGTAGTTCTGCTGTGTGGGGGAAAACTTCCGGGAGAAGTAGGCACATGGGTGGAGCTTAGAGTCTGGACCCCGTTGCGAGAGAACGGCCCCCGCTCCCACATCCGAGGCGTCCACCTCCACGACGAAGGGCCGGGTCTGGTCCGGGTGGAGGAGGATGGGTTCCTTAGTGAAACGTCCGACCAGCTCATGGAAAGCACGGACAGCCTCTGGAGTAAGGCGAAAAGGGCGAGGCTGATTGGTGGTTTTGGTGAGTGAGGTCAGAGGTGCTGCGAGGGAACTGAAGTTGCGTATAAACCTCCGGTAAAAGTTCGAGAAACCCAGGAAGCTTTGCAGCTGCTTCAGGGTCGTGGGTAGAGGCCACTGAGCTACGGCCTGAACCTTCTGGGGGTCCATCTTCAGGCCCTGGGAGGAGATGGTAAAACCCAGGAAGGAGGTGGACTCCTGGTGAAACGCACACTTCTCCAGTTTGCAGTACAGTCCATGATCCAGGAGGCGGGACAGAACAGCTCGAACATGACGGATGTGCTCTTCGGCCGTGCGGGAGTAGATGAGGATGTCATCTAGATACACAAAGACCCAGCGACCCAACATGTCTCTCAGCACATCTGTAATGAACCGCTGGAAGACGGCGGGGCTGTTGCAGAGTCCAAAAGGCATCACCAAATATTCATAGTGGCCAGTGGGCGTGATAAAAGCGGTCTTCCACTCCTCACCTTCCTTAATACGGATGAGGTTATAGGCGCTGCGCAGATCCAGTTTAGTAAACACTGCGGCTTGTGTGATGGCGTCCAGAGCGGTGCCCATGAGAGGGAGAGGGTGGCGGTCCCGGATCGTTATTTTATTTAACCCTCGATAGTCTATGCAGGGCCGGAGATCCCCCTCCTTCTTTTTAACAAAGAAAAACCCCGCGGCCCCGGGGGATGTTGAGGGTCGGATGAATCCCTTCTGCAGGGCATCAGTTATGTAATTGTCCATAGCCCGGGTTTCCGCCGGAGAGAGGGAGAACAGGCGACCCCGAGGGGGGGTGGTGCCGGGCTGGAGCCTGATCTCCAGGTCGTAGGGTCGGTGAGGAGGTAACCTGGTAGTGGGTTCTTTAGCGAAGACCTGAGCGAGGTCGTGGTATTGAGGAGGGACGAGCGTCAGGTCTACGTCTTTGGGAGGAGCTGCTGCTGCCCGAGGTGCAGGGGAGTCCCGGTGGTTATGGCAACCCGTGCCCCAGGCCAGGACTTTACTGGTGGACCAGGAGATGTGAGGCTCATGGCGGCAGAACCAGGAATGACCTAGGATGAGAGGCGTAGCCGGAGCCTGGATGACCAGGAAGTGGAGGGTCTCCCGGTGTTGGTCAATAGTCATGTGGAGACCCTGAGTTCGGTGGGTGAGAGGGTACGGCATGATGGGCCGGCCGTCCACAGAGGTCACGGGAATGGGTCGGTCGAGGGCGGTGAGGGGTATCTTGAGCCGAGTAACCAGTCCGTGGTCGATAAAACACTCCGCAGCCCCAGTGTCTAAAAGTGCCTCCAGTCTGGTCGGGCCTTGGTCCAGGTGGAGGGAGACCGGGAGAGTGGTTCGGTGTGGAGCCGGAAAAGTGGAGACTCCGGGCGGGACAGCTCCTACTCCGACCCGGAGGGACCTTTTCCCGGTCGTTTTGGGCACGTGCCACGGTGGTGACCCAAATCCCCACAGTAAGCGCATCTTCCCTCCTGGTAGCGCCGTGCCCGTTCCTCAGGGGGAAGATGTCCCAGCTGCATCGGCTCCTCCGTCGGTTGGTGAGCCGGCCGGCGGGGTGACGTCCTGGTGTGTACGGGGGCTGACATGGTGCTCGGCCGGTTCAGGATGCAGCGGTCCAGTTGGAGAGCCAGATCCACTGCCAGGTCCAGGGAGGTTGGGACCTCGTGCCCGATCATGCCCTCCCGGATTCTCGGTGACAGTCCCTCCAGGTAAACGGCCTTTAGGGCGGCGTCATCCCACCTCAACCGAGCTGCTGTCGTCCGGAAGCGAGAGGTGTACTGAGCCACCGTCTGGGAGCCCTGGCGAAGCTGAAGCAGCCGCGTCTCGTCCGAGACCTCGCTGCTGGGGTGCACAAAAGTCTTTTTCATCTCCTTTACAAAAGTCTCATAGTCATTGCAGGCAGGAGATTTTTGATTGTAAAGAGCCGCCGCCCATTCACCGGCTCGACCTGTCAGCAGTGAGGTCAGCAGAGCGACACGAGAGCAGGATGTGGGGTAGCGTGCCGGCTGGCACTCGAAAGTCATGGCCAGGGTCGCCAACATGCCCTCCGGGGATCCCCTGGTTCCGTCCCACTTCTCTGGAAGGCTGAGGCGTGGTTCCATCCTGTCAGGAACAGCTGCGGTCTGACGTTGCAGAGCGGTGGTCAGCTGGAGTACTAGCTCGGTGAGTGACTCAATCTTTGTGGCTTGGCGATCAGCTATGGCACGGAGCTGGTTCATGTCTGCCGTCTGCTGATCCAAGATTGCGCGCTGTTGAGCCACTTCGGCACGCAAACGCGCGAACTCCGCTGGGTCAACTTGGGGCTCAGTCATCCTGTCAGGTTCGTTGGCAGATCTGAAGCGTGACTGAGAGTTCTGTTGCCCAGACGCGGAGAGACGGAGATAGCCGGCGTGGTTATCTCCTGTAGGTGTAGTTTGAGTGTTTTGAGGGCTGGTAAGCCTGGAGACTCGATACAAAGTCTGGTGAGAAACGATGACTGAGCAATGAATGAAACGCCGGCACTTCCTTAAGTAGTGCCGGCGTGATGACGTCAGTCGCCACGTTGGTGGCAGGAATGAATGGAATGCAGTCAGCTGGAGGAGTTCGTGACAAGCACAGCTTTGTTTTATTTATACTCATTACAGAGAAAACTTGCTCACAAAGATAAGTTTATTTTCACTCTACATTGTAAAGTATGAAAATAAAGTTTACACAACCATCTCACGGGCCGGATTTAACCCGCTTGCGGGCCGGATCCGGCCCGTGGGCCGCATGTTTGACACCCCTGATCTAAACCATTCCAGGGCTAACCCTGAAATCCCGACATAACGATGAAGACGGTGAAGCAGCACATCATGATCTATCGCGTCAAATCCCCCTGTAGTTAGAACAAAGCCTGAGGTCCACCTTTTTAAATAGGGGGACCACCACCCTGGTCTGCTAGTCCAGTGAAACTGCCCCAGATGTCCATGTGATATTGCAGAGTCGCGTCAGCCAACACAGCCCCACAACATCCAGAGCCTTAAGGAACCCTAAGTAGACCTCATCCACCCCTGGGGCCTTGCCACCAAGGAGCTTTTTGACCACCTCGGTGACCTCTGCACCAGAGACTGGAGAGCCCAACCCAATGTCCCTGAACTCTGCTTCCTCTCTAAAAGATGTGCTGGTGTTTTTGACACATAACCTAAGGCTGTGGTTGGCAATAAATGCACTATGAATTATTAACATGCTTTTCACCATTGTTACTGTTATATCTTCATGTTGTTGGTGCAGCGATATTTTGGTTCTGTTGTATTTTTTGTGTGTCCTATTTTTTTCTTTGTCTCTCTTTCTGGATGTCTAGATGTGGACTCTTGTACATCCTTTATTGTTTATTTTTAATAACTTTAATAACTCTTCCTTTCTTCTCCTCTCTTTCTCTTTCATTTCCATCTCAGTGTCCATTAGGATTTAAAACAACCAAATGGGATCGAGGAGTTCTTCAAAGTACCTGTTCCATAACGTCCTGAGTCAAGATCAGCAGCACACTTTCAATCCACCATAAACAGTGTTGATGGCACACTGCTTATCCCTCCTGAGGCACCAGTGTAAATGTTATAAAATAGTATTCATTCAGACTGCTATAAAAACCTTTGAAAATGGCCCTAGAAGTAATCTCAGTTTCTCCAAACTGAAAATATTCAAAGGACTATCTACAACAGGTCAAAAACTAGTTCTTTGTAAATTTTCCATAGAAGCTAACTTGAAAAGATCGAAATTTTACCTTTAAATAAATCAACGCAACCCATTCCAATTGAGTTGCAGGATGCAGTATTATATTTTAGACTAAAAGCATTGTTAAATTGTTCTAAAAAGTAGGCTTCATTTATTAATTGTGTTTGAAACATTTCTGACCTTAAACCTCCCTAATGCAGAAAGCCATTGTGTGTGTTTGTCCATGAGCCTTCACTGGTTCTTGTGATGAAACGTTACTTAGATTTAAAATTTGTTTTATCTTCAAAGATCAAGTTCACTTGTGTTTTTTCATTACATTTGCAGTGGTCTGCAGTAAAAATGAAAGCCTTGTGAGATGATCTCTGTGAAACAAAAGCTCCTGCACTCCTGTTTCAGGAAGTAAAAGTTAGTCGGAGCAGAGAAGGGTAGAAAACAGCTGGATTTGGAGTCTTACTCATTATTATTTCCTGATATTCGGACATTTCTCCTCTTATTGGCTAACAGCAACATGACTCTACCACTGACTCTGTTTTCTCTGCAACATTGATGTTTTATCTGAATGAATAACACAATCCTGAAGGAGTTCTGCTGTGTGGTGGAGTTGCTAATGCTAATGGTTAGATGGAAATAGTCGAGACATTTTTTGCTATATCCAAACCAACCACAGACTTCCCCATTGCACGTCAAGATGGGTGAGTCTATGAATGCTAATTTGCTGTGTGACATAGATCTGTGTGGCTTTTTCAGACTCGAGAATGTCCTCATCTGTTTTCTATCAGCGGCTAACGCAGGAAATAGGAGTAGAAGACTATTTTTACATTGAGCCTGCATGTTAAACTCAGAGCAACTGATTGTATTTCAGAAAATACAATTAAAAAACAGTTTCTCTGTGAACTTTGTCTTTGATCAAAATCTAGACTTAATCCAGGTCGAGACTTTATCGAAAATCATTGCTTTAAATGTACCTTTGGCTATCTGTATGGCCCACGTCATGATCTGCTCCATGTCCATCTCTTCACTCTGCTCACTGGAAAGGTACTCATACAGAGAGCCTTCACTTGCAAATTCTGCAACACACACACACACACACACACACACACACACACACACACACACACACACACAGATTGTGCTCAGTCACACATTCAACCCAGGTGAGAAGATCAAACTGCCTTAAACAGTGACAACTTCTTTCTCAGTTGTTTTCATGAAATCATTGCCAGATAACTGAAAACTTGATTACACCAAACGTGTTGTTTTAGCAGAGGTGACTTCTGTAACTACCTGAAAAGTGGAAATTAATTTACTTTGATTTGAGTTGAATATGTTGTAAATATTCAGCGGAAAACTGGTTTATTGCTGCACAAAAAACACAATCAATTAAAAAACAAAATCCTTATTTTTTTATAAAATATTCTGTTTGCATTGAACATAGATTCAGTAGCTCAGAGTGAGCTATGTTGCTGGAAATGTTCTGAGTTACAGAGAAATACATTGGTGGTTTAACAGAACCAAGCAAACACATCCAGGATCCAAAAGTTCTGGTCTCAGGTCCAAACATCAGAGAACCAAATGCTCAGATTTCTCTAAAGCACACTCACAAATTCTGCTCAGTAATCAGAGCATGTGCTAAGGTGTGTGTGACTCTACACTGCATATCAAACACGCATTAAAAAAAACAATACAAGCTTGTGTACTTTTCTATGCCAGGACAGCGTGTTCTAACTTTGCGGCGCCTTTTTGTCTCCCCTTGAATTTCCAACTTTAACCTCTCTTACTATCAAAACATAAATCAGACTTTAGGGAATTATCTACAGATACAACAACCTGTTTAGGTCAAACGATCACATGACGCTGTGGGGTCTGACCTGTGACAATGGCATAGTTAGGGGATTCCAGCACGGCTCCATAAAACTTTATGACGTTCTTATGGCTCAGTACGCTGAGAATCTCAGCCTGCAAAGAAAAACAGAAAAATAAGCAGCTCAATCTGAAGATCACTTACAGAAAAAAATCTAATCTGTAGGTGAAAATATATTCCTTAATCTTTTATACTTTTTCTTGATCTCTAACTGATCTGAGAGCGGAATTACACTCCCTTTAGGTCTCTTCATAACAGCGGTAACAAATACATCATTAATCTGACGTTCAGATTATAATTTCTACCAAGCAACACAACAATAACTCATCGTTAAAGTTAAATTGCACAAAAGGTGCAAATGATAATCAAAATGCTTTCTTATTTCTGATGTCGAGTACATTTGCGAGTAGATATCTCTCATGCAGGAGCCAAGGCTGCAAGTTGCAGAAAATGATGCATAAAACACCCTCCAAAATTTAGTTCCCCTTAAATTACTCATGAGCTGCACACACACCTGCAAAGTAGGTATGAGACAAGTTAGTCATTGCTTTAAATCAGATCCCTTCCCCCTCTGATTTTAGGTGCATGACATCACTTTTTATTGGCCTGTAACATAAGAGTTCACCTCACTTACTGTAAACTTTATACTGTAACGTAGAGCTTTACACCCCCACAGACTTTTTAGGGCTTCTCTGGGTCATTTACATGAAAGGAAATCGTGTTTCAGTCACCATCTGGGTCACTCAGGTGAAGAGCTGAGCCTCAAATAGCCACACGCCTCACCCTAACATACAATGGGAGGATAACGGGGGAGCTGCGCATAAATAAAACTGCTCCATCTACTTAGAGAGAGATGGGAGGGGGAGTGAAAGAGGTATGTTTAAGATAAACACAAGTTCAATGCCAGACAACAGGGAGGGACAGGGATATGAACCGAAAAGATACTTTTTGAACTCCAGAACTCTATTGTGCCATGGATAATAAACACTAAACTTTTACATTTTTTTTATTTGTATGCCTCTACTCAACAAACGAGTGATTGTGTTGTGTTTCTATGTGTCCTCTGTTACCTCTTTGTCGATTTTCAAAAGCTTCTTCACAGCCACCTCCTTGTCTTGGGATATCCAAAGGGCTCTGTAGACACTCCCAAAGCTGCCGCCTCCACAGTTCTCATAGAAAAGCAAGTCCTCATGCTTTATCTGTACAAATGACGAGCCAGGGGACGACATGGCATACTGACTCACGCACACTCACACACACGCCACTCTCTTAAAAAACAAAAAGGAATAAAAAAAACAGAGCCTTAACTCCCAGCTGATGTCTACAACTGGGTAAAGTCACGGATCCGCACAAGGAGGGGGTGATGAGGAATGAAACACAGCAGAGAAGTTTCCTCCACGGGGTTTGGAGAGGATGTTGTCAGTCAGCAAGGATAAACTAGAAAGTGCTGGAAAGAGAGAGAGACGTTTTCTCTCCTGAGTCAGGACCCGTTGACTGCCACCGCCAGACAAGAGTGTTACATTGCCTGATGGTGGTGATTCAGCGTAACTGCAACACACACACACACACACTCACACGCACACACACACGCACACACATGCACACACATGCACACACACACGCACACACGCTCACACACACACATACACACACACACAGACACACACACGCATGCACGCATGCACGCACACACACACACACACACACACACACACACACACACACACAGACAATCTCACACACACACACACACACACAGAGACTCAAGGAGGAAGGAGGGATGAGCAAGTATCTGTGTCAGGCCTGCCTTCAGCAGACACTGTTCAAATATGGTCACTGGCATGCAGGGCATTCCTCCTTCCTGGATAACTGTGGCTATATTAAGTTATACACACACACACACACACACACACACACACACACACACACACACGCACGCACACACACACACACATACATACACACACACACACACACACACAGACACACGCACGCACACACACACACACACAGCTCTGGTCCATAGTGTGCCTGGCATACTAAGTGAGTTAGTAACTACTAGACCGACTTCCACGGATACCTCAGTCCATCACTCACACACACTCCTGCTATAAAAACACACACTCACCACAGGAGCAAGTACAGCATGTTATTTTAACAGGCAGGAACTCTGACGTCACCCAGCAGGATAGCCACAGTGACATCACTGTGTGTGGACAGGTGAGATCAGCAGTGGGAATTTACAACAATTCTCAGTTTCCCATAGAGTCAAATACCAGCTACGACTTTAGAGCAGCACTCCAGATGAAACCTGACGTCTGCTGGCAGTCATTAGGAGCTGCAACAGTCGCTGATTAGGAATGTGTTTAGAGAGGCTTGAACTTAAATAGATAATTAAATAATGTCTGGGCCACCAACCTTGTTTCTTACATAAGCAAAGGCTTTTTGTCTCTGTGATAATGTCTCTATGTAGCGGTAGTGGGAGTTCTGCTTGTTGCTTTGGTCTTCCTGGTGTTTTATCATCCGGCCACTCTTTTGTGCCTTGTAGACGTAGAATCTTGGCTTGTGCGTGATGATGCTCGTAGGATGGGAAACAAATGCCATCTACATCTAAATCTGCAAGCTGCTTGGTGAGGGTCCATATGCGCCTCAAAGGAACTTTTTATTTTCCGTTTCGTTCCGCCAAAATAAGTTTTCTCCACGGGGTGGCTGGGCTCAGCCTTAGGGATAGGATGAGGAGCTCGGACATTCAGGAGAGACTCTGAGTATAGCCGCTGATCCTCCACATCTAGAGTAGTCAGTTGAGGTGGTTTGGGCTTCTTGTCAGGATGCCTCCTGGACGCCTTCCCAGGGAGGAGTTTTAGGCATGTCCTGCCAGCAGGACACGTTGGAGAAAGTATATCTCACAACTCGCCCAGGAACACCTTGGGGTCCTACTGGAGGAGCTGGTGGAGGTGGCCAGGGAGAGGACAGTCTGGAACTCCCTAGTTGGGATGCTGCCCCCACGACCTGGACCTGGATAGGCAGAACAAGACGAGGAGTCGAGACAAGACGAGACGAGACGAGATGACGTTCAAACGCCAGTGGCTTATTGTCATTTGAATGCTGCTGTTGTGTCTTTGGGCAAGACATTTAACCCACCTTGCCTCCTGGTGGTGGTTAGAGGGACTGGTGGTGCCAGTGTTCAGCAGGCCTCGCCTCTTTCAGCGCACCCCAGGGCAGCTGTGGCTACATTGTAGCTCATCCCCACCAGCGTGTGAATGGGTGAACGACTGATTGTGACCTTGGGGGTTGTAGAACCCTAAGAAGGTGCTATACAAATACAGGCCATTTACCATTTTAAGATTTAAAGGTGCATTATGTAAGAATTAAGTCAAAATGTGGTCAAATGTTGTTACTGCAGCCCATTTTCCAAACAAAAGAGTAATTTTCTCACTCCCATTCTATTAGTTTCATGGCTGTTGCCAGCTACGACTCAACACCGGAAGATACCATGACAAGTGAAGACGAGTCATACGCAAAAATCTGATGAGTAGATAAATACATTTCAGTGTAATATTGAATTGTTGGTAATTGAACAAAGTGCTGGAGATGTTTTTAGAGCCGACTATTTGCTTATAATTTACTGTTAGCATTGTTAGCTAAACGTTAGCCTCTAGCCTCCTTCACCCGATCTTAGAGTAAAACAAAAAGATGCCGGGCCTTCTTAGGAGTACAAGAAATAACTTCCGGGTCACTCCTGTTTACTGGCTTAGGATCTTCACAAATCACTGCTGCATTTTGTCGACAGGTGTTGAATTACAAATGGTGCAGCGTTAGCCAGCAGAGACTCAGCAACCCAGAGGGCTCACTGGTTGTAAACAAAGACAACGTCCTTCTTTTTATATTTTTGTAAAGGAGGGAGACTGACAACTCCCCAACTGGCTGCAAAATAAATCTGTTGTAGTGTAACATTCCTTCAGACACGATTATTAAACCTTTGTGATTATTTTGCTGTGAATGTTTTACATATTGTACCTTTAAACAAAGTGAGCCAATAAGCACCACGGACGCCGATCAGCCCCCTCACCCTCAAGCTCTACCCACAGGGCAAAGATCCCGACCCGAATAAACATCACTGGGGCAATATTGCTGATAAATTAGCTAATTTTATTTTATTTACAAGGCAGACTACACATAAAACAGTTTACAGGTAGCTTTGGGGAAAGCCAGCCTCACACACCATCACAACAAAAGCTCCTGAGATCAAAGGAAAAGGAATGACACGCTCTGAATCTACGTATACAAAAATAAAACCACACAGACTGAACACAACTGCTCAATATGACAAGGGTTCTCCTCAAACCTCGATTTATGCTCTAAATCTACAAATCAGTCCCCAGTTTAACCAATCAGCTGATCTCAGAACAGATCAAATCAAGCATTGCCATCATCCAAAATGATTTATATTTGTAGTTGCATCTAACAGAAAAGAGAATTCTTCACTGGACGTATTGGATAATTTTGTAATACTATTAGGGTATTCAACAATCCAATACTCTGTTAATTCGATTTAAAGTGTCTGACTAGTTAAAATATTCTGATTTTACATGAAGAAATCTTTAATATTTCAATTTGGTTTCTGATTAAAAACATTTAAACTATAAAGTAAATACATACGCTGAGATTTCTGTGCATTTGACATGATAAAAAGTAGTTTGAAACACTACAAACTAGATCTTCCGGTGAAAAGGGTCGTCCAGTTTGTTCGACAGCCAGATTAGTCAGTTATTGTAAACTAGGACTCATTTGGGGTGGTACAACAGTACAGGACTCTCTGATAGAAACCCACTGTATAGAACACAAAGCATATGTAATTCAAACATGCAGGATATTGGTTCACGTTCTATACATTATAGTTCTATCTAAGAGGTCCCAAACAGTAACAACTAGAAAAATTCAAACCATCGGTCCAGGAGCTGACACACAGCGACGAGAGCAGCTGAACAGAAGGAAGAGGCTTTTAACGGCACAGTTTAAGTCCTTGATCTTTGACAGTAGAGCTAAAGTCACTACTGGGATTTGCTACTAAATGTCCCCTTGTTTTTGAGTTGTGTAAATGTGTAACTGTGTGTATTTTTGTTTATGCTAACATCACAGACAAGGCGACGATGGTGGAAGATTTGGAGCTCATGTCCGCCGAGGCTCCAGCCTGTAGGAGAGCTGTGTCAGCGCTCTCTGGTTGTCAATCACGCACAGCTTCCTAACATAGCCTCGTACCTCAGCCTGGTTCTTATTTGGCTGGCAAATGTCAGGATCTAAAGGAACATGGAGACCAGATAGAAGAATCGGTTTCGTGTCAACGCGCCAGGAATTACAGGGTGATGTGCAGACTTACTGAAGGGTTGGCTTCGACAGTTCCTCACTTGTCGAATTGTGTTCGCTATAATACGCTAACATGAAAAAATTCAAAACTGATTTATACATCACATCAACAAGAAGGAAAATCTGCAAAAAGAACATTTCACACAAAATAAATAAGTCTAATGGCTCCTTGGAGTCATTTAAAACTCACCATTTTCTCAAAATTGACCATGTTGTCAATGAATGTTTTGTTGCCTTCATGTGTAAAAGTCATATCTGTGAAGAAATATGATTAGTGCTCACTTTATTACATTTTACATTATGTTGAATGAAGAAAAATGGAGTTCTTCAGGTTTCTCTAGTGATGCCTACCTTTGAGAAGGAGAGGCATGAAGGGGATGATGGGTGCTTCCAGCTTGGTAACGGTAAGTCGATAAGACCGGTGGTTTCTCGATGGATCCTGACATGAAACATGTTTAAGAGGTTGATATTAAAACAAAGCTGTTTGTTTCTTAGTTTTTAGGCATTGGTACTTCAGTATATGAGCTACTCTTATCCCATCCTCTGCAGTAAAAATAACAATGACAGATAAAGTGGACAGTTTTTTATCTTTATTTTCCTACTCTGACCTTAGAATTATTTCTAATTACTTTATAAAATGTAATATTGTTTAATGCTAATTAAACTGAATGATATGACTCTTTAAAGGTGCATGAAGTAAGAATGACGTCATGTGGTCAAATCTGAAAACTGCAGTCCATGTTTAAAACCAAAATTCAGTTTTCTGGAAGGATGCCGTGCCTTCTTAAGCTGTTTTTACAAAACAACGCTGTCAATTTGCTGCAACGTCGTGGCGGCATCAAGGAGTCTTAGGTCATTTTTGAGTGATCAGACCGTGGCGGTGATGTGGCGCAATCGTGTCCTTTTTAAAAAAAAGACTACGCGAGGATGGCATAAAGGGGGTATGGGGTGGCCTCTGTGCTGCCGCGGACTTCCATTTATCTTGAACACAACTTGCTTTTTATTGTGACTGAAGCAGCAATCATTATGTTTTTTACATAAGTCGCTCCTGAAGGTGTCTGTCCTACGAACTGCCCGTGCAGTTTCTGGAGCTCTGAGCTTCAGCTCTAATAGAGAGAGGCTCCTGGGGCGCTGCATCGCTTCAGTTTGCCATCTCAGCTGGTTCTGTTTACAAAAGCCAAACTTACGGCCCGTGTTTAATTTCATTTTCAATATAATTGTCGGCCGGAGCTCGGCAGTAACTCCCCACATGTTCACACTTCCCTCTGTTGCACCAAGGCGCAATCGCCGTTTATAAGGCAGATATCTACCGCAACATTTCTACCAAGTGAGGTGGAACAAATGCTGTAAAATTTGCACATTGTCATGCCAGCATGGTGTGTTTATAAGACACACCGTTGCAGTGATATTACATTGATTTGCTGGCATGACGTGTCTTGTAAAAAAGAGCTTCAGAGTTACTAAAATTACTTCTGGGCCGCTCTGTTTACTGGCTTCCATGCTGTCCACAACGCTGCTGCTCTTTACCGGCCGGTGTTGAATTACTAATGTCTGCACACTCATTGAAGACCTGGCAACCTTGTGGGTTCACATGGGATTGGCTCTGAAACCAGGAAGTATGGAGGTGGGACAGATTGTAAACAATGGCCTCATCCCTCTTTGGTCTTTTTAAAAGGAGAAAGGAAGGAAATCAGTTTCAATGTATCTTTCCTTCAAAAATTATTGAGTTATTAGAAGGTTTTGTGATTATTTCGCTGTAAAATTCTTACTTATTGCAGAAAGTTAAATCCCTTTTATCATGGATTTTGATAAACGTCAAAATAAAACTCACCATCATGCTCTCAAACTCAGCGTAAAACTTCTTAAACTTGGTGGGTAGTTTCTGCCAGTAAATAAAAACAAATGTTACCTCAGTGATATGAACGTAAAAACAAGACCTTCTTAATTTTACTGTTGAACATTCAGTTCACCTCCCATGTTTGGCTCAGTCTGCTGACCGCAGGGTTGCTCATCCCCATAATGATGGCAAAGAATGAATTAAGGTTCTTGAATTCTCGACAGCTGCAAACAGAAAATGAAAGGATGTATTAAAGCAACAGTAATTAAACACTTTAAGCTAATGCTTTCAAACTGGTTTGAGTGGTTCTTGAGCCAGAAACTTGAGCAACTTCCCATCGGACAGATCTCTGTAGCCCTGTGCTGACCAGAAACTGCACTTAACAGTTTTGTGGTTCAGGTATGAAACTAGTGGGAAGTCTCTGTTTGTTTTATGGCAGTATCGGATCACCATGCTGGTAGTTTACATAAAGATTAGCCGTTAGCTTTTTTTGTTCACTGGCTTGAGAAGAAGAAGAAAAATGAATGAATGAATGAATATCGACTGGGCATGCACTCATTTAAGGGAGCAGAAGGAGGCTACAAAGTCATGGACTGATGGTGGCCTGGCTTTGTTGCTACTGGACTTGTAAGTAATAATGGGTATTTCCACTTTGTTAGCTCGCTGTTCGCGCTAGCTACAGCAGAATGTGGCAGGCTTGTTGAGGCCTGTCGTAATTCCACTTTCATCCAGTAGGAGGAGGAAGTGGGAAACTAAAGTAATTATTCCTGATGTATGTGGGAAGCATCCAACTCACTGTGCAGCTATCTTAATAAACTTCTTGAGGAGTTGCACTCTCTTGCTGAGCTGAGTGCAGAGGCAGACTTCGGTGACCACCCACAGCTGGACCTGGTTAAACCTTCTCAGGAACAAATCCAGATTAGCTGTGGTTCTTTTAAAGCTCTGACGGCCGAACGTGTGGTAGAGCAGCTCATGCTAGCAGACAAAAAGAAAGGAAACAAAAAGATAAATAAGTTTAAACTCAAAGCAGTCATGGTGAGGTTTGTAGAGTCTTAAAAAGTCTAAAAACGTTGGTTTGCATCATACACTTCTCTGTTGATGCTGTTTTCAGTACAGAGCTCATGCTTAATGAGTACCTCATGCACACAACTGAACAGCTCCCAGTCATACATCGTCATTTGATAAGCCAGGTCTTTGGAGCTCATCAGCTCAAATGTAGACATGGAGCCTGCAGAGGGACCCTCCTGGTCTGGAAGAGGGGTCTGATGCACACAGATTGTATGATTGCAGGGCCGAAGCAAGAAATGAGCAAAAATGTATAATCAAGATACTGCACCCACCCGTATTAAACAAAATTATCACTGTTGTTTAGATTAAATCATATTTGCACATGGAAGACATCAGACTCTCACCACACTGCTGAGCTGGTCTCGAGGACAGGCTAAAAGCCTCCCATTGATACTTAATGTAGAAAAGACTGACACGTCATTGGGCTTCAGAATCTGTTTTTCTGTTACACAAAGGGAAATGCGTGAGCTTAATAACACGATGAGCCACCAGTTGTTTACATTTGACCTTTTCTTACCAGCAGCGGAGCTGAGGTGGATCAGCAGGAGCTCATCGGTGGTGCCAAGTTTGTCGCTCACGGCAGCGATCACCTCCCTCCCGGTTGCTGCCACTGCAATCCTGATTGTGGTGTAGGTGTGATCGCTGCAGAACACCTTCAGGAGGACTAGGAATACAAAGGCACAATTACAACTGTTACTGATTTGAAATGTTTAAAATAAAGCAGTTTCATAGTAATAATACCCACCCCTTCGTTTCACGTGTAGCTATCATGTTAGGATCCCTACGGACCTTATCCGATTAACCTCTCAAACCTTTCATGCACGTGTGTATGTTGATGTGCATGTGTATACAAGTATGTATGGCTACAGTATGGGTGTCTCTATATATGCAAACAATTGTTTCTACATGTCAGTTTTTTACTTTTTATCATATTTTTCTTCCTCATACATCAGTTTTATTTAATTCTATCTATTTGTCGGCACGAGAAAGAATTATTTTCAAATCCATTCACCCCTTTTCATGGTAACTACACGTTATGTTCATATGATGCTGCATTTAAATTGAAGGCCATCGATCTGGCAGTAAAGGAGGGAAACAGTGCTGCCGCACGTAAGCTTGGCATGAATGAATCCATGGGTCGGCGCTGGAGACGGCAGCGGGAAGAACTCATTCAAGCCAGCTTCACCCGGGGATGGTAACAGCAACACGGACAGCGACACTGACATCGCCACAGAAAAGGTATGTGACGAAGCTCTTCTGAGGCTGTTCAACTCCGACACAGAAGAAGAGGACTTTAATGGCTTTAGTGCGCAAAAGGAAGAAGAGAGCGAATGACTTTCTGGCAGGCAAGTGTGTTTTATTTACTAACCAGGCATGTTTTGTGTGCAGTTTTTATTTTCTAATCATCCGGGGCTTATTAATGCTGTGTCAGCGCTGTTATTTTCTTCTAAACATGCATGCAAATAACCGGTAATAACGTGTCAGTTCTGTTTTTATTTTATAACCATCCAGAAATATGAATGCTATCAATGCTGTTTTCTTTTCTAAACTTGCAGGCACGTTCACCCGTGTTTAAAATTTGTTTTCTTGAATTAAAACAACAACGAAAAACCTCCGTGTAGCGTCTTTGTCTAATTATCTTATGTTATGGCCATACATGCGCTGTGCGCTGGAGACCTGCATGTGGCTGCTGCGCTGCGGCTTGTATTCGAGTGCGGCGTGTGTGTGTGTGTGTAGAAAACCTATTTTTTTTGCTAGTGCGGCTTATATTGAGGTGCGCTCTATAGTCAGGAAATTATGTATATGATTTATTTTTATTTTTCACACACAACTTACTGTCATCTTGATTCCTGATGGGCTGCTTCTTCTGCAGCCTTTCCTCTCCATTGCTGAACTGCCGTATCAGGGTCTTCTGATGAATTGTGCGATGACAAGACACACTTATTACAACCAGAATAGTCTATTTTAATAACACACATCTACTCTATAAGATCACAGGTTCACACCAACCTTTTTTGTTGATTTGATTTCCTCAGAGCTATAAAAAGTAAAAAAGCAACACGATGAATAAGGCTCGTACAAAAACTTTCCAATGAAAGCAGAAGGTGGAGAAAGTGACACATACTGTAATTTCACCACTTTTTCAAGGTCGGGAATGAGATCTTTCATGCCTCTCAGGGTCCGAGAATCATTTGATGCGCTTCCGTACAACTCCTCCAGAATCAGACAGGAAGGATCACTCAGACTGGGCAAAACATCTACGTAGTTTCTGTAACGAACTCGTATCTGTGAATTGCTCACCTCCAGGAAAGAGATTGCAGCAGGCTCCTCCTGTAGGAGGTAGGTGTGTGTGTTTGCCCAGCGCAGTGCCAGGATGAGGACCCTCCTTTTATTGTTAAGAGAGTATTCCAGCCTTTCCGGCTCAGAGCCCGGCGGAGATGCAGCATGGTAGGTGCACACACGGTCAAAGGTAAATAATTAGGAAGACGCTAGTTTCAAGCCTGGTTTTCAAACCTAAATAATCACAGGTGCTGTCTAGGATTAATCAAAGCTACAGCTGGATAAATAATTCAGTTTAAAGAATAATCCGTTTCACAGCTCATAACATGAGCACGTTCCATAGACTGACTTACAAAGACCAAAAAGACAAATCACAGCTTGGTAAAAATGTAACTAAATACATTTTAAATGTAAAGGATATTGTGCCATGAGTAAAGGACAGAGTTGGCTGTTTGGCATGAAGATGCACTGCATGAGAACAAAATCATCCACCGCTGGGTCTAACAGAAAAGAGCAGAGACAGAGAGAAAGAAAGGAGTCAGAAGAGAAACGAATTATTTAAAAAAATAAGTTGCAAAAGTTATAAGTGATGTCAGAAAGAATACTCTTTATATTTCCTAATAATAATAATCAGAAAGTAAAATGTTCTATTTCTAAATATGTTTCTAAAATAATGTTCTTGTTTCCACATCTTGGTTATCTTGTTTGTATTTATTTGTCTTTACTTATTCTTTTAGATTTTCAAGTGAAAATCAAAAAGTGCCTGGAATTTTTAACACAAAAATGATCACACATAATCAGCCTGTTATCAATAACATTTCGATTTTAGCATTTTTATGGGGTTTGTTTATTATTTTTAGGCTACCTGGTTCATTGTGATGAATGTCCAGTCTCATAGTCTCTAGGAAGTGATCAAGAATCTTCTCTGGTGTCCCTGATATCACAGTGTATCTGCAAAAATGTAGGTCGAGACATTTATTTTAATGTCACAATGATTGTACACATTTTTATTTGTTTGTCTAAATATGTTAGCAAAAAAACTGTGTTAATGTTTATTGCAGAAAAGCAAAAAGACAATTTATATCCAAAATCCAACATTTATTTTAAATTCCATCTCGACACAGGACAAGCTGTAAAATACCAGGACTGGGTTTAAGTAATGTCACATACTTGATACTTCCCAGGGTGGATGCTCGAGGACTCTTCTCTAAAACCAGCACCACTTGCTCATGCTCTTTCAAACGCACCGTGTTAGCTTCCACATCCTAAAAACATGAGCAGAACATCAGCATGAATGGGACATTTGTGTTGCAGTACAGCTGATCAGTCAGCAGAGGGAGACTAACTTCACAACCAGGCTGCATCATGAAACTCCCCTTTGTAAGTAGAGGGATGTATAAACTCCTGATTACAGTATAGTTGGTTTATGTGTGCAAACATCAGCCCACCCTGAGTATCCTGTTGAAGTCCTCCTTGTCCACACGCAGGAAGTGGCAGTTGTCCTCTCTCAGGACAATGGAGGCAGCTCGAGGTGAATCTGTAACCAGGGCTAGCTTCCCAAAGTCATCACCCTCATGAAGTGTGCACACCACACCCTGGAATACACAAAAATGAATGCATGAATGCACAGGCAGATAAGCAGATATAAATTAGCTCAGACGCAAAGACAATTTGAAAGTCATCACAAGCCCCAAAGACATCCAGACAGGGATGAATCATCTGTCCTTGTCTGTTCACTTGCACAGAGCCCATTTGTGTGTGTGTGTGTGTGCGCGTGTGTGTGTGTGTGTGTGTGTGTGTGTGTGTGTGTGTGTGTGTGTGTGCGCGCGTGTGCGTGCGTGCGTGCGTGTGTGTGTGTGTGTGTGTGTGTGTGCATGTGTGCGATCAGCGAGTGTGTTGTGTTTGTCTGTCCTCTAGTTGGATGGTGTGATTTTTGTGTCTGCATGCAATCCCTTCAGCCAGTTAATCATTGTGATGAGTCATGCTGAGCTGAGGAGAGTTGGCCAAACTCCACTGCTAGTGTTTCCCATCTCCTCGGGGGACTCAGAGCTGGTCTTCTTCATGTGGACATGACGTGTTTAATCCATCGCATGCACATGTTCAAATGAAGCAAATAAAGACCCTCCAAAATCTGCCTTCATGTCAAAAACAAAACAAATCACACACCTTGCCATAAATTACCACATTAACAGAGCCCTTCTGGATGATGTACCAAGATGTGCCCTCCTCTCCTTGGTTAAACACTGGAAAATAAAGAAACAAACATATAATTTATTCCTGGCAAGAGTTAAAAGTTCAGCTTACTTTTCCCAGGCAGAAACTTTGACAGTAAAACATGAAAACTCACACACAGTTCCAGCTTTTGCATGAGATTCAAAGATCACAACGCTCGCCAGTTCCCGCTTTACCTGCAAAGTAAAACACAGATTGCAACTGCAGTGTGAAAAGACAAAACAACACAAATAATTCAGGAGTCTTTAAACACGTGTAGTTCTTCATGTTGTGCATTTTCTGTTTATTGTTTGAAAAGTCATATTGATCTGAAACTAGACTGATTTGGCCAAGTTTCAGCATGAGGGTTCAAAAGATTAATGGAGTTTAAACTAGTTCAGATGGTAGAAAAATGTTTTCAGTCTCTTGACGAAAACCTGCTTAAAGCAGCAACCACCCCCATGTAGAGTCCCATGCATTTTGAATTAAGCGCCACTCAGTATTAGCCATTAGCGCTACTCATTCACTTACATGCAGATGTCAATCACAGAGGATGTGCAAGCATTTGTGGGATTACCTAGACTGATGCAGAGTTGGAAATATCTCTTATGGACAAATAAGCTTTTAATATGTATGAATAAACAGCATAACATGAGAATAATAATTGTGAAACAATGTGTTTTTGCTCTGTTGGCCAGCTACGGGTGCACGTTCACAAACGAGAGGCGTTGCTTTCAGCAGTAATCATGGATGTAGGAAGTGGGGCTAAAGGTGCAATACCTTTTTCTGCCTCTAGATGGTTCCAATTGATAAAAAAAAACTCCAGATTTCTGCTTTAAAGGAGCAATATGTAAGAAATATACAGTGAAATAATCACAAACAGTCTAATGCCTTACTCATGTTGGAAGGAAGGTTGCATTGAAACAGATTTTCTTGTCAGCCAGTTGGGGGCTTGTCAGTTTTTCTCCTTTCAAAAAAGCTAAAGACGTTTACACTCTGTGATGTTGCAGAGTCCGTGTAAATCTAACTCTGCAGCGCTGGCATTTGTAATTCAACACCGGCAGGCAAAAGCTCCAGAGTTGTTTAAGGAACTGAAGCCAGTAAACAGGAGCGACGCAAAATTTCTTGTACCCTTAAGAAGTCACAACATCTTTTTGTTTTACTCTAATATCAGGGGAAGAAATCTAGAAGCTAACACTGGGCTAACATTGAGCTAGCAATGCTATCAGTGAATTAGAAGCAAATTGTCGGCTCTAAAAATATCTCAAGTAATTTTTTTCAATTACCAACAACTCAATATTACAGTGAAATGTATGTGTGAATAATGAGTGAATCATGGCGTTTCACTTCCTTTAATGAGTCATTCAGAATTATAACAGCAAGCTAACAGCAAGACAGCAAACAACCACTCTTCCTACTCTACTATAAAACAGCCAAGAGTGCTAGCACCAGATATGACAACGTTTTTTTCTTCTTATCAACTTACTATGTATGACTCGTCTTTGCCTATCATCTAGAATCCACTGGTGCTGATCCATAACTTGCAAATGTCATGAAACTCACAGAACGGCATGAGAGACTCACGTTTTGGTTAGAAAAATGGGCTGCGGTAACCAGATCTGGTGAAAAGACATCATTCTTCATTCTTACATAATGCACCTTTAATGTTTAAAGATAATTAGCATTGCTGTAATATTAGCTTACAGTAGTAAACAACCTGGCACAGACTTTGATACTCCTCTGTGATGAAAGCCATAGATTTTTTTTTCTCGGCTCTCAACATTGTCCCTGAAAAAAAGTTTAAAAAATAAATACACCTGGAGTTTCTGACTCACAGTGTTGGAGAGGTGAGCTAAGGCCTTGATGTGAAGCAGCTCATCATATATGATCTCCAGGTCATCACCTGTCCTCTGACCTGGCCTTCAGAAACACAATAAGGTTCATTAGAATGAAAAATCACTCTCTGCTTTGATCATTAAAATAACCTACTTTTTTTTTTCATCTAAAATAAAGTTAACATTTCACATACTGGTGACGTTTATCAAGAATGCTTGTTTGGAGTGTACTTGTTTTACTGTTAGCAGACTGAATTATGTAATTATGTAAATGACGTTGATATGTTTGGATTTTCTGTTACTGACGACTTCCGGAGGATCAAGCGCAGCAGAGCGTCAGGGCCAATCTGAGCGAGGAAGAGGATGGTTTCAGGCAGCTCTTCCTCACTCTCTCTCTTCTCCTCCTCACTAGGTAAGGGTGTGTCTTCTTCCTCATCATCAAGGAACCGATAGAACAGGTACTTGTCCTGGAAGCCCAGCTCCTGGTCCACTGAAAGAGAAATGAACACCAATAATGTTATTTTAGACAGAGTTTAAAGATAGCGGAGTTCAGATCCAGATTTAAAGTACTTAAAATTCATGAGAAATTCCAGCTTTAATGTTCAAATAAAAAAATGATCAGTTTTTCTATCAAAACTTGAACTTTAAATTAGACTGACTTAGCCTGAAATTGTTCATATGATTTCAGTGAGATTATTTACATTTAGAACATGTTTTTATGTCTTTGAACTTTCCACACCTAAATAAAAAATAAAACATTGAGTGTTTTCCGCTGCAACCAAATCCTCATTTCAGTTCAAATCTCATGATAAAGTATTTTACACTTCACTAAATCATCTGATTGTGTTTTTGCTTCACAAAGCTGTTTTTTTTCTAACAATAATTTTAAGAAATACTAACAATCCTAAATAATTAGAATAAAGCATTAAAACAATCATGCTGAACCACTTTGCTAATTCAAAACCGGCTGTAGCAGCTCATTATGACTAATGGATGGGACTGTACCTGACAGCATGCGGTTAGGTATTTTAGTGCATTTAAGAGATAGCTACCATGGTTGAGAACTCCTTCCTCTAGCAGAGCCTGCCACATCCCAACAGCATGTGAGCGTGTTAGCACACAAGCGCTCTGCATCACCAACCAGTCCACCAGCTCTGTGCCTACACAGCACTGCCTACACGAATGAAAACACACAGCTCAAACATTAAAGGTTTTAAAGGTTTGTAATAAGTACTTCTAATTACACTCAATCACATACTTGTACGTTTTGAGGTGATATTTCCTGTCACGGATCATGTGCGGCGCTCTCGACAGGATGGCGTTACGGAGAACTTTTCCTGCTCTCCTCAGCTTCTCTGAGGGAATCTACAAGAAACAAACCAGAACTTGACAAACTCTGTTGTAATACACATATTCCGTACCATCCATTCAATATTGTCTGCTTATCCGGAGTAGGGTCCCGGGGGCAGCAGCCTAAGCAGAGAGGCCCAAACTTCCCTCACCCCAGCCTCTTGAGCCAGCTACTCTGGGGAATACCAAGGTGTTCCCTGGCCAGCCGAGAGACAATTGGGCCATTCCCATCTGTACCGGGTCGGCCCGGCCCGGGTAGCCCCAGTCGGCCCCAGCCTGGCCCGGTTGATTCCACACATCCTTGTCTTAAGCCCATGTGGGCTGATTCTACCCACCAATCAGAGGCTTGCTCTGGGTGGGTGTGTTGGCCCTGGTCGGCCTGAAGCAGACCCCCTCGAGAAGAGGGCTGAGAATGAGCCTTGGTTGGCCCGGGAAAATACCAGGCCACCCAGATATGTAAACAACCTTCGCTACCCGGCCCGGGCCGACCCGGTACAGATGGGAATGGCCCAATAGACCCTCCAGTGTGTCCTGGGTCTTCCTGTAGGTCTCCTCCCAGTTGGATGTGCCCAGAAAACCTAACTAGGGAGGCATCCTAACCAGATGCCCAAGCCACCTCAACTGGCGCCCGTCGATGTGGAGGAGCAGTGGGTCTACTCCTAGCTCCCCCTGGATGACTGAGCTTCTCACCCTACCTCTAAGGGAGAGCCTCTTTTTGACTGCTTGTATTTGTGAAAACCCCGTGACCATAGGGGTGAGTAGGAACGTAATTTGGCTGGTGAACTGAGATTGGACATTCACCAAAACAGGCCGGTACAACTTGCCTTGTCTCATAGACAAACGTGCAAATGCACACAGAAACAGCTGCTGTTGAAAACCACAAAGTAAAGCATGTTATGTGGGCAGATGGGATCTTTCTTCAATCTGCACGCATTAACCTGCATTAGCATAACTACAGAGCGTCAGCGCTCTGAGTCATCAGTGGTCTCTGCTCAGAAAACACATCCTGGTTCATTCAGAAACACATGAAAGTACACAAGACAATCCACACAGATGTATGGGGGGGTCGGCACTTTAGATCGCATTTGCCCTAATAAAGACAACCTAACACAGCCCAGCGACTGTGTGACGAGTCCTTTGCTGTTTAAACACCTGAGGAAACCCTAACTGTGGTGCAGAAGAAGACTTTACCTTGTGAGCTTTGTTTGCAGAGTCTGAGTTCATGCTGTCTTTATCTGTGAGTCCTGAGGAGAAATGATGTCATGGGTTTGAATTTAGGGAATCTTAAAACACAAATGCTTTTATGCATCTTTACAGACAATTCCATTAAAAAGTAAGGTTGTTAATTTTCAATTATCTTTTGCACAAACTCAAAGCGCTGCTTTTGTTGGTTTCAGACACTGTTATGGATGAACTTACTGTCATTGTTGGATCCACCCTCCATGGCTCCATAAGGTGGAGCCAAAAGTCCAGCCAGGCTCTGACGATACTTCTGCAGGGCCCCACACACACACACACACACACACACACACACACACACACACACACACACACACACACACACACACACACACACACGCTAAAAACCTCTGGTGAAATATTCATTTAAGCTTAGAAAAATTCATAAATGAGAAAAGTGGCTGCTTGTATCCAAGCAACAGTCGGGCTAGGAGCTTTTTAAATCTCCTAAATGCTGCAGAAAGAGCTTCCTTTATCATCTACTTCAGCATAGGAGGCACCGGATCATCCGTGATGAAAGGAAAGGAAATAATTTCGTCACCCATTTCCCAGTGGCGGCTACTTTCAAAGCGACGATTGCTTATTGTCATTATAACTGAGATGTATATGAATCGATAAAAGGATGCAGGGGTTGAGTGTGAGCCTTCTGTGAAACAGCGTTTTTCATTCTGTGCGTTTTTATGTCATTCCTACCTACCAACGTTTTTAATTTTGTCATATTTTACATGCAAACAATTATATGAAATCTATCATATAATATAGTAGTTTGAGTGCTGAGGAACAAGACTGTTGAAATTTTTGGATCTGCATCTTTGTTTTGATTTTAAAGTTCTTAAAAATGTCTCCAATCATTTAGGGAGAGCAGTAGCTCAGGTGGTAGAGCGGGTTGCCTCATGATCGGAGGGTCATGGGTTCGATTCCAGCTCTCGCCAGGGGTATCCTGCTGTTGTGTCCTTGGGCAAGACACTTCACCCAACTTGCCTGTGTTAGTGGTGGTCAGAGGGGCCGACAGCGCCAAATGGCAGCCTCGCCTCTGTCAGACCTCCCCAGGGCGGCTGTGGCTACAAGTAGCTTACCATCACTAGCAGTGTGTGAATGTGAGAGTGTGAAAGCGTCTTTGGGGGTCTAGAAAAGCGCTATGTAAGTTCAATGCATTATTATTATTATTATTATTATTATTATTATTATTATAGTAGGTCAGGAGGTAGAGCTGGTTGTCCAGTAATTGGAAGGTTGCAGGTTCAATTCTGGCTCCAACCAGAAAATGCTGCTGTTGTGTCCCTGAGCAAGACACTTAACCCACCTTGCCTGCTGGTGGTGGTTGGAGGAACCGGTGGCGCCAGTCAGTAAACCCCAGGGCAGCTGTGGCTACATCGTAACTCATCCCCACCATTGTGTGACTGATTGTGTTGTGAAGCGCCTTGGGGGGTTGTAGAACCCTAAGAAGGCGCTATACAAATACAAGCCATTTACAATTTTCCAAAACTCATGACATTTTTCCAAGTATGACAAGAGGGTGATTCCTTTAGCTTTAGCCATCCTCTCTCAGCAGGCTTTCTTCCCAACCCATTCTCATAATGTCTAACAAGGCATCCAATCAGATAAGCTAACAAACTCGACCTTTCAGGAAGTGTTTTAAAATTATGTAAATAACAGTTTCTTTGTTTTTTTTATTTTACTGATGAACCACCTGATCTACTCAGAAAACGGAGTGTAGCGTACGCTCCAGTAAACATCAGATCCCTTTAATGTTTTGTCCCCCCACCCAAAGGCACACAGTGTTACGTGAACACAGAATCTCAAGTGCTCCTTTAAAACAAAGCTTTTTGTACAAGCAAGACCATTTATATGCAGAGCATCTAAGGTTATATAATCCAAAACACACAGAGCAGCTGCACCTAACAGCGTAAAGCTGTTGAGCCTAAACAGATGCTGTTCTTACAGCTGTTACCTGGATTAGATTTAATTTTTTTTGTTACAAAGTCGTTGAAACACACAGCGTGTAGTTTTGAGTCACAATGTGCAACTGCTCCTCTGCGAGGTCATTATCAAGCAACCCATGTTTCCTGAGGACTGCCAGGAACGCACAGAGGGAAACAGAGAGAGCATCTGTTTGACCTAAAGACACAAGCACTCCCCTGTCCTCACACAAACACACACACACACACACACACACACCTAAATGCTGCCTTCCAGGATTAAATATAAGCAAACAACATTTAACGATGAAAACAAGACTAATGAATTCTAGCAGATTTTCTTGTGTCATGCCCAAATGTCCATCAAAGAGTCAGGCTCACCTGATGTAACACACTCTGTCTGCTGCCTAACGCTGGAGAGACTGAAACCCTGGAGAGCTGCCCTCTGCTCCTTTACAACTCAAACACACACACACACACACACACACACACACACACACACACACACACACACCCCATCAGATAGCATCCCACTCCAAAGAAGCTGCTCTCCTCCTTTTTTCTGCTTCCGTCTTCTTCTTTTCCTCTCACACAGTTGCCCCAGGGTCTGTCTGCGTCCCTCACTCGCCCTCCCTCGCTGCGATCAAGCCAAGAGCCCTTTCTCTTGCAAGTTACCACGGTGATCTGAGTAAGACTGAGCTACCCTAGAGGAGGAATAGGTAGTGGAGGGGGCGGGGGAGCGGGAGAGGAGACACAGGAGTAGAAAGGATGAGGATGGAGAGGGAGGAGGGCAGGAGGAGCAGAACAAGTAACACGGAGGAAAGAGGAAGTGGGCATAGGAGATGGTGAATAGGGACAGGGGTGAGTAAGCAAAGTGATACAGGGGGGGAAAAGAAGCCAGCTTCTTCAGCAAGGCCGTCCAATCAGCATTTATTTTCAGATGGGTGTTTGCACCTGTTTTCCATTTATCCTCCACCCCCACCCCACCCCCACCCCCCCAACACACACACACACTTTCACATGTGAGTGCCACAGTCATGGAGTGGCACTTCTTTTCTTTCATCCTTCATCAAACGCAAACCTGCATTCATCTTGTAGCTTTCTAGTCTCTAAAACACACCTGCACACGAATCAGTACACACACACACACACACACACACACACACGTGCAGACACACTTACACAACTCAAAGCACTGTTTACCATGAGCTGGAAAAGACTCAAAGAGAACCTCGGGCTCAGTTTTCTGCTTTGTGTCCTCTCTAACAGACGGTTGGGGTGCATTTATTTGACAAGCAAACACACAACGATGCTAATGAAACAGCACGCATGCTTTATATCAATTATAGTCTTATCTCACTCTTATGTGTCCCTGCAGCATAAAATGAATCCCGTCATCTAGGCTGTGTTCTGCTACTGAAACACTGACCTTACAAAAGATACATGAAATTTAAATTATTCATTTAGACGTGGAGAATTTCAACAATTTATCAGGTGTAAGAAATCCTACAGAGTTTATTTATAACCAAAAACGACAATCTATTTCTCTCGGGTATCAGTTTTTTTGTTGTTGTTTTTTTGTCTGTTTTCTATCAGAAGCTAATAACGGGAAGCAAGAAATAGGGGTTGAAGACTATTTTCATGTTCGGCCTGCATGACAAACTCTAAGTGACTGATCCTTTTAAAAAATGCTTTCTCAGTGAACCTGCACTTTAAAGAAGCAGCCTTTATAGACCTTTAGTTTTTGGGATACCCTACCACTACCAGGAGAACTGCAGTAATGTATAATCACTTAATTAAAGGAAAAGTTGGCAGTTTGGGCTTGCTTTTAGCACCCTTAGTGTTTGTTTAGAAGAACCAAAAGTGAAACTTATCTCCTCACTGTGCGTTCATCTTTTTAACACCAAAATCTAACAGCTGAAATGTCTCCTCAGCCTTCATTAGCATCTACAGGAGTGATTCATCACTAAATCAAACAAATCAGCTGTGTTGAAGCCTTGAAAAATGACGCTGGGTGACCAAGTGTTTGTTTCTGATGCGTTGGGGCTCCCAACACGTTGGGAGGCGATGCGCTGTGCCAGAGCGTTGGTTCCCGACGCCCACGGAAAACGGAGATTTCACCGACAATTAACCTCTAGCATCTTGCTATTTCACCTTCCCTTCACCCCCATCCTAATCTTAACCCAGTTTCTAATTCTAAACCGTGTTAACTGTGTTTGAGAGGGACTAAACAACTACAAACACATTTTTGCAAACACTTGGTCATCCATCGTCAGTTTTCGACTCTTCGGGTGTGAGAACGTGTTGGTTCATGATCTAAAACATGCAGGAAATGTGCTGGAAGCGGTGGTAGTCTGGGTGATATTTCATTAACCCTGTAGCCTTGATGGCCGCTCTCAGGCCCTCGTGTTCTGCATGTATCTGCTTTTTGTTTTATGTCTGCTCGTTTAACCTTGGACAGGCTGTACTGCGGAGGCTGATTTCCTTGCTTCAGGATGCTGAGGCAACGACAATAAAGTTGATTCTGATTCTAAAGGGTCACTTTAGCACACGCTGGCTCAAGAAATTGAAAAAGTTATTAGTATGCCTTTAAAACGTTTCACTATTTATTGTGACATCAATTTTTGTTTGTCTCCTTTTCTCTGTCATAGCAAGTAACAACTGAAAAAAATAGGTTTTTCTAACCTGGCTGACCCTTTCTTAACCCAAACTATTCAGCAAAATACATGAGAAAAGAAAATTTGTGTGTTTTCAAAATCAAATTGTAACATCGTTTGAACCTATTTTCATCCCTCTGATCAAAACAAACTAAATAAATAACAAGAAAATACTTCAGGTCTGAGTATCATTCAGTCTTTTACTGCCAGTATTCATGTTGCTCATCAGTGAATTGTTTGGTGAATAATTTCTTCTAGCTGCTGCACACTGTCATATGACACAACAATAACCACCAGTTATGGTTGCAGAAGCAATGCAGAGCTAATGAACCAACTAGCTGCTCTCTCCCTCTATTAAAATAGCTCACTGTTGGGTTGCCTGAGGTGTGAATCTAATGGAATAAGCAGCCCTTTTAATAGCAGACAGCCCTCTTGTGGGTAAAAGCACAACTGCACAGCAGTCTCCAAAGAAAATAGAAACAAATCTCCTTTTATTTCTCTCTCACCTCCCAGAGGCTCTTAAACTCTCTCTGCTCAATCCGGAGCAGCTCGCTGGTCTCACTGCTGACGATAGTTGCATGACGGGGTGTGTTGTCCAGGATGGACTCCCCGAAGGCCGTCCCGATCCCCAGAGTGCAGATAGTGACAGCATCCTGTAAAAAAAATAATAATAATAATAACTGCAATGTTCATGCATGATTGATTTTACGGTGTACAATTGCAGCCTTTGTTAACGTGAGACAGAGCTGGAGAACGAAAAAGTGCTAAATATGTTCAAATATGTGAAACTTATGAACAGATTCCCCCAGTGTTGGATATAACTGGACAGGCTTCATCCACATCAACACCTCTGCTGCAGACAAATGCTGTTTGAGCCATAAAACCCCGTTCTGCTGTCCAAACTGACATTTTAGATATAAACACAAATCTAGGCCACATTTTAGGGCTTTATTTACGAAAAGGGCAAATTACAGCTAAGGAGCTCTTTTGTCTTTGTCTTTCACTTGAAACAAATGTTTAATCCTCCTCCTCCCAAGGGTCATTGTTACCCTATTTTTACACCCTTGCTCTAAGGACGTAGAGTGTATCAGAAATTCTCTGAGGATTTGTTTGCTGTGCTGCAGAAGCTTTGCTCCAGCAAAGCAGGGGAGACAGAAACCGTGGTACAACAACCGAGTCAGCACTGAGGATACAAGACGGGCTCCCTAACGTCAGGATTTGTAGAACTGGCTGGTTGTTGACAGAAACAGCCCAGTGGAGAAGAGAGAAAATAAACAATAGAATCAAATTTATTGTGAGTTTTACAGGTGATATTATTTGTTTACAGACTGATCAGATGGCTGCAGAGCGCCACACGGACGCGAAGCTGAATCTTGCCTGATGGTTGGCGGTTTCTGACACTTTGACGTCCAGAGAGCCAGACAGGACAGCGTACCAGCTGGTGCCGATGTCTCCCTGTCGAAACACTGCGGACAAAACGCTTACATTAAAACCCGCAAATGCACTCACGCACATATTTCATGCATTCATTAATAATATTGTGCCACCACCTTATAAATGAGAACTGCTCCTGTTAAGGAAAAATGTTTATTCAACTGACTTTTACAATTTTATTTAAAGTTGTGGGACACATTTAATCAACACGGCAGGATTCGACCGACGCGCTCTGAGCTCCTGCCCACAGCGCTTCAGCTTGCTGTCAATAGCGTGAAATGTTGAGAATGGTGTCCTGGTGTGAGATATGCCACTGATTTGCAGTAGTCTCTAGGAGCAATAATGCTTTGTAAGTTGTACTCTAGAGAAAAAAAGCTCCGGTGCGCCTTAATGAGGAAGTAGAAGTCAGCCAGAGGAGAAAGTGGGAGAAGACAGCAGGATTTGAGGTCTTATTTCCTGATATTTGAACATCTCACCTCTGACGGGCTAACAGCAACCCTACCACTGACTCTGTTTACTTTGCAACATGGATGTTTTATCTCCACAAATAACACAAGCCTGGAGGAGTTCTCCTACGTGGTGAAGTTGCTAATGATAACTGGTAGCTTCTAATAACCGAGACATTCTCTGCTGTTTCCTGGACGCTAAACCAACAACAGCTTTTCTCGTTGTGAGTCAAGATGGGTGAGTCCATGAATGTTAAGTGACAGTTTGACATAGATGTGTCAGGATTTTCTAATCCTAGCGTTTAACCGCCTGTTTACTTCAGAAGCTAATGCAGGAGAAAGGTGTAGGAGACTAACTCAGAGTGACCGATATTATAATCAGAAATAATTATTAAAAATGATTTTTCTGTGTTCCACGCTTTTAATAATTAAACATATTTGGTGTATTTGGATTAATTTTTATTTGTACTGTATCTAATTTACACTATTTGATTATCCAGAACTATGAAAAGATTGAAATGAATCATTTCTCATGCATGTTCACAGCTGACCAAGCAACAGTCAGCTTCAGGCTGACCTTTGCAGAAAAAAGCAACGCAGCTACTCAAATGAATGTCAATCATTCCACCCCCGTGCATCGGCAGCAGTTGAAACAACACAACTGGACCACTTGCAGAATGCCTCCAGCCAGGTCAGCCCCACATGACAACTGCTCATCAAGATCAGTAAAATCACCCACCAGCATTGTAGACTGAGTGCATCTGTTGTGACTTTTTATTTCCCACTTTGTTTTGACACTGAAAATGTGTCAGACAACAAAATTACACCGTAAAAAAATCAGAGTTTAGGGTTTGATGTGAAATGTTTATTACATACACGTGATGCCTTTCTCCAGACATTCGTAGAAGGCGCAGGCACAGATCTGTAGTAAGAGTGGAGGTGGAAATCTCTGGAAGGTCTTGACCTCTCTCAGTCTGGTCAGAATGATGTCCACATCCTCGCCTGAGCGCTCTGAAGGCCTGAACAGAGAAACTGTCTTTCATGAAAGGGTATTTTATTGTGAAGGGAGGGCTAATCCAGTGTCCTCTGATTGGCTACGGTCTAAAACAATGCTGTTAGCAGTCTATGACCTAAAACAGGGAAATAAGTGTGCAGAAATTTCATTTAAGTAAAAAGGCAGATTTGAGATTATTGTGTTATTTCCCTCTGTGGTGTGTGTGTGTGTGTGTGTGTGTGTGTGTGTGTGTGTGTGTGTGTGTGTGTGTGTGTGTGTGTGTGTGTGTGTGTGTGTGTGTGTGTGTGTGTGTGTGTGTGTGTGTGTGTGAGAGAGAGAGAGAGAGAGAGAGAGAGAGAGAGAGAGAGAGAGAGAGAGAGAGAGCAAGCTTCAATGTTTTGCAGTGATACCAAAAGAGAGCTGCAGGCGCCATTTCTCCCTGCACGGACCCCCCACTGGGTGTTGATGTAAGATCTTGTTCTGGTGCTATTTCTAATACGTTTCTAATCTCACTGAGCGCACCCACAATTAAGTTGTTGGAAATCTACGAGACGCAGACTCGAGAACACACACAAGTGAGATCTGACGGATTAAACCTTCTGCTCTGAGATGTGGTGGGAAAAAAAACAACGGCACCAAAATGTCTCACAGGAAAACACGCTGCAGTTAGAAGCACTCATTCACTTATTTTCCCTTCACTAGTGACTCATCTTTGCATGTGTGTGTGTTTCGTACAGAAGAGCTAATGCACTGAGAGCTCCTTCTTTCACAGATGAGAGGCTGCCTATCCCCTCTCCTCCTTCAGCTTCTCCGTCGTCTCTCGCCTGCAGCTCTCCTCCTCTTTTGTCTCCTCTACACATTTTTCTAGTCTCCCATCTTTTTGTCCTCTGCCCCTTGATACTCGTGCACTTTTCTCATTACATGATTGACATGACAGGTGAGAATAAATGTCTCTTTTGTTCCGTAAACAGGAAATTTGCATATTGCAATTACTGGTATGGAATCTGTCTATCCATTAAGCACGGCCACACAGTAATCTTACTTTCTCCTTATTAAAGGCACAATTGTCCACGTCTGCTGGTCGTGTGAATACAGAAATACACTTCAGTGTATTTTTGTTGGGGCAATGGATTGTTCTCTGTCCCTGGCAGCAAAACATCTGCTCAATTACTGATGGATGTCTCTGACTCATCCTGCCTGGATGCTGGCCTCTGGCACTCAGACAGAGCATCATATTCCCATGCAGATGGGGTTAAAGCTTCAGACATGGGAACTCCTACGTTTTATAACAAAGACAGACAAGGAGCATCACTCTTCATCTGTTTGTGTTTAATAAATCTATGATAAACTCCTGGTAACAAAATAAACTTGGGCTTTGTTCTTTTACGAGTCTTTGCTGTCTAGAAAAATCTGGGTTCCTTGTGGTGTGATATGAATGTGACCTGAGAGGTGTTCACCTTGCATCATTCTCCTTCCTCCTATCCCTCTGCCTTTCTATCTGAGCATCTTATTCCTCAGCCTTTTCCTCCCACTGCTAATGTCAGCAGAGATCTCAGCTTTCAACCACAAATTATGGCAGCACACAGACACGCGCACACGCACACACACAGAGGATTTACAAATTGAGCAGCATGGGCGCACTGAAGAAAAAACCGAGAAGCACCAGAAGGTTCTGCAGACTGTTTTTAGGGAAATTCCATCTGGTCATTTTTTTTACTGTTTCCAGATAAATAAATCAGTTTTATGACACTTCCTCTGATGGATTAACACACTGGTGCAACAGAAGTAATTTACATGAATGAAGCTACTTAAACACACATCATCACCAAACACTGAGTATTAATCAGCACCGCTCATTTAACAGGTCAACCCACTACAACACCAAGAAACATTAACTATTCAATGTGTTTGCTAAAGTGCATCACAGTCAAATGTCACTTTTAATTCACCTTCCTCCACTCATCCCTCCACTTTCTTCTTCACATCAACAGTTTACTGTAAATGAAAGCTTCTCAAACACACACACATACTCCAACACACTCCTAATGCTGGACATTGATTGGATAAGAGGGGGTTAGATGAGGAGCGCTGAGTGCTCCTCAATAAGATCCCATCCCGTCCTCCCCATCAATACCGACTCCCACCCTCCACTGCAGAACGGTGGCATTAAACTCTAGAGGAACAGCACTGCACCACCGTGGTTTAATGTTGCTGTTTTCATCCACACCATCAGCAAACACCTCTTGGACCAGATTATCTAGTCCACACTCAGAGCTGAAACAAGACAAATGCACAGAGACACTGAAAGGAAGGAAAATAAACAGGCAAAAATAAATTTGAATTCATTTTTAAAGTTCGCTGATTTCAGTTTCCCAGCTGAATCAACGTGTGAAATTGAAATATCAAGTTTAATGAACCTAAAAGAACAATTACTTGAGCGAGATGATTGCCAATAAAAGTAGTTGAAACAACAAAATACAGCTGCATATGGTGTCCGCACACTATATCCTCCATGCGGTTTCATTACAGATGTGGAGAAGACAAGATGGTAGCTTCAGGTTGCCCATGGTAACGTGATGATGTGTCAGAGAGGTATGCACAATATCTGTGGGTGTTTGCAAGACTTATAGATCACTGTTTGTCCCTCATATACAGGCATGTGCGTGTGTGTGTGTGTGTGGGGGGGGGGGGGGTGTTCATTCAAAAATGTTATGTATAATGATATAAGAAATTAATCACATAATTAACTGGCTGCTGGGTTGCGTCTCCAGTTTAGCCTGAAGCCTGACATGCATGCAGCTATGTGACAGAGCCTGAAAATATGCTAAATATAATTTAACAACGTGCCTTTTACTCCATAGGTTCACAACCACACGTTTTACTACAACTGTATTTTAATTATGTATGGCTATTTGGTCTGGACAGGCAGACATGAGCCATGTGGCTCTGATCCATCCATCCCTATCCAGCAGGAACAGCCCAGTGAACCAGGCCAGCACCGCTTGCACCGAACAGACACAAACAGGATTATTTTAGGCACTGTGTTGTTTTAATTTCCGCACAATCACTGGTGACTGAATTCACCAAGGACGACAAATAAATATGTTTTGATTTTAAAAAATAAACAAGGCTGTGACTGATCAGTGGCTCTGCACATGCGGCGATCGCCGGTTCCGATTAATCACGAATGAATGAGAGGATGAAACGATGAAAGGACCAGGATGTGACAGCGTGGCCGTCACCCACCTTTTATCCAGACAACAGATCCATTCCGCCGACGGAGAAGAGCTGAGAGACGTCTGCACTGCGACCATCTTCCCCGGCTGCGTGTCGCTGTGATGTTAATAGGGGATGTTTCCCGGTTGTCGGTGGTCGTTAATAAACGTGAGCTCCGGTTGCACCCCCTCCCCTCCTCGCCCCCTCGCTCAGAGCTGCTTCTCGCTGCTACAGGCTGCAGCCTCTATCCTCACACCAGGGACGGACCAGCGGTTGCACAAAAGCTCTATGACTGCTTAATTAGGTCAGTGACAGTGCAGTAAAAATAAATGTTGTGTTATCTGCTTTTCTGTCACACTTAAACATTTTCACAGAGGCGGACCTAAGATTTCTCTGACTATAGGGGAAAGCGACTACAATATTTTTAGAGGGGCCAAGCAGGGGCGTCGGACTGGGGGGGGGGAAAGGGTACCGTTTACCCAGGGCCCACTGCAGGGAGGGGCCCTGAGACATAAAAATGTTTTATTGTTGTTGTTTTTTCCCCCAAACTTACTTAATGTCTTAGTAAACTTCCCTTTACCTGGATAAAGAGGTTAAGAAACAGAATTTCGCCTTAAAAATAATAACTGAATAATCTCTGAGGCATCTATCACCCCTTAAAAATGTGCAAAGTGGTTTAGTCCACACCAGCGGCCAGGGGCTGCACAGCCGCATGTACAGCTATGAGACATCGCAGATGCCGACAGCCAGAGCTGGAGGCAGGAGAGTCAGTCATGTCTTTTTCCAAGAAAGGGAAATCTGGCTTCCAGAAAAGGAAAGAAAAGAAAAGAAGGAGAAAAAGTTAATTGAACAGAAGCAAGTATTGACTAGGTTTTTCAAGACGGAAGGTGAGCAGCAGCAGAACACAGTTTTAGCTGATATTAGCTAGCTCTCAGAAGCTGCATTCATGTTAGGTGTTCAGTGTTAAACGCCTTTGGTTTCACCATCAAGATCAAATATAAATTAATTAGTGTTATCAGTGAAAACACTAATTAATATATATATATTAATCAGAATTATTATCGCGGGCGGCCGCCGCCAATTAATTCGCGGACCTCGCAGTAAAAACAGGTTCACTCTGTGTGGATATTTCAGCTCCTTCCCAGTCATGGACCAGGACAAACTTGGTATTGATGGATTCGTGGTAATCTCAGGAATGTGAAGCTGCCACTGTTTTTCGTATAGCATGATGACACTGGTGTTAGAGGACTGTTACTGACTTGGTTAGATATTTTAAACCTATTTTAAATTTCTTTATATTTGATCTTGAAAACGGACAATCTTATAATTTGGCTGATAATGCAGGGATTATAAAATTTAGAGTACATTACATTCACAGAGAGAACCTGGTTTATTTCATGTCATATGTATTTAATATATCAATATATATCAGTATCAGCAAAGCTTAACATCACGAACCATGACAGACGTGACTGAAGAGCAGATGAAGATATCGTGCCAGGCACGGATGAGAAAATATTACAAGGATCTCACAGCTGAATTTGAGAATGAGATGCTACACTTGACAACAATATATGGTGCCACATTTCCACACATTCGGTCTCCCCTTGAGCTGCTTAATGCCATCTACAGGATGCAATTACAGAGTATTTTTGGAGAAGTTTGTATTGGACTGAGGATATTTTGCACACTACCTGTGACTGTTGCTGGGGGTGAACGGGCTTTTAGCAAACTGAAACTGGTGAAAAATGATTTTAGATCAACAATGTCCCAGGATAGACTGAACAGCCTAGCTCTTCTTTCTATTGAAAGCCAATTAGCCAAAGGATTGGACTTTAAAGATCTCATGAGTGATTTTGCTAACATGAAGACCCGTCAGTGGGCATTTACTGGAAAATAAATTCCAGGATTTTTGTTTGAACACATTGTTGGCAAATAAAAATAATTATATGTGAAGTCTGGGCATTTCACTTTTATTATGCTGGCATTTGTATTTGCTCAATATAGAGGTTAAACTAAGATCATATTTATTATCTTGTCTTATAGCATGACAAAAAATGTGTAAGAGAGATATTAAGTAATTGAGCATGGGGGCCCACCTAGAAGACTTGTACCTAGGGCCCAGAATTTGGTGCTACGCCCCTGGGGCCAAGTATAAAGCTTGGTTTATGCTTGATGCATTCACTTTCCGCTTGGTGATGCGGCTCGCGGATGGAACGCGCTTCACAACTTGCAGCGTTTATGGTTCATGCGGCTTGTCTCTGCGGTGAGCCAATATTCTCCCAAACTGAACGGGGCAGCATGGAGCTCTACAGCATGCATCCAACATTACACCATAAAAATTGTTGTTTACAACATGGCATTTCAGCAGTTTTTAACAGCATCCTCGTCTTTTCCGACAGTGCAAGCTATTTCTCTCCAAGAATTATTAACAACATGTTGATCACGGTGATCTCTGAGAACTGAATCATACAAATGTCTGTATTTACGAACCTCTGCCATACTAGCTCTTGCCGGTCCGCCATGTTTTTCCGCGTCCGACCATCCGCGTGGTTAGAACGTTTATTTATTTATTTATTTTTATTTAGTGCTGAATGTGTGCAATGTGTTTGAGCTGGTTGTGAAATTAGATGTGCAAAAGCTGTGTTTTAAATCCATATACATTGTTGTTGTTTTTTATGTAAATCACTTGTTGCTGATTTTATCATAAAAAAGTGCCCTACAGATACAAGTTGATTTGATTTGATTTAATTTAGTTTAGGGGCAAATGTCAGGCAATCTCTTCCATAATTTTCTGGTGTGAGAGCAGAAATCATGACTCCATCAATTGCAGCAAGTCATCCAAAGCAATCCCATACCATCACACTACCATCACCATGTTTTAGTGCTGGTGGAATATTATTTTTCTGAAATGTATTTAGTTTTACACAAGATGTGACAAGAGTCAGGACACACGCCTAAATGATCTACTTTTGTATCATCAGGCCACAGGATATTTTCCCTTTGAGATCATAAAATGTTTTTTTAAGTGTAAGACGGGCTTTTGTGATGTTTTCTTCAGCAGGTTTCTTCCTTCAAACTCCTCCGTGATGCCATTTTTATCTTCAATGTCTATTTTATAATTGTTTAATCATGAACTCGGACCCCAACCTTTACCAGTGAGAGCTACTGTGTTTTAGATGTTTATGAATCTTTAGTTCTCTTTAGAAAAGAGCACAATGTGTTGCTTTTTGAGGTCTTAATAATAATTTTGTATTTACTCAGGTCATTTTTAATTCATATCAAACATTTTTTGCTGAGCTGATCATTTTAAGAGTGACAAATAAAGCAAAAAACATAAAAGTAAATTAGGAGGGCACTACGTTTTACTTTTGAAAAAAAAAACTCCCACATATTGTGACTTAACACAAGCAGTAAGAGGAACATTATAAACGCTGTAAATAAAAGAATTAAAACTCTACGTGGGCCGATAATATGCACGCTGTCTCACTGATTGCTGTCATTTGAAACAGTAGCACTGTAAAAAAAAAAGAGTCCACTACTTTTTTGTGTGCTGCAGAGAAAATCCAGCCAGATTTGATAAAACACAACATTTTTCAGCGAATCTGTATGTCCGCCTCCAATACACGGTCATATGAAGTTGTAACCTGTGACAGAGAGAAGGATAAGGTTGGGCCCATGGGTGACGCCATTATTCTTCATGGATATCACAAGCCACTACATCACAATGAACACCCCCTCGCACCGACCTGTCAGCTCACATTTAAATCTGTAATATCAAGAGTATAAATGCTGAAGTAACATCTGAAAAAGGGATGTTTGTAAAACATAATTAAAATGTGAGTGAATTGTCCAATCCTTAAAATATTTAAAGCAAAACCCCAAAATCTAATAAAATAATTCAGGTTATTTGAATCAGATGTGGTCCAGTTAAATCTTTAGTTTTTATAAATACACATCAGCACACGACCGGACGCCATCTTGCAATTTTTCTATTTTTGACAACATTCAAGGATAAAGCAGCCAAATCAGAGCGTTGTCTGTGTTTACTAAGATATGAGATGCAAGATGCCAGAAATAATCTGCACACAAGCTCTGCTTTTTGGCTTTTATGTGTCTAAATGAGAGAACACTACTCTGCCTTAGAGGATGCCTCACAAGAAACTGGGTTGCATGAAAGTGTGGATATTCGTCTCATATATTTTCTATCAGTCAGAAAGAACATAGCATGTCCAGATTACAAAGAAAAAAGATGAGGATGAAAGACTGCAGGAGGAATTTATGGCGGACTCCATGGCAAATGTCTGCACTTCAACAACATGTGAGGTCAGACGAGCTGAAATGTTTTTAACAAGATGAATGAGACATGAGGGAGGGAGGACAGCTCCTGCTGCACCACACACTCCTCTGACATTGACCTTCTTTTATTTTCCCTCCTCATCTGGCACACCGACAACACCGAGGTTATTAGTGCAGCGCATCAAGTGAATTACAACGTGTGAATGTGCACACCTGTTACGAGTGTGTGTGTGTGTGTATGCTTGCCATCTGTTTGAAATGGCACTTCAACATGCATTACTGTAATACTGGAGGGCGATTGAGCACACTTTCATCAGGCTGCTACAATAAAGTGTGTGTTACCTGCAGATCTTTCACCAACTTTTTAAAAATGTCTTCTGAATCGCCCAAAACAAAAACTATATGTATAGTTAAAAAAAAAAACGTTGACGCCTTACAAAAATATGTTTATTTGTGTTCAGTTCTAATGTAAAATCAATCTGATCTAAGTCTGTTACACTTTTATCCACACACGACATCATCTTCGAGGCCGCTGATACATGTGCAGTTTACACATCTAGACACAAAGTGGCAGCATCACTGTGTGAAGATTTATCTCTGGATCTGAGCAGTAAAGCCTGCCACTCCGTGCACAAATAAAATGTATTCATAGCAACATATAAACTACCTTACTGTATGTCCTCTTGTGCATTACTTGTCAACTTGTGCATTTAACCGTGCTGTGGGTCAGGAAACTGAACATAAATCCACTGCGGTTGCAGAAATCCCTGCATATGGTTGGTTGTACAGATATGTAGCATGACTGAATGAAGTCTATATGGAAAAAAGTCAAATAAATATTGAAATCAGATGCAAAATTCAACTTTTTTTTTTGTTTCTTCACTTTTTAGCTCCTAATGTTCTCTACAATGTGAGCAAAGTTCTGTAGGAAGGCAGTCTGGTTCTGTCTTACTGATAACATTCAGGTAAACATATAGGTAATTTTTAAGGCAAGTGAAAGAAGGATTGCAAACCCAATAGAGGTTTTAAGAGAAATTGCAGTTCACTGGTGTACAATGATTACATAATTTAATCATATTTAATGTACAAAATCCTTAATTTGACATTTTTGAAAGAACCCATTGAGATGTTTGCAGAATGAGATGAGTTTTGAGCTCTCCCTGGTGGTAATACTGTCAAATAGCAACACTAACAGTGTAAAACAGCATCTCTCCAGTCTAATATTGGTCCTACTCAGTAACAATAGGATCTAACAGCAGTCAGAGGCAGAATGTTTGGGATTTTTAGACATAAATAGCAAACAGTCAGTCAGAAAAGGTGAAAGGGTTTGATGCAAAGCTCCAACAGTGAGACAGGTAGTTTTGTGAACACACGTTCTCAGATTGTCGTCATGACTTTTAAAGATGCAGCACTGAAAAACCATTGTTTAAATCTTATTTTTGATTATAATCAGTCACTCTGAGCTTTTCATGCATGAAAATAGTCTCTTAGACCTATCCCCTGCATTAGCTTCTGATAGAAAATAGGATTTGAAAATCCTGACAGATGTACGTCACACTGTCACTCAACATTCATGGGCTCACCCACCTTGACTCATGACGGGTAAGGCTGTTGTTGGTTTAATGTCCTGCAAACAGCAAAGAACGCCTCAGCAAGTAGAAGTTAACCGCTAGCATTAACAACTTCACCACACAGCAGAAGCTCCTCCAGGCTTGTGTTGTTGGTGATGATAAAACATTAATGTTGCAGGTCAGTGGTACAGTCCCATTGCTGTTATACAATCTGAGGTGAGATGTCCAAATATCAGGAAATAAAACTCCAAAATCTGCCTTCAGATGCTCGGCTGTGATGTGGCTCGCCTCTAACTCCTGGAAATGGTGCACCTGTGTTTTTTTTTTTTTTTGGCCCTCGAGTATGACTTGCAAGGCATTCATTCCTACCAGAGACCGCTGCAAATGTATTGATTAAATGAGTGTTTCACACCTTAAAAAAACATTGAAAAAATGAATGATACAAAGCTGAAGAACGGAAATGTTGTTGGTCAATAGAAATTGTTTTGGCAAATGTAAACTTTTACTAATCTACTTTGTCATTAGTAAACTGAATTTTAGTACAAGAACCATGAGTCTACCTTTCACATGTGCACTTTTACTGCTTTTCATTTCATTCTCATTCTCACTTTCCAAGTTCTGCTATTTATCCTGAGCTCTGCTTCCCTTTATCAAACTCCTACAATACCTATTATGCCACCCACCCACCCACCCCAACATTATTCCCTCAATTTTCCATCTTTACCTTAATTCACCATCTCTCCTACCCTCCCTCTCCAGGTTAGCCTCATTCAGAAAAAGGCTTTTGTGATTGGCCAGTATTTATATCAAGTAGGTCCCTGTGCCACATGGGACAATGGTCTCCAGTCAGATCCAGGTCACATCAGACAGAACCGCTCTCTGGCACTGCCTGGATCAGTCCCGTCCAGTGTAGTCCAGTCCAGCCTGGTAACACAGTTTAACACCACCTCACCCACTGTCATCTCCCACTCACACACAGGTAGGCAGAAGCACGAATCAGCAGGTGCTGCTGGACTACCGTTTGCATCACATACAGGTTGATAGAGGGAGATCTGGATGAGTGCACGTACCTGAATGATAGGGCCCTCTGACTTCTACAGGTAAAGAAACAAGGTAAGTGGATTTGAAATTACCTGCATGTTCCATAGAGGTTTAGACTCAATTGTTCTGCACAAAACTACAATTAGCAACAATGAATTTAATAAGAAAAGTAAAGGAAGTAGTGGACGAAATGATGACCTAATTAGCATTGGGTGGGTTCACTTCACAATCAATGGTTGCATGGAAAATAAGAACGTGACAATGACCTAATAAAAGTAATTTGTGAATGTAAATCCATTAGAGATATGATTGGCTGTTCAAAGACAAATGTAGGCTAACTTGTCTCAGTGTTGGTACCCATCAGCTCTGCTGTTTCACTGCGACTGGAGTAGTTTACACAGGATTACCAGAGGATAATCTATTTACAGTATTTAAAGACATGAGTCGCCATCTGTTTGTATTTATCTCCGTGAGGAAGCCGTGCCCACCGACTGACTGCAAGCAAACAATCCCAGCACAACGGAAAAACCAAGAAAAGAGTAAGAAAATGCGCGACTTTTTAACATCCGTCAGATGTTGTTCCTGAACTTAACCGCGTCCACTCCGCTGCATTCATTATCCGTCGTTAATTTGCATTTCGATCATTTAGTTTTATTTCTCAGAACTCGGTAGGCTTTAAAAATGGTGTGAAAGATTAGTCTAACATGATGTGGACTTACAACGAAAGCGAATGAGGAACTAGGGTTTAAATTAAGGTTAAGTTAATTTTGCTAATCAATTTAGCGACTTGGATAAACAACAACTTATTGTCTAATTGCAGCGCTGGTTTACGTCTGGCACGTACAGTCTAACAACAGAATAGTAACATTAGGCTGAACGTGAAGACACAAGTGTGGTGTTAAAATGTATTCAATTAATTAGCAGACCAGGTGCATGTGCCCTCGATCATCTATTTTCCGAGTTTACGTTGAAGCAGCCAACAGGACGGAGAACAAGGTGATTGCTTATCAGAGGCTCATACCTGCTCAGTTGCTTTCACGCGGTTCAGACCTCCAGACAACTTCCGGCTCCACAGTGAGTTTTTATTTATTAGCTACATTAAGTCACTTTATTTCTTTGTCTCTCGGTTAAATTATGTAAATAGAATTGCAGTTCTAAATGTGTGAGTAGCTGATGCCAGCTTTGTCATTTGTGATTTCAGCTTTCTGACTTGGTAATGGTTGCCAGTTCATTTCATTGTTCTGATGTGGCTTCTTTCTTTTTCTTACTTTTGTGTTGCAGTAATAAAAGTAGTTGTGGTAACTAGAAGACTCTAAATCTAAGGACCTTCAACCACGAGCTTCTCTTTGCGGCCTGAGATGATCTGACAAATTGACAGCATTTCCTGCCTTAATGCAAGCACTCAACTAAACCAGCAAATCTTACCTGCTCAAGTGCTTTTTGTCAACAATAAAAAGCTCATTACTCAGCTTTTTCACATTTTTTTAAAGGACTTCAACATGATGCGACCAGACAACAAAGGCCGAAGTGCCTCCCCTCACAGGATAACTTACAAATCTGACTTCCACGCCATCAAATGCTCATTTGACACCCGGCCTAGGCTACAGCCAAATACCAAAGCTGCTGTTTCTACCCAGGCCTCCGCCATGCACCCAGTAAGGCTCCTAACCAACCTGTCAGACTCCTTCATGTCCAACACCAGCACCAGTGGCAGCCGAGGTCGGATCCAAAGCACCAGGGGAGCCAAGATCAGAGAGAACATTTTTCTTCAAATGGACAGCCAGCAGTCAAAACAAGACAGCGCTCTGACCCCAACTTCTCTCTCTACGCCTCTTCTTCTCCCCCAAAATCATAGCTTCCAGCTCAATAGTTCCCCTTTCTCTGGGTCCAGATGTTCAGTCATCAGTTCCTCGTCTGTTATGAGCAGTCTAGCCAGTGTTTCTTCAGCAGAAGACAAACCTTCCGGAGCAGAGGAAATAGCAGATATCGACAGAGTTGCTCTGGCTCAAAAGTTCTCTGTAACTCGAAAATTGTTTGAAACCAAGATGATGGAAGGTGGGAGTTTTGGGAGGGGTGTTTTAAAGCCTCTCAGGGTAGGCAAGGGGGCTGCAGGTGGGAAAAGGGACGTGGAAAAGGAGCTGGAGGCAAAAGGGATAAAAGCGTGCATAAACGAGGATGGGTTTGATAAAGAGGCATCCGTAAACCACATCATAAACGTTTCCTCGCTGATCCCTCATCCTGCAGCGTCACTGACAAAGGATCCTAAATCACCTGCTCTCAATGGCTCTGGTAGAGCACAAGGAAGGTATGATAAAACAGAGGTCCAGAGGGGAGAACGAGAAGCTCTTAACTTCTGCTCGACTTCAGAGGAAACGCTGAGAGCAGAACTTGTCAATGTGAAGAACGATTCTTCAGAGAGTGACGAGAACGAAGAGGAGAAGGTTTGGAAGGAGAACAAGCAGTGGCTAAATGGTAAGACGGAAATGCATCAGATCAAAGATGGAAGAGAAAGTGAGACATCTTTAGCAGATGAGGTCTTTGAGGAAGCTAGAGTGGAAACGCCAAGGCATCTTTGTTTGCTGGGAAATGGCGTGGAGATCGGAACAGCAACGGCTGGTTCAGGTTTTTCATCGGAGCTCCAGGATTCATCGGAGAACTTGCAAAGGAACAGGATCGAGAGTAAAAAGGAGGAGCAGAACGGATACAGAACAGAAAGAGACAACATGGAGAAAAAGACTGATGCTGGATTAGGAGAAAGTGCTTTTGTGCTGGAGAGGGTTGTGATCAAAGAGATGAACACCAACAAGGAAGCTGAAGGAGAGGCGGAATGTGGCGATGGAGAAGATGAATCTAGACGAGATCAAAAGGAAGGAGGAGGGAGTGTGAGCAAAAAGGGAACACCAGAGCTGCTGGAGGAGTTTGTCATTGAGGAGGTGAAACATGTGGCATCCAAAGGAGGTAGTAATGGAAAGGATTATGGTGGAGGAGACAAAGAGGACCAAATGGTAATCTGTGGGATTGAGAACAAAGCTTTCATGTTTGAGCAGAACTCCCGGTCTCATCCGGAGCTTTCAGGACCACTAAGACGGGAGCAGGAAGGCTCCCTGCAGAGGGATAATCAAAAAGCAGTGGAATACGAAGAAATTCCTGGTGTGTCTGAACTGGACAGTCAGGATGAGGAGGCTGCAAAGAGGAGAGTCCGGTTCTCCACAGCACCAATCCGGGTAATTATGGAAAAATATTGCTGAAGATACTTTTTATATGGAATCTTGTGACAGCCAAATTCCAGTAGCTGTTTATTCTGTTAGCAGAGAAGAGACCAGAGCCTGAATGCCTCATTCTGTCAGCATCGTTCTCAGAGGGATCTGTACAAAATGCAGAAAAGTGTAGTGTCTGTTATTTTTCATTCAATTCTGTGTGAAGACAAACAAGATTTTTTTATCACTCCTATAATTTGCTCTGCATAGGACTTCCTGCTAACCCGAATCTCCGGCATAAACGGAGTAGAGTCAATAGATGGTTCAGTTCATGCTTGAATCATTTAAGTATGAATGCATAAAATTGGCCTATCAGTGTTTATTTAAGCCAAGGCCACCACCGCGCCTTTTCATTAAACGGTTTATCTCAGGTGTACAGCATGTATTCTAACGCCGAGTACGACAGACACAATGAGGACATCGATCCAGTGTCCGCTTCAGCTGAGTTTGAACTGGAAAAGCGAGTGGAGAGGATGGACGTGCTTCCAGTGGAGATAGAAAAAGGTGTGTTTTGACAGCCGTACAGTGTGTATATGTCTTTAATCCAGACCCTGTTCATAAGCCGTTTCCTCTTTTCTAGGAGAGGATGGATTGGGCATCAGCATCATCGGAATGGGTGTCGGGGCTGATCAGGGACTGGAAAAACTGGGAATCTTTGTCAAGACGGTCACTGAGGGAGGAGCAACCCAGAGAGATGGAAGGTAAGAGTCCACGTCGGTTATAAACAAACAACATCAACATAACGTTCTGTCTTTGTGGGTGTCCCTGTGTCAGGATACGGGTGAACGATCAGATAGTGGAGGTGGATGGTGTGAGTCTGGTCGGAGTTTCCCAACTGTTTGCAGCCACGGTCCTCAAGAACACGTCGGGCCTCGTTAGGTAGGTTGGTGCTCCGCTTTTGTTTTCTTTCACTCTCTTCTCGGCCTCTTCATAGTAAAATGCTTCACGTGGTCTTTAGAGTCCGTTTAAATGAAATCTGGTAATTGACTCTAACAGCTGTCCAAAAGATAAATGGAAGCTGGTCGTCTAAGACTTCTGAAGCTGATCATGGAGCAGAAGTTATTTATAGATGAAGCGATGGCGCTGAACTGGAAAACAAACACTTTCTCTCCACCTTGTTTTACAGAAGCTATTTATTCTTTAAAGGGTTGTGCTAATGCTTATTTTTCAAACACCCAGTAAGGGAATAGAGTAGAACGTACACTGAGCAGATTAGTTGTGATATGCCATGAGTCCAGTTGTCTCACTAGCTGATGGGCTCATTTTAATTTAGGACTTAAAAGGTGTTTTTATGCTTTTGTCAAAATAAAAATCGGATGACTTGAGTGAGAAATGGTTCATTTAAATGTAAACTCTTCTAAAATTGTGATTTTAAGCTTTCTTGTTTGTTTGTTTGTTTTGCAGCCTTCTGCAGCAATTTATATTAGTCAATTTCATATTGGTCAAATGTGGACACTTTATGTGATGGTTTACTTGATTAGAAATGTGTGTGAAAATAAAGTGAACTAAGGATGCTCAATATTGGCTTTTTTTACCAATATCTGGTTTACTAATATTGTCTGACCCTTAATTTTCAGTACCCATATAAACCGATATATGCGGTGTCCTCTCATAAAAAGAAAAACTAAAACATTTTATGTTACACACAATATATACACAAATTCTGTGCAAAATGACAACTACTTAAATTTAAAGGTGTGGTTGACTGAATAATCGTTTAAAACATTTTTTTTCTGATCATCATCAGCCACTGTGTTTTTCATGCAGGCCGAACATAAAAATAGTCTCCTACACCTATCTCCTGCAGTAGCTTCTGATGGAAAATAGATGGTGAAACTAAGATTTGAAAATCCTCAAAGATCTACGTCACACTGTGAAAAGGCATTTATAGTCTCACTGATCTTGACTTACGATGGGGAAAGCTGTTGTTTTAATGTCCCGTAATGAGCAGTGGAGATCATAGCTAATTTAAGCTAACTGTTAGCATTAGCAACTTCACCTCATGGCAGAAACTCTACCTGGCTTGTGTTATTTGTGGAGATAAGACATCAGTGTTGCAAATCATTGGAAGAGTCTTGTTGCTGTTATCCAATCTGGGACGAGATGTCTAAATATCAGAAAATAAGACTCCAAATCCTGCCTTCTGAAGCTCAGCTGTGATGTTGCAGACTGCTGTGCCAGGGGTTTGTGGGCTTTTTGTGCCCTAAGTACTGCCTGCAAGGCATTCATTCCTACTAGAGACCACTGCAAATGTATTGATTAAACAAGTAATCTACAACTTTAAGTTAGAAATAGGAAAAGTGCCATATTTATTGTCTCCAACAGATAAAGCTAAGATGTGTTCATTAGTTTTTTTATGTGTTTTTTTCTGTTAATTGCAGTTAAGGTGATAAAAAAATGTATAAATATTTTCTGATAAGAAAAGCAGTGAGTGGTTTGTTAGCCATCTAACTACATGCTGTGAGGACAGAGTACACTACATAGGGCAAATTTCTACTTGTTGTAGTTGTTCCAAATAAACTAAAATAGCTCAAAACGACACCTCAGATCTGTCCTATTTTAACATTTTGAGAGAGAAGTAGCAGCTAAAGAGTTTGATGTATAACATGTGTATGGTTTGTAAACGTCATTAAAATACTGGAAAACGATATTAAATGGCTGTCGATGAAATCCCTCATCAGCTCATCAATCGAGGCAAAATCACAAAACATCAGAAAGGTTTACTAGACTTTCTTTTTTGGAACATTAGTCTGTTTTCTCTTTTGTGTTCAATGAGCATTTTGATGTGTAAGAAAATGGCAGAATGTCAATTTCATATAGATTTTCTATTTAGCTGATGTGTGTTTACTATTCCATCCACAGTGGATATCCGAGTGAATAATAATCAGAATCAGAATAGGTTTATTGCCATTGTCAGTGAACAAACTATTCACAAACTAGGAACTTGCTTCGGTACTAATGTGCTACATATAACATGAATAATAAGATTTAAAATAGAATAAAATATAATGAAACACATCTCCTCTACTGGAACAGTGGTACTGTCTGCAGGTCGCAGCCATGATGGAAAATCTAATCATTGGTGCAAATAATATCATCTGTATCTGTATTTTGACCAATCAGAATATTGGATATGCTGGAGGTTGTCCCACAAAACGATCTGCATAACTGTGATAGTGACTGCTCACAGGTGTGAGTGACTGGTGTGTTCTGCTGCAGGTTTTTGATTGGTCGAGAGAAGGAAGGAGTGGAGAGCGAGGTGGCACGGCTAATCAACGAGAGCTTGGAGATGGAGAAAACTAAAAAGGTTTGTTTTTAGATACACCTGAGTGTTGAAACTTTCATTTGAAGAATTCATCTTTTTTATTTTGATATTTGAATGGAAAGAGAGAAAGCAGGAGCAGTGGAGATGAAAGTGACGACGACAGCGCGTCGGAGAGGGAGTCTGGCTTGGAGGAGGAGGAGGATGAAGATGTGTCTGTTCTGTCCAGTATGGAAAACTACCAGCTCTGTCTCAAATACCAGCAGGTAGTTACACCAAATAGTTTTTAAAAAATTACAAAATCATTCAGCCTGACACTGACAACTCGAGTCTTTTTTAATGGCCGTGTGTTTGTTTCTTCTTACCTGTGGTCGCAGCTTTTGTCAAAGTTGCGTAGCAGAACAGCTCAGCTTCATCGTGCAAGAGAAAAGGTAGGTTTGGACTGATATCTCTCTCTCTCTCTCACTCTCACTCACTCACTCACTCACACACACACACACACACACACACACACACACACACACACACACACACATCAATAACTAAATAACTACTATTTGCATTGCACTGCCTCTGTGTCCAAATTTGGAAACGGTCTGACCCATTTATCCTCTGTGAGGCGGATCGGTATGGAGTTATTAGGACAGGCCTTATTTCAACTTTCCTCTTTGTCACCATTGGCTTTTTGTTTTTGTCTGTGCCTTCATCATCTCTGAGACTTAACTGGGTTTGCAAAGGCCTTTCAAGAAACCTACAGATGTACAAATATGGATTTCATCTTCCAGTTAAAGGTGTGGGAGGAGCAGCAGGCCTGTTGGCAGAGCCAGAAGGCCGAATTGGAGCAGAGGGCACAGGATGGAGAGGAGAAGTCCGACAAACTAGAGAAGTAGGATGGAGTTTGTTGTAAATGTATTTTGCAGAAATTGGAGAATTCAAAGCCATCAAGATGGCCCCTATTTCTACTGAGGTGTTAATGAATTTGATTTAATTATTCAGTTACTGGCAGGAGGCACAAATACTGTGCAGAGTTGTGAGCCAGCGACTAGCTGATGCCCAGACCCAGGCGGAAAACCTGGAGATCAAATACAGCAAGGCCAAGAGGCTGGTCAGAGATTATCAGAGCAGGTATTTTTATCAAGTCCTTTCTCTGTTGGGAGTAATCTGAAAAACTGGAAGAATTTGTCCACATTTAAATTTTCAACTTGTTTTTTTTTTCCACAGGGAAGAGGAGAGGGAGAAAAGATTACTAGATCTGAGGCGTGAAATGGAAGAGAAAGAGAAGCGGTATCAAGAGATCATTGAAAGGCTACAAATTCAGGTGAGGAGCTGCTCGTTGTGTCTGTGTGGATTCATTTCCTGTTTCATTGAAGTCATTGTTTTACCGTTTGTCCCAGACAGCACAGTTAGTGAAAAAAGAGGCTGACCCTGAGAGGAACAACCACTTTGTGGACTCTTCAGTCACCGGTTTGGGTCTGGATTTATTAAAAATGAATTGTTATTTTCCCTTGCTGAGTTTGCTTTTTGAACAATTGGAGGTATTTGTTTCAGACTGGTATTTTCCGGTTCCTGATACAGAACGTCTCGACTCGAGCGCTCAGCTCGCCAGAGCTCAGCTAGCTCAAAAATCCAAACGCCACCCACCCTCACGAGACAAACTCAGAGAGAGCTTCAAAGAGCAGGCAAGTGACTGCAAAGAGGTGGTGACGGCAGTGAGACTAAACCTGATCTTCCTGTCATCTGTCACAGCAGGAGGAAGTAGTCCTCAAGCCACATGATAGTCAGTCACTTCCTGCTTTTACACTGGTCCAAGCCAAAAGGAGTGACCTGTCCAGCGCCTCTTCGTTCCCAGCATTCAGTCCTCACTCTACCCCGAGCTCCCTCCTCACCCCTCCTGTCTTCATCGATGACATGGTCACACCCTCACCATGCAAATCCTCAGCTTCCAGAAAGTCCAGAAGGAAATTTCCAAACTTCAGGTGCAGAATATTTTCTTACATTCGATCTTGTTTAACCCTCCCACTGTCTTCATGGGTGACCCCGCCAGGAAAGTTGAGCATTGAGCAGGATTGATGGTTTATCCCTTGAGGTCCACGTGGCAGGGGTGAGGTGGTGGCGGGGTCACCCATGGAGACAGTGGGAGGGTTAAATAATTTTCTTGTGCCAGTATGTGCTAAAATGACCTTTTACAGGATTAATGAAATGTCATTCAAACCCCCACCGACCTCTGTGGCCAGAATACTGTACTTAGACTTGCACAGACATACCTGGCGCTGCTGTCTGCTTCCTGAATGTTTACTGCATGTTTTAGATCATCAACACAGCAGGTTTGTTTAATCTAGTGATGAACCACTCCTGCAGACACTAGTGAAGGATGAGGAGACATTTCAGTTGTTTAAGGTGTTAAAAAAACAAATGCACGAGGAGATAAGTTTCACTTTAGGTTTAACTAAACAGACACTAGGGGGTGCTAAAAGCAAGCCAAAACTGCCAAATGTGCTGGTGGTCATTTACATTAGAGAACTAAGAGGGCGTTTTATCTAGAATGTATTTACCTTCTGTTAACTTTTACTTTATTTCCCTTTAGTGGCCTTCGCAAGTCTCTCGGCAAAAAGAGAAATGAAAAGTGCAGCAGAGGAGCTACAAACAGCAGGTGTGTAAATGTTCCAACTAAAGACTCACACACACACACACACAGGTTTAGTGGTTTGATGGACACATAGTGTCATTCTAAAGAGTGAGCCAAACTTGCATTTTTCATTAATCCCAGCTCCAGGCTGTTTCTTCATTTTGTGAAATTCTCTTTAGACAAAAAATATTTTCTCTATACACGTGAAGCAAAAGTAAACAATCCTAAAAACGAGACTTTACTTGAATGAACTCAACAAAGAATGAAAATGAGGTTTGGAAGTACTGATTTTACACATTTTGACACCAAAAACCATCATCTTTATTCAACATCCTTGATGGTCTGAGACCCTAACCTCCTGTGTCACCAGGAGATCTTGTGATGATCTGGTAGATGAGCCTAGTGAGATTTCGCCATCAGGCTCAGTCACCTCCATGCCTTCATGTCTGCCCATCCCCTGGTTTGGAGACCAAGGGAAGGAAAAGGAGAGAAGCAGGGAGAGGCTGCGGTGCGTGTCCAGCAGCAGTTTGCCTTATCTCACCACCACAGGCAGAAGAGATCGGGTAAGTAGGCTGGTGAACATGATTTATATTTCCAGGACTCTGGCCCTTTAAAATGAGCTCACATGTATGAGTGAGCATGTGATGTATGTAAGTAGTCCAGGACTTTCTGTTGGTTTCAGAGCGTTGGCTCTCCTGTGGGCTGCTCCAGCATGGTGGGTCAAATCTCTGATCACTCCCTCTCAGGGCACTCTCACACTTGCACTTTTTCCTCCTCTGAGGTGAGTCTGTCCTTCTCTTCCTACTTTTCCCCACGGAGCTTCCTGTCTGGCCTGAGTTCCCAAGCATACGGTCTTCTTTAATTACGGCTTCCAACTCTTTATTTCTTTTTCCTCTCACACGTCTGGTGTCTTGTCAGACTTTGGATGATTTTCCGTTTCCCAACAACAACAACGATCCGTGGCAAAGCCGACCCGTGTCGGAGTGGAACCACCAGCAGGTGTGTCTGTGGTTGATCGACATGAACATGGATCGGTACGCGTCCGAGTTCGCTGCCAGAGGGGTGGACGGAGTTCAGCTAGTGAATATGGATAGTCAGAAACTCAAGGTGACTTTTTAAGAAAAATTTAAATTGACTTCATATTTTGAGTATTGACTCGTTGGTTTGCATGTCTCCTTCAGGCACTTGGTGTGTCGAGTCAAAACGATCGCTCTGTCCTCAAGAAGAAACTAAAGGAAATGAGACGAGATGAAAGGGAACAAAGGAAGGAAGACAGGAGGATGAAGGAAGCTGAAAGCAAAGAGAAAGTGAAGATGTTGAGTGAGAAATCGGTGAAAGACGTTGGAAGTTTAAAAAGAACCGAGTCACTCTTGTAGAGGCTGGGCCAGACGAACCTCCAGCGGGAGTGTATTTGGTTTTATGTACACACACGAGACTGAATTTTTTTATGTAGTGCTTTTAGATCAACTTTATATATAACTTTGTTTTCTGCTGTTTTTATTGATTTACCATAATTTATTCTACACTTGACATGATGTGCTGACTTTTCACACTCAGGTATTTGCTGTAAATGTTTTTACGTGTTAATAAATGTTAAAACCTTATGTTGCCTCACGAGTCGAATGTGACTAATCACAGTGAAATGTGAAGAAATCTGTTAAAACTTTTATTCATGAAGGCATTGATGGTGTCATACTTAAAATCTATAGCAAGTTTTCATAAACTTGCAGGATGGGTCAGTTAATTATCATCTTTTAGGAATTCACATTTAAAAAGCTAAAACTGTTCTAGTTATGCCTTGTGGGCATTCATTACTCTTTGGTCTTGTAAAGCAACAAAATACTCCTTGCAAGAATAAATACAAACAACTTAAAACATTCAAATGTACAAAACACACATTTCTACCCACTTAGCCCCCAGTCAGCGCTGCGTGTACCAAAAAGCTTCAGAAACTCAGATGTGCAGAACCGTCTCCTACACACAGCTTAAGAATGATTCAGCCCTTGCCCGAGAAAGTTTGTTTGATCCAGTTTTTCATCTTAAAACAGAAAAAACAATAAAATCCAGATGATTTAGTTATCTACAGTCCTCGATGTGCAAAAGCAGGGCAGCAAAAATTAGGGAAACTTTTAGTTCATCTATAAGCGACAGTGATGCTGTGCAGCCAGATCTCTTTGGCTGTTACGAATAATGCTCCTTGTCGTGCCAAGTTGTCATCCACGGCTTCCTTTCCACCTTGTCCCAGTTGTCGTTCGGAGCATTTACCGCTCTCGCCTCCCGCCTGATCCGAACCGCACTGTAACTGGGAACCCTGTCTTCATGTTTGGCGCGCTTAAAAAAGCCACACTGTGGAGAAGAGAGAGAGTAAATGCATTATTTGAAGAAAGGGGCTATTTAAAACCTTCAGAGAAAGCAGAGCAGATGGAGATTTCTGCCATTGGTCTCCTTCATGTGTGCCAAAAATTTGAAAAAAAAAACAGCTAATCCATTAAGAGGTGCAGATAAACCATCTGTGCACCCCTGATGGAGAAAGGAAACATTTTAATATCCGTTTTAAAATGTAAACCCCTTCAGACCAAGCGATTGAATGTGCAATAGCAACAGAAGAGATGAATAAAAGCAGATTAACCCCAACAAAGTACTCCAAAGCAACCCAGTGATCCCTCATCAGCCATCACCTCCATTGGCCATGCAATAAAAATGTAATGATACAACTGTATGAAAATCTTCATTCAGCTTCTGAACTAGTATTTGTGTCTGTGAGAATTGCCCACTTCTAGCCAAATACCAAAAAGCAGTGCTTTTTCACAGCAGGAAGGAACAAGAGCAAAAAGTTTCATTCCTGGCAGCCGTTTTACCCGCTCGTTAATTTTTACGCGTTTGAAGCCAGCTTCTCTTTTTCTGATGGATCCTCTTTGTCCTTTTTCCCAAAGACTCCACACTGAGGAGAGCACACTTATTAGAAAACGTGTTCGTGTGGTGCAAACCTGCTGCTGTTCTGTAAATGTTTATAGATAATGTTCAGATTTAAAAACATCCAAAAATATCCTATAAATACAGGAGTGCTGTCAGTATTTTTTTAATTGAAGGACAAGTTATAAATCACTCAGTCCTACCTTCCAAAGAAGGTAAGCAAGCAGGCCCAGTAGCAGCAGGCCAAACAGGATGGACAGCAAGATGATCCACCATGGCACTCCTCCGTAGTGAGCAGAACGTCTCTCAGGAAACACAGTCAGCTTTACCTGGAAAACAGAGCATGAAGATTGGATTGTTTCCTAAAAATCCTAGATGTTAACATTAAATCCATTTTTAGTCCTTAACTCATTGCATTTTTTTACTGTGTGGGCGTCGGAACGAGCCCCCGCACCGTGAGAACCAACTTCTCACAGGGGCGTGTCCAGGGAGTGGCCTGGGGTAGCACATGACACCCATGGAATCTGATTGGCCACCCCAGGTGTCAGCACACTAATTTACCTTCAAAAAGGCTTTTCACTGTCCACAAAAGGCTTGGGGTGAAACAAAAAAAGCATAACCATTGGTGCCACCCATGCACAAAGTTGTGCCTCACCTGGGCCACCCCAGTTTAAAAGATCTGGACACGCCACTGACATCTCAGCTCTAAAAGGCCGACCTTCATCCGCGTACATCACGTGATCCGCTGCTGTAAAAAAAGTGAGGCGCGAACTGGAAAAGTTTCTGCCGATCACAATTCAACAACGGATTATGAAAGAACGGATAACGCTCGAAACGCGCGGATTCTTCCTGATGTGAGAGGTGAGTCTCCGCTTTGTTTTGGTTGTTTGGGCGTTGACATCATCCTAGCGCACAACGTTCTGTGACTCTTAAAAAGCAGTAAAAACGTTGAGAAACGCTGGCAGCGAATGGTTTTACCGATCAGGAAACGGCTGGCAGCCAATGAGTTAAAGACATTTCAGTTCAATTTTGTTTACTCATATAGTGCCAAATCACAACAAGCGTTGTCTCAAGGCACTTTACAAAGTAAAGATTGAACAGCTCAGTTACTTATGATAATTTGTTAAACATTTCCTACATAAGGAAACCAGCAGATTGCATCAAGTCACTGACTTGTGTCAGAGACTTTACAGCAATCCGCCTACTAAGCCACAGTGGCGCGGAAAACTCCCTTTTAACAGGAAGTATGAGCAGTCATCCACCATGGCTGACTGGTAGTTGGAGAAGACGGAGCAGACACACACACACACGCATGCATTTATGCTCGCACGCAGACAGTAATGTTGTGCATTCATTTGAGTACAAATATTGTTCTTATCTGCAAAAAACTGCACTAATATTCTAAAATATGATCCCAATTTTCTTGTTCTGAGTAAAAACTAAATTTGTCAACGAAGTCCATGTTGCTTGGTTAGAATTCTTAAAAAAAAAAAAAGAATTCTTAAAAATAGCTGAATTATCTGACGTTCGATCTATTTTCTACTCTTAAGAATTCTAAGAAGCAACTTTTATTTACCCCATTGGCATATTTATATACAAGAAAATTGATTCAAGGATATACCTTTTTTAAAGTAGTGCTGTTTGTGCAGATAAGACCATTCTTCCCTCGTTGCCATTGTTGCAGTCTAATGAAAGTTTTTCACTTGTCTAATTACCTCTGTCTCTGCATTCTGCAGCATTGTATTCTTTGCTGAGCTGTCAACGCGCAGAGAGGCCTTCACTATCACCTCCACGTGGTGTAACTTTGAATAGTCCTGTTAAAAATAAAGGTTGTGCACCATTAAAGAAAAATATTATCTAAAAAATTAAAACACTGATCAATAAAAAAAGTTTTTTTTTTCTGTTTACCTCTAGAAATGTGCTATTCCAGAGACGAGAGTAAAGAATAATGTCTGCATTACTGTCCAGGTCCCCCAGGGGGCACTTTATCGTCACACACTGTGCCCCGTTGCCACAAGACTGTCACAAGAAGATCACAACCTTACTATGGTGATCCACTTTTACTGATAAAATGTGCTTTAAAAACCAAGACAGCAGCAGAGAATGGATTTATTTGGGGTTACCAAAATTTTAGAGTCTTTGCCCTCAGTTAAACGAGAAAGAGTGGCCTTGATTCCTTCCTCCTTGTTTCTTGCTTCTCTCCTTGTTCTGGTGTTACCTTGTTCCTAAAAGCAGAACAGAAAATTATTGTTCATTTTTTTCCACTTCAGTCTCTTGTCCAGCAACAGTATTATTTGCCATTTAAAAAGAAAAAGAAGAAGTAGGCAGAGAAACAAATTTTACTTACTAATTTTAGTGGGTTGAGCTCTTCTCCTGTTGTGCATTTTATTGTATCCATGCCTGGGGTGTTAATCTTCATCAGGTAGAGCAGCCACTTTCCATTGCTCACCTGCTTTGGCCACTCGATTTGAAGGGTGGCAGTTCCAACATCTGTCAGTCGCTTTCCCAGGTTAATAATCTGTGTCGACAGGATTGTTATCCCATATTAGTAATTAGAGTGCTGTTCATTTTTGCAGCAACTAAAGACAATTAGCTCAATGGTGGATTTATCAGATGAGAAACTGATTTGTGCACTCACTCTGAACTTGTATGAGATTGCACTGCCGATGTCGCTTTCGGTCTTCATGGCCGACTCACCTTTAATATCTCCAGTAAAGTAGACCTGAGATGGTTGGGCTTGTCTAGCAGGACAGCATTGGACAGTCAGCTACCTGAATCAGTGTGTGCATGTGTGTTTTCTGCATGTGTGTGTTTTTCTTACCCTGAAAAGGACAGCTGCAACACGATAGCCACCTTTAACTTTGCTTTAATTGGAGCTAGAGTCTGCTGGTTACTCGTCCTGAGAAAATAAGATGCTTCCTTTAACTACTAAGTCATCAAAAGTCAGAACATAAAAGAAAAAGGACAGTTGCACCTATAAAAGGACTGTGCTGCTCGACGGTTTGTGATATTGGATCAGATACATACGTGTTTAACTGAAGTTCAGTCTCCAGTTCAGTGGTGTCGAGAGAAATGCCAGATGTGCTCAAAATAATGTAGAAGGTGGTCTACAAAACACACGTGTTTATTTTAACTATTAATAATTACAAAACCATTACAAGGTGTCAAAAAGTTCATTTGTCTCACCTTTGAGCCACGCTTGAAGGGGTTTCCTAAATCACAGTCAACCTTTGTACCATCTTTGTTTGCATTGCAGGTGACTGGCGGCCCCTGGGGTCAATAGCACATCCCAGTCAGAACCAGAACTTCATAAGTGTGAGAAAAAGACTGTTATGGGAAGATAAAAGAGACTCACATCTGATAAATCCTCGTAATTAGAGTAGGACAAGGAGCGGGGTAAGTTTGCTATCACCAGTGCTTCGTATGCATCCTCTCCATTTTCATTGGTCACCGTGACCTCCAAGGCGATCTCCTTTTGGTTGCTGAGGGAGAGTGTCGGCAGACCGTCCTCCCTGCAAAGAGACAACATTTTGAGCATGCATTTTGTAAAGCACATACACGGTTACTTAATTCAATGTAAAAATTGTTGTATTGATTTTCTTCAGGATTTTGAAGGTGAAATTTGTAACAAGAAGATGCAGCTGCATGAAAAAGCATGTGCACTCACAGTTCTAATGGAGTGAATGCATTTTGGTTGGGTGTCTTGTAGCCGTACTGATATTTCACTCGCAGGTTGCTTTGACACACATCGTCGCTGCCACATCCCACTTTTAAAAACGCCACCTACGAAGGAACACATTTAAAAGAGCACAAATACTGACACACACACTCCTTGGATGAGACTAGCTCACACCTCTTGTCGAGTTGTGTTTTGATCTTTGGCATCTAGGACAGGTGAGGGTTGGGATGTTGCACTCTGTCTGCGTTTACGTTTTGTATTCTGGATATTCACAGACACGTCGATGGGGATGGCACGCAGCTTGTCTCGGATATTTTCCTGTTGGAAAACAAAACGATTTTACAACCTAGAGTACCTTTTCTTTTCTTTTTTTACTAAATTAATGATAAAAATATGGTTACCTGCATGGCTAGTTTTCGTGTAACACACTGTTGCTTTCCTTTTGTGTCCATGGAAAGGATACCAGTGGACTTATAGAGATCAGAACCGGAGGAGTCCATGAAAGTTGCCCTGGGTATGAGACCGTTCTTCCTGCGGTCAGCGTCCACTTCAAGGGTATATTTCACCGCTAGATGGGACAGAAGAATGGATGCAGTTTGAGAACAAGCTCTTAAACAACAGGATGATTGTTAAAATCCAATGTTTAATTCTGATTTTTATATTTTAAAAAAATAGACATTTGCTTTATTAGAGACACTAAATGTATAAATGAGGTTCAGCTTACTCAGACTGGGAGAATAACTCTTTGGGACAGCATCGTAGTTGAAGCATGCTTTCACTTCCAAGCTGGAGATAGAAAAGTTTAATTAATACAGGCAGAGTGGAGGATAGACAGGTTTCTTAAAGAGTGAGTCAACCCCCTTCCACAGTCCTACTCCACCCACACATCACATTTAAAAACTGTGCTTCGTGACACCAAAGCTATTTCTCACTTACAGACAGATATTGCATAAAAGGACCTCTACAAACTACATTATAAACAATACTCATACCAGAAAGTGTTTCCACAGTTCTTGTTCGTAAGGTCGATTTTGTTTGGACTGAAAGTGATTTCCTTCTGAATGCTGACAACTGGCCGGGCTCTAAGAATATAAAACTTTTAGTGAGCATTTCAGCAACCATAATGAGCAACAGTGAACTGAGTATTGGACTGGTTGGTACTTTCTCACTTGTAAAGAAAAACGGCATCTGAGAGTGATCCAACAGCCAGGTCTGGATAGGAGTTACCATCCAGGTCCATATTGCCTGCCAAAGAGTAGCCAAACAGCTTCACTCCCAAAGGCTTACCAGACAGCACCTGTAGCAGAAACAGCTCAAACATTATTAAGGGGTGGGAGATCTTGGTCATCAATGATCTTTGGTTTCTGCTTATCAAAGATATCATGGACATCAGCAGAATGCTCACACACACACACACACCAACCCCCAAGGACATTCATTTAAAAGAGCTAGTCTTTTGAACGACTCTTTCAGATAAACGACTCTCAAATGAATGGCTCCCTTTAAAGAGTCATAAGTGCCATCACTAATAAAACTCTTAAGCTGGGCGGACACTGTGCGACTTTTTCACTCGTAGCGCTCAGCTTCAGCTCAAACTGTACGACTTCCTCGCAGGGCAGATGTCACGAGTCATGTGCTCACACTGTACGACCCAGTTCTCGGATGCGACCTGACTGCTCACACTGTACGTCTGGTAGCAACACGTCGGACCTAAAAATATGCTAAAAATAGCAGTTTTTACTCAACACGTCAGACTTTTTTGTCTTGCCTGTTGTCCTTCAGGAGTGCTGCAGGAGGACACACAGGGATTTACGGGGGTTGGATGAGGAAAACGAAATAAAGAAAGTAAATCTGTGTTTTGTGATCAGTTTAATTTGACATGAACACGACAAACACACTTTCTTGACAATCTTTGTGAGTAAAAATAACGTGTAGAAATAAAAACGAACAGCGTGTGTTATTAGGGAAATGGCGGACGAGCGGTGTTGATGCATGATTGGCATTGCGCCGTGAGAAGTTCTGATACTTTTTGGGTCGCAGCTGCTCGCAGCGCCGCTTCAACAGTGCGATACCCTCATGAGGGACGAGCAAAATATCAAACACACCTGAAGTCCATGCGAGCTCACGATTGCTGATCGGTAGCAGGTCACGTGGTGTTAATCGCCTCTCGTAACCCCCTGTACACTACACGACGCTCAGCGCAAAACTCGCCCAGATCTCGTGGATTCTCGCACGAAAGGAAAATCGGCTCAAAAAAGTGAAAAAGTCGCACAGTGTACGCCCGGCTTAAGCAGGCCCCAATTAGATCCAGTATCCCTGGAAAAACTCTGCTGAGGGAAGGAACTCACAATCTCAACTGAGCCCAGTGCTAGATGTTCCAAAAACACCTTTGCTGGTTTCCTTACGGAACATCAACTGACATCTTCCCCCACTAGGTGGTGCTGCTTAGCTCATCTCTTCACTAGAATATAAAAGACATGAATGCAGGTCTGATGGCAACACTACAAACTAGGGAGCCTAAGTCACGCCCATCTACTTCTGGACCATGGCTCCTTGGAAGAACAAAACATTGAATGCAAGTCAATAGGGACCAAAAACGCTATTTTCTAATCCCATTAGTTATGTGCCGTGGATTTAACATATGATGTCCGTAAATTTTAAAGACGCATTTTGATACTAAGAAAGCGCTTTTTTTCGAACAGGGGTAAACGTTATTTTAGATTTTGTGTGAAAATGAGTCCAGGACTACAAATGCGCAACAAAGTGATGCCAACGAACCAGACACGGAAAAAAGCAGAGGTAAAATGGCGGTAAATTCAGCAAACTTCCAATCCTTCCCTCAGGAGGAAACACCCACCATAAATCTTGTCATGAGGTAAGTAGCAGCTATGCTGGAGCAGAGGAGATTCTGTGGTGACATCATATATGCGACAAGCCGACGTCTGATTTGTAGTCATAGGAAGTACGAACTTTTACAAAGTGATAAATCTCAAAGTATGTGACTGGCGGGGTCAAAACACACATCGTTACTTTTCATTTAAGTTGAAGTACGACATATGTGCGATCCAGGGCCTAAGTGGATTAGAATAAAGCTCTTTTAGCCCCGTTCATTTTTATTTGCTTTTTCGTTCTTCCGGGGAACCCATGACCTGACCGGAAAGGGAGGCTACCTAGGGTAGGGTGCTCCAACAGTCGTCAAGCTCTACAGAAACCTTTTAATTACCATTGATTCAAATTGGGTATGTTGAAACAGGGAAATAACTAAAACATGCTGGATAGGGACCAGGGTTGATGAGCCGTGTTCTAGGGTAAGTGAGTCACAGTTCCAAATGCACACATTAACACCCCTGTCATGATATTCAGTGTGAAAAAAAAATCAATACCAGGGGTAAGATTAGAGGCTGATCCTCCCTTAAGACCCCTCCAGTCCCCCGGTAAGATGACATTAAACACTCGATGTTTGGGCTATTTTTATTAGTGGTTACAGCTAAAAAAAAATGTTCAACACTTTTCAAAACTTGCAGGTGAAACAAAGATACAACCTGCAGAAGGATTTTGGATGTTATTGTAGCAGTTGACATACCTGTGCAGCTTTTTTATTCGTTTGTTCTGCAGCAGATCCATGGTAAATGTAAACGCTGCCGGCACCATCATCTTCATAAGGAGCTGCCGCTGCAAAATCTATCACCAGGACAGGATGTTTATACTTGTATTTAACAGAGGAATAATCAAATATATTACCCTCATAAAGACACATTAATAAAGCATGCTCACCGTGGTAGCCATCCTGATTGATATCCCCGAGGTTTTCCACAGCTAAGCCAAACATAGAGTACATGGATCCATCCATTCTAATGGGCGTGACTTGGTTCCACTTTCCAGCCTTGTTGATGTAAAGATAGACAGCTCCCCCAATTTCTCCATCCTTCTCAAAGTACTGGGGGGCTCCCACCACTATGTCCTCCCAACTAACAAATGTTACATTACACTCATGAGTGTATAATCAAACTAAAAATAACGACAACTCAAGCTGAACTGTCATGCTCACCCATCCTTGTTGAAATCCAGAACAGCCACGTCGTAACCAAAAGACGAAGCTAGTCCCTGCCCTTCCAGGATGTACTCTTCTACCAAGATCCTGCTTGTGTCTCCGCCCTTCTTCAGTAGGATCACCGCTCCACTGTAGTTTGCCCTGGGAGCTCCTGCCACCACTGTCAACTGGCCCTTCTTGGTCAAACTTTTCCCTGAGTCCAAAGAGAAGCCTGAGAGAAAGAGGCTAGTTAGACATCATCAGAGGAAAGTCGGGTGCTAAAGTTTTCTTCTTTGGAGTCAGATGATGAGTAAATATTTTACCCATGTAGCTGCTGGCGGGAGCTGGGACCAGGTTTGGATTCTTATCAACCTCATCACCTGCCTCAAATGGCCCATCGTCAAAGATGCCCAAATCTATGAAAGTCTCATTCCTTTGATCCAAGCGTACCACACCTTGATGTAGGGAGAAGACAATAAATCTTAACACACTAAATATACGTTGTTGTAACTGCATGACATTAATTCACACACACTTAACTACCTTTCCAGTTGTAAGCTCCAGGAGCCCCAAAAATGAGGTAGTGGAAGTCTTTGTCGAATGTAGCAGAGAGGCCCTGCTGGCAGGAACCAAACATCTCATGCCCTCTATTCCGGTTGTCACAAAAATGCCAGTTGCCTCCGTCTTCACTTGATTTAGCATTAATAGTTAAGTCCTGACTCAGCACATAACAACGGCCAATGATGTCGCGGTTTTCAATGTTTGAGTTCACATTTTTCCGCCTCTGGTAGCGATGGGCACAGGTCTACCGGGGAAAGGGAAAAATCAGATGAAGAACATGAATAATGTTGTTTATGTGAGATCAAACCTTCATGATAAAAATGCCTTCTCACCAAAACCTTGCCACCTGGTCCCTGACTGCTGACCGTCACTCCCAACCACTGATTCTCTTTGCTTTCTTTGCTTAGATCCTCTATAAAAGGACAAAAACATTACAAGTTATAACTTGCAAAATTAGCAAAAGACCTAAACTGGTAAAAAAAAATACTATGAAAAACATCTGAGTGTAGCTTACCATCATTGTCAAAGATGACTCTTGTGCAATCAGGAGTGGATAAGCTCATGTCACATTTGTAGAGTCCTCCTGTCACTTTAGCTTTTTGACCACTTAAGGCTTTTGCTTTTGGTGCTCCGACCAGCAACCTACAACACGCACACACACACACACACACACACACAGACACACACACACACAATGTGAATGTCTCCACTCATGTAAAACATTTTCACACATTCCAGTTCTTTTACCACACAGCAGCTATGTTTACATACATAAATAAATCTGCACATCTGCCATGACAGCTTTCATCCATGTCCTCACAGAGATCGGGTCTGTTTTTTAAAGCTTGCTTATGCACAAAACAGGGTCTGACAACTGTGTAACTTACCAGGCAAACTTTGTGATTCATAAGGAAAAGCTTGATGGAGAAACACGTGCAACTTTAAGCAAATTTTGGATAAGCACTTCTTGGAAATGGTAAAATGTTTAATTTAGGTCACATTTTCAGACTTGTAGATCCTTGCATGCACACAAAAAAAAATCAACCCCCCCCCCCCCCCCAAAATAATAAAAATACATTTGTAAATATATAATGTTTTTAAGATATTACTTTCATGTCTTCAAATTACTTATTGTAATTGTTGATTGTGTGACACGCAACAGCACATATGTGAATCGCACTATAAATTTAAACAGCACTGCAGTGAACCTGTCAGCATTTCCTTAAAGTGGGTGTCAAGGCATGGGTGGAGACATTTCTACCAGGCTTCCTGTTAGAAAAATACCTAAGAAAAAGGTGTTGCCTGGAGGACTGAGAGAGCGGCACTGAGGCAATGATTGGCAGCACCCCCCTCAACCCCCCACCCCCGTATGCGCTCTTTGAGTTTCTCAGTCAGAAAAAAGTCGTTAACAAGCGCGTGCACGCAAGCACACACAAACAGCAGACTCACCGCTCAGGAGAAGAGCAGACACAGAAACTGACTGCAGGAAGGAGGATTCCCTGTTCACCTCCTTCATTAGAAAAACGGGGAGGAGGACGTTTTTCTTAAGGAGGTGTGCGGCTCCGAGTGCCAACATGTCGTATCAGCAGGTGAGTGATTGAGTCAGGTGGTGGTGCGGCGGGACTCAGCAGGAGTCTAGTGCAGTGCATCCACGTAGTATTGCACAGACAACATCACCCTGCAGCTCTACAGCAATCAGCTGTGGCCGATTCTAAATCAATGTGGAGCAGAGTTTTAACCTGAAGATGGAGATTTAATTACGGTTTGGGGCTGAAATATTAAATTTAAAGTAAGTTGCACTAAACTGCCAAAATACTGCAATGATCACACGTGTACAGCACCATTAGACGCTCGTCTATACAAGTTATCAGCAAAAATAATCTTCATTCAGGTGTTACTCGCTCTTTAAAGTTAAAGTCCCATCAGTTGTCACACACACAGGTGTGTGTGCGAAATATGTTCTCCGCATTTGACCCATCCCCTGGGGGAGCGGTGAGCTGCAGACACAGCCGCGCTCAGGAACTATTTGGTGGTTTAACCCCCCAATCCAGCCCCTTAATGCTGAGTGTCAAGCAGGGAGGCATTGGGTCCCATTTTTTTTCCAGTCTTTGGTATGACCCGACCAGGAATCGAACCTCGAATTCCCAGTCTCAGGGCGGACACTCTACCACTAGGCCACTGAGCTTTAAACATGTGTCCTAAATTGAATAATATGTAATAAATAAAATAATAATAATAAATAATAAATTGAATTCTAACAGAACAACAGCTCGTTCCAGCAGGAATTAGCCAACAGGCGGACTGATATGTGTTTCATATGAACAATATTTCCTGCCTAAAGCTATTTTGGCTTAAATTAAATGTTTTCATTAAATGTTTCCCTTTTATCTGGAAAGGACAGCGATCTCTCCCTGCACACCATAGTGCTGCTTTTAGTATCAATAATTACTGCCATTTAAAGCTCCATCCAACCTCTTTTTTAACTGTTTTTATATATTTACATCCACGGATAGCCCCAAACTTTTTTTTTCATGCCTACATCACACCTCAGCGCATGGATTTCTGTCTTGGTTATCCTGTGTTCGTGTCAGTGACATGCCAGTGATAAGCAGGCTTATGTATATGCACAATACTCATAATGTAGTTTTCATTGTCCATTTAGAGCAGAAAGTGGGTGTGTGGGAGGCGGGGTGTGATCCAGCAACACCTGAGCACATTTCTGGGATAGATGTAAGATTAACTTGAGCAGCGTTTTAGTAAACATTCTACACAAAGTTTATAAATGAGGCTCCTGCTTATCACAGACCCTTCTGTCACCTTCTGTGGATGCCTAAACCAAGACTTTGTGGTCCAAAGAGGAGAGAGACATCCACACTCGACTGGACCAAGCCCAGTTCTGAAGATTGTCACATGTAATTTTTAACAACTTGTGTCTGTGTGTCACATGTATTCTATCACTGTATGTCCCTCACTCAATCCACAAGTTCTGCCTTGCTGTGCCTTTCTGATGACCTGCAAAGATAACAGCATGCCAACCTCTCCAGATGAAATTAGGCAAAGCCATTTATAGCAGGAAAACAAAGCGTCCTCAGATGCACGCGCCATCTGGGAGGGAATTTACTGAGTCTAACAGAGCAAAGAGCACAGGCTTAATGCAATCAGACCAAACTGTCCAGAGAAGAAAATCTCAAACTTTACAGAAAAGAGGCTGAAGACTGAGCAGCCATGAGTGGAATTAAAAAGGACAATCAATCTTTATAGGACTTGGAAAATACTGCGTTTACTAGTTCACATGTATGTGTGGAGTTTGTCACTGCAACTGTTTTTCATTTGAATGTGGGTCTTTGAGAACATTTCCAGGGAAATAAGCAATTGCTTTAGGACCCGAGTCTGTTTGCAACAAGGACAAGTGTAGAGTGTTTATCCCGGTTCTCACAAGTGGATGGGCCTGGCCTTGTCTCAGAACCACAGAACTATAATTTGTTTTTTATCCACCCATCATGTGTCCAATCAAACTTTCTTAAAATGAAAAAGGGGAGGAAGAGACACTTGAAATCTGAAACCATGAGGTGCACAGACAGATCTACAGCACAATGTGCTTTGGCACACAAACAGGAATAATCAAAGCATTTGTTATTCCAGGTGGGCTCATCTTCAATTTCTCTGTCGTGTGACTGAGATAGTCAGAGATGATAAAAGTCACAGATTTCCTGACGTCTGGGAGATATTGGGTTAAAAAAAATCAACACGTCTGGAAACTCTCCCTCCTTCAGCTGTTTTATGGGGTGGATGTGACCAAGTGCAGCTCTTTCTCTGATTGCACAAATGCGATCATTTCGACAAACTGAATTTTCTAAATTCCAAAGACATTTAAAAGGCCGAAGCGGAGCCTAGTCGGCCTTTTGTATTTGTGCTGCTGTGATTTTTTTGTTTTTGCAATGGAGGATTGAAGCGCTGACATGATGTGATATGGTTCACCTACTGCTCCACTGATAGCCATTTATCGAAATAGTTACCACGAACAGAGGAAGCCCTGACCGCAGGCGTTGACCAGAGGGAGACAAACACAGAGACGGTGTGTTTTTGGGTCCGAATGGGCTCTCTGAAACACACAAACTGCAGAAGCATCCCAAAGAGAGAGAGACATGTTGTTTTCCTAGCAGAAAACTTGCTGCCTGCTTGGGCACAGCCCGTTGCTACGCAGTGATCTATGGCGCTCTATCAACTTCAAAATGAGTTGCAGATCCACAGGTTCATGACAAGTGTTATCCAACCCTCCCCCCACCATCCATCTGCCCTTCATCGAGCCTGCTGAATCTGACGGGTTCAATAAAATACATATTTGGTGCCCAGATGTAAAAATGATTTATGTTCCTCCCAGAATTCCTTAAGCCATCACCTCTTTCTTCTTTTCAGCTCCTTCTTTGATGTTGGATAACCTTAAATAACCTAGAGGGAAGTGGACTGGGACTCGAATTCTTATTCCTTATCAAATTTGAAGCGCACACGCTACAGTCCAGAGCTAACATTAGCACAAAAAGTTGTGGTCCCTCCCTGTCTCTTCTGTCATATCTGGACTTAATACAAACCTGCTGATGAGTTTATTTCTCCTCAAAGCCTACCTCTCTGTGCTTCAGTCTTCTATTACTACTTTCTCTAGAGTCCCTACTTGTCAAGTAAACATGCACAAGCATTAAAGATCAAGTTTACTCATATTTTAATACATGTGCAGTGATCTCTAGTAGGAATGAATGCCCTGTAAGGCATTCTCTAGGTAAAAACGCTTAGATGCTCCTGTTAGAATATGTAGAGGTCAGCTGGAGGAGAAAGTAGCAGAAGGCAGGATTTGGAGTCTTGTTTCCTGATATTTGGACATGTCTCCTCTGATTGGCTAACGGCAACACAACTATATCAATGACTCTGTTTTGCATCGTGGATGTTTTATCTTCACAAATAACACAAGCCTGAAAGAGTGCTGCTGTGTTGTGTAGTTGCTAATGCTATAAGTTAGCTTCTACTAGTGTAGATGTGCTCTGCTGTTTCCTGGATGTCTATTTTCTATCAAAAGCTAATGCAGGAAATAGGGGTAGAAGACTATTTACACACACAGCCTACAGGTTAAACTTAAGAGTAACTGATCATTTTCAAAAATAAGTAAAAATTGTTTCTCAGTGAACTTGGTCTTTAACATTCTCCCACATTGAGCCCTAACTCATAAGCTCTCCTATATTCTCACATCTCCTCCTTCCTCCTCTTCCCCTTGTTAGACTTGGTGCTTTCCCTCTAGATTTTTTAAACATGCAGAAGCTCTATCTAGCAATTATAAAGATGATACACAGTCGCATTTTGCCGGCGCAAACACGTACAAGCAGGTCCTTCCCCACTTTAGAGGTACAAGTAAAACAAATCCCTTCAGGACATTAAAAAGCAGCCATGATGCATCCAAGACTGACTAAAAGCTGGCATGAATGACTGGCAAAGGAAGGGTTGTGACTCACCGTACACACCCTGTTGCTAACGTTTTGGCACACACGTTGCAAAAGACCTTAGTGAACACTTAGAAATAATAATAATACAGCTAGAACAAATCAACTGTCTGGTTCTACTTCTATTGCCTTAGTTTTGGTATCAAGCAGCAGTCTTTGCTCTCTGTAACGCTTCCAAATGATTGACAAGGCAACACCTCAGTGCTCAGCCACAGCTTGCATCAGCACCATGAAAACACACCAAACAGGACATAAAACACACACACACACACACACACACACACACACACACACACACACAAACACTGTGGGAGCTTAAAAACAGCACAAAGGGAATCCTCACTTACAAACTCCTATTTACCCCCTGACCCACAAAATTACAACTTGAACTATACAAATGTTGCTAAAAGACTAAACAAAAACAGACGCAATAACTACACAAACAGCTTCAAGTAGTAAAATAATACTCATCCATTTGTAGTTTGTTGCATGTATTCTATTAGTATTTAATTTTGCAAAATGATAGATTTCTAGAGATCCTCCCGGGACCACTCGTGTGTTATGAGGCTCAGTTTTGGGTAACACTTTATAACACGGATCCAAAAATGCTGTATTCGTAGCAGCGTTTTGATAAGTGAGAGTAAATAGCCATGCATTGTGTTAAATTAATCCATAATCTGGCCTGAGATTAAATCTCAGTCTAATTAATAAGAAATTAAATCCTACATTCCCTCCTTTTTCTAATAAAATCCAAACAATAAAAGATGGACTTAAAGCAAAATCGGATTTGAGATGTTCCTCTGTTATTATTATCAAAGACAATAACTAAAACCAGCAGAAGTCCAAATGATCTAAAACAGTTTTTTGGGAAACATTTTCATCATCATGTGTCTGTCATTTAGTCAAACATCCATCCATCCATTTTCGGCCGCTTATCCAGGGTTAGGTAGCAGATGCAGTAGCCAAAGCAGGGAGGCCCAGGCTTCCCTCTTCACAGCCACTTGGGCCAGCTCCTCTGGGGAAATCCTAAAGCTTTCCCTGGCCAGCCAAGAGGCATGGTCCCTCCAGCTTGACCTGGGTCTTCCTTTAGGTCTTCTCCCAGGTGGACATGCACGGAAAACCTCACCAGGGAGCCGTCCAGCCCAAGCCACTTCAGCTGGCTACTCTCGATGCGGAGGAGCAGCGGGTCTACTCCGAGCCCCTCCCGGATGACTGAGTTTCTCACCCTATCTCTAAGGGTGAGCCCAGACACCCTGTGAAGAAATCTCATTTTGGCCGCTTGTATCCGCAATCTCGTTCTTTAGGTCACTACCCAAAGCTCATGACCATAGGTGAGGATAGGAACGTAGATCGACCGTTAAATCGTGACCTTTGCCTTCCAGCTCAGCTCTCTCTTCACCACAACAGATCGGTACAACACCCGCATTACTGCATACGCAGCACCAATCCGCCTGTCGATCTCGCACTCCCATCTTTTCCGCACTCGTGAACAAAACCCAGAGATACTTAAACTCCTCCACTTGGTGATGGAACTGATCCTTGACCCGGAGAAGGCATTCTACCCTTTTCTGACTCAGGACCATTGTCTTGGATTTAGAGGAGCTGATTCGCATCCCAGCTGCTTCACACTTCGCTGCAAAACACTCCAGCGAGAGCCGGAGATCATGTTCTGATGAAGTCAACAGGACAACATCATCTGCAAAAAGCAGTGACTCAATCCTTAAGCCACCAAAACGTATCCCCTCAACACCTTGGCTGCGCCTAGAATACCTGTCCAAAAAAGTTATGAACAGAAATGGTGAAAAAAAGGGCAGCCTTGGCGGAGTCCAACTCTCACCGGAAACGAGCCCGACTTACTGCCGGTAATGAAGCCCAAGTTTTGACACCGGTCATAGGGACCTAACAGTCAAACAGCCTACAATAAAAGGAACTGGTGTTTTGAAGAAGTTATTAACTTATGATCATCAGTATTTTTTTAAACTCTGAACCTGAACAGCTTTAAGATTTTATCATTTAGTGGTATTATATCTGTGCATGGTGTATAAAGTTTTTATAAGAAAAAAATTTGTGTCATGTGAGGATTTTGATCGCCATTACAAACTATGAGTTGGTCTGCACCTATAAAAATGTACAATGCTTTGAGGGCAAGTGTTGTATCAATTTTAGTTCCTTCTGTAGAGAAACATTTGCCTAAGATGGCATTATTATGTCAAGTTTTACATGGCAGGGTTAACATATTTACTATATTAGTGTTTAAATAACAACTTCTGTCATCCTGCTATTGTAAATCTTTAATAAATCAAAAAAGCTGTTCAGAATGGTTCATAATAAAACACCAAAACAGGACATTTATGGGAAAACCGCTCTGATCCCCTGATCCCCCCCATCCCCTCCCCCCCCCCCCCCCCCCCCCCACACACACACCACCCCAAACCCACCTCCAACCTACACTCACATTAAAAGCCATTAATTGCATACTGACATACAGAGTTATAACTCTTATATAGAATTTTGATCGTTCTATTGGGTGTTATTGGAATTTATAAATCAAATTAGTACCAAAATATTCTTGGTAACCTCACTATCTCGTCACTGAGAAAATTATGGGGGGACCCAATTGGGAACCATTGTTCTAGTTGATTATGCAAACACAGCTTGTATTCTTAAACAGGCGACAAAGTCTTGTAAAGCAATAAACACGAGATGTTGACTCTACATTTGTCATTTTAAACATCAAAAGAAAGAACAAAGGAGTGAAATGAAGGTGGTCGCGCGCCGCGCGCATGTGCAGGTTAAACTCGTTCTGTATTAAAAAATACTTATCAAGTGTTAAAAAAAACCCGTGTGAAACTCGTTTAGGCGTTAGAATGGACGGTAGTATGCTTCTAGTTTCTAGTTTTGGTGCGTATAAAGACGTTTACAGGTGGAAATACTTAAACTACCTGCGACATACCTGAGCTCACGTTATTACGTAATGGCTCTGGGCAGAAAAAAGTAGAAAAAAAAAACTCCAAGAACCAGAAAACAAAGACTCTGTCGTTTCTTCTGCGCTGACAGACATTACGGTAACACGCACACTAAAGTTATAATTTAAAAGAAGAATGAGTCAAACTCTGGTTCTTACAGCCTCTTGTTCTGCGGGTTGAGCTGCCAGTGCATGGCTAGAGAGAAGCCGAACAGGCTCCCGGGGTCCCCGGCCTTCCGCTGCACATTCTCGGTGTCCAGGTTGAACGCCGATAGTCGCCCACATCCCAGCAGCAAGGTGAGCAGCCACAGTCCACAGGTAAAGCCCTCCATGACAGTGCTAACCTTCCCTGGAGTGGAGAGAGGCGCAGAGTGCTGCAGGGGCGCTGCTGGTGGGTTGAATTCTGTTCACCAGCAGCCCCGCCCTCCCACCAGGCTGTCCTGGCACTCTCACCATCCCACCACACCTAGGAATGCATATTTCCGCCGGAAACGATGGATTCTCTGTAGGTCAATAACCTAATCTTAGTGGGTCAGTTGTGCCTGAGGCTGCTTCAGACTGCACGTGCAGGCGTATAATTAGTGCTCCTGGCTACATAGCACCCTCTGACTATAAAGCTAATAAATATCACCATAAACTCCCTTGGAAAAAGGCATAAACAAAACACATTCGAGTCCCAAAGAGGAAAAATACTGGTGAAGTGTGTGGCAGTCGGCACACATATTTAGGGAGTATGTTTCCATCAAACCATTTAACAGTTGTTTACTTATATACAAGTACTTTATTTCAGAAAGAAATACCAGAATAAGAGTATGTTGAAGTTTTAACGTTTGTCCAAATCAACAGATTTACCAGCACACACCTCAAATATTTAATCCGTCTGGAATTGTCACTTTAACATCAAGGTTCTTTATCTGCTCTGATGACGCATTATGAGTCACAGACTAAAGAAGCAGAAGGCACAGGGCTGCACATCGACAGTTGCCCTTCTCTAGATGATTTTCTGGGCTTTCCGTGAGACGCTGACCCAAAGCAACTCAGAATTTTAGCAGACAACGCTGGCTTTGTCTGCACAGAGAAAGAGCGACTGAGGGAGAGAAGCTGCCCACATACAGTACTATAAAAGGCACAAATAATCATGGAAAAAAAAGGGACTGCAGAGAAAGAAAAGGTCAGGGGAGGAATGCAGTTCTTCATTATCAGGCTTAAAGATCAAATTAGTGTTAGAAAGTTTATTTGCTCTCTTGGAGTTTTGTATTAGATTCAGGAAAATTATGCATATATAAAAACTTGCACATGCTAATGAAATCAGGATTGCAAAAATGTGCTCCTTGTCCTGATATTAGTTTATCGTTTCAAAACCTTGTTAAAGTCTAATCTCTAATGAACCTCGTGGCACACATTCTGTGTCTCCATTTCCTGTCCTATCTATGATGCTCATTAAAGAATGCCAGGCTTGGTGATCACCACTACAACAAAACAGTAATTATTCATAACTTTTCCTCTGAACGACACTTTAAGTTGGCAAAAAAAAATCAATTTTAAACTAATAAATTAGCTGTGCATGTTAGGCGAGGCAAGATGTCCTCTCCCACAGCAAAACTGGAATATTTACAGTTCCGTTGTGATGCATTGTGCAACAGAAAAGGCCTAATTACCAGAGACTCCGTCCAGTAGTGGCATTTCTCACTGTTCGTTGTCTCATATTACATTTTTTTTGCCATCTTCCTGAAAAATAAAGGTCACATTTCATGTCTGAGTGTAAGCAAAATGGAAGGAAAGGAACAAATCAGTGACAAGACTACAGGATAAAATCCGATTTTAGTTTGATGTCCCCGGTAACTCCATAATTGATCATTTCCAACAGATAGCCAAAAACATCACATCTTTGTGATTTTACTCAGCAAATGAGTTCAGTAATGTTCAACCAGAATGAAGAAGTGAGTCACGTGTGCTGATCTGTGTACAGCGTGTTCTATCGCGGACCAAAAACATTCCCTCAGGCCCCAAAGAACAGCAGTGACGGTGGAAGCTATCCTCCTGACACAAACACACAGGACTAGAAAAGGCAGCGCCCAGACTCGCCTGAGCCACAGCCCTTTATTTGTTCGTAAAGTTGCAGGTATGGTGAAGGAACGCACACTCACCTGAGGGTGGGGCACAGCCTGTGTTAGGCCTGTGCTGAACTCTAGACCCGAACTGTTTCACAACTACAATAAACCGCTGTGATTCAGAAAAGACTCAGGAACTTTTCCTTGTTGAAAGTTGCAAACACATTAAAGGATAGGCAGAGAATTAATGATTACTAAATCAGTCATAAACTGAGGACAGAGGTGAGCGGGCTGTTCTCATGTCTAAATAAATCATTATGTTAAGTTGAAGGGCAGCTGTTTGTTGAGTGTTTCACGTCTAATGCAGACAGCAAGCAAATCTTTATGTGGTAATCTCCTAGAAGTCAGTTTTTGGCTCTTGCTGTTTGGATTTTGTGTGATTATGTAGCTGCAGCAATAATAAAATCAGTCATTGCAGGGACAAAGCTTTAATTTAAATATTCCCTGTTATCTTTTATTGATCCAGTACCGACGAAAACCCTCAGAGACAGTAGGCCCCCGACATGATCCTTTACTCTTCTTAATGAATGCATTGAATACAGTCACTACAGAGTAATTAAAGCCCTCTCTTGTCCAGTGGTGCCATAACGCCCCCGGGACTGCTGCTAACCTCTTTGTACATTTACTGTGTGACTAATGTGTGTCCCAGCCCTGGCTAGAGGATGTAATGTGAGATGCAGTGTTAGTGAGCCCGGGCCCCTGTGTTGATGGGTCCAGGTGTACCTGGGGTAACCTGAGTGGATCACAGGGTGAAACAAGTTCACTTTCTGTTTTCTTCTGGCAGATTTGCAGTGATTGTGCTTTTAAAAAATATGCATGTTTATTTTCCCTGATTGAGTGAATTTTGACTCAAACTCCTCTAGATTAAATTATTTAAAGGCACAATATGTAATAACTGTACTTATCTGCTATCAAATCCCCCATATCTGTTCACAAATGTGTCCTACTCTAAATATTACATTTAGCTTGAAATTTTACATATTTGTATACATAAACTGTGGCCGACGCTCCGTAGTCATGTGCCATCTTGAATTACTGTTGCTGTTTAGGGACATCCAAGGTATCATGCTCCATGCTATGCATTTGCACTTTCATACAAAAGTTTATCTCCCTCTAAACGTTATGCGGGGGTGGCAATGGCTCTCTACATAGCAGCCTTGCTGGTTTGGGGAAATTCTGCTCCTTCCCCTTGGGTTGGTTGCTCTGCTCTAACTCCACATGATGCGATTGTTGAATTGAAAGCTAGAAGTCGTTAATAACTGTGGCAGTGCGTGCACAGCCGCATGGGAGAGGAAGACGAGTGACTTGATGCAATTTGCTGGGTTCCTTATATAGGAAACTTTTTTTTGATTGGCTTAATGACCTGGGGTCTCATTTATCAAACATTGCGTAGAATCCTAACTAAAACCGTACTTAAGCTCAGCAAAAAAAGTATTTACGCCAAGTAGGTTTGTGATCTATCAAACATGGAGTACACACAGCTGCACGCAATCTCCGCTTCATGAATCGGAGACTAACGAGAATGTTTCTCAGCTGCTTTTTAGTCACATCCCGCCCTCACCACGCCCACTTACTGCCATAAATAGTCAATGCAAAGTGCCTTGTGGATCTCATGCATATACATAAGCCGGCTGTTGCAGCGCTCCGCCAATGACATGGCGACCGTAGATCAAGGCAGATCAAGGAAGTGTAATTTCACAGAAGCAGAAATTGAGGTACCTGTGGGTGAGGTGGAGAAATGAAAGGAAGTACTTTTGCAAAACAAATAAGAGAAAATCCACGGAGTGGCACAACTTTGCTGAAGCCGTCAATGTTGTGAATTCTTCAGAGAGATCTGTGGCAGATATAAAAAATGGTCCAATCGGGATTTGATTCCCAGACTCCTGGGTGAAAGTCACGCACGCCAACTAGTCAGCCTGTTCAATTAGCCAGGGCGGATGATTAATCGGGTCACAGTGACAGGACACACACTGTCATGGATGCATGACATTCTGTCTCAATCTGTCCCCCTGCTGATATTCTGCATTCCGTATTCTGCGCTTCAGGCTGTGTGTGTGCACATGTGTGTGTGTGTGTGTGTGTGTGGGGGGGGGGGGTGTCTTATTCTGTGTGAAAACTAAGCAGTACAAGTGATGATGCTGCAGGATTTCATAATTGTATCCTTCTCAGCAGCAGCACTGCAGGTGCTCTCCATGTCCAAAATGTGCGTAAGCCAGGTCCTTAGTCAACTTAAAGTTGTGCACATTTTTCCGCTAAGTTTTCTTTCATAAATCCCAAAGTTTGCGTGGAAAGTTGCTTACGCAGTTTTCCGACCCCGTTTTGTGCGTAAGCAAGCTTGATAAATGAGGCCCCTGACCTGTATTGGAATGTTTACTATGTGAAGTGCCTTGAGAAGACTCTTGTTGTGATTTGGCATTATATAAATAAACTTGAATTGAACTGAATTGAATTTAATTGAATTGATGCGTTTAGGTACGGGTCGTTGCAGCAGATACTTTAGACCAGAGGTGCCCAATCCTGGTCCTGGAGAGCCGGTATCCAGCAAGTGTTAGTGGTTCCTATGCTCCAACATAATTCAGTGGTTGTGCAGCTCATCAAGTTCTGCAGATGCCTTTTAATCACCTGCTAACTGAAATCAGGTGGGTTGAAACAGGGTTAAAACTAAAACACCGGCCTTTCAGGATGAGGATTTGGCACCCCTGCTTTAGACACAGCAGAAGCGGCAGTACCAGAGCAAGATGACACAGCCGCAGCAAACGACTGATCAGATCCGTTCTACAAATATTCACAGGACACTTACTTAGGACTCTCGATTCCCCGAGAGAGGTCCTGATTGTAGGAAGCAGCAGAAACAGTAAATAAAACATGCAGACAGTTGAAAGTTGGTGTGTGGTGTTTCTGTGTGTGACCCCTGAAGTAGCTGTCAGTGCTAGAGTGTCTCCCTCTCCCCCGCAGCCGAGCAACCACTGGCACAATGACACATTGCCTTTTTGATGCATGTGGGCTACCGTAGCTGCAATGCTTACTCTGAACTCTGTGCCGCTAAGTAGTTGGATGTTTTTACACACTGGGACTTTAATGTTTTGTGTCTTCTGTCACATTCAGAAAAAACGTATAACAATTAAATCCAATTAGGATTTTTAAGTAATAAAACATATTTTAACTGCTGGAATGACCAGAACAGGACTTGGATATTTGCGGTCTGCTTTGTAATGTGAAAATAAAAATAATTTTTTCATAAGAATAGTTACTCTGAAAATGAAAAACATGCCCACAATTAAATTGGGAAATAGAAGCTTTTAATATATTCACACCACCAATAAACAATATAATTTTCACCATCAGAGTTACATGTTTTATTTCTCTGATTGGTGGCTTTGTTTTTACAGCCACTGCTGTTTATCTTCTACGTGTTTCTAACTAGTGCTTCACTTTCTCTGCTGTCGAAATGACAGAAGCTGAAACGCTTAGGCTGTGAGCATTGTGATGAAGGAGCGAGGACAATCTAGAGTTATCTGTACAAATAAATGGTGATATTCAACAATAATATCATAATACCAATATTGCACAGCTCTTCTGTGCAGCTGAAAACATCCAAAAAGTAAACTATTTCTTTACAGTTTATAAAATTTTTATCTCCTTACTTTTTTGTCCTTTTGTGCAAAATTGTCTCTGAAATCTACTTTCTCTTGTGTTTATTTACACCAGCTGTATTTGTGGAGGTAGTCAGTCTCCCCACACTATAATCTCATTGTACTTCATTAAGTTTATTGTAATATGGAGAACATTTATGCTCATACTGTGATTTTTGATGAGTTTTTAATTTAGTACTAGCCTTTAAATTAAAATACTGTCGAGCTGAATTTTACAGTTACTAAATTACATAATAAATAAATGTTTTCTTTGCCCAAACAACAGACTGAATTTAAAGAGGACTTATGCAAAACTCATCTTTTGCATCCTTCTGTGCTGCCATGTGGGTCACTACTGCCTTTATAACACTCCAAACGGGGGAAACGCCCATCTGTTTTCTGTCATTAGTTTTAGGAATTGTGTGACTAAAACAAGTAATTTCAAAAAGTCCTTGTTTACAACATCACAAACGGGAATTAGAATAGAACTACCTCTCACGTGTCTGCTACTGGAGGAGCAGCAGCTCTACTCTGAGACCCTCCCAAATATCAGAGTTTCTAAGCTAATAGCCACCTGAGTGAGGGATGAGGGGGCGTGGCCAGCTCCAGCTTGCTTTTTAAAGGAATAGGACCCTGAAACAGCTTATTCTGAAAATGTCAACAATAAAACAGCTAAAATATCTTCGTGTGAGTGGGACTTTATGCAAAGAACTTCATAAACATGATTTATATTGACCATAAAACTATTATAACTAAAGAAAACTGTCATAATATATCCCTTTTCTGTGAAAGCTACAATTGCAGAGCAAAGAAATATTATTGTGGTTTCTCAAACAAACACACACAGACACACACACACACACACACACATGCACGAGCACACACACACACACACCATCCAAAGAGTAACACAGTTTATTAGGTGGAACAAATTGTTAATTCACACAAAAACAGGGACATAAGCATAAATACTGAGCTGTTTAAAAGGCATTCTCATGGTGGCGCCCTGGAGCTAGAACTTCCTCAGCAATTCCTTCTCCATCCCTTCTTTATCTTTGTTTTAATAAATACTTCCGTCCATCAATCTATGTCCACAGTGTAATACACATATGATTAATACTTTTGTATTTTTGTTATATATATGTATATATATATTGTGGTTTAAAAAGAGAATGCTAAATACGATATTAATCTCTTATATTGTATATTACAGCATAACAATGTTGCTGTGCTGTCGTACTACTACGAGTGTTAGGCTTGATGAAAGGCTTTACTGGAATAGATCAAAGGAAAAAAATAATACAGCAGAGAAACACTACACTTGTTCTGTTTTCAAGCTTATCTGATCTGGCTCAAACACACACACACACACACACACACACACACACACACATATATACACATAAAAAATTACACTCACTTACAGCTTAGATGGTATGGCTTTAAGTTGGTAACCAGTGTTTTCTTATGTCCACAGAAAAGGCATTGTACAAGGCGCCGTGTTTCTAGTGTGTGTTTAAGTGATGCGTGTGAATCTTAGCAGACAACAAAAGCAGACAGGAATCGTTTATCAGGAACCCTTCAGTGCCTCCTGAGGCAACACATACCAGCTACACACACACAATGCTGCACCCCAGCTCATAGTTTGGCCCTCTGCTTTGGTTGTTTAGGCTCAAGAAGATTGTTGGAGGAAGACACGAGGCTGATGAAAAGAGAAATCCAGAAATCTTAGCAACACCCTGGGAATTTAAATAGACCTGCTTGCTAGCCTAGCTTTAGATCAGCTCACAAAAAACTATGAATAGAACATTCCCTACAATTAAAGAGACTCAAGAGGTCAGAAGAGAAAGTTTCCCAACTTGTAAAAGTCAATCAAAAGAGGACTTCTTCTCACTCACTCACACACACACACACAAACACAATTAGAAACTTTCTCTTTTACCATATATATTTAAAGTAACTGTGAATTTAGACATTTATCTAAAGTATAGACGGTGGTGTGTGGCAGCTGCTAAAGCTGTCCTACACAACATAACCAATTAAATTAGATAAACTCATTTCCCAGAACAATGATATTAGAGACATTTCCACCTTCATCTGAAGAAACCGTAGCACTGAGCAGGAGTTTGCCCACCCATCATCAGCCTGTATCCACATGTCCTGGTTCAGTTCTGTTAGAACTTACAAACTCTGCTGTTTTGTTTGGCCCTCAGGTGCTTTAGTGAATCACTCATTACGAAGTATGATTAAGTAGATATCATCTGTGCGTGCGCGTGTTTGTGTGTGTGTGTTTGTGTGTGCATGCGCGTGCATGTGCAAGACATCTCTTGCCTCCACAAGTCTGAAACTGATGTGTCACTTGATGGCCCTCGCTGACGGGTTACCAAGGGAACCAAGAATTCTGTGGTGCTTCACGGAGAAAAATCCCAGATAAGTGTGAAACAGACTCGCACAAACACAAGAGATGTAGGTGTGCACACTCAGAACATCCGAGAAACCCAACACATTACTCTGTTTAAGCAGCTGGAGAGCCGTTTAAAATCATAGAGCATATAATTATGAACTGTTGTTAGTGACAAATGTGCTCAAGTCACAACAGTTCAGCTTTAAATAACTATAAAAATAAAAATCTGCCTCTTTGGAGCAACAGATTTTACTAAACAACTTCAATTTATAAGAACATTTAGTACAAGAAAAACAATTACATCTAGTTAAGAAGACAGTGTTGCATTTTTAAAGTAAATATTTCCAACATAAAATGCAGAGCAGCATTCATGAATGAGTCCCAACACGTAGAAAAAGAACGAAGGGCAGAGGAGAACACTCCTGATACCGGAGTCACACCCTGCTCCTCCCAAAACACTCTCCTCTACCTCTGCTTTCCCTAATCACCATCTATCATTCAAACCTCGAGCATTTATTCAGATTTACTTAAGTTAATACTCTCAATCGTGTGCAGATTTTAAAAAAATGCTTTTAAAAAAGGTCTCTCTCTCTCTCTCTCACACACACACACATGTAACTCTCCTCAAGTCAGCCAAATGACATATTTTATATGAATCACTTCCTGGATGGACATGACCAACATTTAGTTTAGCTGACCAACCTTTATTTATCTAATTTGCCCACAAACAGTGAATGGCATGAACGAACACACACACACACACACACACACACACGCACACACACACTGACTGACAGGAAATGAAAACACACCCTCCAGTAGGGTGGAATCCTACTTTTTCCAGTTCATTTTTACCCATCCTCCCTTCTCCTATATCCAGAATAAATAATACATTAAACACTATTTGTTACTGATCATTTACATCCCCATTACAGTATATCTGTGTGAATAAGCAAATGTTTAATATACCTAAATAACTGCATTAACTTGTGCTGTTCTTATTACATCCACATGTAGTTGTGGAGAACGTTAAAATGAACACCACTATGCCTGGAATGTGTTTCCTCAGCATATTTTAACCTTTCGTTTTGATGATTTATCTGTACTCGTACTATGCATGTGCAGCAAGTGAGACTTCACATTGACTGGTGCCAAAAATCACACGCCTCTGAACTGTTACGCGTACCAAGATGGTGACAGCTGGAGTAGATCAATGTCACTGTGATGGTTTCAGTCTCAGACTTGCATGTATGAGATGTAGAAATGTGCTTTTGCGTTTTAAACGGGAAAATGTGGAGCTGCCACAACCTAAAGGTGCTTAACGGTGTGCTGCCACCTGCTGGCTACATTTTATAATGTCAGTATGTACACGGTTTGGGGATTAGTTTGTTCTTGATGATTCTGGGGTATTCTTAAAAGAGCCCACTATATTTAGTCTATCATTAAAGCAAATCTCAAAGAAGCATCTGTCCCTAATAAGACAACTTTAATGAAATGAAGAAAGTATAAATATTTTATTATCTTTAGATCTGAATGGTTGGAGACAAATAAAACATCTTGGAGCAAATGGAAATAGTGAAATACTGGGCAATATCAAAAAACTCTGAAACAAAGTTTATAATAAAAATATACAGTAAACTGATGTTTTATTTAATTTTTTTTGGATGCTGTTTATCTAATTTTATTTGTTTTAAGGGGTGATTTTTTGTTGTTGTTGTTTAAATAAACAAATGTAATTTAAAATATTTTTATTTTGCAAGACCATAAATACCATAACCCTGTTTTCCAGCTCAAACCATGTTCCTTAAAGATTAAAAACAAAATTTTAAATCTCTTTTTTAAAATCTTTCTACTTGTTCAACATATTAAAGAATTGTTTCCATTCGAAGAACAATCATTTTATTTTCACTAACTATATCTTTAGCTGGTTAACACACAGTTTCTGTTAATAATCGTCCTCTCCTGGTAGTTTTGTGAGAATCTTCGCTCCGTCTGATGTAACGACCACCGTGTGCTCAAACTGAGCCGACCTGTCAGAGAAAATGTGGATTTTAGAAGGAATCAGTGAAAGTTTGAGTGAAAATAATTGGATATAAGAGCCAGTTTCTATTTAAAATCGTCAATATTCATTCTTACAAGATGTAACTGTCATGTACCTTTTATCATCGGCTGACACGGCGGTCCATTTGTCCTTTAAGATTCTGAACTCTGTCGACCCCTCCATTACTATAGGCTCTAACAGAATAGCATTAACATATCAAAAATATCCTTTAAGAACAAATAAAATCTGCAGGACAAAACGTACCTATGGTGAAAGCCATCCCCTCATCCATGGTTATGTCATTGTCGTTAGCTGCAAATAAAAATAATTTACTCTTGACAAATATGTGGCTTGTGATTCAATTTCAACTCAAATGTCATCCAGAAAACAACCTAATCTGCTTTTTAATTTATTCCAGCATATCCAACACAAACTACTAAGTCTCTTCCATAAAAATTACATTTCTTTATTGGCTGCCATTGGCTATTGGTTGACTAGTTTGTGAGAACAAAAGCTCCGTACTGCCAGTTAACTTCATGGAACTAATCAGTGAGTTTTAGCCACACAGACAGGTTCTTGCACGTGTGTTTTGCTCTGACACAGGAATTTACTGCACCCTCTTCTCCAGATCCAGCTTACCGTGGTGCCAAATCTCAGGATGGCAGTGGAAATAGGAGCCTATCCCGTGACCAATAAAGTATGGACACACTTGAAAGCCATTGGTCTGAGCTATTTCACTGTGAATCGTACAGTGAAAAAGGTTTCAGATAACAGTCACATGATCAAGCATTAGAGTTGTGCATTGATTATGACTTAATACCTGATGGTGTTTCCAATAACACAGAGCTGTGCACCTGGTTTGCACACAGCAATGGCCTCGTCTCTGCAGCGCCTCGCCGTCTCCACCAATCGCTGCCCAACCTCATCCACCTCACCAATCAAGAAGGTTTCTGAGGTGTCACCATGGTAACCATCCAAATACACCTGTCATAATTAGACAGAAGTAATCGAAGCATTATTGGTGCTAAATTTAATTAAATACTCATGATATAAATGTTTTTAAAGAATTAAACAAACTCACGGTGACATCGATGTTGATGATGTCACCATCTTCAAGTTTGCGGCTGCAGAACACAAGTATGAAGAAGTACTACTACCTCCAACATTATTTTAATCATTTGAACTTTTTAGATATTTTAAATATTTAGAAAATGTAATTCAATTTAACAGCTGAGTCTAGACTGAAAGCTAGAGATTGATAATAACAAAGAGGTACATTACCTGTCAGGTATGCCGTGACACACCACATTGTTCACAGATGTACAGACAGACTTGGGGAAGCCTCCATATCTGAGGGGGGAGGGGTATGCATTGTGCTTTATCGTTTCCTGGTGCACAATGAAGTCTATTTCATCTGTTGTCATACCAACCTAAAAAAGAACAATTAATAGTTGATCTGTGTATTCTGACTGATGACACAGAATCTTTAAAAAGACATGTGCATGTTGTTCTTACTTTCAGACTGCGTCCAGCTAACAGCAGTACATGTCTAGCCAGCTGACACGCTCTTGCAAGGCTTTCAATCTGCTCTTGGTTTTTGATCTCGATGTAGTCTGGCCATTCTGGGACCAGTCCAGTGCCAATGTAGTCTGGCTGAACGATGTGCTTCAATCATGAAAAGGATAGGATGTTATTTAGGTTTGGAATTTGACACATAAGGCTGTTCTCCACTGAGAGGAGATAAAGGTCATCCTTTTAAATTGACACTAAGTTGTATTTAATTTTGACAAACTTTTACAATTTTGTTTTCAAGAAAATTGTCCAAGAGCATGTTCCTGTCACGGGTCCTAGATCCGTTCTGATTGCATTCTTAATGAGAACATTGCTTTATTATTTCACCCAGAACATATGTTCTGTCCTGTGAGCTCCTAAAATGAATTATATTTTTATGCAAAGATATACCTTGGGTACTGGGTAGGCAGGCCGAACAGTAGCCGGACGAACTATACTGTGTGGACTTTTCCACCTTCTCCAGAAGAAGCGACGATGTTGTTCACAAAAAAGGTCCGAGGAGGGACTACAGCTTCGCAGACAAGAAATTCTCTGCAGGAAACGGCTCAGTCCTAGAGAAAACCACCACCACTCTTCATTAATAAAAGGTTTACGACCATGCTTTTCTACTTTTAAGTGTAAAAATCTGAAATTTACACTAATCTGAGCTCGTTTCACCTTCTTTTATTCTGTCTATTGAAGAGGCATGTGAAAGATTCATGAATAAATCAACAGCAAAACACAAGCTCGTGGACGCAGGTGGTAGCTTTACTAGCTAGCAAGAACGCCGACAAATTATTTTTAGATCTATTAAATATATCAGCTAAAGACATAATGCATCAGGTTGCTACAAACAAACTGGCGAGTCTTCGATGATGCTTTCTGACAGACTGACAAGAACCTGACTGCAGTACCTGTTTTGGCTGCAAACTCTCCACAGAATCGAGCCGCTACAGTAGACGCCATTAATGTTTTGTTGTGGTCACGTGAGTCAGTAGCAGTGGGTCACGTGACGCAGATTGGCCCGGTTGGAGGCTAAAGATCTCAAGCATAAATGTATATAAATGTGTATATATATACATGTATATATATATATATATATATATATATATATATATATATATATATATATATATATATTTATTATATACATACATATAAAACACTGCTCAGTGTTTAAGTCTGACATAATATTTTTATGAAGATGTTATTAGTGAACTTAAAAATACATTTTAATTAAATTCTGCAACAGCACCAGGCTGCCCGTGGATGTGCCTGACTTTAAATATAGGCCGATACGATATATAAAAAACTGTAAATATCAGACGACCGATATGTTGATCTGTCCCGTGATGACCTGAAAAAAATTGGAAAATGTCTTGATTTCTATTGGATCTTACAAAAAAACAGCACCTGTTACAAACAGTGAGACATAAGACTGAGTAGTACTCGCACATTGTCATTTATCTGTTACTGTTTGGCTGCAAAAAACGTGCAGTATCCAAATCATCGACATACATAGAGATCCAAATATACACACTGATTTGCAGACTAAGCTTCCAGACTGATGTGGTAAGCAGCAGCCTCTTTCAGTGGCTGGACAATCTTTTCTTACAGCTTGGCTCCTTTGGTGTATACTTTCATTTCTCTCCTGAACCTGTTCATGAATTATTTATCCTGGTCCCTATGGGGGTAAATCTATCCAACAGCCAATAACTTCTTTCCTCCTTTATCGAGAATGTTTTACAAAAACCCAGAAAGGATATTTATTACAGTCTGTTTCATGTGTTCACAGAAATGTGTGGTGTGTACATTGTTTCTTTATAAAATGAGTTGCTCTAGAACCTGGTGCAGACTATTATCATGTTTCTTTCTTTTTTTAAATGCATGACAAAGTCTTTTCTGCATTTTTTTCCTCATTCGTTTATTTTATTTTATACAAGTAACTGAATGGTCTACATGAGTAAATGATAGAATAATTATTCATGTTTTCTTTATCATGCTTTATGCTTTTATTACATTTAAAGATTGTTTTCATTTTATGCTTAAGGATTTCACCATTTGATGCTTAAACAGTTGCTGTATTGCAAAGTCCCCTCATGAGACTTTAAGGGTGTTAAAATCTGACCTAATGTGACCCAAGGATGACCTGAGGAAATCTGCTGATCTGTCAATTGCTGACTCGTGCAACTGCTTGCTACTCATCGTGTGATTAGACACTGAAAGTTCTTCGTGTAATAATGAACGCTCTTTGTGTGAAACTTGTAACAATTAAAAACTGAGAGCTGTGTTTCCCCCTCCCTTCAGAATCAGCTCTCAGGCGTGTAACTAGGAAGCTCCCAGCTTGTAATAAATAGAGATGCTCGGATTCCAAAAGCCAGAATGGTTTGGAGGAACTGTCAGCTCAGTGGAGACTGAGTTGGTGTGGTCTTATTCCATTCTCCTCGAGCTTAAAACAGAATTCTGACTTTTGTGTCTCTTTCCTTGTGTTGTGTTGTTATATGGTGTCTTAGGTGCTTAAACCTGACATTATTTTGGTCCTTCGAGAGCCGGATTCCAACATATTCAACGATTCAAGGCCACCAGGTGATGTCCAGGAAAGACTGTGGCCACAGCAGGACCATTAGGTGAGAGTCCTTGAGACCCTTTTCGGGACTGGGCGTTGCCCTGTCCTCTGGAATCCGCAAATTGAAGGAACTCCGAAGGAGAGAGGCACAGAAGGTGGATGGCGGAGTCCTGCAAATCCATAAGTTTGTCTCACTTTAACAGTGTGACTGAGTGAAAAAGCCCTGTGGGATTCTGGACCCTACACAGGCACTAAAAAGTCCTAAAGTTAGGGGACGGATCCCTGAGAATAATCCGTGTTAAAAGAGGCCTTTAAACTGTGTGACTGGATATTGAATTACCACTAGGTAATACAGTATCATATAAAAACAGTGATAATTTGAACAACCCTTGTGGATGCAGAGGTAAGAGTTCTCCACCTGAAATACGGTGGAAGCGAGAACTACCACAACGGAACTTGGCTCAATCTCACTGAAAACCAGTGTTTAGAACCCCTATGGGTTAACCCCGCGCTGGTCCAAAACTTTAAAATGCTTATAGAGAAAATTACTAAATTTTTCATAGTAGGAGCCTTTCTAGCGATTGTAATTACAACAATCCTCATTAGCCTAAAATACGCAGGATATTTGAAAGTACAAAAAACAGGCATAAATCCAGATGGTAAAAGCAGCGGTAGATATATTCCTTAATGACTGGGAACGCGACGGACGGACCACTAAAATAAGGTTAACTATCTGCGAAAATCCTGTTGATACACACGAGATATTATTGAGAGAGATCTATGAGATTTTGAACCCAAATTTAGACCCAGCAGAAGTCATAATATGGCAGCATAGACTTTATCTGTCTGATCTTCTTTCAGCTGGAACTATGATCATCCAGATGGTACAAGAATATCTGAACTAACGGATTTAACCCCGCCTATTTGATTTAAAAACATAAACCCCTTTGAAGCAAACACAACAATTCCTTGCATGTTGCAAAATTATTTTCTGGCATAAAATTAAAGTGACGTTAACCTAATAAATCTGTAATTTGAAAGAAACTAAATAAATAACAGTAAAAATAGCAAGAAAATTAAGAATAAGTAACAAAAAATGGGGAAAGGTTCTAGTAAATTCAAGAACCTGAAATGCCAAGACTGGAAGTTTGTTAAACTTAAAGATCCAACCAAATTACAGCATTTGGAGAAGTGGGTCACAAAATATGGTTTTGAAGGCAGACTTAGCTCAAACAAATGTTTAAAATTAAACGAAACAATTGCAGAAAAGTGCAAACATGATAAACGGAAAACGGAAAAGCAGGGCTATTCAGATTTAGAATGGTGGGAAAAAGTGAGCAAAAGTAGAGAGGAAGGACTTCACACTCTGAATGATAAAATGAAAGAACAATCAGGCGTGGACACATCCATGTGGGATTCAATGTTCAACATGTTTGGAAAGTATCGCACGCTGGTGTCTTCAGTGTTGGTGTCCTTAGCTGTGTTCGCAGCCATTCTGACTCTGTGTGGGTGCTGCTGCATTCCATGCCTCCGAGCCCAGATAACGAGACTAATAAACGTAGCCATTGCCCCATCATCTGGACTGATGGCGCAGGAGTTTCCCCTGTTCGTCGTACCAGACCCCGAAGACCTGGGAGAAGAGGACGAAGCCCAGGAGTATCATGTTGAGATGCTGTTTGGTTCTGATCTGTGAGTGAATAAAGGCATGCCACGTGACTCTGCCTTCCAGTTGATCTAGTCATTTAGTTTGGTTTTTAATAATAAGTTGATTTAGTCTTGTAGTTAGATTTTTTAATAATAAAGTTTTAAAACATTTCCTCTTGTATTAGCTATTTTCCTTCTGAGTGTAAATGATACTGTCGTTCGAAAATGACCTAGTTACCGGAAATCTGAAAAGAAGTGTTTTTCGGGTGATATAAGAATAAATGGCATCAATCATGATAAACAGGGAGGAGATGATAGAATAATTATTCATGTTTTCCTTATCAAGCTTTATGCTTTTATTACATTTAAAGATTGTTTTCATTTGTCATGTTTTATGCTTAATGATTTCACCATATGATGCTTAAACAGTATATTGTAAAGTAACAATTAAAAACTGAGAGCTGTGTTTTCCCCCTCCCTTCAGAATCAGCTCTCAGGCGTGTAACTAGGGAGCTCCCAGCTTGTAATAAATAGAGATGCTCGGATTCCAAAGGCCAGAATGGTTTGGAGGAACTGTCAGCTCAGTGGAGACTGGGTTGGTGTGGCCTTATTCCATTCTCCTCAAGCTTAAAACAGAATTCTGACTTTTGTGTCTCTTTCCTTGTGTTGTGTTGTTATATGGTGTCCTAGGTGCTTAAACCTGACAGTAAACTTAAAAATCTTAAATAAATTTGTTTATTTTTTTGTATGTTTTTTCAAAATGCACATGCAGACTCACTCCACGGTATTTCCTCAATTGCTATAGTAAATCTTGACTTTGCAAAAGACCTCACCACTATTTTTAGACAAAGTTACTCAACACAGGCCATGATAGGCAGGCAGTGAAAATCCTGTAGTAGGCCAAAGTCATATCAGTGTAAACAAATAATGCAGATATCACTTAGGGCCAGTTAACCAAGGTCAGTGAGATAAGCATTCATCCACTGAGTCAACAAAAGATTAGAGAGGGAGTACTAATACAGAAATGACTAATTTGGCAAGAATAATTAGATTTAAAATGAATTACAAGTTATAAACAGTGTGAGGATGAGGTGGCCCATGTATCAATGATCTGTAGACTACTTGATGTGATTTAAGGTCTCAGATTAAAACTGCAGCTTTCGGATTGAAGGAGTAGTACCATCTGAGCTACAGCTGCATTTTAAAACCAGCTGGGGAGGATGCATTTGAATAAATAGGAATAAATATAACTCAGTAAGTGAGATTTGTTGAACACCAATGTCAACAAGATCCTAGAACCAACACTCGCAGCGTTACTGGCAGTAAAACTCTGAATGTTTGCATCTATTTGGGCTTAGAATGTGGTGTATAATTAGCATCAGTGACAGTAAATCCGTATTAATCCGCAGCCTCTTGTGCGCTTCACACCTTATCTGGAGATAGTGTAATGTTTACATTAGTTCCAGATGTAAATGAGTACTGCTGTTTAAAGAATGGGTCACGGGTACCTTTAAAAGTCAGAAATCTTCCAGCTGAACTGTTTTTTCAGTTCTGTTCTGTTGTTTATTTTTGTTTGTTAGCTGAAAGGGAGGGAGCGCTGTTCGGCTTCCTTCAGACCTGGGACTGTGAGGTGCGTCCTTAGCTCTCAGCTCGCCCACTGCGCGTGACGTCAGACCAGCATGGCGGTCAAGGTGACTTGGGCATCGCTCTCGTAGCGATTTTAAGACTCTTTCTTTATCGTGTGTGCATATTTTCTCTCGGTAACCTTGTGTTGGAGTGACTGAAAGCTAGAATTTCTGCTCCTGTCCGGGTAGGGTGTCTCGGATGCGGAGCGCTCCACCGCAGTAGCATCACCGGGCTAACTGCCGCCCAGCTGGCCTTGATGAGACATCCACAACCTCGAAGTTAGCAAGAACATGCTAGGAATGTGTCAGACTGCTAACTCAGCGGTGATTCAGTCACCTTCATTGGCCGCAGAAATTTAATAATTTCGCGTCTGTTGTGATGTTTTTGCTTATATTCTCTCGTTTTGTTGTCGAAGTAAAGCTTAAAGCCAGTGGGTTGTTCTGCTAGCTTGCTACCTGGTTTGAACTCGTATGTTACAGTTATTGGTTCGTTTTCTGGTTAGCTGCTTTGTTGTCACATTTCAGTTATGTGTCTATTGTTTATTTGAGGAACGTAGTACGCCTTGATCAAGTAAACCCGGATCGTGTCAGCTGCTTCGGCAAACGAGCTGTCATTGTCAGTGTCAAAGAGGTCAGCGTGTTTCTACTGTTTGTTTTTAGGTGCAATCCACCAGACGCGGGGACCCAAATGAGCTCAAAGCTATTTTCCAAAAGGTAAACGTACTCAGGTTTTACTTTCTCAAAAATTTTAGCACGAATTGAATGGTTTTGCATTGATCTATTTAGTGTACACCTCACAGTGTTGATGTAATATTGAGGTAATTCTCTTTTAATTGCTATTTTCACTTGAAGGGATTCATTACTTCGCCAGAAATGGAGGAGGGTGGGATCTTTTCACACACTGCATGACTTGGGAGCTTTGATGGTCACCAAACAGATCACCAGATTCTTATTTTGAAAGTTTAGAGCTCCAGTTTCTAGCTAGAAATGGAACAGACCATTCAATGTCACACAGTTCTAGTGTCACAGTTAAAGAAAGCATCAGCTGCATACCAGAGGCCAAAGAGCTGATCTGCTGCTGATGTGATCGTTTCCACTGAGAGGCAGTAGTCGCTCTGTTTACCTATGCCTTTGTTGACATCTGCATGATGAGTATGTGACTGACTGACATATAGGTCAGCTGACATTCACAGATCAGAAAACTGACCAGCTTGAGCCCAAAACATCAGTGCGAGTGTGAGCTGGTGTCGTTTTGACTCGCTGCGGTTAAATAAAACCCTAACGAACTAACTCAGCTGTACAACAGGAAGAAACACGATTAGGCATCACAAGCAGTAACGGCTACATGGTGTCAATAGCTGCTAACAAGTTACTTTAGTCTGACCTGTAATACATGTTTTCTTTTAATACATCAAAATAGTAAAGTTTTAGTACATAGAAGCAGGAGAAATACTTAGTGGTATTTTAATTTGAAGGGATATTCTACTGCTGACATTTTAGTACCGTCATGTACCACAGATTTGCTTGTAACCAGGGGTCACACATTACTGGTTACTGCTCTTTAAAGGATTATGAAGAAAGATTGAGTTAATTCTGTGTGTGACTCATTGGGATGACTTGCAAAAACATTTAAGGAAAGAGCTGAGCTCTGCTAGGGGCACCTTTCAGTGGATTCTCCGATGGTGTTGACTTTCTTTAACGTTTCCTTCCCTCAGTACGCCAGTGTGGTGGACAAAGATGGAGAGAGGTTTATGACCCCAGGGGACTTTGTCCAACAGTACCTGGGACTACAGACGCAGATTCACCACAACCCCAAAACTGTTCAACTCCTTGCTGCCGTAGCGGACACCACGAAGGACGGGTTTGTGTCGGCACACTCGCCGAACACACACACACACACACACACACACACACACACACACACACACTGACTCTCCGCTTATCATTAGTAATCAAGTTAATGAGCCATTTCAGTTCAGTAGGCTTCATCATAGCTACCTAAAGATAAGATAAGGCTCTTTATGACTTTAGCGCTCATGCTTTCACACACACACACACACACACACACACACGCACACACACAGTTTAAAAACCAAATTATTTTTTGTTTTTCATTAGAAGATAATTTGCTCATTTTATGCAGAAATATTTAAGGAGCTGTTTATGCAGCGAAATGTTCCCTTGGTACATAGAAAAGGCTTTCTTTGTGTGTCTGGTGATGCCATGTGACCTAGTTCTTGCCTCAAATTATTAGATGTTTTCTATGCCAAGTTAAATGATTAACGGTTCTCTTGTTTCACCTGCTCACAAATGCAGGTTGATCTCATTCCAGGAGTTTCTTGCATTTGAATCGGTTTTGTGTGCGCCCGACGCCCTCTTCATTGTGGCCTTCCAGCTGTTTGACAAGACTGGAACCGGCACCGTTTCCTTCGGTATGAGCTGATTGTAAACCATGGTGTGGAAAAATTAGTTTTTATTTTACGTGACCTGAAATGGTGTTGGGTTTGGATCATACACTTAACATCTGTCTGCTTTTCTTCATGGCACAAACTCAGTTATGAGATTTTTCTAAGTTAAGGCTTTTGCCGCTGGATCAGATATATTATTTGTTGGCTGCAGAGAATGTGCGAGACATCTTCAGCCAGACCACGGTTCACCACCACATCCCCTTTAACTGGAATTGTGAGTTCATCCATCTGCACTTTGGGAACGACGGCAAGAAACAGCTTAGCTACCTTGAGTTCACTCAGTTCCTGCAGGTGCGACGTTTCCTTTTTTTAGTATTCAGTTTGTCTCCCGTTTCCGTCTTGAGTCCTGTCGACATGTTCCAGTTGTTTTTCCGCCCAGCCTTGTGGCTCTGTGTTTGTCAGGAGCTGCAGTTGGAACATGCGCGCCAGGCGTTTGCCCAGAAGGACAAAGAGAAGAATGGGGTCATCTCTGCTCTGGACTTCAGTGACATTATGGCTACCATCAGACACCACATGCTCACACCTTTTGTGGAGGAGAATCTTGTCTCAGTGAGTGTTGATGTAATCACCGGTGAATTAATGCTCTTTGGATTTAATTAAATCTGCTTACTCATAAAGACCAGAGCTCCTTTTCTGATTGGGTCGGTGCTGCTTTCTTTTTACTGTTATTATTTTTTCTCTCAGGCTGCAGGAGGCAGCACTGCTCACATGGTCAGCTTCTCTTACTTCAACGCCTTCAATGCTCTCCTGAACAACATGGAGATGATCCGTAAGATCTACAGCACGCTGGCTGGCACACGGAGGGACACGCTCGTGACCAAAGGTGCACACACACTGATTTTATTCTACATGTCTCCTTTACCTGGAGTGTTACTCCGCTCATTCTATGCTGCTGTTGTTTTATTGAGGTCGTATTTGTATCTCTCTTTGCAGAGGAGTTTGTTCATGCTGCCAACAAGTTTGGTCAGATCACTCCGATGGAAATCGACATCTTGTACCAGTTGTCAGGCCTGCACTCTCCCTCTGGGTAAGAACTGCTTTTGATTCAAACTCTGTGACAGGACATGATGAATTCAGATGATTAAACATCCAAACATGGAGTTTATTGAAGAACATTTTAGATGGATATTGTTGTTTTTTTTTTTTTTATTCAGGCGCCTGAACCTGGCTGACATTGAAAGGATAGCTCCACTAGAGGAAGGAAGTCTGCCCTATAATCTAGCTGAAACCCAAAAACACGTGAGTTCTTGTTTTTAAATTATGCCTAAATTAACAGATGAAGTGGCGTTTTACTGCATCATCAGGAGGATCTTGGTAAAATCTCCATGTTCACGTTCATGTTTCTCCATCAGACCCAGGCGGACGGTTCCAGGCCCATTTGGCTCCAAGTAGCAGAATCGGCGTACAGGTTCACTCTGGGCTCCATTGCTGGAGGTCAATCATCTTTTGACACATTACAGTCCAATAGCTTTTTGTATGCACTGAACTTATTCTGACCTTTTGTACGTCTCTTGCAGCCACCGGTGCCACAGCAGTATATCCCATCGACTTAGTGAAGACTCGAATGCAGAACCAAAGGTCCACAGGATCCTTTGTTGGAGAGCTGATGTACAAGAACAGCTTTGACTGTGCAAAGAAGGTGCTTCGCTACGAAGGCTTCTTCGGTTTCTACAGAGGTCGGCGAAGCTCTAAGTTACTGTTTTACTTCACAACTGTTATTTGTTTAGTTAATAAAGGTAGCTTAATCACACTTATCGGGCCACGTTATGTGTAAACTACACATAACAGCGCTGTTGCCCCTCCTTAGCTTTCATGTTATCAGTTTATTTCTTTTATTCACTTCTTATTCTCTTGTTTGTTCAACACTGGTGGTTTTTTCACCTGTTTCTCACGTTTTCCCGTGATGCAGGTCTGGTTCCTCAGCTGATTGGTGTGGCACCTGAGAAAGCTATCAAACTCACAGTAAGTTCCTGTTTCAGTTAGCATTCCTTTAAATTTACACCGTTTAAATATGAAGCCGCAGCTGTTATGGGGATTTATTTAGAAAGGAAATCTCTTTTGATAGACCAGAATAGCCGATAAACAATGAATCTGTAAATAAACTGCATTAAAGCTTTATGTTGGGTGAGCTCCACAAGTCTGAGCTGATTGTTCATCATGTGACTGTCTCCCACAGGTGAATGACTTTGTTAGAGATAAATTCACCAACAACAACGATAACACGATTCCTCTATTCGCTGAGATTTTGGCTGGTGGTTGTGTAAGTACCAGGTCTCACGCTGCTCTTAATCATTCATAACGTGCTAGAACAGTTAGTTTCCATTCATCTGTTTATAGTTTAAACAAACATAATTAATTTATCCCACTTCGTGTTTGAACTCAGGCCGGAGGCTCCCAGGTCATTTTCACCAACCCTCTGGAAATTGTGAAGATTCGGCTGCAGGTAGCAGGTGAGATCACCACCGGACCTCGGGTCAGTGCTCTCAGCGTTGTCCGTGACCTCGGCTTCTTCGGGTTGTACAAGGTAACGCACGATGCTGTAAAACTACATTTTCACACTCCGTCTTCTCATCATCTTGTCTTTAATGTCTCCGTCCAGGGGGCCAAAGCTTGCTTCCTAAGGGACATTCCCTTCTCAGCCATCTACTTCCCCGCATACGCCCACATTAAAACTCAGCTAACTGATGAGCAAGGCAGACTAGGACCACTTCAGCTCCTCACTGCTGGAGCGATTGCAGGTAATTTTAAAGACTGACTCACAAGAAGCAGTTGGTGGATACATGTCGTTTAACTCCGCTATGTGCGTTACAAAAAATGCTACATGAGAGAAAATGTCATAAATTGTGTGAAGTGCTTCTAATCAGTCAGTCTGGAGAGGCAGGGAGGATTCATGAAAGATGAACTGAGCTGTTCAGATTGAGGCTGAATTTCTGTGATTCGAGACAAATTCACACTCGGAAACGCGTGCATCTGGGTACTCAAGGCCGTGCAGAAATTCTCTCCAAACTCGGCATTTGACACAGTCTCTTCCAAATGAAGGCAGAAAAAGTTCTGAACTTGTTTGCCAGGTATCCCCGCGGCGTCCCTTGTCACGCCTGCTGATGTCATCAAGACCCGTCTTCAAGTTGCAGCAAGAGCAGGACAGACAACCTACTCGGGAGTCGTTGACTGTTTCAGAAAGATTTTGAGAGAAGAAGGCTTCAGGGCTTTGTGGAAAGGAGCTGGAGGTGTGTTTGAATTTTTAAACATTTAGTACACACACACACACACACACACTTAACAGGAATTATATTTTCTTTTTTCTAGCTCGTATGTGCCGATCCTCCCCACAGTTTGGTGTGACTCTGGTGACTTATGAACTCCTGCAGCGGTGGTTCTATGTTGATTTCGGTGGACAGTAAGTTCTTTAAATTAACTACATATATTTTATGTGTTTGGTTTATTAGGTAACACTATAAGATGCTGCTATGCTAGTGCGGTTAGTGATAACTCCTGTCCTCTCTGAAGTCGTCCAGCAGGATCTGAACCAACACCCAAGTCTCGCATCTCAGAGCTTCCTCCCATCAATGCAGACCACGTTGGAGGCTACCGCCTGGCAGCAGCTACGTTTGCCGGGGTGGAGAACAAATTTGGCCTCCATCTTCCTAAATTCAAGTCCTCTGGCGTGGTTTCCATCCATCCTTCAGAGGCAGCCAAACCAGCTCAGGCGCCTTAAACGTCAGCAACTCCATATCATTTCTCCATCACCAGGAGCCAGACACATAGATGAACACAAGCAAAGCAGAGCTGATACACAACTTGACATACACACACCAGGGACCATTAATGTAGGAACAAACACCACCAGCCTGTTACTCTTCTGAGTGAAGGTATGCTCCGGTGGTCGCTGGCCAGCTGCAGGCGTGGACGCCTCCCAGCAGCTTCAGGAACGGAGCGCTGACTGTGTTGCATCTTCAGTGGCTGTGTGCTCCTGGGAACTCCATTCTTGTGTTTTTCTCTTGAGCATTTGTGTAAAACTGAACCTCGGGCACTCCGTTTTCCATGAATAGATTGATTTGTTTTGTTATCTTCTCTCTGATACTCTTGTTTGAGTAGGACTTCTCTTATTGGGCCATGGGCATAAAGTTAATCGATTGATCTGCACAGCATGTGGGGCTCTCCTCACTGCACCTCCTCGGACAGGAGGCTATATACTGTACATACTGTAAAACAGTAATGAGGAAATGTTACATCATTACAGTACCTGTAATGTTCTGGCAATGTGGGGCCTTTGGTCCTGGTCTCTGAGAATCACTCTTACTGATGTACAGAGCAAGAATCACGAGCAAAGAATTAGATATTAATAAATTAAATGTATCTCAATTTAGTCATTGTATTTTAATTAAATAAATCATTCATATTGTCTTAATTTTACAAGGATTTTTGGAGGGTTTTTATTTCAATGAAAAAGTGCAGCCTTTCATTTTTCAGCAGAGTACAGTACGATTTCAGAAAAGCAGTCCTGGTATGGAACATCAAATAAGGTCATTTTACTTTAAATATTAACAAGTTTGATGAGGCTGAAGGAAAAAACTGATCCAGCTTCAGTGAAGTTTTCATTTAAACCTACATTTACCAAGTCAGCACACAGTTTCTGCTCTCCATTAGACAAGGAAACACGGGTTGGGCTAAGGTCGCATGTAAAAATAAAACTAGTGTCAAATCTAAAGCAAAGGATTTTGGTTACATTTTTAGTGCCAATATTCAAAACAGTTTTTCAAATTATACATAAAATATTTAAATAAATGCAACAATAATAAATATTAAATATTATAGTCATTGCTAAAATGTAAGGACTTGTGCACGCATAAGATCACTCGTTCATTCAGTCCTGCTGAGGGTGTGGTGGTCAGCTTTACAGACTTTCCTTTCTGTTACAGGAGACTAACAGCCGTGCACAAGCGTGTCTGTAAAATATTAAAAAGTAGGAACACTCACAAGGTAATAAAAAGGTGTAAGTACAAAGGTTTGCATATGTAAAAAAAAAAGGGGGGGGGGGGTTGGTTGAGGCCTCAGGAGAACGGTTTCTGGAGCCCTGAGGATGTTATCAAAGCTAGAAGTTCAGAGCCGATGTTCAGCTATCTAACGCTGGTCCGTGTTCAACTACCGCTGATGGATGCTACACAAGACATTCATTCATTTATACCCACGTGCTTTAAGACATTTAAAAACAAATCTCTCGCTGTCGTTTCGGTCCGTTCTAGCTCTGCACGTCTCCTCAGGCCCAAGTTCTAGTAGAAGGAAAAGCTGCAAACCAGAAAGGGGAGCGATCTCTGGTTGTGTCGTGTTTCATGTGCTATAGGTGTGTAGTGTACTACAGAGGAATTTATTAAATGTTAGTGAGGAGTTGCATCAGACGTTGGCCAGTTCTTCAGCTTCGTCTCTGTTCTCGTTGATTTCAGCAAGCGTCCTGACGAAACGCGTCCACTCATCCGCTTTGGGTACGCAGATTTGCTGCACAGAAAAAAAAAAACTTGCAGAGGAAACTCAGATTTCAAAGATTACAAACAAAAAGAGGCTGATATCTTACCTCCCCCACATCGTAGACCTGAACCTGCCCCTCAGAGTCTCCAGTAGCAATCTCCTTCCCAGAGTGAGACCATCTGACACGGTTCAGTGCTGGGGAGCCATCTACACACACGCTGGCTGTTGGAACCTAAAACACAGGAAGTTCAACTTTTAAAGACGCAGAAAGAAAACCAGATGCTCAGATTTTTACTTCTTTTCTTAAATCTTGTAACAGACGGTAAAAAAAGGGTTGCATGTGTACTTCAGTGTCATTGTTGAGGTTCCACAGGTCCAGGCGTCCAGATAGGTCCACGCAAGCAAACAGAGCCGGATGTGCTGGAGACCACATGGCATCATAAACATAATCACAGCTGTCCTCAAAGGAGTACAAAGGACGGGTGCTCTGCAGAAAACAGAACAAAAGAAAAATTATGACAACACACACAAGTACTGGACTATAGGAAAAGGAGTGTGTGGCGGTGTGGGGTCTAACCTTGGTGCTCCATAGTTTCACTGTCCAATCAAAAGAGGAGGAGATGAAAAGGTGAGAGAAATCCACAGGTCCTGCAGCACTGTGACAGCTCAGCCCAGTCACAGGGCCATGGTGACCTTCAAACACCTCAGTGATTCCCGCCTTACTGTAACACACACGTGACAACCGATGACCTCTGAGTGGCATTTGCTACCCAACAGCTCGCTGCAGCATTCATCCATAACCCTGATCTCAGGGGACACTCGCCTGCCGTGACGACATGCAGTGTAAACTGAGCCGTCCTCGCTCCCCACCACAAAGTTGTTGACATCCCCCAGAGGGAAGGCCATGGACGTGACGGCCACGGCCTTGCTCTGTTTGAACACCAGCTCCAGACTGTCCTGCAGGAGAAGTAAAAGCAGCGTCATGCAGCCGGACAACACAGCTGATGTCTGTTCTCATCCGTACAAATGTAGCACTTACCTGCGGCTGGGAGAGCATGTCGAGGCTCCAGGAGCACATTTTACCATCTGTGGAAATGCTAATCAGGTTGTTAGCATTTTGGGTTCCAACCACATTCACGCAGTAGACGGGGTGCTGAGCGTGACAGAGCATCGTCAGAAAAACAACCACATGAGAACGAGGTCAGGAGCCAGCGAGAAGCTCTAATGACTCACCGTGTGTGCAGCTGCAGACAGAGGTGTTCTCTGGACTGGAGTACGCTTGTTGCTCCTGTTGTCCCATAGGACTATCTGTCCAGAGTAAGTCCCACCCACCACCAGGTTAGGGTGAAACTTTGCAAATCCAGCTGACATCACCTCCGACTGCAAAAGAGAAGAAAAATCCACAAAAAATTACATCCAAGCAGAAAACGGATCTTTTAAAGGCTTCGATCAAGAAGATGTGAAGTATTTTGGTTGTGACCTGGCAGTGGAAAATGTACTCCGGTGTTGACTTCTTGTATTTCAGGTTCCAGACCAGCGCCACGCCATCAGGCTCATGTGGCGCATCCTCATTGTTGTTGTACGACGTGACCAGCAGCTCTGGGTACTGAGACAAACACAGGAGTCTGTTTGAAACGGAGACAAAGAGCGCTCTCCGTACGCCGATCGTGTCTGAACTCCGCCCACCTGAGGTGACCAGTCCAGACAGGTGACCACTCTGTTTTTAGTCCAGCGTTCATCTGCAAACTGCCTGTTCAGAACCAGCTTTGCACCAGCCTGCAAGTCACTAAAAAGGTAAAAACCAACAAACGTTTCCCCTCAGTCCATTTGGTTTCTCTGTGAAACACTGGCCGCGTTCGAGATGAGCAGCGCCTCGCCTGGAACAGAGACGAGAGCCGACAGACGCGGCAGGGGGAGTGGCTAAAAGCCGGCGTTTAAGTTGGACAGATTTCCCTACATGCAGCTTGCGGGTGACGATGACTGAAGATATCGCTTTAGCGTTCATAAGAGTGTAAAATTCTGGTGCCTGTTAGCAACTGAACACATCCTCACATACTTGTGGATATCATATATTGTAGACATGTGCATATGAAAATATGACTAATAATAAGTAACGGCTATCATCTGTAGAGTTTTAGTGTGCTTATAGGAAATGTGACAAAAGATCACATTTCTCTTCATGGCCTATATAGTGGGCCATTCCCATCTGTACCGGGTCGGCCCGGGCCGGGTAGCGTAGGTTGTTTACATATCTGGGTGGCCTGGTATTTTTCCGGGCCAACCAAGGCTCATTCTCAGCCCTCTTCTCGAGGGGGTCTGCTTCAGGCCGACCAGGTCCAACACACCCACTGCTGACAGCAAATTCACACCTTCCATTAGAGTAAGCCTCTAATTGGTGGGTGGAATCAGCCCACATGGGCTTAAGGCAAGGATGTGTGGAATCAACCGGGCCAGGCTGGGGCTACCCGGCCCGGGCCGACCCGGTACAGATGGGAATGGCCTATATAGTTGTCATCATCAGCGTAACACGATTTACAGAATACATGTGACCAACTAACATTTTCCATTCTACCACAGGATGTTTGGATCAAAATGTGAACCAATCAGATCTTAGATCAGGTGAGAGCCAGGTGTTTCCCGTCATGCCCTACGTTTTGCAGCCGGTGGAGAGCAACTGCAGCGCCTTGCCCCAAAATCTGCAGCCGCCTTGATCTCACGAGGTTATCGCTGCCTACGTAGGCATGACGTCAGGGCAAGTCGGCGTTAAGTCGGACACAAATCTAAAGGGCATGCACTGCACACTGATCACCGGTGATCTGCGCAGAAGTGGCTCATCTCGAACACGACCATTTGCACGTCTTGCCCTGTGCCTCACCCTTCCTTATCCTCTAGATCTCTCCCGCTGTAGTCGAAGCAGACGTCCACCTGCTCAGCCAGAGCTCTCTCCAGGACTCTGCTGCTGCGCTCAAAAAACGACAAGAACTCATCAGAATGCAGGACCTGCAGCTTCTCTTCTTCTGTCAGCTCCTTTGGAGTGTCTAGAGACAGAAAAATACTAATTAGAATGTGTTAAAACACTGGAAGGAACATTAGAAAAGGGATATTCCGCCCAAAAGATCTATTCTGTCTGTGGACATATTTCCCAAAGTTAGATAAGTGGGAAAAAAAAAACTTTTTAACCAGCCCAGTCATTCCCTTGACCCGGCTATCCTCGTTTAGCTTTAGCTTAGCGTAAAACACAGTAAATGAATGGGACCAACTAGCATTCTGAGAAAAATAATCCGTAAAATCACTCAGTGGTGATTCTAATTCTTCTGGGTGACCTAAATAATCATAGTGACTGCATGTGAAAATAAATCTGGGACTTCTTGATGACAAAGCACAGCTGTAAGCTTCCGCCAAAAGGCGCAATACATCACGCAGCGGCCCCAAAGACACCTACATCCGTAAACACTTCCGCGTGTTGCTTGCTAACCGCTAAGACAAACACAAATAACAGAGGCGGGAGCTGCACAGAGATTATCTACAGTAGTTACAGTAAAGTCACGTTTGTAATTTGAGAAAATGTACCAGCATTTAGGGTTGACATGTCAACCCATGTCCTTGCGCCTTTCAGTGGAAGCTTACAGCTATACTTTGTCATTAACTAGTCCCAAGTCTAAAATGTGGCCTGTAATTCCTTTGGGCTACTTTTTATTTTTACATGCAGCCGATATGACTATTAAGGTCACCAAACAGAATTTGGATCACTACTGAGTAAAGGTGGAGCCAAACCTGAAAATGGTATTCTGAAAGGCACAAACAACGTGTTTTTTTACAAATTCTTATTTCAAACAAACACTATAAAATATTTGCACTCGGGGGAAAGAAAAAAACTTCATATCAAAAAGCTGTGTCTCCTTATGGATGCCTGAATAAGTGTTGGTCACAGAGTGTGTGTGTGGTGGGGGTGGGGGTGGTGGGGGACAGAGTGCTCCACAGCTACAGAGAGGCACGGCTGAGCAAAGAGAGACTTAACTGCATCACCATTTTTGTTAAACAGATTTTGTTTTTTGTTTTTTTACCTTAACTGGAAGCGGAGTTTGATGGGGAAATTATTCCATTAAGCTGCGTCATGGATGTCCACAAGCACTAAACGTTTTTGAGTTTTATCCGAATACATATACAAATACCCCCCCCCAAGAAAAACTGATAGAAATACTGTCTGCTTTGCACACCCCCTACTACTTAGTAGGACTTTTTTTCCCCCCACAATGCTAGTTGGTCCCATTCACTTACTGTGTTTTATGCTAAGCTAAAGCTAAATGAGTACTACCGAGTCAGGAGAATGATGGGGCTGGTTACAAATATTCTTTTACCCTCTTATATAACTCTGAGAAATATGTCAACAGACAAATTTTCACTTTTCGGTGGAATATCCCTTTAAGGTCTAAAACACACTTGTTTAATGTCCTTACCGTCGTCCTGCCCTTCACCATGTTCATCTTTTTCATCCTGAGCGCCATCAGCTGGTGGAGGAGCACTTATCTCCTCATCCTCTTCTTCATCTAAAACACAAAGAGACTTGGAATCAGCTCTGATGAAGCTAGAGAGAAAAACATATTAGGAGAGGTGTGTCTGTGTTTGTTTACCTGCTTTCTGATCAGTGTGTGACAACGCCTCTGTGGGTGTCTGCGTTTCTTTGCAGTAGGACACCAGCTCCCTCGGGACAAAATCCACCTGGGTCAGTTTGGACATGCCGAGCCTCGCCGTCCCACGTCTACACAAACGGAATCGGTGCAAAAATTAGTAGGCAAATCGCATTTTCCGTGGCAAATTGGACGTACTGCAAAATCTAACATGGATGGACATAAATAATGGTGCACAGGTAGGTCTGGTGCTCGACACGGACACATCTGAACACATCTAAGATGAAACCACGAAACTTTGGAAGACAAACTAAAGGAAAGAGGAGGAGCAGTACCCCATTAGCTCAGAGTCGGAGTGGAGTTGCAGAGTAGAGGGGTCGGGATCCCAATGCAAAGTCCTTATACAGCCAAACCACCAGATGGTGTTAGTAAGAGAGATGCAGGACAGAAAGAGCGAGAAAAGAAAACCAAACCGAGAGGACAGGCATAAGATGAGCCACGTAAAAGATGTTAGAGATGAAAATACAGAGAGAAGAGAGTAAAAAAAGACAGAAACAAGAATGAATTGTGTTAATTAAAAAAAACAATCAGTGTGGTTGTGAGAAGGCAAAGAGACAGATCTGAATTAGTTCAACTATAAGTTCACACACATGCATGCAGGTTCTTGACTAAACAACACAAGGAACAACTTATTTTTATTTCCTTTTTGTCTCAAACACACACACACACACACACACAAACCTTGGTCCAGTGTTTCCATCCCCAGAATCTTGGCTTCCTGCATCGCTGCCCACTGATTTGTTGGAGGGAGACATGGGGGCGGGGACTAGGTAGTGAAACAGACACGTATCTTCTGTTACTACCCTCAGGGGCTGAGCTGTGAACACACGTGTGTGTGTGTGTGTGTGTGTGTGTGTGTGTGTGTGTGTGTGTGTGTGTGTGTGTGTGTGTGTGTGTGTGTGTGTGTGTGTGTGTGTGTGTGTGTGTGTGTGTGTGTGTGTGTGTGTGAGTGAGTGAGTGAGTGAGTGAGTGAGTGAGTGAGTGAACATGGCGAGTGAGGGAGGAAGGGAGAAACAACAAGTGTGAGTGAGTGAATGAGTGTTCATGCAGAGAGGACAAAACAGACAGACAGGGGAGGAGAGAAGAGAGAGTGAAAATAAATGGCAGGCAGGTTTTAGGCGTCATGCACACAACATGTAATAAATGCAGACATTTGGTGTGGGAGGCAATGGGTGACAAGTTAGGCCCAAAAAAAGTTAAGAGAGACTTTTGTAAACGTTGCTAATTCATCAAGCACAAGAGCAAAACACGACAGATATTTAGAAGAAAGGTCAGGAAGCTCTTCATCTTTACCATGAGGTATATCTGGGGTGATGCCAACACTCTGCAGCAAAGCCTCTGCCTCCCTCCTCTTCCTCTCCAGATCAGAGTCCTCACCGCCCACTGAGGACACGCCCTCACCTCCACGTATTGAGTCTCCCTGCAGAACACAGAGGACCCTTTCAGCATGACAACAGCTCGAGGCAAATTATAGAAAAACGGACAAGCATTCAGAAAGCTGTTTGGCTTACATCCTTCTTTTTCTTCTCTTCTTCTTTTCTCTTCTTTTCCTCTCGAATCTGGGCAATTCGTTGTTTCTTCCTCTCCAACTCAGCCTTCAGCTCACTCTTATCAGACATGCTGCAGGGGGGTGAAGAAAAAAAGTTATTTTCAAGTTAGCAAGTAAGTTTAATGGGGTAATTGACATCATCTTTTGTTATATTAAACAATTAAAGATTGTTATTAAAATAAAAAAGACCCTTAAAATTAAATAATATAATTTATTCTGGTTAAACAAAAAAAGATGCTCTCTATGGAATTTAGTGCAGCACAATATGACTTTTAGGGATTTTATTTCAAATAAATCAAGAAATGTGATTGTATATCTAAAACAACTGGATGAATTTTGGTTAAAATTACTTTATACGTGACTATGAGAATTTGTTATTTTTAAATACACCAAATCAGGAGCAAGTTTCAAAAATAGGACGGTTGAAAAATTACTTATTAGTTCTTTTATTTTTCTGAATAAAAATGGAGATTCCTACAGATACAACCCTTACATGAGTTCGTCCTGAAGTAAACTAGCCCTGAGCCTGTCACACTGCTATCATGTGAACAGCAGCCAGCTGTTAACAACAATAATCTCTTTATCTGTTATCATTTTATCATGACTAGATAGTCGATAAATGTATTATCGTGTCAAATAACTGTAAAAACAAATAAAAAAAACAACACTTCCAGTCAAATTAACTCTAAATGCATTCCACTGTGTTAAAAAGTAGATTCATAAGTACGTCATTTCAACAAATAGCTATACAGAAATTAATTTAAAGATGCTGATGTTAAGATGCTAAATACCACTCCACCCATAAACAGCGGATATAACCAAGAAACCTAGCTACTGGGCTTCAGCTTATTGAAATACTTGTTGATTTATATTATATTTAATATTTAAACGTAATAAGATTTTTCCGACGAGTGGGGAATGATTAGATATTCTTCTACACCTTCAGACTGTTAGCTGGGTTAGCATGCTAATCTCCATAGGAGCCAGCGGGCCTGTTGTTAGCTGCTGTCATAATAAGAAACTAACGGTACCGCTGAGCCGACGACACGAACTTTACCGCTTTTTCAAATCCACATAGAGGGAAAATATACTCCTGTTGGATAACAAAATGGTACCTGACGTTAGAAGTAAGATCTGGGCTCAAATGAGACAAAAGAGTCCAGTTTTGTAAACGCTGTTTCTCCGGACAAGATGATGGAGGAGCAGAGCGATGATGCTGGAACCTGGAAGAGAAACCCAGATCTGGCTACTGCCCCCTGCTGGCGGAAGTGAAAACATTCGGAGGCAAAACCATAAAAGGCGGACATATTTTATTTTATTTTATTTTATTTTATTTTATTTTATTTTATTTCGTCCTAAGAGAATGCACAGTGTATCCTCAATAATATTTTTATGCACTGTAATAAAACTGTTTCCATCCAGAACTGTTGCTGAACAATAACAAAAGCAGCGTGGTTGGGGTTTTCCAGTTGTGCTCTTTTATTTATTTATTAATTTTTACTAAATAAAATGTTTCAAATCAGAATCATCGACACACCTTTCAGCCAGTAGTCATTTATTTGCTTTTGTCCATACACGTTTGTATTGTGCTTTAGTCACGCACACATAAAGGTGCAGACATTCTGCAGTCTAAAATTCAGAACAATGCTGTTCAAAGTCACCAACTTTGAGACCTATAATTTGCATGATTGCATCATCAGGAGGTTGTCACCTAAACTTAGAGCACATTGATGTTATTGTGGAATTGGAGCAAAACAAAAGGGGTCGTACAGGTCACGTTTAAAATCATAAGGGTCAAAATAAGGGTAGGTGGATTTCTGGGTGGCTGAAACAACAGGCTCAGATTCAGATTTCATGTCTTCCCCTGTTGTTGTTTCCTCCCCAGAAGGTTCTGCTGGTGCTGATGTTTTCTGGACAACACTGGGAGGGTGGTCTATGAGGCAGTCAGGGTCCCAGTACGGGTCACAGTCATACTCCGTACCTTTACCTGTTAGTGCAGAAGGAGCAGGTGGGTCAGACTTAGTGGGTGCAGGAGTAGCTGGTGGAAATGGAGGCGGAGTAGCAGCTTTCATCTCCTCCTCTGTTTGGGGCCTGCACTTAGGGTTAAGTCTTGGGTCACAGGACGGGAATAGCTGCTGTTGGCAGGTAGACAATCCGAGGCTTGCACAGTGGGTCTTTAGGGTTACACAGAAAGATCTTTTGAGCATTTTCTAGAAGGTCTGGAGTGGGGGCAGGAGTGGTGGGAGGTGGTGGAGACTGGGTTGTTGTAGCAGGCCCTGCGGTGCTGGTCAGGAGCCCCATAGCATTTTGGTACGTAGATGTGTCCGGGCCATAGACCAGCTCCAAGTGACGCATCTGCTGATACAACATCCTGATCTGATCTATCTCAAAGAGCTGCAACCAGGTGGAACAACAGTGAGAAACAACACACTGACCAACATCCAAGACAATGTATAAAGCTGATATTGATTATATATCATAAATGATGGGTTTTTTGAAGAATGTTTTCAGTTTTAAACTAATTAAACAGAGCATAGCCATCATTATTACACATGAAATTCTCCTGTGTGAGGAGATGGGCAAATAAATACCTCCTGGATTCTTTACTTTTACCAGTGACGTTGCTTCTAGCAAACCTACAGGGATGCAAATCATTTATTAGAACATATCTGAAAGATAATGACAATAAATAATTGTTGAGAAGCAAAATACGACAAATTTCAGCGAGGAAAAAACATAAAGGCTTAGCTAGCACCTCCGTGATCAGTACAATGCAATGGTGATAATTGTAAGTCTCCAACAAACCTGATGTTAAAAGCAGGCAGCAAAGCATCTGGAGAATCATCACTACCATCAAAAACAAGATATTATAAATGTTTATTATTCAAACCTCAATAAACAGTCTTTTTTTTTCCATAAAATGCATTCACAACTACACATAAAATCTGTTAGGTCTGGATGAAATTCAATCAGGAGCATTTCCTGCAACTATTATGAACTTCCTGTTTTTTGTGCTAATCAACAGAAATTGATCAATTTTATATTTTAAAACTTAAAATAAAGGATAAACATCTTACCTACCTGCTGCATCCCTTTGGTTCTGGGTTAGTCTGCAGCTCAACACAGTCATTCTAAAATACGGTTGTGAAAACGTACGACAGCAAGCAGCCCTAACCCCACCCAGCATGCATCCAGTTCCTTATCGAGGTGGGGAAAAAACATACTAGTGCACGGAGCAAAAAGCATCATTAAAAGACGGGCTTCAAACACAACATGACACTTCATAAAACCACAAGATGGTCTGAAAAGCTACCTCTTTTGTTATTTGTTTCTAACTTATTTACACTCACCGTAAAGCTCACATTTACAAAGTAGAATTGCAGTTTTGTAAATAAATACATGCAAAAATCACAAAAATGTATGTATTTTTGAAATGTGGAATAAGAAAAATCACGTGGCGTGTGTTTATGTGGTGGAGACTAATTCCTGACAAAACATGCATGACAGGTATCAATTAACCTCTGTCTCTAAACAGCTGGATGTGTCCTTTTAACTCTGGTTTAGAGACAACCGCTGTTTATGTTTCTCAGAAATATGCAAGAATTATGGGCTGAGCACCAAGTCTTCTTGAGTCAACATTTTTAAAAACAACCAAGGAAATGTCGTCAAAAGGTCACTGAAGTTCTGGAGTTCATCAGTTGTTTAAATACTTTTTAATGCACGATGATGTTTCTTCTAAATGTCGAATCTAGAGACAGAAATTTGATCATGACATGAAAATACGCACCTGAAAGTCACTCTTATAGTTTAACGTGGAGCAGATTTCCAGCACTGGGTTGAGTCATTAAAGAGGTTTTCAGGGTCCCGACACGGTTTATTAACTTTTGTTTATTCACAAACGCCTCGCTTGTGTTTGACACATCAGCAGAGCAGCTAATTCTAACCCTGGAAGCGACAGGCGAGGCTGTGATGAAAGAGAAGGGGCCAGGTGCCCTAAGGATGAACATCATACTGTGAATTTTCTGTCCACACAAGAAAATGGAAGGGCTCAGTCTTAAATCATATAAATTTATTTCAACTGAGTACCAAGTGTGCACAAACACTTCCTTTGGACCTTAGTAGTACATTAAACAGACGTTATTAGCAGGTATCCTCCCGGAAGTAATCGGAATGGCCCAAAATATCAGTTAGGAATGCAACGGTTTCTGTATTTATTTAGCATGTGTTGTTTTCCCACAGCTGTACCATCATTTTAAGGGTAATAATTATTAACACTATGCACAAACATATAATACCACGAACCTCTGATCTTTGAGTTAATTGCTGGCTTCTACTAGTCTATAAATCTCTCAATGGGGCCAAAATACATGTCGGATCTCCTTCCAGTATGCACACCTAGCAAAGCTCTCAGATCCTTAGGAAACAGTCAGCTGGTAGGTCCCCGGGTCTGAACCAAACAGGGTGAAGCTGCTTTTTGCTACTATGCTGCACACAGATGGAATCAGCTTCCCCATGACCTCAAATGTGCCCCAACTTTATTAACTTGTAAATCAAAATTAAAAACCTTCATGTATTCATCAGCCTTTGAATAAATGCTTCTCATGCTGCACTTTCTGCACTGTAAATGCTAACTGTAACTGAAATTAATATCTACAATTCTTTGGTTGATTTATTGTGTTTTCTGTCTTGTTTCTGTAAAGCACTTTGAATTACCTTTGTGTTTGAAATGTGCTATACAAATAAAGCTGCCTTGCCAAAGGGATTTGGTTTGTTTTCAATGGTTGTGAACTTGATGAGAGCAGTTGAACATCTCATTATCATGACTTTACTATACTCTTGTTCTGTTGAATTTGTAATAATAAAGGATGAGTAATGTTCATGTACATTTTTTATGTTAATAGTCAAATGGTTTCCTCCAGAACACTGCATTGGAACATGTTGTTCAGGCACTCTTTGCAGTTCTGTCTCATGCTGTCTACACATATTCAACCCACATAAAAACAAAAACAAAAAACAATCAGATTTCCTAAAATTCATCTTTCACAGGTCCAGAGGAATACTCCCACTTTTTGACTGCCTTTATTAAAGTCAAATTAGATTCTAGCCATATTGCCCAGCGTGATTACGAGAAGAAAAAAAAGGCTTTTTTGTGTATTTTTTCCAATTCAACTATAGAGACCAGCACCTAAACAACTAATTGGTCAAGAAAGGCTTATAGAATGACTCGTGAAAAAAGATTTTAAATACATTTTGTTTATTGGTTTTAAAGTGTTAAATTAGCTGAAAGTTGTATTTTTATTTATTTATTTATTTACAAACAAGAATTGACCAAAGAATGTTGTAAAAGGGTCAAAGTTGCAGCCCAGAATATGATTTAAAAAAAGGATGAACACAACTGCAATATAACAACTCAGGCACTAGGTGGCAGACAAAACCATTAGCCCGGGAACGTGGGACTGTCACTTCCTGTTGGGATGTCGAAGTTTTGTAGTTCCTGTTGTGGTGACCTGTCAACGTTGTAGTACAGGCTGTGACTGATAATAGTCCGTTTTCCAGGCTGCTGCGAATTTTCACCATCGAGGAAACAGGTACCGGGGAGTCAGACGTACAGGGTTTTCTGCGCTAAGTCTCATAACGATGTCAGATCACCAGCATGCGAACGGTTTAAGCTAGCCAATAGCCTTCAAGTTGACAGCTAGCGCTTGCTAGCTAGCATACGACAAAGCTAGCAGCTTAAACTCAACCGCCCACTCCTCCAAATCGCAGTTCTGGACAGAAAAGAGAACGGTAAGTTGCTTGAAGTAGATGTTTAAATGATGTTAACATGACGGATCTAAATCAACCAGACTTTTTGTGTCTGAGCTGCTCAACCAGTGTTTTCATTTCTCTCCCCTTTCTTGTCGTAAACCGAAAAGTTGTAAAAATTTCTAATTTGTATATTTGGTCAGTTTAGAGCAAAGTGACATATTTGGGATTCAAGAACTTAATTAAGTAGCTTTAAATAAATTGACTAGCATTATTAAAACTAATTCAAAAGCAGAGTTCATGCAACCAAAATTATTTTTCACTACTTTAACTATCGTTGCATGGTATTTTGAGAAAGTTTCTAATCAAATAATACTTGGCACTCTCCTTTTGTATTTTAATTTTATTGTAGCAGTCAGGTTCATGGCAACATCTGTTGTTCATGTAAATCTTGTCTGTCAGTGAGAGGCTACAGGGCCTCTCACTCCCTGAGAGAGCACAGCTGCTGCCAAAGGAAAGGGACACTGGGGTCGTGGGGGGGGGGGGGGGGGGGGGGGTATACAAGTGCCCAGGGTGGGATCAGGTCACCCTCGCCACCAGTGACGCATACTGTCAAATCCCCCACTTCTTGTGCTGAGTCACACCTTCATGCCTAATAGAGCCTCAGAAATCCAGCTCAGGAGTTTTATCGCAAGAAATATCAGTGGTATGTGTTTCTAAAAAAGTTATAATTATGTAATTTACTAACAAGGCGGTGATGTGGATAAAAAATATCAAAGCTCCCTTTTAAAGATGAGCATTCAGTGGCATGATGGAATGTGTGGAATGTGGCCGAGCCTCAACGTATAACTCAATAAACATTGTAAATACGAAATCTGCAGTGGATCTTTGCTTCTGCGGGTTTCCACAGATGGGAAATTTATGTGTGAATAGGTGTGGGACACAGTTTAAAAGTCTCAATCACAAACTTTGGCTCTCCCATTCCTTTTTGTTAATCTTACATAAAGAATAAAACTCCGGAACACGTTCTTCTAGATACCAGGGATTTTAGAAAAGCTACCCTGCTGTTGGTTAGGCACATAAAAGAATCAGGTGAGTTTGATTAGTATAATATTTAAATACACCCTCTTGTGGTGGTCGACTAGATCAGATGAAACTGTTCTGGCTATTCCAAACCTGATGATGTAATACAATTTAAATACAATGTCATGCTGGTTCAGTAAGCCAAGACACACGCTGTGTTCTTTCTGTTACTCGATCAAAGGTGGCTCGAGCATATGTCAACATCTCACAGCTGTTTCAAGATATAGTCACTTTTGGTTGAAGTTATGTAACAGGTTGTGTGCAGAACATGATGGAGAGTAAAGTTGAGTGTCTGCATCTGTGTGTGCTTTTTATTATCATATAAATAGGGATTAAACCAATCTTAAGAAAGTTCCGATCCGTTTGTCTTTGGAATGCAGATGGAGCCCCAAAGCTCTGGTGAAATGGTTCTATCCAGAAAACGAAGAAGAGAAAGCTCCAACGGTGAGCCGGAGGAAGGGGAAAGGCTGGGGAAAATCCCCAGATGTACGGTGGTGAGTCAGCTGTCGCTGTGCTTAGGGATTTCTTTGTGCACCACCACAAACAGTGTTAGGCAGTGTTCTTATTAGTGCTTTCTTTATTGTAATGCATGTTTGGATCTTTTAGGGATTGAAAAATCCTGCACCTTTTGCTGATGAGCTGGAACCGGCTCGTAATAAACCGTATGAGCGGGTCAGCATGGACGAAGCAAAACGAGGAACACCCTGTGAGTCTGAAACATCCGTCTCTGATGCCTACATTATCTACTTTTACGACAATAATCTGTTTCACTGCAACCTCGATTGTGGTCACGTATATGGACAAAACCAGTAAAAAAAAAAAAACAACTAATTGTTAACTATGTGTGACTTCTCTCCTTTTATGTCCAGTTGACAGGCCAGTGCGGGTGTACGCTGATGGGATCTTTGATGTTTTCCACTCTGGTCACGCCAGGGCTCTCATGCAGGCTAAACGCCTCTTCCCTAACACACATCTAATTGTTGGAGGTGAGTTTAAGAGGAAGGATATGGGTTTGTGAAGAGTTAACCATTTATGAAATTCAAATGTCATTTGGGGCGACGGCGGCACAGGAGTTAAGTGCTCGCCCCGTAATCGGAAGGTTGCAGGTTCGAGCCCCGCTCAGTCTGTCGCTGTCGTTGTGTCCTTGGGCAAGACACTTAATCCACATTGCCTGCTGGTGGTGGTCGGAGGGACCGATGGCGCCAGTGCTCAGCAGCCTTGCTCAGTGTGCCCCAGGGCAGCTGTGGCTACATCGTAGCTCATCCCCACCAGTGTGTGAATGGGTGAATGACTGATTGTGTTGTAAAGTGCCTTGGGGGGTTCCAGGACTCTAGAAGTCGCTATATCAAATACAGGCCATTTTAGTCTGCCAAAGAAACTCCCGTCCGGCCCACAATACTGTGAAGGATACACCGTACCCGTCCTTCACATCGGGGAAAAGAGGGCCGGATTCGTTGGCCGCATTTGAAGAAGTCTATGAATTTTGACAGCCTTCGGCATGGCGGTGCGACGTAATCGGCCTTCAGATCAGGCCGACGAAGGATGACCTGAACTCAATACACTGATGAGTAGGTTCAGTTTGGAATGTTTACTTTGTGAAGTGCCTTGAGACAGGTCTTGTGATTTGGTGCTATATAGATAAACTGAGTTGAATTGCTTGGATTGCAGTGTTGACTGTACATAAAAGATGGACAAGCCCTCCGCCATCAGCCGTAGGTTTCTGAAGAGCTGAACTGAATGAAGCCCAATGGGCAGCTCCCATCACCGCCATGCGTCACGCGTCTCGTCACTCCCAGAAAATACAAAAATGAAGCGGGGCTGTGAGGGTGGGGGGCAGATGATTGACACCCAACAAACTGAACTGATGGAGCTATGAGCAAACCGAAGCTAATGGTTGGCAGGCGCCTTAAGCCAGAAAACCATGGTTGAGATAGTACCCTCTAGGCTATAACAATGTGGGGCTGAGGTCGAGACCTTCCCTGAAGCAAGCAGGGGGCAAGGCGATAGCGTTGATGGCTCATCTTCTCTCTGACAATCAAAAGGACACGCCCCTAATTATTAATGTTGGGGGGGGGGGGGGGGGGTCAGCAACTTTTGGCCACCCCTTGGGGGCGCCATTGGCTGTAAGCTGGCATTTTTACCATGAGTGAATGGGAACTTGCACCTTTGTGGAGCCAGCCCCTAGTGGATAAGGAGGGAACTACTTCCATGCTTGATTCAGTTTTGGCAGGTGGAGTTTGCTCCTTGGTTTAAACTACCAAACACTGCCACCTGCTGACAAATACTGGTGTCTGCAGTTGATTTAATACATCACGATAATTTAAACTCGAGTAATTCTGTGCAAATGAGGAAAAATATTTTTTTCACCATAGGCATCCCTTAGCCTACCTGGTGTGCTGCTTTCAAACATAGACGTAGTTTTGACTTTAGAAGTGGGGGGGACACAACCAGCATGAGGACCGGGGGGGGGGGGGGGGGGGGGGATCTTTACAGTAAGTATACAAAGAATATGTATGAAACTACAGCCTACAGGCTCTTTTATGCAATGTCAGGAATGTAGAACTGTCAAGTACACAGGTTGCAGGAATGGCCAATCACACGTTAGCAAGTATCTGCAGAGCCAGTTAGATGAGCTTATGGATGGTTCTAATGGGAAACAGGTTTCATTCGTTTCAACACAAGCAGTTGTTTCCCGCTTGGTCCTAGTGCTCAACCAGTGTCTATTTAACCCCTTAAGCCCTAGGCCTATTTTGAAGCCTATTCCTCAAAAAATGGGAAAAATGGTTTAGATAGCCTTGCAGTGCTGGGTTTGCTGATTAATTTGATGGGAATTATTACTATTTCTTCTGTAGTGTGAGGGTTGTTTTGGGCCTGTTAAGGACCTAACGTCACAGGGTCGCCTAGCTGGGGGACCCTAGGGCTTACAGGAGAATATTGTTTTTGGATGGTAAAAGTGCCGGGGACAAAACTGACTTTGGAAAAACTACGTCTATGCATTCGAGACATAATTAAACTCATCAAATCACACATTTTAAAACTTATTTTTTTAAACATTTGTCGACACAGCTCCATATCTCATTACCACATATCACAGAGCAGAGCCTGTGCACCAGCCTCTAAAATATTTTCCTACTCTAAATGGTTCCTATCGTTTACAGTTTGCAGCGATGAGCTAACCCACAAGTACAAAGGCTTCACGGTGATGAATGAGGATGAGCGGTATGATGCTATCAGACATTGCCGCTATGTGGACGAAGTTGTGCGAAATGCCCCCTGGACTTTATCGCCAGAGTTTCTTGCAAGGCATCGCGTGAGTGAAAACCACATGCACACACACACACATACACACATACACATGCACACACAGTTCTGTTTTGAGACAAATTAGTAAAAAAAAAAATTCCTACAACGTGCATTCATCAAACCCTGATCATTTGTTTATTTTCTTTATTTTATTACTAATTGTAGATCTGTGTATGATGTGTGTTTTTTGCGTGCTCATCACCTGTCTAGATTGATTTTGTGGCTCATGACGACATCCCATATTCATCAGCAGGCAGCGATGACGTGTACAAGCACATTAAAGAAGCAGGTGAGTGAGGAAGGGAGCAGCTCATGAGAGCTTTTGTAGAATCCAAATGGACGCCACCTGAACACGCCAGCATTAAAAGATAGTAACTCCTGAATGCATCAGCTTAGTCATGAGTGAGGGCTCTATTGGCAGGTGATGCTTAGAGGAATCCCCCCTTTGCTCCGAGATTCACAGTCGGCATGGTAAAAATCCCGTAGGAGATGGAAAAACTCACTCACAATAAATCTGTTCTTTACCAAAGAGTTCTGGGTTTTCTCCCACAGACCACAAACATTCATTAATTGTTCATTTTTTTAATAATAGCAACCACGGAATAAATGTAAATATAAAACGTTTAGTATCTGAGCTGATCAGAGGCAGAGCAGGGTGGGAAGTGGGAGCAGAGAGCCAATCTGCTCCTTAGTGACGTGATCAATGCAGCAGTAATAGTAAGGAGAAATATTGACACAATCTACAACATTTATATTTATTATAGACTCAAAGGGAAAATCTGTTTTCAGCCTTGTTGACAAGGTAAATGATCTTTTTGCTGCTTTAAGGTCTGAAATTAGAGGGTCATTTAATACGAGGTTTCCCCTAAAAGATCTGTTACGTTTGTGATCCTCCTTTGATTTTTGTAGGAATGTTTGCTCCCACTCAGCGGACAGAGGGCATCTCCACCTCTGACATCATCACTCGCATAGTGCGTGACTACGACGTGTACGTCCGACGCAACCTGCAGAGAGGATACACGGCCAAAGAGCTCAACGTCAGCTTCATCAACGTAACGGCTCCACCGGTTTAACTTAACGAGTTTTAAAAGCAGACTGCATCAGCAGAGATGCTGCTTTGATCTGGTATTCATACCCTTCCATGTCCTCCCACCAGGAGAAGAAGTACCACCTGCAGGAGCGTGTGGATAAGGTGAAGAGGAAGGTGCGAGATGTCGAGGAAAAGAGTAAAGAGTTTGTCCAGAAAGTGGAGGAGAAGAGCATCGACCTCATCCAGAAATGGGAGGAAAAATCCAGGGAGTTCATCGGGAACTTTTTGCAGATGTTCGGCCCAGAGGGAGCTCTGGTGAGGACGCTGATGGTCTTTCTCATATCTAAAAGCATGATTTCTGTTTGAATACAATCTGACTGCAGTACTGGGAAAGGTCAGCGCATCAGCTCAAACTGGTCAGTTGTTGTCACTTTGGTGGGAGTTACTGATGCTTTGTTGCCACAGCAACACCTGCAGGTTTGTTTGGGCACAAAAATCTCACGAAGTACAATCTGAAACCAAGATCAGAGTTAGGAAAACCATTAGTGTTCACAAAGACGACTACGTCTCTGCTATGGATTCAGAACAGCTCTCACCCTTATTTCAGCCTAATCTGTAAATCCTTGTCTTTCTCTGACACGTTTGATCCATTTGTTTCAGGTTTTTTAGGTTGACTGGTAGGTTCATGTGGAAACTTGTCATAGGTGCACTATCTAGCTCTATCAGGCGGCAGAAAATGGGGAGTGTCACAGAAGTGTTGCCCTGATGTCTGATGGTGACATTTCAGGCTGCAGAAGCCAAAGCAATCTTGGGAAATTTGTGAAATTCTCCTAAAGGGATACTAAGCAACATTTTCATATTTTATATCATATTCTTGAGCCACTATTTGCTAAAATGATCCTTTACTGCCCTCTGTGGCCAGAATACCACATTTGCAACTTCAGTGTCGGTCCGGCACTTATCCAGGGTATCTGCGGGTCCTTAAAAAGTCTTAAATTTGGCTCCCTTAAACCTGCAGATACCCTGTTATCACACTTAAGCCACTTTTATAAAACAACGCCGTGGCGGCATCAGGGAGACTCGGGTCATTTATAAGTGGTCAGACCGTGGCGGTGATGTGGCGCAATCATGTAATTTTTATAAAAGATTAGGCAATGGTGACATGAAGGAGGTATTGAGGCGGTCTCTGTGATGGCTTACATTTATCTTGAACATAACTTGCTTTTTAATGTGATTGAAGACGCGATCGTTACGTTTCTTTAACAAGCCGCTGCTAAAGGTGTCTGTCCCCATCAGTCCCTGTGCAATCTCTGGTGATCTGAGGTCCAGCTCTAACGGAGAGATGCTCACGGAGCGCTGCGTCACTCCAGTTTGCCGTCTCTGCTGATTTTGTTCAAAAAGCAAAACTTATTGCCCGCGTTGACTTTCATTTTCAATATATTTTCCGGCCGGAGCTCGGAATTGACTTCTCACGTCGTCATGACACCTCCTTCTGTTGCGCCATGACGCAATAGTTGTTTATAAGACAGACAGTTACCGCAATATTACTACCAAGCAAGGCAGAACGAATGCTGAAAAATTGGCGCAACGCCATGCTGGCATGGCGCATTTATAAGACACACCGTTGCGGTAATATTACGCCAATTTGCCGGCATGGTGTGTCTTGTAAAAAGGGCTTTAGACAAAAATGAGCGGACATACCTGGCACTGCAGTCTGCTTTAGTGATGTATCACAACTATAGATGCTAGTGAAGGCTTACTAAATAGAATATCTACTAAAAAATCATAATGTAGCCATAAAAATATCTGCGGGTGTGTCTGCTCTGTCTTCTCCATCCCCAGTGAGTCGTGGTGGATGGCTGCTTGTACTGAGCCAGGATCCTCTGGAGGTTTCTTCCTGTTAAAAGGGAGTTTTCCTCTCCACTGTCGCTAAATGCTTGCTGAGTAGGACGATTGCTGTAAAGACACCGACTCCTGTCTGCTTGGTTCCTTATATAGGAAACTTTTTACTGATTGACTTAATGAACTGAACTCCTGTCATGATTTGGCGCTATATAAACCGAGTTGAATTTCAGTTGTTAGATTAACCCCTTAAATTTCCAGGTTTATTGAATGCAATGGGGTTTTGTCCCATGGGTGGGACACTGGAATGCTAAAGGGTTAAGTGAACAGTGAAGAGATAAGTTTCGCTTTTGCTTTGACCACAGATAATTTAGAATGGACACTATAAGGTGGTAAAAGCAAGCAAAACTGCCAAGTGTGCCTTTAAAACACTCAAACGTACCACCTAGGGCTGGGCAATAAATCAAAAACTTATCGTTATCGAAACTTCTGACCCTTATCGAGATAATTTTCCCATGACAATAAATTTGATTAAAAAAAAATTGAAAGATGTGTGTAGGTTGTTAACGGTCATGTCCGTTTAAGAAGCTGTACCACCTTGACTCATAAATGTGACTCCACATAATACATGCGACAGCCCCATCTAGTGGACAACTTTTGTTTCTGCGCGTACCTGTAGTTATCTTCCATTTATTGTTAGAGGTGAAATCCTCAATATATCATATTAATTTTAGGCCATATCGCCCAGCCCTAGGATCTGTCTCTGTCCTATACGTCATGTTTGGAGACGGTTTGGGAGCGGGCTTTGATCAAGTTGGTCTCTCCTCTACAGAAACACATGCTGAAGGAAGGGAAAGGCCGCATGCTGCAGGCCATCAGCCCCAGGCAAAGCCCCAACAGCAGCCCCACCCGTGAGGAGCGCTCGCCATCTCCTACCTTCAGACTCCCCTTCTTCTCCAAGACCTCCCCTCCTCCCTCTCCTCCTCACCACAGCGGGGCGCGGGGATACCTCATCAGTGAGGACGACGATGAAGACGACTAAACAGGGCTTTAAATCCTGTAGCGTTCTGTCACAGCACTACGAGTCGAGAAGCGGCGAAGTTGCATGGCGCTCCTGGCTGCAACATTTTATTTTATGGTTTTACATTCAGCACTTCTGTGTCTCGTTTATTTGAAGAGCCGGGTGCTCCTCGGCTCCTGATTTAACAGCCACTTCTCTTATCATTTCTAAAGAACTATTAGTTAAAGTTACCACTGAGAGTCTCACTTTTTATGTTGGTCCCTCACTGTCGCTTTGGAAGCCTCTGCAGGCGTTACACTGTTCCATTCCTGGCTGTATTTATACATCATGGCGCACGAGTTTTCCTTCAGTGAGCTTAGCTTTAGGGCTCACTGATTTCAGTTTTAATCTGAGGTCATTTGAGTTCAGTCACTGTTATCTTGAGGATCAGGTTTAAAAAAAATATATCCAGAACTCTTCAAATGATCTGCTCATTTTTCAGACTAACATGGACTCACCTTTCTCCTAAAATAACAGGAAAACTCCAGGTTTCATTGCCTAAGAGTAATCTGAGTGAAGGTGTGTGTGCGCTTGTTCCTGTGTGTCTGCCTGCCCATGTCGGAGCTGCTCGTATCCGTGGATCTGCATGTGCTAAAGTTCTTTTAGTCCGCATGTTCCAGATGTTTTATCTGACACATCTGGATTGAGTGTTTTTATTTCATGCCACATAGTAAAAAAAAAACTTGCTTTCAGCCCTTGTCTGCAGACAAGAATCAGTCTTTGGAAGACTAGTTTCAGAGTAGACGCCTTTCAGTGGCGTGAGAGAACATAACTTAAATCATGTAGAAATGCTTATTTTTGTAGTTTTCTTGCCTGTGATCTCATTTGAACTCTGAGCAGAGTTGACAAAAGCAAGGCTGGACTTGCATTTTTCTTTGAGCAATTCAGATCTAAGCTTATGAGGAACTTGTATCAAAACAGCAGGTATTGTTTTTATATTCATCTTGGAAATACACAAATGTTCTTCCTAAAGAGGGTTTTAAAAGTTCCTCATGACTAGCACACTTCGATGGCAATCTGAGGGTTAACCAGTACTTCCACTAACTAATGCTGTTTGATGGCGTCACCTGTAGCTTAAACATGGGCACAAACGAGGATCATAGTAACAGAATTGTCTAGTCAAATATCCTGGATTTTCCCATCTTCAGTGATCTAAGCATGTCTTTCATCCAAGCAAAAACGAGACATTGTAATGATTAGTGTAAATGTTGGCTGTCATTGCTAATCAGATTTGAGCGTTGAAGAGAAACTGCAGGGGAGAGATCCAGCCTAGCTTGTGGTGCTAAGCTACGAATCACGTCCACTTAACTCGAATGGCAGAAGGCAAAGAAATGTACACAAGTAGTTTTAATTGTTACTTTTGTCTGATATTTTGGATGTAGACCCAAGAATAAAAAAAGTTAACAGTTTAACAGTTTTTCTGGTCTGATTAACCAATCTAATTTTTTCTGCCCTTTCAATTTTCTTTTGACAGCAGTAATGGAGAAAAATGACTGTCAACACCCCCCCCCCCCCCCCCCCCCAGAGTATTATAAAAAACACAGCTGAAAAGGAGGGGTAAGATGTTTGGTTACATAGATTTTATTGGACAGAACGGTCACCAGGGCTACACACATGAAGCAGACAGTGGCGAAGCAAACACCAGGGGGAGACATCACCTCACTGCAAACCCTGCAGACTGATCTTTAAATCCAAAAATAGTGTGAAAGTTAATCTTAGTGCTTATAAAATGTTTGTGGGAATGAGTCAGAATAAGCCAATCAGGATGAAGGTCTAACCTGCCTGGCATAACTCTGAAAGCGGAGGGAAAAGGAACACAGGTAAAGGATCAGTAACGTCCAAGTACAAAACCAACTTGCTCAGCGTCATTTCTTTCTGAACGACAGTCGGCTGGGAATGATTTACCTTCTAGTGACGAGCATGTAGCATCAAATACCGATTCATTGAAAAGGTCAACTCTACCAGGATATTTATATATAGAAACTATCAGGACTTATTTTAAATCACAATAGTGACGAACCCCCTTCCCAGGGTTAACTGACGTGGGATTTCTATATCGGAGAAAAGAACGATAACACTGGATACACAAAGCTCCCGCCCTCTCCCCCTGAGACCCGGCATCACTTGTCTTTTTCATTCGGACACCAGATGGTTTACATTTTTTACTCATCACTACTAGATATATACGATACAATGGTTCACATTTTGCATATATCTGAATTACACCATATTTACTTGTTTTTCTTTTAAACGATGTAAATTCAATCTCCGACACCTAGTTAAGAAGGGATGATGGGGAAGGAGAAAAGTGATAAGGACAGAGGGAGGAACAAAGACGGAGGAGGAGGAAAGAAGAATAAAATGACAGGAAAGATGGGAGGGAAGTGGTCAGTTTGCTGCCTGGCGGGGCTGAACTTCAGCAGCGGGTTTCGTAGATGCCGGAGCGGCCGATGTACCGCACCCATTTGATGACGTCGTGGTCACTGTAATTGAGCTTGGACTCAAACACCTTCAAGTAGCGCACCTTCAGGCCAGAGGGTGCGAAAGGAACCTGGAGAGGAGAGGGAAGTTGGAACATGTTAGGACAGGCGGGCTGCTCTGTTTACCCACCACCGAAGCTCTGAGTTTGTTTAACACTAAACGGCTTTTAAGTTTCTTAGCAAATACTGGGATCTGATTTAACCCAGAGTCCATTTGTTTGGCTGCCAACACCACATTACAGTCTCAGCCACCAGGAGAAGCTGGGAAATATCTAGCTTATTATTATCTATGTCTGTGACTGTTCACAGAATAAATATAGTTTTAGAAACATCAGCTGGAAGAGAAAAGTTCACTTTGAATCCGACTGAAATTAGGAAGCTCTTAAGCTGCGACAGCTTAAAGGAGGACAGACTGGACTGTGCTGCGCTTACCTCAAAGTTCATAGAGATGGGAGGCCTGGCCCATTTCTTCTTATCGTTGGTAGGCAGCAGCTCAATCTCAGCACTGATCTGAGACTCCTTCATCCCAGCCATCCGCTTGATCCTGCAAATGCAAACTTGTAGCTTCACAAAGGAAACATTCCCACACAGGAATACTTGAGAGGTTAAACATCGAGTTCAGATTGTTAATTAAATTTAATCTAAGCTCCAACTCACTTCCAGACTATGGCGTTCTCACTGGCCTTGTATTTGGCTTTTCCCTTCATGCAAATCACCTGCACACCGCTAGTGTTGAGGGGTGTTGGAATTCGCACCTGAGGAGAGAATTAGCCCAGATATTTACCAGTGAAGTCAAAACTTAAAGAATTTCATCAAAAATGTAAAAATGTGTTTGCTGACCTCAATTTTCTGAGCCAGCAGCGAAGGTTTGAAGTTGGACTTGATGACCACTTTAACCTCCAGTTTGGTGCGACCCACCTCCCTGACCAGAGGAATAACTCGGAACGGCAGGATGATGTCCTTAGTGGTGCGATATCTGAAAAATACATACATTTAAAAAGTAAATTAATAAAAATAAATGGGGGGGGGGTAAATTATCAATCCACCAAAATTTTGAATGAGTGGAAAAATAAAAAAATAAATAAAAACCCAGCAGGATCCATCAGAGCAGACATTCATGGATGCTTTAGGCTCTAATAATCTACTACCATTACTGACCTCATGAGCTCATACTCTCCATCAGGAGGGATGAAGCTGATGCTGCGCTCAGAATCAAACTTACTGAGACGCACACACTGGTGGAAAGTGCAGTCATCAATGGCTATGGACTGCTTCCCACTGAAGAGGACAGAAGATGCATCAGACACACCAACTAACTTGTTACTAGTCTGGATTTTAACTATCCTTTTCCAATCTACAGATAAAATCTACTCTCTGGATATCCAACAGTATACTTAAGTACAAAGACATGGCTGCTAGAAGACAACATTTGAACCTGGATTAAATTATTACTACAAAACTACAGTAAATGATGATGGGTAAAGAGTGAACTAGGACGGTTAGGGATGATGAAACAGTTACTGGGCAGAACACAGGAGGAGAATGAAGCGGTGGAGGGAGAGGAACCTTGTTGCTATCGTACCTTCCTCCCCCTAAATCACTGTGGTACAGCACAAAGTAAAGAAAGGATAAAAGACAGAGAGCCATCCAAAAGGAGAGCAAACAAAAGGACAAAAGAATTTCTTAGTCGGAGCTCAAGGACAGAACTATTTAGACAAGAAAAGCAAAGTCATAATTTATGTCCCTCCTTATGAAAGCACGTTTGACCAAAGCGCCTGCCTCCTCACTCACGCATCACTCACCTTTTCCCTGCATCGTCGGACGCTCCTCCCTTGCCCTGCTTGTCGATGACGATCTTGTCGTTCATGCCGAATTTGCACTCCGGCATTCCGCTCAGGTAGCTCTTCATCACAACACGGCCCGACACGTGGGCGCTCAGGACCTGGCCTGGATGGAAGGAGTGAGAGGATCAACATCTGGACACCGCTGGGACAGGTTCCACCATATTTAGACAGCGTTTCTGCACAATAGGACTTTTTAATTCAGGTCTAAAACTGTGGAAATACTAAAATTATTCTACAGTACCATCTCTGTTTAAAGCTGCAGAAGTAAACACGATCAAAAAGTCTTCAACTAGTTTTAGTCGACCTTCATGGCAAAACTTGATAGCAAGTCATTTAGACGTCTCTGAATGTCAACATTTCCTCGGATCTTTTTATGTCAGCAGTCAGGGACGTCTTTAGAGGACATAAACAGACCTTGAGGTGACATGAGCAGATTAACACTTTCCAGTACATCCAGGAAGAGCTCATTGCGGCGATACTTGATGCCCTCACGACGCCAGCCGATCTGGCCCGTCACCTGGCTGGTGATCTGAGACTGCTCCTCTTTTGTCTGAGAAACAGGAGCAGAAACTGGATCAGGAACAAAGAGCAAAACTTCCACACAAGGATGATGATGATCAGAGGATGACAGAGAGTGGAAACACATGAAAACACGACTTTTTACAAAACTTTCAACATTACCTGGTGCTGAATGGTCCAAAAACCGCAGACGAGGGAAACAATGACACACACACACAAACAAACACACATTTAATATTCATACAAATTAACCACATGTAAAGTTTACTAGAATCAGATACAAAAATAAACATTTCCACCACCAGATTGTCTTTAAACTATTCATCGCTTCAGGTTAGAGTGAATTTAGTTCATCTGAACACCACTTTTCTAGGTTATCTTCTACAAAAACATCAAACTGAAAGCTCTACATCAGTCGGGGGCAAACACTGTACTTACTTGTCCCTTAATGCCTTGCTGGGTGATGAAGGTCTTCAGGGCTCCGGTCTCTGAGTTCTGGGGGTAGCCAAAGTCCAGGATCTCTGAATAAACAAACACCAGTAGATAGCGGTTAGCGATAAAAGACTAGTGTAGAGAAAACTAGAACATGAAGTACACGGAGTAGCCGGTGCTGACTGACTAACAGAACATTAGGCTTTTTTTCTACACCCAGACATGTGTAAGTCCAGCAGTCCTACAAAATGTTTATTATATGACTAATAGACTCCAGGATCGTCTCCTACCATCCAGCAGCTCGTAGATGAGCACAAAGTTGTTCTTGATGTTCTCCTCGCTGATTTTGCCAAAGTAGGCAGTCATGACGTCACACATCTTGTAAAGGAACTCAAACACCATGGCAGCGTTGACATTCTGCTTGGTCACAGCTGCCAACCATATGTTTGAGCGCTTGACATGGAAGAAGCTGGTGCGGGCGATGTTGGTCACCGGCGACCGGACCTGCTGCCGGGCGTGAATCACGTTCACGCGGAACGCGTCCACGGCATTCCGCCTGCAACGACGAGCAGGGGTGAGACAGAAAGAAACATTTAGGTTGGACTTTAAAGCCAATCATATGCTTGTCAACATTAGAGCGGATTATTTTACGATCTCTGAAATAAAAAAAGGCTGCAGAGCGGGGCTAATATAAAGTTTAACATTAAAAAGGAAATAACTCCCCCGCTCCTCACTAACATGCCCTTGTTTTTATTTCTCAAGGAGGCAAATATCAAAATCCAAGCAGCAAAAGCGGGACGTAATGGGCTGGTGCATTTAGAGTGTTTGGTGTAAACTGTGATAGTCTTCACAGAGAGAGAGAAAATAAAAACTTATCATTCCCTAGATTTGGAGGAGACATAGGAAAGAAAACATGTTTATATCATGTACTTTAATCACAAACTCTCCAAATGTCATCTTTATTTAGATTTGGAAAAAACTATTTTGTAGCAAAAATTGGGGCTCAGTGCAAGGATGGCTCTGACGAGGGTCTGAGATAAACCAACAAATGCACCACAGATTAAAACTGTTGATCGATGACCTGATTACCTCCTGTGTATGAAAACGTTTTCAAAAGGCCACCTTTACAAGTAAAACCTCAAACTATACCTAAGATTTCCGAGAGAAAATGGAATTATCAGATCCCATGCTCAGACTCCATGCTGGGATACCAGAACAGCTGATTTAGCAACAATATTTCCTGCTGACATTAACTGAAAATAAATTCTTAGATCTGAGTTAATCTGCTGCATTTCAGTACAAAGCCATTTATTTACTGCTGTAAGGACTCATGCTTACAGGAACTGCTGGGTATTTGACCAAGGCATGCGGTTTAAGGTTCATGGGGTGACTGATCTGAGGCCATGAGAAAGGGGGAGAGGGGGTCATGCTTTAAACGCTGCAGCAGCTCTTACCTATTCCTACATGGGCCAAGATGAAACAGATGGGAGAGGTGATAGAGATAGGAGAAAAGGGATGAGGTAAACAGAAAGGAGAGACAAAAATGTACAATTGACATTTTTGTGCATTATGTGGACAGAGTGAGTAACGTGGTGTTTATTATTAGGGTGCTATTTTCACAATTAGGTACAGGAGGGAAAGGGCAAACAGCTTCAGACTGATAAAAACATGCTAGTTAATTTACACACAATTACAGAGGCATGAGGAATTTAATGCAGCGGTCAAGGAGCAAACCTAAAACATCTGGTTTGTGTTACACTGCTGCTGCAGCCAGGGGGACGAATACCTACGAAAACTACTGAAACAACAACAATAAGCTATGAAATTCATGGATTCACACAACTATGCTTTTTCCAGCATAATGCAATGAAAATAAAATGAGCGGGTGTTTTAATTTTCTTTTCTTTTTTGGGTTCAGTGGAATTTTGTACAACACACAGTGGTGAAAGCACACACACGAGCAGATGTTTATTCTGGGAAAGCAAGGTGGAAATTCTACTTAGATCATATCCATAACACGTTGCACAAGAGCAGTGCAGACCTTACATTTGCCCTAACACAGCAATGCCTTTTTGTAAAATGAATGAAATTAAAAAAAAGTGAGTGGCTACATTTTTCCATCTATTGCTGCTCAGCACTGGTTGTGATGACTCAGCTCCGTTTTTAAACCACATTTCAGAATAAGTATCCAGCATGGGTTTCATTACATGTTTTAACCTTTCATAATAAAATTTTTAATGCAGGAGTTCAAGTCTTTCCTTTGAGGACCACATAGCCCGTGTCCAAGACAAGCCAGGACCCCAACCCCAACATGCATTACACATTAATGTGATCATTTACAAACTTTTATATGGAGTTCTGATTATACTGTAGGGTGTGTTACCATGATTTTCTAAATGTAATTTTTTTTTTTACAAATAAAATCTTGCCAACCTCAGCTAAGAAAATGCCCAGTAATCTTATTGGGACACCTTGGGGGCCCAGACCCCCAATTTGGGAACCCCTGCTCTAATGAACTCAGACATTTAAAAGAGCAAAGGTGAACAAATTAATTAAATTTACCACAGATGCAGCAATAAGATATTCTGCTCACAGACACGCCTCTTTTCGTTTAGTGTAAATGATTACAGCAGAAATAATTATTTATATATTTTGCTAACAAAGTAAAATATTAACCATAGCATTGTATAAAAGAATGCATTCAATATTAATCATCAATACAGAAAGGTCTATTTTGCATTAAACAGTTTGACTTACAAGAGTGAGAAAATCACAAGTGTAGTCAAGTGTATTTGCAAACACAAATGTATTGAGGCAAAAAAAAAAAAAGAAGAAAAGGAACACATTTTAGCAAATAAATTACTTGGTCAGAAGAAGAAAATGATAATTCAAATACTATCCCACCATGAGGAAACTGGCAGTGAAGCCAATTTGAATTTGAGCATTCCACACAGCTGCGTCTAATCTTTTAATTTGAAGGTGTGGTTTATGATAAGCACAAGGGAAGCAAATCATTGCCTCAGACAATAAAATTGTGTTGTTTCTTTGCAGAAACATGCCAAACACTAATTTAGCTAAACAGAAACCCATAATAATCCTCTCATCCAGAATCAAACCTAAACAGTCCACCCACAAGATTATCATCGCACATAATGTCTGAGAAACATACCCTATGTCATCTCGGTAGACGCGGGAGATGAGAACCTCTCCCTTGTGGTTGTAGATGAACAATCCTCCAATCATTGTGAATGCTTCTCAATCCCAACTTGCCATGATGAAACCAAACCCCTCCTGAGGATAAAAAAATTGATTGAAATTTGGGAAGGAAAAGGGGAGATAGGAAAGTGAAAAGTAAAAGCAGTGTAAAGTAAAAGTCACCCACAGTACAGAGAGGCACTTGTCCCTCGCATCCGTTTTCCTGTTTCTCTCACTCACACTCTCTTGCAGCTGCACTACACCATTAGTGACTTTATTAAATCACTCATTTGCATAGCTGCACCAGCTTTTTAGGCAGCTTCACCTCTCTCTTTCACACACACACACACACACACACACACACACACACACACACACACACACTTCCAAATAAGATTAACAGATTAGCAGCAGCCACCGGTTTGGGGTAGGATGCTACCAGATAAAGATATAAATCTGAGATCATCATAGTCCGCTAAACCCTACCTAGACCTGGTAGGACTAACATCCGAAATGTACCATTTTTATCCCCGTGGGGATGTAAGTTTTTTTTTAATTAAGTGTATTTTACTAATAAAACTGCCAGTTTAAAAAATGCTGCTTCTAGAAAATTTAGGATGGAAAAAGGACATCCATGGCATTCCTAGAAGGCATAACTGAAACACTTTTATAGAGAGTGTTGAGAATTTTCTTAAACAAATTACTACTAGCAGTCGTGACCGATTAAACCCTGCACCAAACCTGAAGGGGTCTAATCGTACATTTATCGGTTTAGTCAAGATGTCTGCTCACTCGGGCCATTTACCAATGTTCATACATTTTATATATTTTTCTACCATCGATGTATAATCTTTTCCCTGTATGGTTTGTTTAAAACGTTATTTAAATGTATTAGCTCAGTTCAAAATTTGACCTTCAGTATGATCAAAGTGATGGAGAATACCCTGAAGACAGCGATGGCTAGCTAATTTAGCAGGCTAGCTGCCGACGATCCTCAGCGAGCCGAGCGGATTTTTAACGGGCTTCCGGTGGGTAGAAAAACTGAGGTTATCGCGTGTGTTACAGCAAGTTACAGTGACTTACGTGTAAACGATATGAATTACATAACAAACCAACTAAAACAGCATCAAAATGTTATGTGATGGCACGTTTTAAGCTTTGAAGGAATCTTAAAGCATGCTTTCCGTTATCATCAAGCTAACCGCGGCTAGCTTGACGTTAACTAGCCGCGGTTAGCTGAGGAGTTGCTAATGTTAGCGTCGTCAACGAAAGAGAGCGCTCACCTGTTTTCTCTGGCGGTTTACAGATCACAGTAAATCGTTTTTACTGCAAAAATACATGACTGAATCTCCGTTTCGTTAACTTACTCTTGTTCTTTCACGAACACCACCACTCTTTGGCTTCCAGGCTAGCCTTTGGGTGTATTTTATGTCCAACAGAATCCCTGCTCACAGCCGCAAATTCCGCTTCTTCCTTCCCCCGGTCCGCTGATGCCTGTCAGCTGACCCGCCGTCTTTACGAACGACTGTTCCGTTGTGACAGGAAAAGGCGTGGCTGGTGCGATGTGTAAACCGCACCCAGGCCTTGAAATGATAAGCCACGCAGGCTAATATTCGTTAATTGTCTGGTATTTTACAATTATATAGGTCAGCCTCCTTTACAAAAAATATATCAGAACATGTCAACATATATTGACAAAATATGAGGTACGGACGCTGTCAGAATAAAAAAAACGTAGTCAGGTTAAACTGTGCGCATATTGTTAAATAGTTGTGCCTAACTAGAAACATAATTTCATCCCCCACTTGTGATTAAATGGGGCAAATGCTGTAAACGACTCTAGAGCGCCCCCCGTTGGTTACTCGTGTAAGGCAGAAAATCTACTGCAAACATGAGCTACAAAAATCGTGATTAACGATTCTTACAAATAGATTGTATGAAACATTATACAAATTCTGCTAAATACATAAACATAAATTCAGTTTGTCACATCTCCGAGGTGAAATGCCCAAACAAAGGCTCCAAACTGGGCCAGTGGCAGCGAAGGGTAAGGCGAACACTTTTGCAATGCCATGGAGCATCTTCGAAAGTCTTCTGCCAGAGAAAGCAATGCTGATGGATATCTTCAGAGGTCTTCATTGCAGCAGACTGGAGTGTCCACAGACACAGGACAAAGAAACTCTTGAATGATATTTGGCGTGGAGCACAACATCAAATTTTTTTGAGAATGTTCTCTAATCCATAGTTTGTGATTACCAACAGTCCTCAAAAGGTTTCAAATTGGGGTCATGGTCACCCCTGGAAACTTGGGTCACAAAAAAATTATAATAAATTATCTGTGTGTTCAGCAGAAGTTCATAAAATTAAAACATTTTATTTTAAAAAGATCTAGGCCTCTTTTTGATGAGTACATACACTGAATACATAATGTCTGAATAATTAATGATACCAAAATTAAAACTGCTGTTAAAATATAATTCAAACTGATTTAGGCAGTGTTGAAGATCAATTTAAATACAGAAAAATCAATTTTGTTGATTTGTTTTATTTTAACCTGATCAGAGTAAACTTCAGATAATTCTGTGTAGTTTTTGTAGAACAAACACTCAGGTATTTTCAGTATTTGTGTATTTTAATTTAAAAAATGGACATAAGAAATAAAAATGTGTCCAGATATTAGTTTACAAGAGGACGATAATGTTTCCATAACATTTAGCTTTAGAATTTTATTTTTAGGCAAACAAAGTTATGAAAATCTACTGAACATCCCCAACATCCTAAAAATACAAAACAGGCAGAGCAGAACAACTGACCACCAATGCAATTTCTAACAGCAAATTATCACTGCATAAGGCCCTCTGGGGGAGGTGGCCTCATTGGCATGGGGGGCATGGGCATTTGGGGGGGCATTTGGGGGGGACCTGGTGCCCCGGGTGGCAGAGGAGGAACAGACATCCCTCCTGGTGGTGGAGGTGGAAGACCGTCGTTTGATGGGTGGCCACTCATAAGTGAAGCGGGGTGCTTTAAGTTGCCAGGAGGAGCTGGACCACCAGAAATGGCTTTCTCCATTTTAAAGTGGAACTGCAGGAAAAACTGAACGAAAACAAAACATTCATACATTAGAAAAATATAAAAATTAGTTTTTTAGTAAAAACAAAGCAGAGTCAGTACCTGTTTAGTTTCCCTGTTCCAGTGAGTCCAGAAGCGGTTTTCTGCTTTATCAATTTCCCTGCTGGGGACCTTAAAGGAGCAAACATTTTAATGTTACGGAAATGTGACACATGAGCACAATGACAAAAATTACAGGTTTCATCCACCTTAAAGGAAATAGTTTCATATGGTTCAGCAGCAAACAGCAGGTACTGCCAGCGACGGTCAGGAGGCTCGATACGCTGCTCATAAGCAGACATGAAACGGTGCCTGGGTCCAATTCCTTCAGCAACCTCTGGATAGTCGATCTGATTAATATGGGAAATAAAAACAACTTGAGTCAGATGTTGTAACATCTGGTTATTATTGCCGTGATAGGAACTATAGGAGTTTTGTATCTGCAACGCATCTTCAAGTGGTGTCCACAATGGGGTCATACAATGGGAGCAAAACTGTTATATTGGGCTGGAAAATAATTAAAGTGGAGCTAAACATATGATGGCATTTAACTTTGGTTTCACACGAACAATAAAGCATAAAGCCTATTATCAAGTGTCTCAGATTCCCAGAAACACAGCAGGATTTTTCCAGAATTAAAATATATATATTTTTTATTCTCACCTGAAAAAGTAAAGACTGCTGACCAGTCTCTGGGTCCCTCTGTTTTGTCACTGTGAAAAAAAGAGAAAGACGAGGATCAATAGTTGTTACAAAAAGCTAAATAAAGTTGATCTAATATAGAACCATGCAGCCAGTCTACCTTTGTATCCTGGTCGACCAATTTTGACAAACTTCTTGACCTCAACTTTAACCTTTGCTGGAGCTGGTTGAGCCGGAGCTTCTTTTGCCTCTTTGGCTGCTCTTCGTGCTCTAAAACACCAAATACAAAAGATTTAACTCAGAAAGAAAAAATTACACAGGAAAATGTTTACTGACAAATATTGAACTAGTAGCAATTAATTGTGTTAGAGAATGTTTTAGGTTGACTTACAAATTGGTCTGATGCTTCTTTCCCTGTGTGTGAGCCAAGTAGCTGCCCTAAAATCAAGTAGAGGGTTTTCTTTAGAAACACAATTCCCAAATATCAAAAATTCTAACATAGCCCAATCCAATCCATTATGTGCCTCCTCACCTCATTGTTGTGAAGTGTCAAACAAAGTTTGCATTCATAAGAACCTAAATGATTCTTCATAAAATAGGGGTCCTTGTTGATGTCGATGGTCTCTAGAGCCAGCTGACGTAACCGTTCACGCCTGTCCCGGTTACTCTCAGAGGCAGACGCCACCCCTCCGCTTCCAGTCTTCCCTCCAGCTCGATGCTGGAAATCCATTTTTTTGAAGTGATGAACTCAGTCTAAAGACAACATAAACATATAGCATCAAAGGGACAGACCAAACATAATGTATCGTGTATTTCTTCAAATAAACACAAAACAAAAAACAGAAAAAGCCAGTTCAGTTAAAACTGAACCCCTGGTGTTTTATTTTTACCATCCCTATAAAATTGAGAAACATATGCTATTTCAAATGTAGAAAACATTCACAACTATAAGTACTGTACAAAGCAGTATGCACGTAGTAACACTATCATAAATATAAATTCAACAACTTTCATATAATTGCTGATAAAATGGTAACGCTGTGTGTTACAGCAGCCAGAATGAATATCTGAGCGGCACAGTTCCTTAAATGTAGTATTAATAGTGAACATTAGTCAGGACTGCATATGTATGTATGCGTGTATGTGTTAAATCTATAACTCAAATCATAAAGACTTTCTTCCCGACACCCCTTTCATCAATTTATCAATTTTTCATGATTCTAGGTTAAAACGTCCTAATTTTTAATAACATAACTAGAAAATCCCTATAATGAACTATCCTTTCGCGCACATTTTACTGTTAGCATTTAGCATCGATGGATGTCGTTCTGACAATGCTAAGCTAACAGTGCTACCATATATGCAAGGATAGTTTTAAACCTACCAAAATGAACAAACTATCAGAATGAAATTAAATATAGCCTAATCAATGTTTTAGCGTTACTGCTCAGCGAACTGCACAACAAAATACTAGCTAAATATTATAAATAAACTTACGTTCTCCCAAACAAATCTAACGACAAACTGTGATGGACAGAATTGTTTTGCGCATGCGTGTTGGTTCTCAGCTTAAGCAGTTCATAAATAGTTTCAAACATTCATTGCCATCTAGTGGTCAGGAGTAAAACTGACCGACAAACAAACGTTTGCGGATAAAAGCATATAATAAAGACCTAAGAGATTAGTTTATTTAGGAGTAAAGGGCTACATTTAAAATGTGAAAAATAAATTAAAAAAACGATATGAAACATTTGCATTTTTGTTTATTTATTTAATATGTTCTCTTTAATTTTGGATCAATTGTTTGTATTATTTCTTTTGCTATGGTTTTGTTTCCCAACTTTTATTGATTTTGTTGCTTTCACTTTTAGGGTCTGGATTTAAACTAATTGTAGATTTAGACAAGGTGTTGGACCGCATCTCTCGGGGGACCCTGTGGGGGTACTTTGGGAGTATGGGGTACCAGGCCCTCTGATAGGGGCTGTAAGGTCCCTATATGACTGGTGTCAGTGCTTGGTCCGCATTGCCAGCAGTAGGCCGGGTTCGTTTCCGGTGAGAGGTTGACTCTGCCAAGGCTGCCCTTTGTCACCAATTCTATTCATAACTTTTATGGAGAATTTCGAGGCACAGCCAAAGTGTTGAAGGCATTCATTTTGGTGGCCTAAGGATGGGGTCTCTGCTTTTTGCAGATGACATGGTCCTGATGGCTTCATCAGAACGTGATCTCCGTCTCTCACTGGAGCAGTTCACAAACGAATGTGAAGCAGCTGGGATGAGCATCAGCTCCTCTAAATCCGAGACTATGGTCCTGAGTCAGAAAAGGGTAGAATGCCTTCTCTGGGTCCAGGGATGAGATCCTGCCCCAAGTGGAGGAGTTTATACATCTCAGGGTCTTGTTCACGAGTGAGGGAAAGATGGCGAGTGAGATTTATAGGCGGGATGTGATCGTGTCTGCAGTAATGCGGACGTTGTACCAATCTGTCGTAGTGAAGAGAGAGCTGAGCCAGAAGGCGAAGCTCTCGATTTACCGGCCGATCTATGTTCCTACCCTCAGCTTTAGTCATGAGCTTTGGGTAGTGACCAAAAGAACGAGATTGCAGATACAAGAAGCCAAAATTAGTTTTCTCTGCAGGGTGTCTGGGCTCTCACTTAGAGATAGGGTGAGAAGTTCAGTCATCCGGAGGGGCTCGGAGTAGAGGAGCCAGTTGAGGTGGCTCAGGCATCTGATTAGGATGCCTCCTAGATGCCTCCATGGTGAGGTTTTCTGAGCATGTCCAACCTGGAGGAGACCTAAAGAAGACCCAGGACATGTTGGAGGGACTATGTCACACGAATGGCAAGGGAACGCCTTGGGATTCCCCTGGAGGAGCTGGCCCAACCTGGGGAGGGCCTCTTAGCTTAGGCTGCTGCCCCCACAAGCTGACTCCATATAAGCAGAAGAAAACAGATGGATGCTTTTGCTTTGTCAATTTTGCTAAACCCATTTTTCACTACACTTAGCTCTCATGGAGCACGAGCTTTGAATTTGATGAGCTAGTATCAGCAATTTAAACAGGCATAAAACCAACCAGTTCAACATTTGGTGTTATTCCAGTTATTTAATTTAACAAGGAATCTTTTCAATACTCTTTTCTCCCAATCATGGATTTTTAAATCAATGTGCTTCATTTTAAGTCTTGCAATATTATTTTGCGAATCAATTTTTATACTGCAACATTTTGTCGTGGCATAGTAGTACTTTTCAGTTAAGAAAAAGAAGAACATAACCTGAACAGAGTGATGTTTGATTTTTTTCTGAAATGTAATAATTATTTTCATTTTAAAATACTTCAGGAAATATTTTGCTATATGTGCCACGGTTTAACAAAAGAAAATAGTAAGTCCTGTAAGAAAATAAAGTAATTTATAATTCAATGTTTATAAAACAATAGGAAAAACTAGAAAAATTATTTTGTAGTTGCAGGGCACGGGACAAAAACTACCTCAAGTAATGAGTAAATGTTTATTGTTCAATCAGAAGCACTCAAACATATATTTAATGTATTTGAGGAACATAAAGTTTTAATATTAATCAGTGAACGTTTATAAAGTTATCTATCCAGACATCATGCAACTCCTCGCTCTTACGAGCCATTTAAGCGTTAGCCCACTAGGTGGCGAAAGCGTATTTCTATTTGGTTTAACAAGCACCGTTAAACTCTCCACTAGAAGAAGAACCGATCAGCGTTTCCTGTTTGTTTAGCAGATGCCGTTCACTTGACTTTACTTCACCCTGGAAATAACCAAACACTCTCCATCACGTTTTCAGGACATCGGATAAAGAATCAGAATAAGTCGACATGATAAACAACGAAACTACTGCATTTATATTATTATTTTAACTCTATTTGAAATGTTTTGGTCGTAGAGACTAGCAAAGGTGTCCCCCCTCCCATTTTACGCGATGCGTTTCAACGAGAGGGAGCTGGTCTCTCTGAGCCGCCAGCCTTCAGAGATGGCCGCTGAAATGGGAATGCGAGGTCCGAAGAAAGGAGACGGTAAGACCTGTTACTTTCTCCGTCACTTTTCACTTCCGCTTGGTGTTATTTTGGGTCATATCGGTGAAACTGATCATCTCTCTCTCTCTCTCTCTCTCTCTCTCTCTCTCTCTCTCTCTCTCTGTGTGTGTGTGTACGTGTACGCGCGTGCGTGTGTGTTTTCAGTTGTCAAGAGGCGGCTGGTGAAACTCGTAGTTAACTTCCTTTTTTACTTCCGGACAGATGAGGAGGAGGTTAGATGAGTTTTTTTTCTCTGTCCCTGATGATGAGCTGTAACATTTTAATGAGTTCAGTGTTTATTTTTCAGCCAATTGGAGCCTTGTTGTTGGAGCAGTGCCGGGTGGAGAAAGAGGACAGTCAGACCTTCTCTATTAGTGAGCCCCAGACTCCCTTTCTGTGTTGATTTCTTACAGGCTGATTGGCGGTGACATTTTGTTAATGTTGTGTTTGTCTCTCTGTAGCATTTCTAGATGAAACTGAGAAAAAATACGTGTTTGAGTGCAACTCCGAGGAGCAATGTAAGGAGTGGATAGACTCTATTATTAAAGCAAGGTAAAACAGACTTTTTAATTTTCCTTTTTGCTGTGATCTGCTGTTTAAAGAGCAAGTCACCCCCTACCAAAGTATTACTCCACTCCCACTTCCTGTTTGGTCAAATGCAACAAATGCTGTTGCCTAGCAGACTGAGAGGGCGGGGCCACTAACAAATCCACACACACAAGCACACACACACAGGTTCACAACGACATTGTGACATCATATGGTACCAGCTAACGTTTTAAGGTACCTCTTAGCCAATAGGGATGGCAGATTTAAATTCAAATGCAGTGCTGAGTTTTTACCTGACAATGGCACAACACTGACAGTTTTAGGCAGAAAATTAAAATTTTAAATAAAGTGCTAAACTATTATTGACTACACGTGTCTGCAGCACAATTAAACGCACATTTAGTTTATCAGAAAAAATAAGTTGATTTGGGAGTGACTTGCTCTTTAAGATCAGTCCAGACTTATCTGACCTCAAGTGTACAGAGTAAAATACAGTTAGAAGATGTTCACACTGTTGTTTTACACATATTTTAAGTTAGGATCAACAGTCGTCTGTGAACTTATTATATAATATTGGTTCTTAAACCAAAAAAACTGTTTAATGTATCTTGTCTATACTCTTGCAGTTATGAGTTTATGAGGAGGAATCTTATATTCTTTCGAACTGAAATCCACCGCCTCACTGGGAAGGTGAGTCCAATAACAGTGAGTCTGGCTAAAATCAGACTGCACCTTTAATTATTGGTGTCATGATGTGAAAACATCCATAATTTCAATAACTCCAAAAATGTTTTTTACAGATTTATGCAATGAACTCAAATGTATTTTATTAAATTATGAATGTAAACAGTGGTGGCTGGTCCATAAGGAGTGCCGGCCTTCCTGCGTAAATCTAAAAAGTAAATAAGACTACAATATATATAAATATTCACATATTTACTATTAATGTGTCAGATTTTCTTAATTGTGTGTGCCCACATGCAATTTGAATGATTCATAATTTTCATCAGCTGTCTCTCATTAAACAATGAATTTCCTCCATCAGGCCCACCATTTTCACTCCTCCAGTGCTCCTAAACTGCAACTAGACAGCCAATCATGTTTGGTTGCTAGAGAGAACTGGAGAATTTTGGGCTAATCAGTATCAGCAAATTTAACGCTGTGAATGCTGATAGAGAAAACAACTAGCTAGCATACCAGAAGGTGCGGAATCTCATTCTCACTCCCTGTCACTTCCTCATTCACGCAGATTCATTGTTGGTTTAATTTGAAGCTGAAATCACAGTGGTTGCTGTAACTTGTGTTTATTTCTTCCTGTTTATTTGATTATATTGTTTAAACAGCATCTCTAATTCAATTTTAAATTTTCTAATTCAAAAAAAAAAATAATAAAGTATTTTTGAATTGAATTGAATTGAATTTCTATGCCGTATTACTTCCACCTACTGGCCAAACACAGTGTTGCGCTTTGAGGTAGAGCCCTGCACGGGCCTCAAATCTGAGCCCGTGTCCGGCCCGGCCTGAGGGGGTGGAGCCCCAGCCCGACCCGGCCCGAAAAGGTTTTCAGGATTCTCTGGCCCGAGCCCGATTTTTTTTAACCAGCTAAATGAAAGCAAAGTGCGTCAATCCTGACCAATGTGTTAAAAGACGTGCAGGATTCGATCAATTTGTTTTTCCCTCGTTTACCATCACGGAGATGACGGCGCACTGGCTCTGGTGGTAATCAAGTTAAATTTGATCTCTTTCCAACAATTTTCACAAGAAAACAGAACAGTCAAAAGCAGGGCTTGAGTTGACCGGATAGTTCCAGAATAGAACGAATTACCCCGACGCATGCAGATGAACTGACATTTTATTCGTTACACACATCGCAAATGTAGCTAAATCACCCAAGAAAAGATTCCCATCTGAACATCTGAGCTGCTCAGCGCAGCTCGCTGTCAGCGCATACAGTATGTGCACAGGGAGCTGAAGTTGTGGAGAGGGGTTTGGAGCGCATCGCAGAACCAGAGCGCATGCGGGAAGGTTCCTCCCACTGAAGCGAGTGTTTTCCAAACCCTGTCGCTCAGAGAGACTTGTCACTTAGAAAATGTTCCCTGATTATGAAACTTTGGCTGAATAGTGCTTGTTCCTGTCTCCAATGTGGCGACACATCCAGGAGGAGAATCCCAGAATCTCTTCAGCTCAGACAGCTTATATTACGCACAAGCGTGACGCGTCAACCCGGTCTCACAGTAAGACTGGGTTGGACCTGTTCAGGTTTACGCAGACAATCTTTACATAGAATTGACTTACAGATATAAAATTAATTCAGTAAAATATAAAGCATTTTATTTAAATATCCATTCATTAATTTACAAGCACAGAGAGCCGCATCAGATGGATGGAAGAGCCGCGGGTTGTGACATGTTTTCTCCAGGACCAGAGAGGACGCAAACTCAATACATCTCTTTTATTGTGAGGTAATAATTTCTCCGAGGTTTGCGGTTGCGGGCGGGAGTAGACATGCACGCTGCAGGTGCGGGCAGGAGTGTAACACACACTTTGCAGTTGCAGGCGGTAATGGTCAGAAATTCAGTGGGAGCGGGCAGGAGCGGGATGACGAAAACAGTCCCACGCAGGGCTCTACTGCTGCGTTTGTGTTTCAATTTTTTTTAAATGAATTCGATTAAAAATAAAGGTGCCCGGCCCGTGTCCGAGGTAATTGCACAGTCGTTGGCCCGAAGCCCGGCCGTCGGGCCGGGCCGACCCGAGGGCCTAGGACTTCAGTGCAGGACTCTACTTTGAGGTTGACTGTTAATTGACACACTGGACTGGAGGCTCACACACAGGCTTGTTTTTATTTTAGTGTTAGTTATAGTCTACTCTATCTGTACATTTTAAAATTGACTTTCTGTAGCTCTGCTTATTTGGATGAGGGAAATTGTGTGTGTGTGTTTTTTTTATTGTCATTTTTCAACTTTTCTATTTAATACTTATTATGGACTGAATTTTTTTTTTCATAAATAGAACACCAATAATTTTTTTTCATCAGCTGCCACTGCTAGAAAAAAACTATAATACATGTCATTAAAGGAGGGTAAGTAACTTATGTCCCAAACAGCTTTTTGGCCTAAAGCTCTTAAAACTTCAGAAGTAAGACCCAGACAACTACACATCACTGAGCTGAATTGTTTTCACTGTTTTGATGCTCTATCTGATCATTCATAGCCTTCCTCTTTTCCTACAGGACCCCTTGGAGCAGTATGGCATTTCCGACGAAACCCGTTTCCAGGTCAGCAATGGTCAACTGCTAAAGCGCAGAGATACTTCCTCCCTGTAGAGCATCTAAAGTTTCAAATATAATTTTTAGTTCACTCAGCCATTCCAATTTTAATTTCATCTCAGTGATAATCGCAACAGTAAGGTCCACACTCCAGCTTTTTATATAGGGTAGTAATACGTTTGTTTGAATTTTGCTGATATCACAACAAAGGTTGCTGTGAATGTGCAAAGTTTCGTCTCATTTCCGCTTTCAAGGTCACACGTTAGACCAGAAATACCAATCAGTGCTGTTTTATAGGGGGTTTTAGGGAGCTGAATGTGCTGTTTGCTAGCTACTGTAACATCAGTCTGCTGTTTTATTTGTTTCAGTTGACTAAATGTTATTTTTGTATTTTTTTTCCATTGCTGTACATGCACAGAATGGGTTTTTGAATGTCTTGTAGGTTTTATCCTGAGTTACTGTTGACGTGAGTGTGTTCACTTTTAGACATGAAAAGATATGTGGTAAAATGAACTAAAACTGAGTAAATTCCTCTAGCCTACAATCAGAGTTAATTTTAATTGGATAACTAATTTAATTAATACTGAGATTATTTGAACCATCAGTCCAACGAAATGTAAATTACGTCAAACGTAAATTAATGTTGCCATTTCTGGATGTATCCACCTTTTGCTCATTTTAACATCTTTTTGCACACGTCACTAAGAAGTGTTTTAATTAAAACTGCAGTTATTAACTTGAACCTAAAGTCTAGCTTGTTTTTCACTGTGAATCATATTCTTCTAGCTAAGGTTGACATTAATCAATAAATATTGCATCACTTTACAGCAAATTATTTGACACAAATTTGCTAATAGCCATATTTCCTCACAGGTCTTTGCAGTATGATACAAATTGATGTGTTTTATTTTCTCTTTTTTCATGTATATCAGAAAAAAATAGTAGATATCACTGAATGTGTCTATTTTAAAATATTTTCTTCATGAATGTGTTGAAGTATTTTTTTAAATACACAAATAAAACTGAAAGACAATTTGTCTGTGTTGTGCTTGACCCAGTGGCATGCATTGTGTCTGCAGTGGTACTCTCACTGATGAATGTGTGTCCTGGGGGGGCAGACGAGAAACATTCCAGTTTTGCAGAATGATGTATACAAAATTATAGATGTAATAAGCAAACCGAGTTTGATTGATCTGCCACTGCATTACAGCTACATTTTCATAGACCATCATGTTAGAAAATAGAAAAGATCTTGTGGAACAATTTGAAACAAATTTATATGTATCTTTTATCTGTTAGAAGGACAACAGGAGATGTAAATGTTTGACCCAAACATATCTGATTTTGGTGACTTACTTTATCCAGTGTAGACCATTTCCCTGATTTGAAAACATCTGCAGCCATGTATAATAAAGTTTAATTATAAATATTAGTTAATTTCTTTTTACTATTCTTAATTCATTAGTTTATTTTGATTATTTTTAGCAAAGCGAGCCTCTATCTTGCGACATTTTGGCACTTGACGGGATCCGTAGCACGATGTGTTTCCTTGGAAACGGAAAATGTGGGATTCAAAAAATGTGACGTCATGACACTCCCGTGATGCTTTGCGAACATGACTTAAATGCTCGGGGAGACGGAATACAATTCTTTAAAATCGGCATTCATGCATCAAAAAAGCTTAAAAATCGGCATCTGAGTATCGTTTGACACATCCAAACGAATATTTCCGATAGCCTGCAAAGGCGAGCGAAATCTCGGGGAACAGTAGGTGCTATCACGAGAGTATTTAGTTACCAAATAGTGTTGACAAAGCATTAGCCCGACAGCTAGCGTAGTTTACGGTAAATCAGCCAGCTGAGCTATCATTAGCTTAGCTCTGTGTTCCAGGTAATTGAATTGTGTTTTTTGTTGACATCAGAGCTAGGATGACCGATCAGGGACAGTCATTAGTTGTTTTATTTCAAAAGGATCGTACAGAATACATTTTGTTAAATATATTTTTAAGTTTTAGGTAGATCTCTTTAACTGCTGTGTTAGCGGATTACTGATCTCAGCCGCATAAAAAGGACAACTTGTTTCTCTTTTTAATTTCAGTGATATTAACCGCGATTGGGTTTTTCTTTATTAGTGTCAATTGTTTTTCTTTTTCAGTAAAGCGCTGTGTACTTAAGGACTCTCCGTGCCGCATTTTTATTATTCTGCATCGTTATGCTAATTTAGTGAATGACAGATGGCTTGCAAAATGAACAAATGTTGCAGATTTTCAGCTACTGTTGTTTGATTTTTGGTAAACCTGTTAGTTATAATTTCATACAGAAAATAACTGTTGCAATCAGTGATCCTAAGCAAATGTAATCTAATAAGAATGCTTTACTTTAGTCTGTGCTGCATTAATCAACATTAGTTGGATTTTCTTGTTTTTTAGGCACCATGGATCAAGACTATGAATGCAGGCTACTTAGACAGATTAATATCCAAAATGAAAATGCCAGCCCCATTGTAAGTAAACAATACACTAATTAGTGCTTTGTTTTAGTCGTTGTAGTCAGAAAAGAAAATTCTTCACAAACCAGTGATTCCTGAGGTAAAAGGTTTGTTGCTCAGAAGGCATCTGCTGGTACAGCAGCCGATTCTCTTTTATCTGATGGCACCGGCTGTGGTGGTTTTTTTTGTCATTTATCCTCCAGCATCTCTGCAGAAACCTCATCATTCTTGATGGGTTGGTTTTGTACAAGACTAATGACCTGCTTTAGCTCTTAAGTGACTTCCATACCAGCCTATAATTTTTGCTTCTCCCTGCTCCTCTGATGAATTTTCTTTCCCTCCTTAGTTAGCACAGGAATAAAGGTGAAAGTTGGTTCTGCATTTTTATTAAACTGTTTTGGAAATTTAGGACGATGGACAATAATTGCTATTTTATTCCATTTACTATTAATTCAATTAAACCAAAAATCTGAATGCTTATGTTTATGTATTTAGCAGACGCTTTTGTCCAAAGTGACTTACAAGTAATAATCGGCATGTTGCCCTTGAGGCTAACGACAACAATAACAACAACTTGACATCAATCGTGGAGAGGAGGGAACAAGGAGTGGACATTAGAGAGGGAGGACGGGTGCAGGGAGGGTGCTAGTTAAGAAGATGCTCTCTGAAGAGCAGGGTCATCAGGAGTTTCTTGAAAATTGAAAAGGAAGCCCCAATGAAAGATTGCTGTGTTTCCCCAGTGCAAATATTTACATGAGTGGTTTATTTTTGCTGCTTCAAATCACAGCAAATTCTAGCCAGAAGACATTTAATCCAATTCAGTCAAATATCAATTTGGTAAATCATAGAATTGCTAAGGAAGCTAAAGGGTCATTTCATGCTTTTACATGAATTCCAAGTCCTGTTTCTTAAAATGCTGCACAACACATAAACAGTGGCTGTCTCCCTCAGATAGCACGTTAAAATGTTTATCACAATTATCTAACTGTAATAGTCAATTCTAGAAAGACATGTTTCATGCACGACACCTTTAAGATGGAGAGAGACGCTGTTATGCTCTATGTGATGAAAAAGAAATGAGCCTAACAGACCGGTTATTTGACAGTGTCACAAGAGTTGAGCAAAAACAAGACCTCACCGGCCAAATGACTGGCTCTTGTGAAGGCTGCCTCCTATTGTTAACACCTCAAATGAATGCACCATCTGCCACATAAATTATCCTCCTGTTTTGTTAATAGGATTCCAAATCACTGTCCAAGTCCGATTTCTGTTTGGCCTCCCATCAGAAAATCTTATCTTCTTTCATCCCCTCGTGTAGAAAGCTGTGGGAGCAGTGCGATCTCTAACACCCACCAGCTCCCCCCTGTCCTCCCCCAGCAAGCACGGCGATCGCTTCATCCCCTCCCGGGCGGGAGCCAACTGGAGTGTCAACTTCCATCGCATTAATGTGAGTCAGCTGCAAGACATGGGAGGATTTAACTATCTGTCCTACCAAATGCACAGTGCTGTTCCATAGGACCAGTTAGCAAACGTGATTTAGGGTTTTGTTTGATATATTCAAATTTGTCGGTAAATGCTTTTTAGTATAATATGTGGAGGTTTTGGTTTTATTTATGGAATTCATTTTCTGACCCAGGAAATTGAAAAGTCGCACAATCAAAACCGGAAAACCAAAGATGGCACCACCGACAGCAACAAAGGTAACCCATTACCTTTTGTTCTTGTTGTTCTTCTTCCCATAATCATGATTATTATAACATTTCACTCCAGGCTAGACCACATTCTGTTGCAGGGCATCAAAGTACATCCAATACAATCTTGGTTGTTTTGATATTTGATTTACCGTAAATCCTCTAATACAGGCCCGGGTCTGTATTTGACTCAAGCTCATCAAGCTCCAGGCCTTTATTGGAAGGAGGGCCAGTATTAGAGGCAGGCCTCTATTTCTATTTGAGCAAAATGAACTAATGGTTCGCTGGAGTTTTTGACAATTAAAATTGCGCCCACATTTTCAAAGTTAAACACATTTCTTTTAACAACGGTAGTTCCTGCTTCAGTCCTCTCCCCCCTCCCCCTGCGCAGCGGCCGCAAACTCACTGATGCGCCTGCAGCCTCTCGGAGTTCCTGCTGCTCTAAACATTAAAATAATTATTTCATTTTCTGTTCCTCACTTCTGATTACCTTCAATGGTGTCTGTTTGTTGCAACCACCAGGTACAAAAACTAACTTGTTTTTATTTGACTATTTTTCTGTCCTGCCTGTTTATTATCTTCCTGCATCTCCTCTCAGTCCTAAAGAGAAACTGCTACCTGGGTTCATATATATTCACCTCATGAGTTACCTTTGAACTGCAGTTCTAAAAGATCTACCGACCGCAAAAACAGCGGAGCGCTTGCTGTTTGGCGGCCGTATCAGTGATCAGTGCGTCGGAGGAAAAGGTGATGCCCAGCAGCGCCCCGCTCCACAGCATGCAGCGAAACGCATCAGGCGCAAATAAAAGACAGAAAACATTGAAGGAAATGAACCGACATGAACGATCGCGTGTCAGTACCTACGGTCTGGCACAGCGCGTTGCTGATCACAGAGAATGCGATCATACGATAATTCAATAGGGAGCGTGGTTTCACAGACGCGGAAGTGATAGCGTCGGTGAAACGCCGGCTGCTCTAGGAAACCCCCGAGCGTTCGAGAGTCAACGAAGTGACACGGAAATGCCGGGCTTTCCAGAAGTAAGTAAGATAACTTACTATGAGCTGATAGTTCGTGGTTTGGATCGGTAGGTTGGAAACTCTGATCATGAATCTGAAGAAACGATGACTGAGTGGTGAGCTGGAAAGGCGACTTCCGTTTATAGCCGCGGTTTGTGACGTAGGTGCGACGTGGAGGGAATCCCCGCGAGGGGCATGCTGGGAGTCCCTTCTTCGCGGATTTTCACCTATCGCGGCCAGGTCTGGAACGCATCTACCGCGATAAACGAGGGATTACTGTAGTTCATACAACCCCTACTGCTGCTCTCCAGAGTGTTCTGCAGCATAATCAGCCCGTTCTCTTTGAACTTGATAGTGTAATGACCTGGCTGGGGTTGTAAGCCAGGTGCATTCTGGGTATTGTGTTATATGTGTTTCCTATCGTTCTGCTAGTTCCTATGTGCTGATTTGCGTGTTGTGTGAGTGTTATGTAAGCCACAGGGAAGGTGATGTGTGTTCTGTGGAGCGGGTTGAATTAGCATGGTTAACTGACACCATGACTCTGTGTGGTAGGAGCGTGATAGAGGATCGTGTCTGTAGCGTTACAAAGCGTTGTAGAAAAAGCCTAATAAAGGTCTGCGTGAACCTCTACTGCCTCCTGCTGGTTGTTTCCGGGACTATAACCCTGCAGCTGGGACGCTTGTACTTGCTTGTTACCACATTCCATCCGGCCACAATAAGAGACCGGCCATTATTTACCTCCGCTGACTCCGACACCGGCCAAAATTGGAGACCCGGCCTTTAATTGAATGCCGACCTTTATTAGAGGATTTAGAGGATTTACGGTAATTTAGCTTTGATAAAAAGTGTGAGGAGACTTCACAAACTGCCTCCTTTTCTTTTAAAATTTTTAAGTAAAATGAAGTTCACTACTTCACTATGTAAGCTGCATTTTTTGTGTGGTAAAACCTTTAAAGCAACACTAAATATGTTTTCCTCGCCTCTCCCTCCCAGTGGTTGAAAATGAAATGAAAATCATCATAAACAACCCTGCAGCAGCCTGCTGTTGTTAGCAATGAGCTTAACACAAGCTAACCGACACTAAAAAGGCCAAATAGTAAAAAAAAATCCACACTTTTGGACAAAAATATTATTACAAGTTCTGTAGCAACAAAGCCAGGTCACTATCAGTCCTCCTCCATTAGCTCCCTCATACTAGTGTAGGCTGTGCCAGTGTTCACTTTGGTTTTAGCTCTTTGCTTCACCTCCAAAAACATTACTCTCTTACTTTTACGTCCAGGTTCTGCCATGATGCTAACAAAAGAAGCTAAATTCTATTTCTTGTGCTATTTATTGACGTTTGGCAAACTGAAAAAGCAAACTGCTAGCCTTTATATTTGCTACCTTCACTGTTAATAGCTATTGCTGTAATGCAGGCAGAGACCTCCCACCCAAACTTCCAAACTGTTAAGTGCAGTTTCTGGTCAGCAGAGGGCTGAGTGATGTCCAATAAAAGCTTGGTGTAGCTTCTGCTTCAAGAACCACTGAAACCAGTTTGAAAGCATTAGCTTAAAGTGTTTAAACTCTTTAGCGTTACACAGCACAGGTTGAAATGAATTTTTTTCCTAACAGATCTAATTTTGTGAAATCCCTTTTTTCACTGATATTTCTGATGAAATGTCGCAATTTCCTTTGTCATTTTTAGTCGTCTTCTTCTTTCGTTTCCAAACCGATGCGATACCGATACTTGGATCTGAATACTCACTGATACCGATTACAGATACCTATACTTCTACCACACAAAAAAATGCAATGATTTGGAATACAGATTTTATTTTCTTCTCTGCTTTCAACAGGAAAAGACTGTGAGGTTGATAAAAAGTAAAATATATGAATAGAAATCATCGCAAAACTAAAATATTAGGTGAACAGAAATGACAAGTTACAGTGAAGCCATTTTCAACAACTGCATTGGTATCGGTTCATGGTATCGGTTAACTTTTACTGATACCAGTATCGTATCGGTATCTGCATCCGCATCCCTAATTTCTATGCAATTTTTCTTCACTTATCTTTTTGGTTGTTTACACCGGTTTGTGTGCCTTCCCAAGTCAATTAGACCTTTTATTGTTTACCGAGCATGAGATGATTTATGGAAAGGAGGAGGCAGAGACTAAACATAGCTGAGTGCAGAATTCTCCCTGATCTTTAGAGGTGTGAGAGGGACTGGTGAAATTGCAGAGGGAGATCGGCGTTTGAAGTTAATTATTTTGAGAGCTTGGTTTGATTTCCCCCTTGTCTTCAGTGGACGGTCTGGCTTACTCGGCTCTGCTGAAAAACGAGCTTCTCGGAGCGGGCATTGAGAAAGTACAGGATCCACAGTCTGAAGACCGCCGACTGCAGCCATCTACACCTGCCAAGAGGAGCCTTTTTAGTGTAAAACACACACACACGCACTCGGAAAATTTGACCTGATTGATTCATGAAGGGGTTTTAACCTGATTACTAATAAATTTGTTTGTGTTTTGAAGTATTCTTTAAGTACTAAGAGGTCTCTGCCAGAAGAAGATGGAAACTCAGTTTCTCCGTATTCTTTATCACCCGTCAGCAGTAACAGGTGATCATGACGTTTTTAGTATGAAATAAATATTTGTTTATTTTTCTGCTTTTGTAAAAGTAACGTGACGTTTTTCGTAAATTGCAGTCAGAAACTTCTGAGGTCACCAAGAAAGCCTACACGCAAGATTTCTAAAATTCCCTTCAAAGTTCTGGATGCCCCTGAGCTCCAAGACGACTTCTACCTCAACCTGGTGGACTGGTCCTCTCTTAACGTGCTCAGTGTTGGACTGGGTACCTGTGTTTACCTGTGGAGTGCCTGTACCAGCCAGGTGTGTGCAGCTCTTCGAGAAACAACTCAATTTTTCTTGAATCCTGTGCGGATCTGACAAAATCTTGCACATATTTTAAACGTGCGTTTATCTGTAGAACTGTTTTCTCCCTGTCGGCCTCTTAGGTGACTCGTCTCTGTGACCTCTCTGTCGAGGGAGATTCTGTGACATCAGTGGGCTGGTCTGAAAGGGTAGGTTCTCATTTCCTCCATGTTTACCATTTAGAAGTTAGAAATCCTAGAATATAAGGTTGTGGTTCTACAGTTTGGCAATAGGTATCCATCAAAAGTCTGCACAGATCTGTAACTTTATTGAGTTTACTGATTTCAGGGTAACCTAGTAGCAGTAGGCACCCATAAAGGCTACGTCCAGATCTGGGATGCAGCGGCAGGGAAGAAGCTCTCTGTACTGGAGGGACACACTGCCAGAGTAGGTGAGTATCAGAAGAGATTGAGAAGTATTGTTTGCTTTGATTCACGGTCATTGAATCATCCCTCCTTTGGCTTTTCATGCCGTTCTGCCAGGTGCTTTGGCGTGGAACGCAGACCAGTTGTCGTCTGGTAGCCGTGATCGCATAATCCTGCAGCGGGACATCAGAGCTCCGCCCCTCCAGTCAGAGCGCCGTCTCCAGGGGCACAGACAGGAAGTCTGCGGGCTGAAGTGGAGCACAGACCACCAGCTGCTGGCTTCAGGTGGAAACGACAACAAGGTGCGCAGACGAGGACACTTTGAAACCATCACAAAGTAATTTCTTCCTTCCTAATGTTTCGACCCTCTTGCAGCTGCTTGTGTGGAACCACTCAAGTGTCCTGCCGGTGCAGCAGTACACTGAGCACTTGGCTGCTGTGAAAGCCATCGCCTGGTCGCCTCACCAGCATGGCCTGTTGGCCTCCGGAGGTGGCACAGCTGATCGCTGCATCCGGTTTTGGAACACGTTGACTGGCCAGCCCCTGCAGTGCACCGACACCGGCTCTCAGGTCTGCAACCTGGCCTGGTCCAAGCACACGAACGAACTGGTGAGTCACCTTAAATGCGTGAAGGTGCTTGAGTCAATTGGCCTTTTTCAGAACTCACAAAGTAATTATATCACAAATAATTCCTACTTTTCTGCAGGTCAGCACACACGGTTATTCCCAAAATCAGATACTGGTGTGGAAGTATCCATCTTTAACTCAAGTGGCTAAACTCACAGGACATTCCTACAGAGTACTCTACCTGGTCAGTACACACACCTGCAGGTTTAGGGTCCATTTAGAAACAACTATTTTAATGGCAATTTATCCCCAAAAAAGGGAAAAAATAATAATTAGTTTCTCTAAAAGAACTTTTATTAATTGTATTTGTTAAAATCACACCAGAAAGTAATTTGTTAGATTTCTACCATCTGTTAGAAATAGCGTCTTTGGTCTCAGCTGGAGGCAAACAAAAACGCCCCCCTTGCCAGTTAGGTGCCAGAATGGTAAAATCTTTCTCACATATAATCCCGATTTCTGTGATCACACCGTTGCGGTTCTGTATACTTTGTGTAATCATGAGTGTCCTGCAGGCCATGTCACCTGATGGAGAGGCCATAGTAACGGGTGCGGGGGATGAAACGCTTCGATTCTGGAACGTTTTTAGTAAAATGAGATCTACTAAGGTATTGATTCACCCGACTTCTCGGTTTTATCGATTTTATTATCCATCTATTCAGTTGTTAGTGACGAGTCTTTGTCTTTTCTCCTGTCAGGAGTCCGTCTCGGTGTTGAACCTCTTCACAAGGATCCGGTAGTCTGCTTCAGGAAAACAACAAAGGGAAGGGGATTTGTCTCTGCATGCATCAGGTTTGAAACGGCCTTCTTTGAAAAGACACATCGATCAACTTCAGAGGCTCGAGTGACTGCTTTCATTTTATTTAGCCAAGTTGTAGCTGATGCTGGGGGAGGGGGAGCCGGAGAGTTGCACAATCAGCTCGGCTCACAGGAATCTGGTTCCCCCTGAATAATGGAACCACTGCCTCTTCTACCAGACCCATGATCCTCATGATGGGGGGAAACCAGGGCCATTTCACTCATTGTTTTTTGTTTACAAATGGACTTTGTGCATACCTGCCAAATATATTGAGTTTGTCCCATTTGATTGTCTATTTATTTATGTTTTCTCTTTCACTTTTTTTTGTTTAGATTTATTTTCAGGCCTTTTTGGGAAGTACAGAATTTCTGTAGCTACAGTTTTCAGTCTTATCTTTGGGCTAATCTTCTACAAGGTTATCCTTTTTCTAAGTTTTTATGAGAAACAACTAAAGGACATAGACGCTGATATCGGATCACACAAACCCACCGTAACCCATCGCAACGGATTCCTTGGCAAAGAAAAGGCCTTATTTTCATATTTTAAATTTTGCATTTAGTTCATTTTAGTCTAATGTTGTTTATAACTTGTTGAGATAAAAAAAAAACTTTGGGATCATTGTACATAAGTTACAGAAATGATACAAGCATATCGTTTTAACTTGACTTGCATTTGAGTTTTTTTTTCCTTATTTTGAGAATTAGGAAGAAAAAAATACAAACTGATTTTCTTTGTAGTTTCTTACTACGGCACACTAAAGCGGAGATTAAACAAGAGGGTGTAATGCTGGCGTGTGCGGAACGCCTGTTTTATTCTGCCTAAAATATTCAGATCCAGAACAATTACTAATTAAGAACGTTTGTACTGAATGAATGGTGGAAATACTCATTTAATATCCCTCCCTTGTTTTGTGACCTCTTCTTTGTGTTTCTTTGTAAAATTTCTGATTTAACTTAATGTGCTGTGATAGAAAAAAAATAAATACAAACGCTATTTATTTTGTGAAAGTTTATACTGTCAAGACTGCTTGTTTGTTTGCTTAACTTTTCTGGGAGGACCGAGGGGCAAATTTACAGCAAAACTCTGAAAACTTATTTTAAAGCCACTTCGTAATTATGCTGCCAACATAACACAAAAATGTTGAAATGGAAATTATTTCTGTTCTGTAACTTGATTCAAAATTAAATGACATCCTATAACCAAACATGATCCAGTCTTCTTTTTATGCCTTCACGTCTTGATATTGACAAAATGTACGGGTGGAGTCTCTGGCCCAATCCCAATACTTTGGCAATTCAATTATACGTTCCAGTTTGGGGGTGCGAGAGCGTAGGGGGTCACGATACTCAAGTGAAGTTGACCACGCCCCTTTTGCACCTTTGATCCGTACTTTTTTTTTTTTTCCATTGCTGTGTAGGAATTTTGAGAAGGAACCGGAACAATGGCTCAAGTACCTTTTCTGGAAATATGTATTTTCATACGAAAGTTCATTTTAAGGCGATTAATTATATTTATTCATGCTCTGCGTGTTTTACTGCGTGTGGTGCCCTCATGGAGGGGGTCATCGTCTAGCACACTGCTGCTAACCACTTAAACATTCTCCCTCTCCTGATAATAACTTTTTGCTTTCCTTGACGTTGGATGTGCTACTGCTAGTTTATCCGTTTAATTATAGATCCACTAGGATAAATACAATAAAGTTTATCTCTCGCCAAATAGAATATTTACTAAGAAATCACAATGTAACTATAGACACATTACTTTGTCGTGTGTGTGTGTGTGTGTGTGTGTGTGTCTGTGTGTCTTTGTCTGCCTGCTCTGTCTTCTCGATCCCCAGTGAGTCGTGGAGGATGGCTGCTTATACTGAGCCAGGATTCTCTGGAGGTTTCTTCCTGTTAAAAGGGAGTTTTCCTCTCCACTGTCGCTTTATGCTTGCTTAGTATGAGGATTGCTGTAAGGTCACTGACACTAGTCAGTGACTTGATGCAATTTGCTGGGTTCCTTATATAGGAAACATTATTTCTGATTGGCTTAATGAACTGACCTGAATTGGAATGTTTATTATGTGAAGTGCCTTGAGACGGCTCTTGTCGTGATTTGGCGCTATATAAATAAAATTGAATTGAATTGAATTTACAATTAGACTTGTTGTGAACAGCAATGAATGCAAAAATTGTCAAGAAATTATTTGAAAGTTGTTAAAGATTTTTTAAAAAGTAGCCCAAATAGCGACCGGCATGCATGGTGGTGGATGATGCAATGCTCACTGTCCCAATTCAGCAATTATTTGCATACTTGTGTACTATGCACTTGAAGCCTTGCTGCGCACTTCCTCCAAGTGCACTTCGTTGAAGACCTTGGGGTGCAGTGCAAGTATTTTGGACAACGAACAATGTGACTGACTCACAGCTACGGATGTCAGTCAATGGGACAGTCCGCCATACATAATCGAAGAAACAAATACATCCTTTTTCTAAAGAAAGGACTACCTCTATCTGATTTTTTATCTGATTATATCGATTTCTAGGTTAACTAATTGCACCTTTAAACAGATTTTTTAGATGTCAAAAGCAGGTCCCTGTCTTCTCAGCAAAGAACTTTCCAGTCTGAACGAGCCCAGAAAGCTAACCTCTATATTTGTAAAAATAGGAGAAATCCAAATACATCAATTTCTTTTATGCAGTCACAAGATTTGCCATATTTATGGAAATCTATTTGGCTACACAACCGACTAATAACCCCAAGAACAACAAAAATGTTTAAGAGTACTCGAAAAGATTTCAAAAAGTATGGCTCCTGAGGAGCAAAATATAAGAAAAAACTAGGAAAGATACTAGAATTCCACGTAGAAAACTGAATTTACTTTTGTTTCCACTGATGTCTCTGAACACTTTTCACTGTCTTTTGTTTGCCAAAGGTGAACACCAGGGGGAGCTCTTTAGGTGAACAAATCCAGATGCTATGATTCAGAGCTACACTGTTGCCACCACACCCATAACCTCATAACCTTAAAGGTGAGGTGGAGATGTAGGATTCTCAGAAAAAATGTCCTGCCTGTAAAGCTCTCTGCCTTTGCAAAAGGCACAGAGAAGGATAAACATCTGCACACACAGCTGTCAACTCCACAACGTGTCCTTTTGTTTTGTTATCCTGCATTGAGATTAAAACCACTCTTTGTTTGAATGGGTGCTTCTAAAAGCAGCGGAACATCTCACTTTGTTTCCTGGGAGTTTGTAAATATCCATCCTATTCCCAGGCCAGCCCACACAGGCATAGTTTTGACCCCGAGGATGAAACATAATAAATGTTCACAGCCTTAAAATGCTCCCACACCTCTGCAAGTGCCCTGCAGCTTATCCAAATTCACTCCTACCCATTTAAATCACAAATGGATGCTATCAACAGCAGCTGAAGGGTCCAAATACACGCAGAACACTGGGCGAATAATTATTCTCCTTTTGTTACTGTTTTAATTTAAAATGACTGCTGAAAGCTAAATTTGAAAAGAAAAATAAAGAAAAAAATAACAGATAATTAAGCAACTTCTAAAATTTTGGATGTTTTCATATTTTTTCTTTTTTCTTTTTTTTGAAGTGGTATTTATCAGGTACCGTAGGCCTGAGTTACTCAGCTTCTATCAACACCAAAGAGCCCGAGCCTTTTTCCCTTTTGGACTCTATTATAATGTCATCGGAATAACATGCCTGGTCCATTATAGTGATCAGATAATCCACCTGAATGGAGGACTTTCAACAGTCTTCCAGCTCATCAGTGCCTCTCGGTGTACAGATGTTAACATGAAGCCCTGAAAGCAGTGGGGAGAACAGAGGGGGGATCGCTAATATGCATAATCCTGCCTCCTGATGTTTCCATCAAGAGGCACAGAGTGAGATGTGCATTATTGGACTAAAGCCCCACAACACGGTGAACAAGATCTTCCCCCGGGCTCCACCCATGAGCCCATGAGTCTGGCTCTTGTGTTTTCTTGATAATCAGACTCCACTGATATCAAAGGAGCGACGCTTTTGTGATAGCTATTAGCTGCAGCATCCGGATTTCTCTTTGGTCATTTTGAAGGAACAGAACACAGAGAGGGTCTTGTTTACAAACAGAGGAGTAACATAGCCTGGAAGGACCACCTGAGTGACAGGAGAAAGGTGGAGCGCTTTTCCACAGTCTCTGAAGAGCGGTGGAAGTGAAAGTTAGAGGAGATTTGATTCAACGGTGTGGTTTTCTTGTTTATTCAATACATTTGCAGTGTTCTCCAGTGCCATGAGTCATAAAAAAAACTATGATGCTCTTGTTCTGAGATGCAGAAGTTTGCTGGTGCAGAGATGTTCTGAAAACAGTAGGATTACTCATTATTATTAATAATATGTACACACCTCACTTCTGATTGGCAGAATGCATTCAGCCAAGTTACTATTAATATTACCAAGACACTGTCCGCTCTCTCTCCTCGCTGCAAACATTTTTTAAAATGTGGACGGGCGTGAGCAAAGATGGGCGAGGCCATGAATGCAAATTCACAGTGTGACATAGATATGTGATGATTTTCAAATCCTAGCCTTTCACAGTCTGTTTTTTATTAGAAGCTAATGCAGGAGATAGGTGTAGGAGACTGTTTTCATGTTCAGCCTGCATGGAAAACTCAGAGTGACTGATTATAATCAGAAATATTTAAAAAAAAAATTCTGTGAACTAAACCTTTAAAGAGCTCAGCTCCAATCAGGAAGCATCCTTCTGGTGTATTAGCAAGTTCAGCCCTGCTGAAATAGTCACACGCTCATTTACAGAGGTGTGACCAAGTCACTGCTTTGCAAGTCACAAGTAAGTCACAAGTCTTTCCAGTCAAGTCTCGAGTCAAGTCCAAGTCAAAGACAATCAAGTCCAAGTTGAGTCCAAAGTCAATGATGTGTAGCAGAACAAGATCAACCCCAGATTTTTGTCCACGTCGTGCCACTTTTCTGCTAAAATATCAAATATGCTCATGTCATCATCAACTCAACAGATGCAAGTCGATTCAAGTCGCAAGTCATTGGCGTTCAAGTCCGAGTTAAGTCGTAAGTCTTTATAGATTTTATCAAGTCAAGTCAAAAGTCATTAAATAATTACTTGAGTCTGACTCGAGTCCAAGTCATGTGACTCAAGTCTACACCTCTGCTCATTTGTTTGAAAAGATAATTGTTTTGGGAATTAAAGATGAATCAATTTCAGATTCACAGATCAAAGTCATGTAAACACAGCGGGTTATGTGGCAACGTGACATTTTGGATTTTCCAAGCTTCCATCTTTGGTGTGTTTACACCAGCAAATGTAGAACCAAAGCAAAAATAAAGAAATAAAAAATAATACCACCCTAACCCTTCTTTTATATGATTGTATACATTTATGGTGAATGTTATTTTATTTATCTCTTCATTCTGAACCCGTAGGCACCACAGAACGGTTCAAATGGGGCTTTCGTGTGTCTGATAGATGGGTCTCCACACTCTGAGACTTGATAGTCATGTAATCTGGAGCTTTAAGGGACACATTCAAGGTTATTTAACAAGTCATGTGAGTAATTGTTTTTGTAAGGACAAACTAAATCTATAATAACAACAATGTTAATTTTGAGAAATTTTCTTTTCATTTGGTGTTTTTAGTTTTTTAATTTTGTCACCTTTTCCTTGTGTCCCTCGTCTGTTTTTTTTTTCACACTACACAAAGATGATCCAAGTTTTCAGCCAGGGGTTTTGTTTAGAATCCTCTGAGGAGATACTCCAGATTTTAAAGTGCAAAAAATGGCTTTCAGCACAGTGAAGGAAATAAAAGCGCACTTTCTTTTGCTTTGTTTTTTATTCTTTTTTCCTAACGATGGCTGAAATTTGCCCTCCAGCCTTGTTAGGATGACGAGTGGCAGGTAAAGTCAAAAGGTGAAACCGGTTATCCTTTTGTTGTTTTAGTGGCTCAGTTTTTGGTAATTACTGAGACAAACCCAACAATCTTCAAGTCAAATTCATTTTAGGGTAAAATTCTAGACTTATAAAACTCTGAATGGCATATATTGAGACAAAATGAACTGAAAGGGTTAAATAAATGAAACTATTTGGACTTTGTACACATTTTACATGCAAGCTTCAGCTTGGAAAGATTAACTCTGACCAGACAGACAAGCTAACTGCTAGTCAAAGCTATTCTAAGGGTACTAAAACAGCCCCAACAACACCAAACATCTCATAGCAGTTTATACAAATGATATAACATTTATGTTACCAGTAATTAGTTATTCAGGAATCAAGCCATTTCTGCTGCAAATAATCCTAAGGTTATGTACAAGCAAATTGTGCTAAGTGATATTTGTTGAGATGTCATTAAAAAAAGATGTTTGCTTGAAATACTACGAAATCTTTGAGATTACGGTTGTTTTAGATTTAGATTTTTACCTGATGCCCAGTCATAACCTATTTTTCCAAACTGGAATTGCTCAAAGAGTTCCAGAAAATTAGTCATATCCTTTATTTGAGAGAGAGAGAAAGAAACAGCTTTTAAAGCATGCTATGCATTCTTGATTTGTTTCATGAGTGAGAGTAGTTATTTTAATTGTTTTATTTGAGCCAAAGGCAACATTTTTATTATCTGCCGTTTTGTAAATTGAATAGTATAGTCATGTTGTTCGCCTGACCTGAGCAGATGATGTTGCTGTGTGGAATATTTCATACTTTTAATTATTTACGTTAAAAACCAATGATATGTCTAATCTGGATTCTGGATCTCATTATTCAAATTTATATATATATATATGTGTGTGTGTGTGTGTGTGTGTGTGTGTGTGTGTGTGTGAGTGTGTAATGCATATTAATGTAGATTTAGGGGCATTCTAATAATTTAATAATTCTAATCTGCTACGTTGACATATATTCTAAGCCTCCACATGTTTTATTCATGTTTTTTAGAACCTTCATCTGATATAATTTTGCTGCTGGTTCGGGCCGCACCCTCAGCGTGGTCGAGAGAGAGAGAGAGAGAGAGAGAGAGAGAGAGAGAGAGAGAGAGAGAGAGAGAGAGAGAGAGAGAGAGAGAGAGAGAGAGAGAGAGAGAGAGAGAGAGAGAGAGAGAGAGAGAGAGAGAGAGAGAGAGAGAGAGAGAGAGAGAAATCACGTCAAGTCACGTCACTCCTCGCTAACCCACCTCCTTGTCTCTTCCAGGCAGCATATAAACACTGCGATCCATCTTCCTCCAGCCTACCCGGTAACATCACGGTGACCATTAGCGGAGCTGAGATGCGGAGGGCGCACAGACGGTAGCTGAGGGGGGACAGGTGAAGCCTTACTCACCCAGAGCCAGAACACGCTGCATGTCGGCTTCATTTCCTGTTGCTCCCGTCGACAAAACAGTAAGTACATCACTTACACCGGTCATCCTACTTCATCTGTCATGTCGTCTCTACCTTTTTTTTTCTTGCAGGTTGACGTTGTTTTTTATTCTGATCCTTCATTTCTGCCGACCAAGAAGCTGTATATGTATATAAAATAAAAAATATAAATATAAATAAAATAAAATAAAAAATCCTGAGCGTGCCTGAAGGGAAATTAAAAAAAACATGTCAGCCCTTTCCTCCTCTTCCTGCCTCGCCTGGAGGAAGAACAACCGTGTTTATCGTGTCGTCATGAAGCTGTGATTTGGTAAAATAAAACCCTCAGATCTAATAAACATCTGATAACCGGGATTGTGGCTAATTAAACATCAAATATCAGAGGTCTTCCGGTTCTATAACCTCTTGAGAGAAAACTTTGGTGCAGCAACAGGTGGCATGTGTGTGTGTGTGTTTTCTTCCTGGGCCGGAACCGAAGCGAGGAGCTGAGGACGAGACGGACGTGGAAAAACAAAGTAGGGCGTCATTCAGCACCGAGACGCTGGACAGCTCCCACGTCTCGGACAAATCGTTTCCGTTTAACTGCGATCTGGGGGGAATAAATGTTTATTCAAGACTTATTTCGTGTTTCTGACCTGATTTTTAGCGCTGCCTCGGGTAAACATATTTACACACGCATTGATTATTAACAGCTCTATGTCCGCGAGTCGCTCCAGCAGCTGGTCGTGAATTACATAGATGACATCTGAGCAGCAGATGTTTTCATTGTCAGACTCCCGGAGCCGCAGCAAAGATGGTTCCCTAATTTACTTTAAATTGACACCATATTAAAACGAGTTTATGGATCATTATTGATTATCTCTTCTAGGGTTTCTGGTCAGGATGAATAGAGTCTCCCGGTGCTTCTCTTTTCTCCAGTTTGCACTCAAGGACCTCCCTCCTTTACCCTATTGCCTCACTTCCTTCCTCTCACTAAACTGTTCCCATCTTCCCATTCCTCCCATCCCCCCTCTTCCACTCACTCCCAGTCTTGTTGCATAGCTACCGGCTCAAACACACACTGGGGGTGATCAAATGGATTCTGGGGATTTTTCTCCCTTTCTTGAATCAAATTTCAGGTGTTTTTATTGACATTTTTTACATTTTCAATGTTGCTGTTTATAAGCCCATCACACTGTAAGTGCTCTCTTATTTTCTCTCCCTCTCTCCCCCTCTATGTCCACCCCCAGCAGCCCCACCAACCCTCCTGTCTCCCTCTTTTGAGAGGAGCTGAAAGGTTGGCATTAAAACAACAAAGGAAGCATGGAATGTCAACAGGCTTCAGAGAGAAATGGGTTGAGGAAAACACGGAGAAAGGGGATTGGATGTACTGTTTCCGTCCCTGACCAAAGTTCATGACCTGCTAACACACTGAAGCAGGAGTCCTGTAACACTAGAAACACACAATAGAAACACACGTCTGCAGCAATCCTGCTTCAATTCACGTTGTCACTGCTCGGTGCATCACGTCGAGCACCAGATCATTTTAAAGTGACGATTTTATTTCACAATAACACTTCTTTTTGTCTTTTCACACAGATTAAAGGAAAAGAAGATGTGGATGGAGATTAAAACTATGTCATGGTTGTGCTGAGTGGAAGACTAGTGATTTTGTTGTGCAGCTGATCAAAGAACAACAAGTCCCAGTCTACCTCTTAGCACGAGCAGCGCCCATCGGTATAGTCGCTACCTTTGACCCGTCCGCCCCAGCGACGTTGACGTTAATGCCAGGATTTCTTGTTAATCCAGCAGCAACAATAAAAAAAACCCTCCCTTTAAAATCCACTTCAAATGTTCTGATTCAGCCACCGTAGGAATGGGTGTTCAGTCATCTTAATTACAGGCAAAACTGCAATCAAAAGTGTAATTTAAGCACAACTCGTGCAGAGAAAGCTGCTCGGGGAAATACTGTAATTATATCATAAAGTGCCTTGCACAAAACACACAGCCTTGAATCATTGTTTTTCATTCATTTCCAAAGATTCAGATTAGTCACACATTGCCATGTATTGTTTTGTTAAATGTTTACGGATTAATAAATGCTGTAATGTAACTCCTGCTTAGCATTTTTACTTGTGAAATTAAAGAACAATTAAAACGTTTTGTGTGTATTTCAGCATCTGTTCACATCAGCACCAATAGATTCAGGATCAGGTTGGAGCACTCAGGTCAAGGCACACTCTGTTCTCCAAGGGTTAGGCCGGCATGAACGGGTAAAGGCAAAGGTAGAAATCCATCGTGATCAAAAATAGTTGCATGATGAATCCTGCACACATTGATTTTTTTCTCAGTGTTCTCGGTCTTTGTGTGAGGTGGATTCAGACCTTTTCTAAGCTTTGATTAGTATCAGTAAACAGACCTGAACAAATACAAGACATCTACTGAAGACTGAGAGAAGTAGCTAACACCTCGGAGTCCTGCTCTCTGCTCCATTTAAAGGAAATTTCAACCAGTGAAGGAAAGGAAAATGATGTGGGTGTCACAGGAAAAAAAAAAAGCTAAAAGCCATGAGCTCAACCGACTTTGCAAAAAAGTCAAAAGAAAACTGTACTGATGACAAAAAGGATAGAAAGGTGAGCACAAAAGTACATAATACGCATACCTGTAAGACTTCAGGCTACTGAGATTAATTTGAAAGCCTGCCACATACTTACCCTTGCTCCTGTTACCAGGAAACATGTATGGCTGACCTGGTCTGCCTGCTTTTGTAATTCATGATGAACATGCTGCCAGGCTCACTTCTATCAACCTAAAGTCAATTTCTTTTATTTAAACTGAAAAAAAAATTGTTGTTTTTTTGAAAACGGACATTAAACCAAATTCAAGTCACAACTGAACGATGAAAGGTCATCCTCCTCCACCAACAATGAGGGCAACGAGTCTCTTGTTAGAGCGCCGACATCGAATTCCGCTCCTGTCACTAATGAAAAGCTCGCACTGTTTCAATTAAAAAATGCATCATGGCTTCATCTCCTTCACACTGCACTCTGTAAGGCTCCAGATTGGCAGCATCCTGGTTTTTCATATATAAAAACCGGGGACCGGCTTCCGTTGCTAAGCAACACAAAAGAGTCAAGTACATTTGTTTGTTGGCCAATGAGGTAGCAGACAAAGTTTCAAGGTTTTAGAGGAAGGACCTGTAATAATACCAAGGAGAACAGAAGAGGAGAATTACGCCTTTTATATACTGTTAGTAAATGTGTACTTAGTGTTATGAAGAATGAATTTTTACCCTTTTTTTTCTTTGTCTTGTTTTATAAGCAGCCTGTCAGTAGAACAGTACTGGTTTGTTAATCCACGATTCATCACATTTCTGCAGGTTAGGCAACAATTTAGTTTTATTTTTAGGTTCTGAGGGCTGGAAAAAGCAGAAAAATTAAAAATCAGGTGGAGTTATGTGCCTCAGAACAAGCCACACACGTTTATCTTGTTTCGTGTGATTTTGAACGCAGCACTGTCACTCCAAGAAGCGTCTAACTATCAAGTCTAAATTAAAACAAGGCTGTTGCTACGAGCTCTGGCAGATCATCTTATGAAGAAAGGCAGCGTTAGAAAATAGTGACGGATGTGTAAAGGGAAGTGCACAACAGGTGACAGAATCACATCAGAGACATTCTCCAGAGCGCAGACCTTGGTGAATGCGTACACTCCCCTGCATGTTGTTATTAGTATGTGGGCATCCATGCTGGCGTGATGGTGAGCCAACTGTTCCCCGATGTCTGTGCTGGCCTCCGTCACCACAGCCCTGGCACCTCGGAGACACTCCGGGGGAGGGAGAGGCAGTCAGCATGTGGCTACATGTGTGATCGGGAATCAGGCGAGAACATGTCAACATTAAAGCGGAGCTGACATTTGATCAGCAGACAGAACAACGCTGATATCAAACAGGCGCTCCACTTCATGGCAGATTGTATGCAGTATTAAATACTAATAAATATCTGAGCAAGGTCATTTTTAATGACATTTTGTCAGTGACAGGGATAACATGAATGAAGTAGTTAGGCGCAAGCATAATACTGTTTCCTTTCATTAGATGCATTAAAATCAAAAGAGAAGGTGAACAAATGTTCCTGTTTGCACTGTTTATGGGACTGAAATGTAACAGATGTATATCTGTAGCTATAAGACAAATAGACAATTAACTAGTTCTGATGAGGATTTGGGTTAAATGTGAGAGGATATCTTCTTTTTGCTGATCTTATTGGCCTTTAAAACCACAAGTTAGTCAGATATTTGACTAAAAAGGAGGATGATGAATTTCTGGTCATAACAGGGTCAACGGTGAAGGTAGCAGCGAACCCTAGCTCTCTCGGTTAGCTGCTGCTGCTGACTGAAGCATCTCAAAACCGAGGCTCATCTATGGCATAACAACGCTTGGGTGATCTGGTTGTCACAAGTTCAGCTCAGCATAGACGCAGCACAGTATCACATGACCTCATTGATGACTGCATCCACAAAAAGGAGATGTGTGCATCTGAAGGCTTCTGCCATTGTTGAACAAGGTTGTTCACTTAATCTGTGCCTAAATAAGTTGTAAACTGAAATGACACTAATGATACAGTCATATAAAAATGGGGAGGGACCCCCCCCCCCACCCACACACACACACACACTTTTGTATGCCTCTGCTTGTGGTGTGATTCTGTTGATACAGACATGTGGTCTGATAGCTGTTAGTCTCAAGTTCAGGTGGATGATCATGTCTATTCTATTTCATTTACTACTATGGTAAATGTGCAGGAGGCACGTTTAACAGGTTATAGCAGCAGAACACAAATCTTTATATTGCAGAGGAAAGAAACAGGGCACATGTGATGCTTTAAAATGCCAGAGGATACAAGAATGTGCTAAACACCATCTTTGCTTCGTTCGTTCTGTGTTTTCTATCAGAATTCATGTTTTGTGGGCTTGACACATGGGAGGCAACATCGCCTCTTCTCCATTAATTTTCAATGAGACACGCGAGACAAAGCGATAATTGCGGGTCTTCCTCTTGCTAGACGACACACAATAAAACGTGCATGTGTTGTGCACAGATGAGCCAGCAATGCAATGCCAGAAAATTGAGAAAATTCCTACTTTTCATTGCTGTCGCTCGGACAAGGACCAATCAGCGGAGGTTTCATTGACTGACCAATGAGCAGGCGGGATGCTTCTCGGTACATCTCCAGACAAACATGAAGGAAAAGTAATGCTTGCTGTGTCGGATTTCCCAGCGCTTTACAACATTTCTAAAAAAGATTAGAGATCTTCACAAAAAGGCAGCGGCATGGGATATTGTCGGTGGGTTGATCGTTGGTGTGGTCTCATATTCAGTTTCTTTATGTGTTTGTAATTAGGGATAAATACAGTCACATATTTTTCTGTTTTTATATAGTAAAATCTGAAGTAAGACTTCATTTAAGTATAGCAAAACTTTGTGAGACTTCTCATCTGCTGCTTTTTCAACTCTGAACAGCTTTAATAACCCAACATTTCCTCCAATCTGACGGACAATGAAAACAATGGAAGACTTGTTATTTGCCCTGGAACAGAGCGCGTCGCTGGCTGCTGCCGCATGTCGCCCATCGAGTGTCAGGTTATCAATGCGACAGTAAAAAGTTTTGCTGATCTCAGTCGTTTATTGCCTCCCATGTGCCAAGCACATAAGAGGAACATGTTTAGACATCTACTGCTGCCTTCGTCAGAGCTATCACCGAGATAAGGAATTGTGGATCCAGGATCATTAACAGGGACAAAGGAGTATACACGCTGGACCACTCATGTGTGATTAACGGAGAAGGCACTGACAGTTAAGGGGGCTATCGCCCTCTACTGTCTGAAGATAAATGGAAGTGAAGCCACCAACATCGGCGATAGCTCTGACAAAGGTGGCAGTAGATGTCGAAACATGTCAGTTGAGGTAAGAACAAGCGCCTCTTACTCTGTGCTAAACACCAGTCGCTGTTTTTCTATGTCCAAACATCTTTTGTGACTTCAAATGGTGTTGTTCTTTTTGGGACTTTGACGTGGTAGCATCCAGCTGTTTCTCCTTCTCTGATATCACTGAGTGGAGAACCTCTCACATCAGTGGTATTCTGTTGCTAAATATGCAAGTGAATGGAGTACCCAGGGAAGTGCTGCATCTCGGCCAGACCATCAACCACATGGTCCAATAGTTGCTTTCGGTCCATAACGTGTAATTGGTGGAGGTTTTTAGACAAATGCGAGAGAACCACTTCCATAATTTTTTTTTATTCTTAAATTTACACAATACATTTATAGCTATACGGTGTTAGAGCATTGTTAAAATGCATGAAAAAATGTTTTAAGCTGATTTGTTTTCCAAAGTAAACAATGAAAGGAGAAGCATTGGTCAGATCTGCTCGACCACCTTATTCCCACCCTTCTCATCGGCTGCAGACAAGCAACAAGTTTGTCAAAATAAGACATTAAAAGTCAGGTTCACTTCAGGATACCGGCATTATAATTTTTCAAGAGCCTTAATTAATTTCACACACTGTGGTTAAGAACAAATTAGTTTTGAAACTTGGAACAATAACCTATAAGTGAAGCATTGATGTATTTAGACTCTTCATTAAAAATCATTACAGGTTCAGAGAAAACCCCATTTACAAGTTATATTGTACCTCTGAAATGCTGCTGGAGCTCTATGCCACAGTAGTGGGCAGCCTCATTCAGCATAACTTAGCGCCTGTTTTTATTTCATAGATTTATATTTACCGCCTACGCCGTGCATATTCTAAAAAATACAGTGAAGAAGAGTAAGAAGGTGGATAAACTAAAGTTTTTTCTTTACATATGGGGATTTACAGTGAGGACCATAAGTATTTGAACACCCTGCGACTTTGCAAGTCCTCCCACTTAGAAATCATGGAGGGGTCTGAAATTCACATTGCAGCATTCTTTCTGTGAGAAACAGAATTGAAAAGATGCAGGTAATCACATTGTATGATTTTTAACTAATCAGTGTTAATATTTGGTACAGAAACCTTTGTTTGCAATTACAGAGGTAAAACGTCTCCTGTAGTTCTTGACCATGTTTGTACTGCAACAGGGATTTTGACCCACTCCTCCACACAGATCTCCTCTACTTCTGT